ATTCATTTCTTTCGACAATTTTATGCAAATTCTAATTTAAATAATTTAATTCCTGAAAAAAACTTTTATTAGTCATGAAAAGAATTGAATTCTTACGAAGATTTTTACAAAATTTTTTTTAAATATATTTGAATTCTGCTTGGAAATTTTATGAAAATAGTAGGTAGATATTGAAAAGCACTGAAAGGCGAAAAGATTATTTTAAAAAGAATTAAATTTTACAAAGAATTCTATATTAAAATTTTTGAATAATTGAATGACTGTGTGGAATTTTATTAAATTTTTTTGAAAACAATTGAATTCCTAAAAAGCATTTTATTAATTATGAAAATATGTAATTGAATTCTTGGGAATTCCAAGAAGAAATTTCTTACTTTTAAAAATAATTGATTTCTTGTGATGAATATATTATTATTTATGAAGACAATTTAATTTTGCAAATAATTTTATTAAAATGCCTAAAAATAATTGAATTTTCGGGAATAATTTTGTTATTTATCTTTAATAATTGAATTCTTTCGAAGAATTATTTATATATATAATAATTAAATTCTTGGGAATATTTTATAGATTTGAGATGATAGCTCACAGTTTTCTAAAGATATCGGAAATTGAGACAAAAAACGTTTGAAAGCTGATGCAACGCAACAAGTGATTTTGATATATAATATACATGTCAAAGGTCCTTAATATTATTTAAATTTTGCATTACAATATGTGCGAGGAAAATAAGACGAATGGAAATTGTCTATATGAGAAAAAAGTGTGCATGGAGAACGCAATAATGTGTTTAATGCCGTGAGAAAGCCTTGATACTGGCCAATATAATCGATATATATATATATATGTATACAAGTTGTTATAGTGAATGCACTCTGTGATATTCGTTCATTGAAACCACACTGACATTGTGAGAGAGAAAGGTTTCAGTAAATTAAATTTTTAATTGATCTTTAATTAACTTTCCGTATTCGTCTAAATAGATGCACGGCGCGGAGAGAGATCTAGATTACATCGACGAATTCAAAATTTATTATATCTCCCGCGGGACAATTAAATTGAGATTTTAAATTAGAAATTTCATCTCTTCAACTTGAGATAACTAATTTATATGTCTAAATAATTGAACATAAAATCGTTGAAAAGTTAAAGTTCAATAGTGATTTGTTTAATTATTTTCTCTCACAGTTTTTCTCATTTTCTGCGGATATCAAATTGAGACAAAAATCAAATTGATATCCGAAGAAAAACTGTGATAACTAGATAACTACTTTATTTTTAATACGATCAACAAGTTTTCAACGTTTAAATGAAAAATCTTACTTTAAAAAAATTTTATTTAAATTAAAATTTAAAACTGGTTTTCACGAAAACAAATCATCCACGAATGGCAAAATATTTTCAGCCGAACGCAGAAAGGAGTACATTATCAAATTTATGACGTAATTTATCCGCGTGGAGTGAAAGTTTTATCGCCAGTAATTTATAATTTTTGGTGATTTTTTCTTTCTTAACCCACACAAATATTACTAATTTAGAAGAGAAGAAATTCAATTCATAATTTCCTTGTATGCCACGTTTGCCAATTTGATTTAAAAAAAATATTCAGCTAACGAAAGTAAAAGTATATTTGCATTTTCAGACACAAAGAAGAATAATTTACAATTTTATTTCTTTGATATTTGTTTTGACTTTTCTTAAAGAATTTCTTTCAATATTTATTGAATATTTTTTAAGCATTCTTTTAAGAATATTTAAATATTTAAATATTTTTAAAAAAATTTTTTGAAAATATCTATGTACTAAAAAAGATAATTTTTTGTTTACTATCACTTGAAAAAAAAAAAAAAAATAAACACATTAGTATAAAAAATAAAGAATCGCATTACAATTTGAATATTTTTGCCATTATTTACACGTTGGTATTCTTTTGAAAAAAATTAACTTCTTATTTATTACTCTAGCATTTAAAATCTGAATAATCAGAGTAGGATGAAAGTCTGAGGAGTGTGATGAGTGAAGAAAGTGATACAAAGTTTGCATAGAAATTAACCTTTCGCGTGCGAATTGTTTCATAGTTTATAGTGCATATATGAGTGAAACCAGATTTAGAAAAATTTCTCACATTTACAATATATGGCATACTTCAAGAAAAAAAAATTTATAAAGGAGACAATTTTTTTTCTTTTTATAAAATTTACATTTCCTATGGGATAACAAAAATACTATTTTAAAACAGTTGTGCATACCCACAATTTTTAATAACCAATAATAATAATAATAATTTTAATTTTTAAATTTTTCATTAACTTCATACATGTTATAGGTATGTAGAAATCGTATTAAAATGGTCACAGTTTTACAATCACATAGCATAGACATGAGATTACCTGTGAACATAGAATAACAGTGGGAAAGTTTTAAACGCGTAAGTTTTATCTTCTACCAGGTTTGGATGGCATCATAATTTAGCTAAACTATTTCGCAGATTACGAATCTCGCTTATAGAAATGGAAACTCACTTCCTTCTCAACTTCGTTTCAATTTTTTTTCAACTCATTTTCATAGAAATAACCCTTCCCAACTAGTCTTACATTTATATAAACCATTACTAATTTATTGCATACAATAAAATACAAAATACAAAATCTGTAAATTCTAATTAATTTTTCAAAAACTTTTACTTTCGTTCAATAGTTTTAAATCAGAGCGTTTTCTTCAAAGTATCCAATTGATACTAAAGTAAATCAAACTGATGCCAAATATTTGGATGCAGTGATGCAAAAATTTCCTTAATTTTTTAAAGAAAAGGTTTTTATTTTTTAATAAAAAAAATTTACCATTTTATTTGCGAAAACGGATGAGATGATGAATTTCTTTCGCTTATGACCATTTAGAAAGAAAAGAGAAAAAAAAGTGTTGGCAGGCGCACATTCACTTTTATAAGATTCAAATGCAGAAGCTCATCGACTGCATTAGCTTCCGCTATATTCTTTACATAACTATATATATGTTTACTGCATAATGCATTCAACAATGACCGTACATGGATTATAAGAACTAAAATATACGGAAAAACAATATAGAGAGGGGGGGGGGGAGATCAATCTGCGAATAAATTAGTAATAAAATATGATTCCTGATTTATGACCTGTTGCGAGTTTGGGCATTAAAAATTTAATAGATACTTAATATCGCTAAACTGCTGAATTTTATTGGCCGCAGCTACTGAATATATTTTAAACCGGAACTTAAAAACTTATTTTATATTCCTGAAGAAGTAATATAAACTTGAAAATTTTAGAACATACCTACGGGTACACCGCAATCGTAATTCGTCTCTTTTTTATACTCTTGATAAACTTTGCTGATTTTTATGTTTTTATTCATAGAAAGAATGATTCAAATTTAAACTAACTTTAAACTACAATTTAAAAATACAAGTATCTTCAAATAATTATAATAAACAAAAACTTTTTCGATTTTTCAAAGTTGTCGTCATTACAATAGTGCGACATTTAAAATCAAAATTCTCTACTTCCTATGTTTTTTTTCGCGTTTAAGAAACTCATTAGAAAACATTTCTAACATTTATGTGCGTAAATTGACACTTTAGTGAAGTAATTGTCGTTCATTTATTTTTCTGATTTAAAGTTACCATAAATTGTTGACATAAACAGTAAATTTTCTTGACATCAACTTCTTATTTGCAAAAGGGGAAAAAAGAAGGAGAAGATGCGAACGTGTTTCATCAACTGCTTCCGGTTCATTTCGCGGAATCCTTTATAGGGATTTTAAAATTTTTTTTCTTTTTTTCTTTCCATAATGAGAAATCTTCTAGCCACAAGTGTATATAATGGTATTTATATGAAACGGAAAGTGGCATCTTTACAACGAGTTTCTCCTGACGGTCGCTTATATATATACAAGTGATGAATCAACTATGCATTAAAATTATTACATATAAGAGAAAAAAAGAAATTTTCAATTAAGAAAATAATAACTTTTTTTGAATATTCCTTTTTTCAAATATCAAAAAAAGGAAGAAATTTCCTAGACCTGTAGGCACCCTGATATAGTACATTTTGAATTTACATTTTCTTTTTCCAAACCAAAGTCCAATATTTATAGAGAAAGATGAACAATTTTTGCAGAAAAATATATAAAGAAAGTTGAGGTGAAATTTAATATTAAATTCTTACGAGGAAGAAGAAGAAGAAGAAGATGCTTATTAGTGATAACTGCGATGAATTAATAAAATCATAGACCTATCAAATGCGAGTCAAAGTAAAATACTTATTAACATAAATCAAATTTCGCCTTTGATTAGTCGACCTTAAGTTTCTCTGCGTAAGTTACATGCAGTTAGGAAGGTCAAGTCGCAATAATATGCAAAATTTTTCATCTCTCTTTTACCACATTCCTGAATTTTATTTTTTTAGCATGTACGTAACAACATACATTGCACATTTAATCAAAAAGTTTTAGCAATTTATATAATAAATTTCGTTATATAATAAATTGTCAATATTTTTAATACTACAAACATTTAAAACACAACAGATATTTATAATTCTACATTTATAATAAATATAAACATTTACAATTGTACATATTATACAATACAATTGTTAATCAATCATCAAATAGTGAAATATTCCCCTCTACAAATAATTTATTAACTCAGAGGTTGAAGTTTATTGACAATTAGATTGACAGAAAACTTTCACGTGCCTCAAGCAACAACTTATCCGTTTATCTGTCGTCATGGAAAAAAATACATTGCCTAACGCCCTGAGAGTTTCATTTTCCATCTGCCATTTGTGAGACAAATCAGATAAAGGAGATCTAATTAATTATTATTTAACGATTTCCGCTATTTTCTTTTACCAAACTGCCTTCGTTTACAACACACTTTATCTTTTGTAAAGAAATCCAGTAATCACTATGTAATTATCACAAGTAAAAATAAAAAAGTAATAGAAATCTTTGGATTTTAGTTTCAGAATGCAGACCCAGCGGATCAAAGGCCGCGGTTGTCGGTTCAACAACAAGCCCACATTTTAAGTGACGTTCAACAACATCAGCAGCAGTACACTGACACAGAAACTGACAGTCCATCGGTGAATCCCTATTCAACATCTTCGCTATCTGATTTACCAACACCGCCAACAACATCCTACGCTTCCCTATCGAAGTACAAAGTCGACAGAGCGAAACAACAGTACCAACTGCAGCAGCAACTTCATCGACTACAGCAAAGAATCTACCAACAACAACAACATCTCAATCAGCAACTAAGTAAAAGTTATCTAGACACCGCTCAAAGTCAATACACTCCGATAATCAAATCCAACCAATATCAACAACCACGCTTCAATAGTCAATATCAGTCCCTCTCCCCCAATTACGTTCGTGACGATCTCAATCAACCATTCTTCAGCGATCAACAAACCCTCCAACTGCAAAACTATTTCGAACAACAGAGACAATTGGAAATTCTCCAAAGACAACGGGAACAACTACTACTTCAACAGCAGGACTTGAGAAGGCAACAGGAGCTACTGAAATTGGAACAACTTCAGAGACTCGCTGCTGCAACATCAACAACAACAACTACTACCACAACTCTGCCACCTACTACAAATCCTCCAATCACGTCGACGAATTCGCCACTACTCTTGTCGTCACCAACAGCCAGAAGGATAACACCTGCCGAAAGTGAATTGTTCTTAAAAGCAATTGCGACACATCAGAAGAAATTCACCTCCAGTTCTCCGTCGACGACACAGAAGCCCTCGAGTGGAAAGACGAGACAGGAACGGGTTCGATTGATCGATTCGGAGAATCTCAATCAGGATGCACTCTTGTCCCTTCTGCAGGGTCAATCCGAGAAGGGAAAATCGCAAGTCAAGTTTATCTATCAGGACCAACAGCAGCCTAACTCTGATAGAGACGCTTTGCTGAGGCAATTGAAACAGGTTCTTTCCAAGTCTAATGAACTCGAGGATGAGAGGAACGTTACTACAAGGTAAATTTAACAAACAAAATTATTCTTTCTACAAACTTTTCTTAAAATTAACAATAGTAAAAGCAAATATTTTCCAACAAACCCACATGGCATCTAAATTTGCAAAAACATTGCTTCTGTTTTTCGTAACGAGCGGAAGACTATGAACTATGACTCAATATCCCTAAATCTAATACAAGATTTTTATTTTCCGATATGTTGATTTGGTTCAAATTATTGAATGTCATAATTGATTGACGTAATTTACTGTCTGCTGTCAACTTTTGAACTTTAATGTGCCTACAAGATTTTCAAGACATTTCACATTGTTCACTGTAACTTTTCATAGAAAATATCATTTCATCGATTTACGTCTACTTTGTTAAAAACTTTTACTAAATGTATCCAATATGTAACTAGATGAACCTAGCGACATATGTATTTATCACTATTCACATTATATGATCATATTTGCCATACATACCAAAGGGCTCGTCTGAACCCGTATAAGATTGAATAAATAAATAAATATTAAGACAATGTTAATGCAAGTTTAGATGCTGTTACAACAATCGTATAATACTTTGCAAAACCATGTGTGCAACGTTCTCATTATTCCTCAGGGAAATAGTCTTGTCGAATGGAAAGAAAGTTCGAGTAATTAACGCCGGCGGTTCTCCATCATCAGTGACAACCATAAAACCACCAAAAGCAATTCTGGAAGAATTGACTAAAGGCGTTCTGCCGCCAGGAGCCGATTTCGAAGTAATTAGACATAAAGAAGATGGAAAACTCGAAGAGGTTGGAAAAATTCCACTCTCTAGTCTTCCGGCAAAGAAAGTGACATTTGTGGTTTTAGAGGAGCAATCCGACGGAAGTTACAAAATCCAAGGGGTGAAAGGTAACGCCGAAAAGGAAAGTACCGTCGACGTTCAATCAATCGTCGACAGAATCAAAAAAGGCGAACTCAAATTACCCCCGAGTTCACTGAATCCCTCAACGTCACTTCCTGTTAGTCATTCTACTCGCCATGCAACCAATCAGCCCAACAATCCAACAACAACCTCGACTAATAAATTCGAAACAAGTTACGCATCTACCGAGAGGCCCAGATACTCCACAACGTCCTACAGACGATCATCCAGGTAAGCACCCTAACCAAAAAGAAAAAAATGAAAAAAAAGAAAATAAAAATCTTCTTCTCTTTTCCCTCTTTGCAACAGTAAATCATCGACGGAAAACATTCCCCACGTGACGGTATCGCCAAACTCGGTCTCATCGACAGATAAGTATGTGACATCAGCGTCATCATTTACTGGTCACGTTTACAATAATATTGATGATGACTCTGATGATTCAAGGCCAAATAGTTACTCGAACACAGGGAGAACACCATTCGTTCCCACGATATTGCCAACGCCAACGATAAATGGTGTTAGTGGTGGATCAACGACGGAGAGATCATTCTCGACAACCTACAACAAGCAACATGCTTCTCAATCGACAGCGACAGTGGCGTCGTCACCAACCCCGAGGTCGATATCGAGTACGGCCAAATCAATTTCTCCCAGTACACTATCGGGAAATATTATTCATCAAGATAGTTACGAGAGGAGTACATCATTACCGGCCACAGTTATTGCACCATCGTCACCGCCCTCATCTCCAGAGAGTCTCAATGTTCTGCTCAGAAGAGAGGGACTCTTTGCCATGGCTAAATATTTGAGGCAATCTGGATTGGATAATGTATTAAATGAGACTGGTGAGTAGTGTTTATTTAATTACCTATTTTTAATACTACTCTCTATATTTGAAATAGTAAAAAACTTTTGAATTAGTAAACATTTTTACTAATTCATATTTGGAGAGTAGCTCAAAGTCTTTCTAAGGATATAAAATTGCTACATTTTTTGTCTCAATTTTATATCCTTGGAAAAACTTGGAGCACCAAGGTCAATATGGAATAAACAACTGTCTAAATTTGAATTAGTAAAAAATTAAAAATGTTTACTAATTTCAATTAGTGACTGGTTTTTTGCTTTTGAATTAGAAATTATTAGAAATTTCTATTAATTTCTGTTCAAATTTACTAATTGTGAACCAAATACTCTTCTTTTAATTAATTTTAAATTAAAGTAAAACTTTACTAAAAGTTAGTAAAACTTTTCACGAATTTAAATTTCTTACTCCAGAAAAAAAATTCCCGAGAAAATTTTATTATTTATAATAAATAATTTAATTCTTGCGTTGAGTTTTACTACTTATAAAAATAATTGAACTGTTTTAAAGAATTTACTAAAAAGAAAATAATTGAATTCCTCCGAAGAATGTTATTATTTATATGAAAAATGAAAATAATTGAATTCTTGCGAAGAATTATATTAAAATTTTTGAAAATATAAACAATAATATAATTAATTCCGTATTTAATACATACCTAAGTGATTTTTTTTAAATAGAAACAAAAAATATTATTTATACAGTAAATTAAATATTCTGACTTGAGTGAGTTAATTTTTAACAAAAGAAAAATTATGAAAATCAAAGGTAGAAATAAGGACAAAAAGTTTCTAAAAACTAAAAATTAAAAAAAATAAAAACTAAAAAGAACTAAGTAGTGAAAAAAAATAATTTAAAAAAAAGTTATGTAATTTTAACAAAAATAAATATTAATTTTTTGATTAAAATTTGTTATAATATACAGACTTAAAAGCGAGATGATATGATCATTAATAAAGAGAAATTGTATAAAGCTTTCGATCAGTAGAACAATTGATTAATGGTCAGACACGATTTAAGTAGGTATAGAAATTATTGAAATGTCGCCAAAGTATAAGTAGAAAATTCCCTGTGCAGTCAGACGCATCTAAACTTTGCGCGCGTCAAAAAGAAAAGTTCTAAAAGTGTCTGAGCGCTGAAAATTTATGTTAATTTAAAATTGTCAAATAAAAATGAATTATATTTACAATTTTTCCTCGACTACTGTGTATTATCGTTAAATACAAAATATAAATTCCATTGCAAATTCATTTCTTTCAAACTCATTAAGTATTGTAATTGCAGCAATTATTTGTAATAGACGTGAAATCGCAATTATAAAATTTCTACATATTATTACACTGTTTTAGAGAAATATTTCTAATATTCGCCATTTTTTTTCATTAAAATATTTCCTCCAAAAAAATTTTACGAACGAATTATTTTAATTAATATAGTTAATTAATTAAATTTTGTTTTTGTAATTCTATTTTCCCGCAAAAAAATCTACGTACTGAGCGAAAAATTTACTGACTGATTTTTTGCCTTTGAATTAGCAAATAGGAAACAGTTTTACTAATAAATAGTAATTTCTAATAATTTATTAGTAAAATTAGTAAAATTTGCACACCTATTTTTATGACTTTTATGTATACTCGAAAATTCCAGAGTAATAAAATTCTTGAACAAACGCAGTTTATACGTTTCAAATTAATAGTATAAATCAAAGCACATAATAGAGTCTAAATGATGTAATGTTTTATTTTCCACTTGATGCTAAAATTGGCCTCTCGTTAATTTACAATTGTGTAACTTGTCTCTATGACCCATTATTATTTAACTATTTCTTCAATTAAGTTATATTTTCTTTACACCCTTTTTCGTTTAATTGCTCTCTAAATCTAAATTAGCGAAAATTGAGTCACTATTTCACATTAGTATAAGAATGTTTACTAATTTTCACTGAAACATTACATTGTTTACTCTGTAGTTTAAGTCAGAGTTCAAAATAACTAATTTCATACACTGAAAAAAAAAACTAGTAGATTTGACTACTTTTTAACTACTCTACGTAATTCAATAGGTCCTCAACTGAATTCAAATAGTTGTACTAACTGTCATAAAAGCAGTTAAGACAACTAAGAATGTAGTTGGTTGAATGTGATTTAGTAGTTTATTTGACTAACTTTAAAGTAATTATAACAACTAAGATTTTGGTAGTAGATTTTACTACTTAAAGTAATTCGATAGGCTTTAACGACATTTTTGTTGTAGAATTAACTATTATTTTGTTTTTAAATCTACTACTTTAAGTAGTAGGTTTTACTACCTAAAGTAATTCGATAGGCTTTAACGACATTTTTGTTGTAGAATTAACTATTATTTTGTTTTTAAATCTACTACTTTAAGTAGTAGGTTTTACTACCTAAAGTAATTCGATAGGCTTTAACGACATTTCTGTTGTAGAATTAACTATTAAAAGTAGTTAATGATCTGTTTTATAAAGTAAAAATTAACATCTTTTTGTTTTTGTCAGCAACTACTTAAAAGTAGTAGAATTATTTATTATTATTTATTAATTATTATTATTACTGAAATTCATTTTTCATCTCCTCTAGCATTCCTATTGGTCACATATACTTTATAATTTTCAACACTTATGTACATAATGGAGAAAAATCCTCAAACGCCGGGGATTGAACGCACGACCCTAACATTCGCAAACCGATAACCTAACCACCTAACCACGCTCGCACGCTACGATGGTCTGCATGAAACCTGATGACATTCTTGACATAGATCAACCGACAACTGTAGTTCATTTTACAATGTAATGTAGTAGTATTTACTACTTTTACTAGTTCTTTTTATCTTCTTTAAATTCTTATTTCTGAACTTTGCTTTATTTAAAAATGCTGTTCAATCCTTTCTAATTACTTTAAGTAGTACAATCTACTACTCAATGTAGTAAAACTTAAGTTCAAAAAGTTAAAATTATCTATTATTTTCTCACCAAAACTACTGCATTGTGTAGTAGATTTTGCTACTTAGAGTGGTTCGATAGGCTTCAACAATATTATTCATTTATTTTTATTACTCTAATGTTGAAGTCAAATCAACTACTATAACTACATAAAAGTTGTAAAGTCTATTACACGAAAAAGGTTTGACTAATAAAAAAATTAGTTCCCTCTACTACTTCACGATAGTCAGTTGTGCAAGTCACGTGTTGTTTCAAATTCAACCGTATAAATTCTTTAATTCAACAATTTGGTGTTAACTATATTAAAGTAGTAAAATTTACTAGTTAAGAAAGTGTTACGTTACTTACAAAAGTAGTCCCTTTTACTACTTTCTATTTATTACTATAAAATTGTTAAATTTACTACTTATGAAATGTTGAGTAAACTATTATCTTAGTTGTTCTTACTTCAGCACTGTAGTCAATTCTACAACTTACCTGTTGTTAAAATTTAACTACATATATTAGTAGAATCAACTACTATTTATCAACTACATAAAAATAGTTAAATTAACTACGCAAACCGGGTTAGACTAACTAAAAAAGTAGTTGTTTTTACTACTTTTCACTTAACTACCCAAAGGTAGTTGAATTTGTCAGCCTAATTTTTTTCAGTGTAGAAAAAAGTTATACTCTATAATGAAATGATTAGTTAATAATTAATATTTAACAAGTTTTCATTTACTTCATTCAAATTTGCTAGCGGTTCATGTTTTATAATAATTAAAACTTGCTACTTTCTTTCTGTAACTTCTTTAAAAATTATCTTCATCATCATTACGATTATTAATTTCCAGATTTTTCAACTAAAATTCTTCTTTAAGTCAATTTTTTTTTAATAATTTTTAAAAAAGTTCTTTGTGAATTTTCAAATTCTTTTGTTTACAATTTAATTTTACGAAATTTCGATTATTCTGACATTCTTCAATTAAATATATTAGAAATTAAAAACTTCAAATAATTAAAAAAAAACTCCATTAAACTTTTTGAGAAAAATTAATTCTACATAATCCTTAATTAAAAATAATATGAAAAGTTCAAATTTTCAAAGATTTTAATTTGAAATTCATTTTTAAAACAATATTTATTAGAAAATTCTACGAGAATTCCATTATTTAACTACAAAAATAAATATTTTATTAAACAATTGAATGTTTCTTAAAATTGAACTCTCATTTACAGAATTTTATCAACAAATTTTTGAATAATTCAATTCTTTTGACAAATTTTAATAAAATTTTTAGAATAATTTCATTTTTCGAAAAATTTGATGAAAATTGTATTAAAAATAATTGAAATTTTGCCAAGGATTTTATAAAAAGTTTTGAAAATAATTGAATTTCGGAGAAAAATGTTATTATTTATAAAGATAATTGAAATTTTTAAGGGAATTTTTGTAAATTTTTAAACATAATTGGATTTCTGCAAAAACTGTAACTAAAATTATTTTGAGAAAAGTTGAATTGTTACGCAAAGAATTTCATTAAAATTTTTGAAAATAATTTAATTCTTTAAAGAAATTTAATTAAAAATGTATTGGAAATAATACTTAAATTCTAATAAATCCCTGTAAAAAATGTTATTATTTATGTAAATAATTGAATAATAATTTATGAAAATAATTTGTAAATAATTGAATTTCTGTGAAAAATTTTTATTATTTATGAATATAATTAAATGTTTGCGTAGAATATTATTAAAATTTTTTTTTACTAATTCAATTCTTTTAGGAATTTTTATTAAAGTAGTAGATATTAAAAATCATTGAATTGAGGAAAGTTTTTGAAAATTACTAAAATTTTGACAAGAATTTTATTGAAATTTTTGAAAATAATTGAATTTCTGCAAGCATTTGTAATTGCTTCAAAATTCAATTTGTTTTAGTGTTTTTAACTAAAATTCTTCTATAAATCCATTATTTTTAATAATCAATTTAATATATATATATTAAAATTATATATTATATATATATTATATATATATATTATATATATATATATATATATATATATATATATATATATATATATATATATATATATATATATATATTTAAAAAAATGTAACTAATTTCAGAAGAATTTTAGTTTAAAAATTTTTTTTTAAATTCTAAGTTTTTTTACACTGAAAAAAAAAACTAGTAGATTTGACTACTTTTTAACTACTCTACGTAATTCAATAGGTCCTCAACTGAATTCAAATAGTTGTACTAACTGTCATAAAAGCAGTTAAGACAACTAAGAATGTAGTTGGTTGAATGTGATTTAGTAGTTTATTTGACTAACTTTAAAGTAATTATAACAACTAAGATTTTGGTAGTAGATTTTACTACTTAAAGTAATTCGATAGGCTTTAACGACATTTTTGTTGTAGAATTAACTATTATTTTGTTTTTAAATCTACTACTTTAAGTAGTAGGTTTTACTACCTAAAGTAATTCGATAGGCTTTAACGACATTTTTGTTGTAGAATTAACTATTATTTTGTTTTTAAATCTACTACTTTAAGTAGTAGGTTTTACTACCTAAAGTAATTCGATAGGCTTTAACGACATTTCTGTTGTAGAATTAACTATTAAAAGTAGTTAATGATCTGTTTTATAAAGTAAAAATTAACATCTTTTTGTTTTTGTCAGCAACTACTTAAAAGTAGTAGAATTATTTATTATTATTTATTAATTATTATTATTACTGAAATTCATTTTTCATCTCCTCTAGCATTCCTATTGGTCACATATACTTTATAATTTTCAACACTTATGTACATAATGGAGAAAAATCCTCAAACGCCGGGGATTGAACGCACGACCCTAACATTCGCAAACCGATAACCTAACCACCTAACCACGCTCGCACGCTACGATGGTCTGCATGAAACCTGATGACATTCTTGACATAGATCAACCGACAACTGTAGTTCATTTTACAATGTAATGTAGTAGTATTTACTACTTTTACTAGTTCTTTTTATCTTCTTTAAATTCTTATTTCTGAACTTTGCTTTATTTAAAAATGCTGTTCAATCCTTTCTAATTACTTTAAGTAGTACAATCTACTACTCAATGTAGTAAAACTTAAGTTCAAAAAGTTAAAATTATCTATTATTTTCTCACCAAAACTACTGCATTGTGTAGTAGATTTTGCTACTTAGAGTGGTTCGATAGGCTTCAACAATATTATTCATTTATTTTTATTACTCTAATGTTGAAGTCAAATCAACTACTATAACTACATAAAAGTTGTAAAGTCTATTACACGAAAAAGGTTTGACTAATAAAAAAATTAGTTCCCTCTACTACTTCACGATAGTCAGTTGTGCAAGTCACGTGTTGTTTCAAATTCAACCGTATAAATTCTTTAATTCAACAATTTGGTGTTAACTATATTAAAGTAGTAAAATTTACTAGTTAAGAAAGTGTTACGTTACTTACAAAAGTAGTCCCTTTTACTACTTTCTATTTATTACTATAAAATTGTTAAATTTACTACTTATGAAATGTTGAGTAAACTATTATCTTAGTTGTTCTTACTTCAGCACTGTAGTCAATTCTACAACTTACCTGTTGTTAAAATTTAACTACATATATTAGTAGAATCAACTACTATTTATCAACTACATAAAAATAGTTAAATTAACTACGCAAACCGGGTTAGACTAACTAAAAAAGTAGTTGTTTTTACTACTTTTCACTTAACTACCCAAAGGTAGTTGAATTTGTCAGCCTAATTTTTTTCAGTGTATGTTTCTAATGAAATTAATTTAAAATTGAAATTTTACAAAATTTCAAATCAAAATCTTTTGAAGTTCAACTACTTATGAAAATTGTAAATGCAATTCTTTTAAAATTGGATTAATTTTGAAATTAGATTTAAAGAATAAACACAATAACTTTAGAAAACAAAAATTTTCCAGGATTTCAATCAAAATTCCCTGACATTTTCAGGTTATCCAGGTTTCCATGTGTTAATTTGGAAATATGTACATAGTTGTTTGGAAATTAAAAATGACTTTTGTAATTGCAGATAAGTAGGTAGTAATTTAAAGGAAATATTCTTTTGAATAAAAGATAATTTGAAATTGTATTTAAAAAGTGTTTCAACTTATAAAATGAAATGGAGAAGATTTAGTTCCGCAGTTAGAAAACAAAAGGCAAAGGCAAAGGCAAAGGCAGAAGCAAAAGCAAAGAGATGGGAAATTGTGATAATTAGCAGATAGGATGGATTTTGTTTTGAAACACACCGAACATCAAGGATCTCATTATAGACCTGTTGCGGTGAACTGAATGCTGCTTTTTAAGTATATGGATTACACGTATATACATGTGTACGTACATATAAATAGAATAGCCACTCTACATTAAAAGACAAAAGTGTTGAAACTCAACTATAATGTTGAAATATCCAACGCGTGAGAACATGATCGAAGAAAGTGTGTGTTCACATGACGAATTTTTCACAAAACAACGAGAGCTCTATTTTTTTCCAACAAAAAAAGGAAGAAAAAATAAATATAAAATTCTTTTGCAACTTTACATTAAAAAGCAATCTCTTCAAATGCAAATTTTGATTCCCATTGGTTGGGGTCAAAAATTATCTTATTCATTGCTACCAAATTATTTATATTAATGTATTAATTGTCTAATTTTGTACTTCGATCGTATAATGATATCCTTATTTGTACTCCAGTCCTATTGTTTTATTCACTATAGTAGTAATCTATTTTTTATTGCAGTTATAATTGATCATTTACTCTACAAGTTCGTTAAAGGCTTTAAATGATAATTTCTCTTGACATATAGAATAGTTGTGCCCTCGAATTGTTTTCGAATTTATTGACATTTCGCGCAATAAAAGACACTTATTAATTGATACACTTCTTGAATTATTAAGGTTAAGGATAACTTCCTTTCAAAGTTAATTTAAAAAGAAAAGAAGAAAAATACTTTATCAAATTGTGTGATCTCTTTAGTTTCTAGAATCTCACGTCACACGTGTGACTTTTCGAAAATAATTCTAAACCTTATTTTATTCTGTTTATTGTTTTATTTGTAATATGAATCTAAATGAAATTGAAAAAAATTGATTATTATTATTATTATTATTATTATTATTATTATTATTATTATTATTATTAGAAAAGAATTATTCAGTTTTATGAAACAAATTTTCAACTTGATCCAATTTTGACACTATTTGGATTTATTTAAAAAAAATATTAAAATTATTTACTATTTGTTAAAAATGTAATTTCTTCTGTATTTGCAGGACCATACACGATATTTGTTCCAACTGACAAAGCCTTCAGGACACTCTTGGTACAATTAGGAGGTCCTGAAAAGGCCGATCAAAAATTCAAAGACAACCCTCGACTTCTTAGTGGTGTGAGTTTATCCATTTTTTATAATATAAGAATAATTAAAGAAAATATAATAAATCGAATCTGAAAAAAACAGTGCTGACTACTAACCAGTGTTGTACTAACTGCGATGTACAGGAATCAAATAGTTATTTTCGTAACAAGGGCGCAAAATAGGTGATTGCGACGATGGCGAAATGAAGGGAGCGAGGGGACACAATTTCGCGCCCGAGGCGAAGCCGAGGGAGCGAAAGTGTCCCCGAGGTCCCGAAATTTCGCCAAAGTCGTAATCACCTTTGCGCCCATGATGCGAACATAATTTTTTATCCTAACTGCATGGAAAGTATGGCATAGAGGGCACGCACGATTAAACGCTCATATTAGTTAAAAATTAAGCTCTATATAAACAATATATCGAATGAAGTCTATAATGATAGAAGTTTTAAAATAGAAATAAAAAACAATGTATTCTGGAAACATAGTATTTATTTAGAACGTAGTAATTAATAATTAAACAAAACTGAAACAAGAACTTTTAAAATTGACAATTTTGATAAACGAAATGGGAACAAAACCAAATGTCTCATTATTTTTTTAGAGAAAATAAAAAAAAATTGCAAATTTTTATAGACAAAATAAAACAAGTTGAAAATGTTTGCAGTTTTATAGTCAACACAAAAAGAAAGTCGAAAATGTCGCATTTTAATGAAGAAAATCGAATAATTAACAAGCGGGCGGTAAAGTATTTTCCGCCCGCTCGGAGGTAGGCGAAGCGGGCGGAAAATACTTTACCGCCCGCTGACGTCATACAAGCGGGCGCAAAATACTTTTCCGCCCGCTTCCCCCACTCCCGGGCGTAATGTGTTACTTTGCGCCCGCCTTAAGTGCCCGAAATGACATACTTTCCGTGCAGGTAGGACAAAAAATATAAAAGTTGTTTTTCAGATTTGATTTTTTTTTCTACACCTGATATATGAATTAAAATATAATATTTTTTTGAAATTGAAATTTACAGTTACTGTTGCATCACGTGATACCAGGTGCTTTTAAAATCAATACATTGTTGGACGAAATGACCGGTGTTAGTTTAGCGGGAACACAACTTCGCGTAAATGTTTATTCAATGCATGATCATGAGTGGAACGACGTCAAAGTAAGTTTCTACATATATGCCAACTTTTCAATTTACATAATGGGAAATCACTTTTATTTACATATAAATCTAGACCCACAAAAATTTTTATTTCAAAGTAAAAATAAAAATAAATTTTTTCATATGAATCTAATAATATCTTCCACGAAATATATTTCCGTCGAACCCTAAAAGTATTTAAATATTTATTTATAACAGAATTATTCAACTTTTAAATAATTGAATTTAGAAATCAGTGCAGAACAGTACTTTTATTTCTTTTTGGAAGCGGATTAAAAAAATGAGGTAAAATTTTCTTTCCTAAAAACAAAGATTAAGATGAAATAAGTAAGAAACGAAGATTATTATTTCGAAATTTAATTCTGCAGAGAGTGTATTTTTTATCTTTCTTTGATATAATAATTATACAGGAAGGGCTCCGCCGCGCAGGAAGAAAGTCGTCTCCCAACACAATAATATAATATTAATAAAACCTTTTATTATAAAATAGATTTTATAAAGCAAGCAACTTGGAAATTAGATAAATTGAGATGACTGTTGTTACAAATTGTATTACGTAAGACAGCGGCAATAAACATCCTACATAATTTATATTATTTGCGAACAGTTGTTGTAACTTGTAAAATTATACAATATTTATTTATTCGTCGTGTGGGAAATAAATAATTTGCTTTTTTCTTTTCTTTTTAATGTTGATAAAGGTAACCACGATCAATGGGGCGAGAGTTGCACCCAATAAGCGAGACATCGAAATTCCTCAAGGTATTGCTCACGCCATCGACAGAGTTATGTTCCCACTTCCGGTGGGAGATTTAATGCAGACATTACAGGCTGATCGTGAACGAAGGTTTACTACTTTCATCAAGCTTTTACACTCTTCTGGTTTAGATGAAATGCTTTCTGGTAAGTTCGTTTAAATTTAATTGCATTTTCCTACTTACAGAATTCGCACTCGATAATTAATTTCAAAAAAGTAGTAAAAAAGTAGCTATCGAAAAATTAAATTCGGCGACCAAAAAACTCGTTTTAGACACTTCACAAAACCGACAAAAATTCCGTTCCATATTTTCTATTAAATATTTACTTTTTTCTTATCCTACTGCTAATAAATTAAATTTTTCCAAAGAATTTAAAAAAAACATTTTCTTAAGTAATTGATTTTTTCGAGGAATTGAAATTAAATTTTTAAGAATAATTAAATTTTCGAGCAATTCCTGTGAAATTGTATTAAAAATAATTGAATTTACAAGAAGAATTTTATTATTTATGAAAATAATTCAATTATAAAATAATAATTTTGTTTTACACCAAAACTATTGTTGATTAAATTTTCCTAATTTATTAATTTCTTAAATTTATTTTTTATGTGAAAATATAGGTAATTCAAATCAAAATGAATTTTTATTTTTTATTCATTTTGTAAATTTACTTATTTTTTATTCGCAACACTCGCGAAAGGATGAAAATAATTGTTTATTCATTAATTATCCAATTTGAAATATTTGATGTATACATCAATGTTAGTTTTGTACATATCTCGGTTTTTTTTTATAGACAAAAGTGAAAGTGGAACAAAGGAAATTATTTAAAATGTTGGTCGAATATGGGAAATTAAGACAAATGCGGCATTATATATAAATATACAAAACACGAGAAAGTTTTCAAACGACTGCCAATTCAAGAAAAGTGGGAGATTGTTCTTTTAAGACAATAAATGAAACACACATGTACATTTTTTTTCCGCAATTATTATATGTATACAGTGTAACATGAAAAATGTTATTTACTTGCGGGAATTCCTGCGTCAATTTCTAGATGAATATAAAATTTTTCTAATTATTTTCTAACGCGCAGTTATTATCTTCGAAACTTTTTGTACTAGCAATTAAAATATATGGTTTTTAGAATAAATAAAGTAAAAAATAATTTTCAGGCTAAAACTTAAAAAAAATAAAAACTATTGATAATAAAGGTTGGAACTAAATAAAAATAAGCAAAACCTTAATTTCTGAATATAAAAGCTTTGAAGGCCACAAATCATTCTCAATTGGAGTAAAATTATTTTTTGTTTGTTTTAGGACCTAAAACCTATACAGTTTTTGCACCGACGGACGCGGCTTTTGCGGAAGCAGTGACGAAAACTGGCAGCGCTTTATGGAGAGAATCTGATGGACCAGATGCTGCAAAAGAAATAGTTACGAGGCATATAATTCCTACGACTCTGTACACGGCAGGAATGAGGTTTTATCATCAAAAAGAAACGCTTCGCGAAAAAACACCGCCAATTCACATTCAAAAAACCGGTGGTAAGTGAATTTATATTTTTCAAAAATTTTACTATATCATTTTCAAAAAATTCCTTTTGGTACGCTCAGTATTTTAGTTGCAATACAATTACATACTTCCATTATTAATAATAATCATTTATAATGATTTTAAAATACCAAAAATTAATTAAACCAAATGGTTTTCAATTATAAATATTTCTTTTATATAATTTTGAATTTAAATAGGTATACTTAATTGAATTCTTATAAAGAAGTTTATTCAAAGTTTTCAAAATAATTAAATTTCTTGCGAAAAATTTAAATAAAATCTTTAAAAATAAGTTAATTCTGACAAATTTAATAAAAATTCAATTCAAATAATGTTAATCAACATCTTTTTTAAATAATTGAATTCTTTAGAGAAATTTTATTATATTTTTTTTTTTAATTTTAAATAATTTTTTTCCTGCGAAGAATTTGATTCCAGAAATTTAATTAAAATTATTGTATTGAAAATATTTCAATTCTCATATTATAAAGAAGTTAATCAAAATTTTTCTAAGTAATTGAATAATTTCTGTGAAAAATTTTATTAAAATTTTTTTAAATAATTAAATTCTTGCGAAAAAGTTTATAAGTTAGAAAAGAAATTGAAATTCATGAAGAATTCAATTATATAATTTTTTAAAATAATTGAATATTTGAGAAGAATTTTATCAAATTTTTCAAAATAATTTATTCAAAAAATACACATTTGTTTGGAAAATTTTATTGAAATTGTACTGAAAATAATTGAATTCCTGCAAAGAATTTTATTAAAGTCTTTGAAAGCAATAAGTAATTATATTTAATTAGCAAATTAGTTAATAATTGAATTTTTTGAAATTTTGAATCTGAAATTATTCGAAATTAATTATTGAAAGGGACACAATTTCCTAGTTGATAATTATTAATTAAAACCGAAATTATTTTAAAATATACAAAATTAGAGAATTAATTATTAACACTGGCTAAAAAATTAATTAATAAATTAATAATTAATTAAATGCGGCATTACAAATACAAAACACGAGAATTAATTAATTATTATTAATTATTAATAATAAATTCCTAACACTCGCTAAAAAATGATTACCACTTAATTATGACAAATGTGCGGTATATATTTCTTATTTATGAGTCAATTAAAACGAACAATATAGATGTTTGTTAATGAATAAAAATTTTTAATTACCCTAAAGATTCATTTCAAGAAATTATGTGTATAAAAATGTACACAGCAATTTAGCGCTCGAACTTTCAGATTCGTTTCGGCAGTTAATTATTATAAATATAGATCTAAAAATTTCAGTTGAAATTTAGTCGACTAAATAAAAATAAACTTGAACAGTTGAACAATTGTTTCCCGTATGATATATAATTTCCGCTCAGTTTTTCTAATGAAATATAATCGTTTATTTGCTTATTTTAAAGTATATAATTTTTTTCCCCCTTTTTATGAAAAAAGTTGAAGAAAAAAAATAAAATGAGTGTAAATAATTAGAGTTTGCACGATTTTCTCTCTCACGGAATGATTCGTGACCCCCTCGCGAAATAGATGATTTCAATTCGAGAGATTCTCTCTTTCGCTTGAAATAAGAGTTTCTTATTTTCTTGTAACTTCCATTTTGTAAAATAAAACAATTCTCCTTTTTCTTCATTAAAATCGCTTCTTATATCGTGAAATTAAACACGAAATGTTGTAAATCACTTTTATTTTATTTTATTTTATTTTATTTTATTTTATTTTATTCTATGCTCTAAAATGCGTTATAAAATACAAATTTACGCCTTGTGCGCTTGTGAATTTATTATATTAGGTATACATACATATTGTTTTATGAGCGACAAATTAAAAATTAGACTCGAAATAATTAGTGTGGAAAATTCTTATACAATGTTGTATAATTCGTCTTTGGAAATTTTATTTAGAAAAATTAGTGCTTGAAATATTTAACAATTTAATAAAAATAAAATTTATATTTGATGCAAATGAACGATTATACTTGTCTATTATTATCAAATAAATTGAATAAAAATGATAAATACCTAATTATTAAATAAATATTTGATAATACTCCAATAATCGTTTGTTTGGATGAAATACATTTTTTTCAGTGAATAATTCTGTGCGATATATTCAATTAAATTAAGAGGAGCATTCGTTGATCGTTGAAAGGCATCTTTGCCCATCTCTGAATCAAATATTTGCAATCACCTAATCATGTTGCAAATGGGTCGGTGAATGTCCAAGATTGCACGACTTCCAATACAGGACATTGCATAGTACTTCCAACTCAAGCTATTTATTATGTATCAACCACTTTTAATACCATTCAATTTCCTATCATTATATTATTATGGACAGTGCCGTCTCAATTAATTAATTTACCGTAATTTACCATCACTCTCATTTACATTTTTTACATTATTTTTTACATTTTTCCCATTTTCCCCATTTTCCCCTTACTATAATACTTTTCATATACAAAAACAATACTTTCAGTTTTATCCAAATTTTATTAACAATTAATTAATTTCATTTTATTATTCATTTTTATGTTAAAAAAAATATGATTAAAATTTTTATTATTTTCGCAAAAGAAAAAAAGGGTTATCCATCCATGTTTTTAAAATTCTAAATGTTCGAATGAACACAATTAATTTACAGAAATTTTATTATTTATGAATTGCAACGCTTTTCCTCTTTTCAAATTCCCTCACTTTTCCAGGTTTTCCAGGTTTTTAAAGCGAAAATTATTCAAAAACATCAATATAACTTAATTTTTTAATAAATATTTAATCATTATTTTTTTATAGAAATTAAGATAATTTTCAACTAAAATTCTTCTTTAAGTCAATTTTTTTAAATAATTTTTGAAAAAGTTCTTTGTGAATTTTTAAATTCTTTTGTTTACAATTTAATTTTACGAAATTTCGATTATTCTGACATTCTTCAATTAAATATATTAGAAATTAAAAACTTCAAATAATTAAAAAAAAACTCCATTAAACTTTTTGAGAAAAATTAATTCTACATAATCCTTAATTAAAAATAATATGAAAAGTTCAAATTTTCAAAGATTTTAATTTGAAATTCATTTTTAAATCAATATATTTATTAGAAAAATCTACAAAAATTCCATTATTTAACTACAAAAATAAATATTTTATTAAACAATTGAATGTTTCTTAAAATTGAACTCTCATTTACAGAATTTTACCAACAAATTTTTAAATAATTCAATTCTCTTGACAAAGTTTAATAAAATTTTTAAGAATAATTTCATTTTTCGAAAAATTTGATGAAAATTGTATTGAAAATAATTGAAATTTTGCCAAGAATTTTATTATAAATAAATCTAATAAATAAATTGTAGCAAAAGCTTTTAAAATAATTGAATTTCTTTAATAAATTTTAATAAAATTTTTAAGAATAATTACATTTTTGAATGAATTCCATTAAAATTGCATTAAAATTAATTGAAATTCAGCATTTAGTTTTATTACTTATGAAAATAATGAAATGTTTACGTAGAATTTTATTAAAATGTTTTTTAACTAATTGAATTCTTTTGGGAATTTTTATTAAAGTAGTATAGATATTAAAAATCATTAAATTGAGGAAAGTTTTTGAAAATTACTAAAATTTTGCCAAGAATTTTATGAAAATTTTTGAAAATAATTGTATTTCTGCAATAATTTTTAAATGAAAAATATTAAAAATTTTTTTCTATCGGTTATCCCTTAAAAATTTGTTTTCAAGAGAATAGATTTTCGCATATTGTAAAATAAAAATTTGAGTGCTGAATTATTTGAATCATCAGGATAAAAATTAATATTTTTTTGAATTACAATTTTTATTACAAAAAGGAATATAGTATAACAATTTTCTATAATTAGAAAGAAAAATTTCCCTCTATGAAAGAATGTTGTATGGTAATTAGAAAATGATAATTCTATATAATGTAATGATTCATATCTGATCGATTAAACTTTTACGGCTTCTTTAGCATATATTATGCACATTAATAAATATTCATTATATTTCTATCTGTAACTTTGGTTATTAAGCAAAAGTTCTTTATACTGATTGCATAAGACGAATTACAAAAATACTTAATCTGATTAACAATATTAATTTTATTTATAATTATTAACAATGTAGAAAATTATTACTTTTTATTTTTTTCTTTAAGTATTTATTTTTAATTTTTAGTTTTCATTTTTTAGTCAATGTCAAACAAAATTAATTATATAAAGCTTCTAATTGTAAAATTTAAGTTTTTAATTTTTATTCCAACCAGTAATTTATGAAAATATTTTTAATTACAAATATTTCGTTGTTCATTTGAACGCTCGAAATTTTTGGATCATGATTTCAAAATAGTTATGAATTTTTCTAGATATGTATATTTTTAAAATTACATATATTTTTATAGATGTTTATTTTTAAAGTTATGTACTTTTATAGGTATTTATTTTTAAAGTTATATACTTTTATTTTTTATATTTATATAGGTATATATTTATTTTTCAAGTTAAATACTTTTATAGATATTTATCTTTTAAGTTATATATTTTTGTATATTTTCACATTTCTAAAAATTGCAAAAGGAGAAAATGACTTTTCCTTTTTCAGAAAATTAGAATCTTTTTGATGTATTAGAATGAAAGTATAAAAGCAACAAGAGTAAAGTTTTAGTTTTCAAGAATTGACCATCACGTGAAGAATAAGCATCGGAGGAATTTTTCGATGAGCTATAAAATATCACAAGTAGGCCTATCATTGAAAAATGTGGAATCTCTACGCAGTGAATATTATATTGATGTACACTTTCACTAGGTATATGAAAGAAGTTTCCCTTATTAGATTTCCGCAATTGCAGTCGCGAACAAATCATCAGAGTGCGCGCACTTTTGTCGATATGCGTTTCTGCGTTTCACAATAATAATTCAAGCAGCCAGAAAGTCATTTTAACAATGTCGTGAGTTGAGAGATATTCTCAACTTTTATATGCTTGTTATATATTATATAGGAAAAATTATTGTCCCCATTTTGCAATTGCTTCGCGATATCAAATTTCCTTTTTCCTCCAACTATAAGCGACACTATTTCTGACACGTATTATATAATATTTTGATAAATTAAGAGACTAAAACAAATTCCGGAGTAAAATATTTCTATTATTTCTTTTTAATAGTGCTAGAAAGTTTATTGGACAAAGGATTACTCATATATCAGATCAATTCTATTTTATTTCTATTTTGCTATTTGTATCGAAATCAAAACACTTTCTTTCGTATACATAAACACGTGAGAAATGAAATTCAATCGAAAGAACAAAACGTTTTTCAACAATCTCTTTTTTTTCGACAAATCGTTAAATTTCGCGATTATTTCAATTTTTTTCCATAAGTAAAAAAACAATGTAAACTATTTTCTTGTTGTGTAAATTAATATTTAATATAAATAATTATCAATAATAATTTTTATTCGATTCTCGAAAGAAAGAATTAAATGAAACTCAAAATTTTATTTTTTGACAATTAATAATTAATTAATTTACTATATATGTATAAATTAATAAATAGAGAAAAAGAGAAAATTATTCAATTACTTTTTTTTAGACTTTAATGAAGAATTTTCATTTTAGCCAATTTCTGAATTTAAATCTTATGGAAAGCTTACGCATTCTTTTGTTCACCTAAACTCGCTCTACCTTCTTGAAGCTAATTTACATCTAATTATATGAGAACATACATATATGTCGACATTCAAAATAAAAATGTACTAAAATGATAAATAGTTGCTCTTAAACTTTCTCAAAATGATGTATAAATTCCGAAAACAATGTTACTTTAAACAATAATGAACAATAATTGAAGAAATAAAAACCATAATTGTGTATATGCAAATAAATTTCAATATAAAATGACAGTAATTCATGTTATTTTAAATTCCACATTGAAATAAATCAGTTAAAGAAGCAATTTTATTTATAAACTTTAAATGCAGAAAATTCTCAATTATAACTGAAAATGGAAGAAATTAAAATTTAATTATATATGCTTTGTAATTATAATTAATAATTCAATGATTCTAAATGGTATTTAATTATTAACTTTTTTTTATAGATTATTATACGACATCGGCTATTAAAAAGAGGTTTTTAGAAAAAGGGAATAATCGCATAAACTGACCGTAACTTAATTTTGTTTTAATTTTAAATAATTATAAATTTAATTTTTGAATTTAATTATGCATTAATTTTAATTTTTTCTACAGAAAAAATTAAGGTACGATTTTTAAAAATCGTTTTTCTCTCACATACCATCCAGATACAAATTGTTCTTTAGGTGTAAAGCGATAGCATTTTGAAACCCATTTTTGGGTCCTTTTATTAAAAAAAATACTCGACTTGCCGATTGTAGTTTTTTTTTTCACCTCGACGGTGAAATGTGCGCATCACTTTTCTTCATTGTCCATCAGTCTGAAAAGCAGAAAAATAAATCTTAAACACAAATTCGAAAATTGTAAAAACAAATGCTACAATTAATTATTATTAATTAATTATTGAATAATAAATCAGAATACAAAAAATCTTACCACTCAGAGAATTTGCCGCTGCACGATCTCCATCCATATTACTCTTTACTCGATTCTTCTTTTTCACTCATTCGAAAAAACATTAACGCGGTTTTAAGAAAATTCGAACATTCCCGGGAACACGTGCTTTTATTAATTAAAATTATAAATTCTCGCGAATTTGAAAACATTGAAAAACACCCTAAAATCGTTCGCGGTTTTAAAAATAATACGAACACTCCCGAAGCTAATAAAAATGAGAAAAATTTTGCCAACATAAAAAATATTTAACACGTGGCGCCAACGAAAATTTGATCTTGATGAGAGGATTTATATTCGTGTTGATGGGACGATTCTCAAATTGATACTGATTTCAAAATATATATTCCATTATTTTGTGAATTGTAATTGAATTGTAATGAAGACGTAAACAAAATTACTTTGTTTTCTTTGCTCTTCCTGTGAAAACAACAATCTCAATCGATTATTTAATGCAATTTTGAAAAATTATTGTTTTTTTCTTCTAAGATTACTTACAAAACACAAGAAAAAATCTAAAATTAATTTCATACGATAATTATTTAAATAATAACAAATTATATTATTAACAATTATTTTTTAAAATTATTTAATAAATAGTAAAATATTATAAATAATAATAATAATGAATTATTAATTTATTAATCATAATTTGATTAATAACCGAATTATTTTAGATTTATCGTTCCAAGTAAATAATAACTAGAAGCAGGATAGTTTAAAAAAATTGTGGTCAATCTTTGTCACTGTCTTAAAATTTTTTTCGTTCACTTTTCTTCATAATGGTGAAAGTTCATAAAGACAATTCATACTCTATGTAATAATGAGTGCAAACCAACAATTCATAAATTATAATAATCGTCCTCCATAACAATTATGAGGACTATAATAATTATTTTCTATCATTTTGCCCTGATGGCAGAATATTAAATATATTTTTTCTATATTATATCCATCATAAGACAGACTTTTGCTATGAATCACTTTAATACAATTAATAGGTAAATGCAAATATTTAATATTTATATAATAAATAATAATACATGTAAAATTATTCTTATAATCGAATAATTCTTCAGACAATGATTTATTTAAATAAATATTCAAATAAACGATTTTCTATGGAATTATCACGGAAAAATAAAAATTATATAATTATATAATTATATTATAATTACGTAAATTTTGCAAAATTTTTTTAATGTGTATTATTAGTTATTAAGGTTTAACGTTTAACTAATTTAATTAAAAAAATTAATTATTAAAATTAGTTAACAAATTAAAAAAAGTTAATTGTTAATTCTCTACTATAAAAAATTTTTATAACTCAATTTTTATTTAATCATCTTGATAGCAGCATTCAAGCAATGAGATTTGGACAGAAACCGATTCATTAAAACAGATCAAAAAAGAAAAAAAAAGATTTCAGCAACAAACTAGGAAGTAGTTTGTCGTATCATGTTTCCTCTATTTCTCGTTTTACGTTTTATTTATGCATGAGAGAAACATGTACGAATACTTTCATTAACTTTTTTTTCTCTTAAAATCAGTTCATTATTATGAACGTGTAGAATTTCGTAATTTTCTTTCAAAAAAAAAAAAAAAAACAAAAAACAAAACTTTTACCATTATTTTAATTAAAATTCTTAAAGTTTTTCCTAAGAAAGGGGAAGTGGGCTTTTCTAAAATTTTTAAACCCATACTTCAAATTCCGCAATGAATTATTTAAAAATTCTAATACTGCTAATTAGCCTACTTGTGTGAAACGTGTGTTTAATTCTCTGTATCGTCGTTAACGTCTTCCTTCACATGTAATTTAATTTCATGGCTAATGAGTGTAGGTGTTTTTTTGTTTGGAACGGAAATTCTAAAACAAACAAACAACATTTTTTTTAAGTGAATAAATTCTTAAAAATTTGAATATTGTAAATCTGATATTAAAATTTAGGTAATATTTTTATTTCTATTAGAAATAGAAATAATTTTTTTCTACTTATAATAGAAACAATTTTCTTCTTCTTATAATAAGAATAATTAATAATAATATAATATTAATTGTATATTTACAACTTGTCCCTATTTTTTGTTTCAGGGCGAATTCGAGTAAATGAGGCTCATATGATAACGTACAATGTGCCAGCTACAAATGGAGTTTTACACGCAATTGACACAGTTTTGTAAAACGAAGGCAAAAAATAATAATAATTTTATTAAATGCCAGTTACCGGTAATTGTAAAAAAAAAGCCAAACACACTAGCTCTAGCGATGATCTATTACAATTTAGATGCAATCTTGACTGAAAGTATTATTTAAACTAAAAAAAATTCAATTTAAAGAAAACTGAAAGTGATAATTTTAATTATTAATTTCCCTGCTGTAAATTAATTTTAATTACATTTTACATTCAGTAAATTGCATCTCTAATTATTTATACTTAATATAAGTCGTGTAGTTTATTAACATCATTATTCTTTAGTTGACAGTGTGAAATTTATTTTTCACCAATTAGATATGTTTTCATTTTTACAAACTATTTCTACAAAGAGACTGCTTTCAAGAATAATTTACTTTCTGGAATTAAAAAATTATATTATTTATAATTTCAATTGATTGAAAATATATGAAATTAAATACTTAAATAATTTCTATTTCTAATATAATTGTTTCTCAGATAATTTGATTTTAATGCTGTCAGTCAAGAATGTTTATAATCTCGTATTTATCTATTTAAAAAAACGAAACAAGTTGAAATTTTGTGACAACAATCAAATTGATTGATTGCTTTTATTTATTTATTGATTTTTGGAAAAATATTTTTTAATTTTGGTGAAATTTTCAACTATTTTTTAATGTCTTTTGTAATTAAAAATTATTTTTTTAAATAAAAAAAGTTGTTACTTGATTAGATAAATATCGTCATCAAGTAAATTAGATAATTTTAAAAAAGGAATTAATTTTAAAATGAATGAATTAACCAATGTGAAAAGCAATTAGTGAAAAAGAAATTTCTTTTTGACTGATTGAATAATACATATACGAGACGATCATTGAAAATTTCGGAGCTATCGTAAACAAAATGCCATATATATATGTATATGAGTTGAAAGAAATTTTATGAGCCTCTCTCTTTAATAATTTATACGAATAGTATTAGTATATGCGTTCTATTAATTTATACATATATTATCATATCGCAAAGACAAAAGAAACATTTAAAAAACGCATTCACGACATAAGAGATTTAAGGTAGCTTGTATACTTTATAAATAAAATGTACAGAATTTTACAGGAAACTTTCAACCTCTTCATTTATTTATTCTTGTCTTTTCAAGGTTTTTCTTTATCGTTAAGAACTATTTCTTTAAATTCTATTTTTCTATGTACAGATAAAAAGTAATATTAATATGAAGAGTTCGAAATGAAAGCTAGTAATTGGTTTTATACTTTTTAATTTCAACCATAATATGGTGAATATTGGTAAGTTGAGGGCGCGCACTGTTTGGGAGAATTTTATGAAATCTGTGATAATACTGAACCAATTGTGTCATTGCTCGTTGCACTAGAGTTGTACCGAGCACTAAACTGGGAAACGATGGCATAACTTCACGATGTATTTCCTCGAGTGCACGTTTCCAATTGTTCGTGAAAGATTGCACCAATGCAAGAGCTTTTCCCTCTTGACGCCGTAAATCATCCGTTTGGCCTTTTTCAATTGAAGCCTCAGACTCTTTGACCAATTGCATTATTCCCCCGAAGTGAGGACTCAATACTTCCTCCACATACTCGGAAGAACGGACATTCAGCAGTTCCCGAAAACTCTCGGCCTCTTTAGAAAGATCTCTGGTTCTCTCCTAAAAATAATAGCAACAATCATAAACAAATTATAGGCGAAAAAATCATTCTCGTACATCATAAATATATTTCTCAGCAAATTCAAAACTAAAACAAAAATAAACTGTTAAATTTATAAATTTAATAATTTGATAATTTAATAATAAAAAAAATAATTAAATTGGAAAATCAAATAAAAAACTTTATTTAATTTTAGAATTTAATTACTACCATTAAAACGCCAAGAATAAGATCGTAATTATTAATAAGAAAGACAAGTTGTTGTGTGCGTTGGGGAAAAATAGCGGCCATTCTTAAAAGAAAACACTGAACAGCTTCTCTTAATTCGGCTAAAAGTTGCGTGGCCCCTTCACATGGAAATCCTTCGCTAACACCAACCATAGCTGCACTAAACTCTGCATATCTTCTCGTAATCTATTTGGAAATTTATAAATTACTTTAGAATAAAATTTAATTTTCAGAAATAAAAAAATTTACTTACATAATGTGGAACCGTTTCTTTATTAAATTTAAATGGATCACAGTCTCTTATGCTTTGAATATTAAGTTGAAACACTTGTTCGAATCTGTAATTGAAAATTGAAAATTTAATTTAATATTTTCTCATTAATATTAATAATATTTAAATTAATAATTAAATACACTCATTAAAGAAAATAATAATTATTTAAATTAAGTTAAAAAGAATCAAATAAAAATAAAGTTTTAAATTTAGTTAAATAATATATAATATTTTTCGAGGAAAAGAAGAAAATTATTGAAATACCTGGGCCAAATAATTGATGAAACATTATCCCAATATTTGTCTAAAGCAGGCACTGCTCTCTTATGACATGTCAATTGATATCTCATTGCCAAATGAAGGCAAAGGAAGAGTGCAATTGTATCGTAACAATCATCGACGAATGATTGAAGATTCTTCAACATCATAGTCAATGTTTTTCCCATTACCTGAAAAAAAATATTTCGGATTAGGCTGAATACAGAATAGATTAAAAAATTTAGTGGCGAGTGTCGTAGAGTGTGGTGGAGTGTACGATAGTGGGGGCAGTGTCGCCTAGATTTGTGCTTTCAAATTTCGAAAATCGTAACCTCTTAAACAAAAGAAAGAAAAAAAAAAGAAAATCGTAACCTCAACTTAAAGTTGAGGTGAAAAAGGTTAAACTTAAAGTCAAAAGTTGCCCCCACTATTGTACATTCCACGACACTCGCCACCCTAGCCACTCGCCACTTAATTTTGTAACCTATTCTGTACTCAGCCTTATTGGAAGAAAATAGTTTATATATCAGCAAGATTCATACAAAAATTTAACCAATCAATTATTTTAAATAATTAAATGTACATATATTAAACAATTCAAACGAATTTCAATTAAAATTTTTTAAAAAAGAAAGTTAATAAATTTTTTTACACTAGTTAATTTTATTTGTTTATTTTTAAAATTTTTAGAATTATTTTCAAAACAAAATCTAATAAATAAAGTAAACTGACCTTATTGAAAACTTCCATTGCTTGAGAGCTGCGTACTTTGAAAAATTCTGTTAAAAACAGATATTCACGACACGCATTATCCACTAAGGCGTACTGCTCACTTCTGAATAAAGCTTCGTAGTGATACTAGAAATATATTTTAATATTGCAAGTTAATTACTCAAATAAAGAATTCAATAAATCAGGTAGAAACCAAACAAATTGCTAATTATTTAACAGTATACAACAAAGATAATTCTACAGGAGATTTAAAAACAAAACTGCAAAGTTTACCCTCGTTTTTGATGCAGTGTGAGGAACAATTATTGGAGCTTCCAACTGAGAAGTTAAAACCTCGCCTCTAGTTCCTATGGAAAAAACAGTGCCTCTGTGTTTTAACGAAGTTTTGTGAAAAATTCCCCTTCCTGCCGTGTCCTCGACACCCATTAAATCGTCCTTTGAAGCACCCTCTTCGAACTATTTTTTTTTTTTTTTTTTTTTGAAAACCAATTTAATGAACAAATTATGAAAAAAAGAAAAAGAGAAAAAAGTAAAAACAAACCTGTAATTTCATTAGTCTCGATGAGTAGGACTTAAAATAGGAATAATAAATTTTACTCATTGTATCCACGTATTCGCCGCAAATTTCTTCAGCGACATTCCTTTCATTCGACAGAATGAATTCAAAAAAGAATTTATATTTCAACATATTATTCTGTGGTATTTGATAATTTGTCATTGGTTTTCGAAATTTATAAACCTGTTCCAAAAGATATGTTCGAATTTTGCTCATTGCTTTAACTTTCAATTTTTCTAAAATATCCTTAACATCTAAACAAGATTTTGCTTCCTTAAAACTCTGTTCCTTAACAAAGTTTATTTTATGATTGAGATTCTTAAGTTGCTCAGAGAATTCAACTTCTGTTACGGGAGAATCCATAATACCTCTGTTTAGAAATTAATTTTGTTATTCACTATTTTCGACAAACATAAAAAATATAAATGCTGAAAAAAACTATATCTTACGCAATGAGAGCCTCGGAGATTGTCATATCCTCAATAAATTGACTAAGTGGTCCACGAATTATTTGACGATTCGATAATTGTTGACTCATGGCAATCGACTTTCTTTGTAAATACAAAATTTCCGAACTTATACTTCCTAAATCTGCTTGAAAGCCCAATAGCATTGATTCCATTGTCTAGAAATATCAATTTAAACAAAAAACTGTTGATTTTGTTGATTCAACAAATTTGAGGTTATGTTCGCATATAGGTCAAATAACCACAAATAACAATTATGTCAAACAATTGAAAGGATTGCAAGTGGTTTCAACAATAACTATCAATGATTTAGATTAGATTTTACAATAGAGATAATTGTCAAATATATTAAAGTTCTTGGTAAAATTTAGTAACATTGCTAAACATTGCGGAATAATAGTGAAGAACTAACCTCTAAAATATTATCACATGCCGAAATTTGATTGTGAAGACTCGCAATGTTTTGACTTTCCTTTATATAATCTTGAATTGATTTATTTTCAACTTCCTTGAGTTCTTTTTCAATTTGTCGGGAATACTGTCGAAGATCTGTCCCAGTTTTCAATACTTCTTGAACAACATCGTCTTCAAGATCTTGCGGTAATTGTCCTTCGTTCTCATCGAAAATATCACTTTCCAAAGACATTTTTCACACGATCACAATTATTTGTATTTCGCCACTATTATTTATTAATAAATCACATTAAATATCAATGGAAAATCACTTAAAACACAAACAATAACATGAATTTCATGACAGATGTCAAAAGCCACGAAAGCCACGCAGTAAAACGAAAAACGCCCGAACTCGAAGTGAATGGCGCATGCGCAATTATGATTCAAATTTGAAAACATTCCCGCTCTATTAATAAACATGTTTATAATTAATTAAATTAGTAGTTTTTTAATTAATTTATTATTCAAATTAAAAGAAACGATTTTAGATCATTCATTAACACTTTATTTACAATATAAAAAAACATACAATTCTGATCAACATGCTTTGGTAAATTTCGGTAAAAGGAAGAGCCATCAGCTAGTGTTGAACAATCGGCACATTAACATTTCTCTAAAAATATCTGAGCACCTATTTTTCATCTTCCTATATATGTATTAATAATATTATAATAATAATAATAATAATTAAAGAGTATAAAAAAATCTTACAATTAATGGTAAATCACAATATCTTACAACGTGCAAAGTGGAATAACATTGACTTGCATATTATTATTTTTAAAAAACTAAAGAGCATTTATCATAGTGACTAAAAATTCTTTTTTTTTTCTTTGCAAAAAGTGTTAATTTCATTAACTTTTTTGTTCATCAATAATTAAAAAATATAATTCCTGCAAATTAAAAAAAAAATGTGACTAAAAATTGTTGTAACATTTAGAATAAAATAAAATTCTGTATAATATAGTTAAAATAAAAATGGTTATTAAATATTAAAATACTAAATTATTAAATAAATGGTAAAAAAAAGAGAATTCTGATGAGTAAATTTTTCCTGACTAATCAGAATGATCTGCATCAATGTCTTTTTTTAAATTCATATTGTAGGTTTTTAGAAAACGCTGCAGATATTCATCGAAATTGGAATTCTGGTCACCGCTGGAAAAAAAGAAATATTTTATTTATTTTGTCTAAAACGAAAATAGAATTCTTTTCTGTTTCAAATATTTTTACCTGACTATAATTTTGATTTAAATGATTTAAACTATTTTGATAGTTTTACTCTCAGAATATTAAAATTTAATTAATTAATTAATAAAATTAAATTAAATATGAACTAATATTTATTAATTCAACTAAGAGTTAAAAGAAAAGAAAATGTTAAATTTCTAAAAATGTGAATGTAAAATTGAATATAAAAAAAATACGAAAATAAAAAAAATAAAAATGTGAAACTTACTGGAGGTATCAACATCATTTTTGTTTAATCACACTCTTCGATTGCAACACTAAAAAAAATTGTTTCAAATCAAATCGATTTTTATAATAAAACTAAAACTAAAAGTGTTTCAATTATTCCGTCACCTGAGTTAAATATAAGTTTTTATAATTTGTATAATAAAGAAAAGAATTTTCTTTTTTTAAATAAAAAACTTTCTAATTTAATTTTAGAGAATACTCACTTTGCATTTTGAAAATCTCGAACCGGTGGCGAATGATTTGACGAGGAGGTTCGTAATGGAACAAATGATTGATCAGTGTTCGATAAAATTGCTTTCGCACCAATTCTTCTGCCACTTCGCCATCTCGTAATCAGCCATTTTATCCGATGAATGGTAATAACAACAAGAACAACACTTTTAAAGTAACTTTTGTAATTTTTTCGATTTGAACCTTTCCTCACGCAAGTTCTTTCCGTTTGTGTCAATTGCGCAAGAAATGCTAAAGTATTTTCCTCAGATCTTTGATAACACGTCAACACATCGAGCAAATATCGCTTTTGATAAATTAGAGCCTTGCGCCGGCTGTCCGTTCGCAGATATTTTCCGTAAAAGAGTTGCAACTGAAAAAATCAAAGTTTCATTTTAAAAACAATTTTACTTTTTTTCTTCCTCCTTTTCTTTGTATTTATAATATTTAATTGAGTAGAAAAATAAATGAAATGTTTTTTCAATTGAAAAACGTACTTTGTCTTCAGTGACTGGATTTAAAGTTCCAGAATGAAGCGAAGATTTCTTTTGTGCTAATTGTGATTCCAGAGTTCTTGAACGAAGAGCAAAATTCTCCCTTTCTTCTCTGACCCTACTCAATTTTTCTGAGAGCACAGCCTTCTCACGATTAACTCTCTCCAAATTATCGTTTAATTCCTGCAAAAAGAAAATTATCAAAATCTTCTTTCTATCTTCTATATTAATAATCGTTGTGAATAATTGAATTCTTTCGAGAGATTTTATTAAATAATTGAATTCATTCTAGAAATTTTATTTACTATGAAAATAATTGAAATCTTATTAAGAATTTTATTGAAATTGTATTAAAAAAATAATTGTATTAAAATTTTTGAAAACAGTAAAAAATTAACTAGCAAATTAGTTAATAACCGAATTTTTTTAAATTGTGAATCTGAAATTATTGCAGAATTGAAATTAATATTTGAAAATAAATCTTTTTTTAAATTTGCATAAATGAGAATAAAAAATACCAAAAAATGGAAATAATAAAAACAAATGGGAAAAAATAAACTCACTTTTATGATTTCCAAAAATTTGGATGGCACATTTTTCTCACTGGTAATTCTCTCTCTCTTGAGACTCTCAGAGAGTTCAACCTCTCGCCTTTGACTTGTTTGAATTTCATCCTGTAAATCAGAAATCATTTCCTTCAGTCTCGATTCTTGATCTCTAGCGAAACGTAATTCAGTCTTTGAATGCTCCAAATCTGTTTCCAAATCCTTTAAAACAGATTTACTGCTCTCCAAATCGCGTCTCAATTTCTTCAATTCGGCGTGTTCATTGCTCTTTTGTTGTTGTCGTTTTTCTTCAGCGTCCGTCATTGTCTTCAATTTTTTCTGCAAAAATTCACATTCCTCTTCCTTCATTTTCAATTCACTTTTCATTCGCTTCAGATCACTATTTAAATTTTCCCTCTCACATTCAATTAAATCAAGTTTACTGGTTAAGTTCTCCTGCTTCTCAATTGCAAATTCCAATTGCTCCTCACATCTTTTCTTTTCACGTTCCATTAATTTCATATTATCCTTGACTTCTTCACTGTAGGTTTGTAAATTTTCAAATTTCTCCACCAGTTCCATGTATTTCTGTTGTTCTTGTCTGAGAAATTCTGACGAAACGGTGGAATTTTCATTTTGTGTTTTCTCTTGTCGATCAATTGAATTGAGTTGTATTTCGTAATTCTTTGATTGTTGTTGAATTTTACTTAGGTCCTCGCGTAATTTTGATTCATTTTTCACTGAAGCGGTGAGCTTTTTTCTCAAAGCTGAGAGAAGTTCAGCGTCCTGTTCTTGAAGAATATCGATATTTTTTCGTTCCTTTTCAATACGTGCGTTCAGGGCCTTAATCACATTTCGCTGTCGTAAAATTTCTTCGTCGAGGCTCTTAACTTTATTTCCCTCCTCCATGAATTCGGACTTAATTTGCAAAATTCGATTTTCGTATTCATTCACTTGTGACTGAAGCATTTCTTTCTCAATTTCCAAGTCGTCCTTCAAACGAGAAATCTCTTCTTTTTCCTTATTGCTCTGTAGTAATTTCGATTTCATATCGTTTAGTTTCTCCATTAATTTATCATGCTGTCGATAATCGGCCGGTTTTATTGTCAATGAATTACAGGAATGTTTTTCCATTCGTCGAAGGGCTGATTCTTCCGGTTCACTTTCAATTGCATCCATTATTTGCTTATCCAACTGAGCTGAGAGATTTAATTCCCTGTGAACCATGTCCTCGATTCCTTCCTCTTCCAATTGGACTCCTTCCTGTTTGAGTCGATCCAGTTCATTGAGAGCCTTATCTAGAGATTCCTTCAATTGAACGTTCATTTTCTTTTCTTCCTTCAATTTTTTCCTCAATTCGACAACATTTCCGGATTCTTTCATTTTATTCTGAATTGTTTCTAAGGCACGGTGCAAACTCTTACTGTCGTCATTCATTTGCCTGATGACTTTGTCCTTCTCCTTGAGATATTCTTGCAAGTGATGAATCTCTTGACTTTTGTTGTTGTTGTCCTGATTTTTGTTGCTGTCACTGGGGGAGGAATTTCCGGAGAAACTATTTCTTCGGGCCATTTCTTCCAGTCTTCGAATGATGTCATCGCGATTATTGAGACCTTGGGTCAAACGTTGTATTTCCAGTTGACAGCCAGAAATTTCCTCTTTCGATAATTCATATTTCGTTCTGTATTCAAAGAGCTGTTTGTTTTCATTTTCAATCTCAATGTTACGGGTCTCGAGCGTCTCGATAGTGACATCTTTCTGGAATACAAGTTCCGAGAGGTATTTCACTTCCTGCAATTTTTCGTTCAATGCACTTTGATTTATTTTCTGATTTTCGATTGATTCGACATTCTTCTTTAATTTTGAGTTCTCATTTTTTAATTCCATCAGAATTTTCTCGTTTACTTGAATTTTACTTCGATAGTCGTCTAATTCTTCTTGTTTCAATTTCATTGTATTCTCCACCTGCTCGAGATCTTTGATCAATTTACTCTCGTTTACTTGAGAGAGTTCGAATTGACTCTTGAAGAAGAGTTTATCACGGGTTAGTGATTCGATCGTCTCTCTTAGTTCGTGGCGTAATTTCTCGAGGTTCATTTGTAGGGTTAATAATTCAGCTTCTCGTTGTCTTAGAGTCGACGACTTTTGACTGAGTTCATTCTTGATTGCATTTAATTGTGTGTCCAGGACTTGAATTTGTTGTCTTAATAATTCATCAGAGTTGGTTTTGGGCGAGTTTTTCTTTGATTTTTGCAGAGGTGACTCGTTGGTTTGGTTTTTCTCCGAGGACATTGAATTGACTTCGAGTTGCGTGAAACTTTGTGAGCCCAAGTCTAATTCGGGGACGAATATTGTTTTATTGACATCGATTGGTGTGAATTCGAGGGTATTTTTTGAGAATCCAGGTACACGGAACGAGGAGACGTTATGATTTTGTGTTGAATGTTGAATTTCGCGGATAGCGTCTGTCTCGTGATAGGCGGAATTTTGTAATTCTTCGCATTCGGAATTGATTGATAGAATATCGCTGAGTGTTCGTGCGCTGTTTTTCGTTTCTTGTTGCTTGTCTTTTATTTGAGTCTCGTCCAAGTTTAGGGCGAGGTATAATTCGAGTTGTTTCTCCTTTTTCTGCAGTTGCTCCTTGAGATGATCGATTTCCTCGTTCTTGTCAGCGAGCATTGTGTCGAGGAGTTGGGGAAGTTCCATTTGAACGCGCTCCTGTTTGCCGAGTTTCGATTCGATCATTTTCTTCTCCTCCTCCACGATTTCGAGACGATCTTTCAATTTTTGAATAACGTTGCTCTCCGACTGGACAATGTTGGCAATCTCCATTTCCTTGTCCATTAGCAATTGATTAGCTCTGTCGAGATGATCGCGTTGTTCCTTTAGCTCGAGATCCTTGTCGGCGATCATTCGCTCAAGTGAATGTATTTTGGTGTTGACCTCGTGAAGTTGAAGTTCCAATCGCGAGGTGGCTTGTCTCTGAGCGAAAGGAGCGTCCTGCTTGTGCTGCTCGAGTCTGCCTCGCATTGCCTCCATTTGGAAGAGTTGCTCCGAAGCTGTTTGCTGTAAAATCTCTTGTTCGGCGATAAGTTCTTCGTTCTGATTTTTCAGTGTCGTGATTTGAATAGTCAAATCTTTGATTCTCTTTAAAGCCACTTCTTCCGCTCTCGCGTGTTTCATTAATTTGTCCTTTAATTTCAACACCTGATCCAGAGGAAGTGTTGGCGGCGCATTCGGATCGTCGGGCGTTGGACAGCGCGCAGCTTCAATTTGATCTCGAATCGAAACATCCTCACTCGGCTGACTAATACTGAGACTCGACCCACAGACATGCAGCGCTTCCAATTCCTTAATTCGTTTATCCAAATGATTGTGCATTTCACGAATCTCCATTCGAATTTGCTTCAGTGTCGAGGAATTTGAATTAAAATGCTCTGAGCTGACTTTGTGCTTTCTCAATTCCTCTTGAAGATGACTAATATGCTCGTTCAATTGAAGATTCTCACTGCCTGATTTAATAGACTCCAATTCGAGCGCAAGTTCCTGTTGATTGCGATTTTGAACTGATATCAATTTTTCCAATTGATCAATACGATTCAAAAGAACGTCCTCCTGTTCAACTTTCGACTGCACCTGTTGTTCGAGATCAGCTATAATGTCCCGTAAGACCCAAATTTTGTCCACCGCCGCTTTTAATTCACTCTCGGCTTCCGATTTCTTTGCCTCAGTGTCCGACATCATTGACGACATTTCCCGCATTTGCAATTCCAATGCCTCCACCTAGAAAAGCAAATGTTACATACAAACTATGATCAAAAGTAAACTACTATTTCAATTTAATTAAGTTAATTTGTACATAAAATAAAGTAATAATTTTAAGAAAATATTGATAGAGCTGTGAGAAAAAATAAATTCAATTAACGTATTTACAAATAGGAATAACTTGACTCACATCTGTTCGGGTGTCAGTTGTTTGTAGTACAAGGGATTCTGTCGACGGTACAGGCGATAGTGAAGACTGCATTTGTGCAACAAACAGAAAACCAAAACCACAGTGCAGAAAAACTTGTGTTAATATACAATTAGCAGTGATGCGGTGTTATAAGCGTAATTATTAACCGTTATTAAGTTCAAATTTAACTGCCAAAAAATATCGTTACGAAATTCCAAAAATTTACTCTCTAATTGCACTTTATTTACAAAGCTAAAATTACACGACACCATTAGTGAATTTAAAAATCTACTTTTAATTTTCTTCTATTTTTTTTTATAACTAAACACCAAAATTGTACAACTATTAATAGTTTAACCTTACAAACTAATTAAAAAATATTTTTTTAATATATCAGTTAATAAAAACAATATTTTCAAAATTTAGTAAAGATAATAAATAATAATAAATTTCTTAAACAGTCAATTCTAAATTAAAAGAATATTTTTAAAATTAAGAATTAAAATAATTATTTTATATCTATAAAAGAAAAATTTCTAAACTAGTTAATAAAAAGTGATTCTATAAAAAGAGTTAATAAATTAGAGTTAATCGTTTCCTTAGAAATTTGATATCTTTTTTTAAATCCCAAAAAAACTAAAGTTCAAATAAAAATTTAATAAAATAAACTAGGTAAACTAAAAATAAAATTGAATGAAAAAACGAACCTCAGAAGTCATTCGCTGATCTCTTTCTTTGGTCCTTTCCAAATCACGAAGCTGACTTTCCAAATGTTCAATTTTCTTCGTTGCCTCGTCAATTTCATTCTCCCTCTCGCTGGTTTGTTCCTCAAGGAATTTTTTCATTGCTTTTAATTGTTTATCGGCAGCGCTTATCTAGAAATTCAGGAAAATCATTAAAATCTCTTTTTCTCATTTATTATTTTAAAATCAAAATTATTCGATTGTTGGGTGAAAATCAAAAAATCAAAACATGGAAACACTGTAAAAAATTTCATAAATTGAAAGACTAACCAAAATTTTAATTATATTGTAAAAGATTTAATTTTAAATTAAATAAGTAATTCTAAAGGAAATTAAACAATAAAATTCAATTAAATTATAAATTTAGATTGTCGATTCTTGTAAATAAATAATAATTTTTTTATTTGTTAAAATTAAAATTTATAGATAAAAAAATTTGAAATAAAAATAATCATGTTCATAAATTTGAATGAATTTACGTGCATTTTATAATTTAAAAAAAATATAAAAACCATGCAAAAAGCTTTTTTTTTTGTTTAATTTTTATTAAAAACACAAAAATCAAAAATTATATGTATTTACTATTTTCACGAGTCAAGCAGCAATTGTCAAGATTATTTTTTATTTTGTCATTTTAAATACAAAAAATTCATGCAAAAGAATGAATTGCTTTTTGAAAATTACAAGAAGAATTTATGCTAATCAAAAATTAATTAATTAATAATGATATTAGAAGTGATAATAGCTGCAAGTTAATAATTATATAACCATTGCCATTATTATTATTATTAATTTTATATAACAATTACTATTATAATTATAATTGATGATAATATTAATTTAACATTAATTAATTAATTTCATAAAGATTAAATAAGCAAGAAAATGAATTTTCCTTGAATTTAAAATGAATGAAATGAAACGCAATCACCGTAAAAATTAAAATTAATGAACGAACACCTTTCCCTTTTTTTTAATTATTATTTTTGCTCGGCAAGGAATTCCAGAACTGAATATCAGGTAAAGAGGATTTGTTTTATTTTAGCTAAAGCGATAATAGCTGTATTCAGACATTGTAGTATTAAAAATGTCTGATTTGTTAAATAGCTGCAAAGAGAAAAAAAATAGAAAAAAAATCGAAGACATATTATTAAAGCTCTAATATAATAGAGAAAGGATTTATATTTGAATATTAGTAATTCTATAATTTACCTTTCGACAGCAAACCCTGTGAATGTATGAGGGAGGATTGGGTTCTAATGACACCTGCTGGCAAGACAACATAAGGCCAATCAATTTTTTTTTAAATAATCTTCTTCGTAGCCAATGAATTTCTTTTGATTATGAGATTCTTTCTTTTTTTCTTTCACTCAAATAAATAATATTTGTAAAAATTCAATATTGTGCAAAAATCCCAAAAAAAGAAGAAGAATAAAAGAACGAGAGCAAAAGCTTCTTACAACTTCTCTTTAAAAAAGATCGAGAAAAAAAATTCTAATTTAAAGTGTTACAAAAAGGAAAAAGTTGGAATTATAAATTACAGTATCTAATTCTATAATTTAACGAACTCTAATTAAATTCGTTCTACATAATTTGATAAATTGTGAGCGTTATTTTCAATGAAATGGAATGTCTGATATTAAATGATACAAACTATTATAAGAAATATTGTAAAAAATAGAGATGCTGAATGTGAACGTAAAAATTACTTAAAAGATGAAATAGAAAACATTATCAAACGATAGAAGAAAAAAAAACTTAAGCAAAAATAATATTATTTAATAATTAAAAAAAAGACTAATTCTCATTATCAAACAAAAGAAACCATGCAAATTCCAAAATGAGTCTGCGATTAAAAAATGACTATTAAGGAAAATAAATAAAGCCTAAAAATAAAAAAATCAATCTACAATTAATAAAGAATTAACAGTAACGAGTTAATTATAATTTTTTTCCATACCATACATTTATTATAATTTACATTAATTACTATATTTGGAAACAAAATTTTAATTTATGCAAAAAAAAAAAGGAAAAAAAATTAAAATACAAAAGAGAATCTAATTTCGATTTATTACTTTTTTAATTAAAAATATTAGAAAGCAATATGAAAAATCAGTAATTTTATAATTAACTGATTACAAAAATTAGAAAAAAATAAATTAAACAATTTAACAAAAAATAAAACAATTAAACAACAATTATAAGAGCTAATGATGAACTAAAAAAAGAGAACAGAAAATTCTATGAATAAAAAAGAAAATACAAAAAAATCTAGATTTTTCGTTTGAACTATTTTTAAGCATTTTGATAAAAAAAACACACCAAAAACCAAAAAATATTCTTACAGTACAAAACACCAGAAATCTATTAGCAAAAACCACATCTAAATAATTTGACCCATGCATTCTGTGTGCTTTGATTAAAAAAAGAAGAATAGAAGAAAAACTTACCTGATTTTGCAAATCGTCTTTATCCTTCTTTGAGTCATCGGCGATTTTGTCGTTGTGCCTGCACAATTCTTCGACCAATTGCAAAAGATAACTGCTATCCGCGTTGCCATTCATGATCACACTTCTCGCTGTAAATAATAATTTTTATTATTCATCTACTTTAAATTATTTCATTTTTTTTTATTTTAATATTGAATATTTGATTTAATATTTAATACTTTAATGATAAAAAATTCCACATAATAAAAATAAAAGAAACCTCGATCTTGAAGCTGCGAAATATCCTGCAATTCATCCTCACAAGTTTGATCCTGTTCCCCATAACCTTCAGAAATAATTTCCTGCTTATTTTCAATCAATGATTTTTGCATATTATGAATTTTCATTTTCAATTGTTCCACCTCCTCTTGATATCCGACAATCATATTCTCAGCTTCCAAAACTTTACTATTTAATTCCTCATTATTCCGAGTCATCCTCAACAATTTTTTCGAAATCTGATCAACATTCAATTCATCGTGACTAAATGAAATGCCGAGAATTTGTGCAATCTCAGTTTTTAAACGTGTTAAACATTCATTTAGTTCGCGTCGGAAATTTTTTGCAATATCAATATCCTTTTCAATTGTTTCCGAAATACTCTCATTGTCACTATTGACAATTGAGGCAATTTCACCAGTATTTGGCGCAAAATGAACGCGTTTTATCTCCTTTATTTTTTGTTTCTCATTACTTGATGGTGAATTATCGTCACATTGTGAATTTAATTTCTGAGGTGTTCTTCTCTCGAGGACTTCACTGATAAATGAATTATTCACTTCGTCCTCGCAAATTGCAAAGTAATTTATCAAATCAGTAATTACGTTCTTCAATGTTTTGCAAGTTCTGATTAAGTTGTCTCTGAAAAAATTGTAGAAAATGATAATTAGATGTAAATAATTAACTTTTTACATATTTTTTATTTTAATAAATTATATTTTATTTATTATATTACCGTTCTTTGAGTAAATCGTTTCTTAAGGAAGATTTTTCTCCTTCGGAATTTGAGGATTGAATCGCCTGATTATATTGCTCTTTAGTTTTCTTCATTTCCTCTTCATATCGTTTAATCGTGCGATTAGCAATATTTAGATTAGAATTGTGCTCCTCCTTCAGGCGTTTTAATTCAAGATCATGTTTGTCCTTTAATTCTTGAATTTCCCGTTTAGCGTTACTTGTGAATTTATTTCTCAGTTCCAGTAATTCCAGCGGCCAATTTTCTTCGACGTCCGCATCAATTGTGAGTAAAGTCTTAAGAAATCAGAAAAAAAATGTTAATAACCAATTGTAAATTTGTAAATGAAAATCTACAAAATAATACCTAACAGAAAAATTGTAATTATCAACAGTGATCAATAGTTAAAATAAATACATAAATAGAAAATGAATTAAATAAATATTTGTTCATTACAATTGAAAATTAAAAAGTTTACGAATTCAATTTAATTTGATTCAAGAGTAATAGAAAATAGAAAAAATATAAATAATTACTTAGAATATTATTAAAAATGACTAAATGATAATATGAATGAAATATTGAAAAAATGAATCCCAAAATCCAAGTTAATGAATTTTAATAAAGACAAAGCACAAACAAAAAAATAATAGTTGAGGAATTTGCCGCAAATGTAGCCTAAAAAGCTACCTGAATTTGGTCCTGAAGTGCGTTGACAATATCGAGCCGAGCAAGTGCCACTTGTTCTTCAAGTTGATGATTATAAGCGACTCGTAATTTCGTCAACTCACTATTTTCCAACGCCGTCTCGTCCAAATCAGTTTGACAAAACTGCATGCGTTTAAGGAGCACGTCAAAAAATTAGTAAATTACACAAAAATGAGGATTACAACTTTCAATCGAAAAAAAACCCCTCACATGTTAATATTAAACCAAAAAAAATGCTTGAAAATTGTTAATCGTGTTAGAATTTACTTTTCTCTTCAAAAAGAATAAAATTTAAAGAATAAACAGACAAACAAATAAACAAACGAACAAAAAAAGAATATTTTTATCAATATTGACAAATAAATCTAAAAATAAAAAGACAAAAACGAAAATAAACAAAAATAAACAAAAATATTCCTTTCAACAGGGCTCGAATAAGTAAAAGTATTTAAAAATACGGAATTTACGGACATTTCAATTACTGATAGAAATATAACCAGTCCGAGTCAAATAAGACAACATTTCAGTTAAAACTATAAATTAAATTTTTCAAAGTATAAAATGTTAATATGATGCTTGATGTTCGAAATGTTAACAACAGGAAAAAAAATTGTTAGCTTTTTTTAAATTAAAATTCACCTGATTAACAGCCTTGAGAAGAGAAGTACGAGATCCTTTCTCCTTAATATTTCTGAGTGCTTCTTGTAGCGAATTAATTTTCGCCTTATACTCAGCAATAATAGATTCTCCATTTGTTAATGATGCCTCGATTTTTGAATGACTATCGAAATTTGTCACATTCGCACAATCACCAGCACCACCTCCAAAGTATAAATCCTCCGTTAGCTCCTCAATTTCACTATCATCCGACATTTTCTTCGATTGTTGACTGAAAATCTCCTCCGAATATTGTTTCTCCATTTGTAGACACTTTTCCTCAAAGTACGTTCTCAATTCTTCCATTTCATTCTGATGTTTCTTTTCCAATTCACTAATTTCGCCTTTGTGTTTTGTGCAAATTTCATCAATGCGTTGGATGAATTTTTCATTTTCCTTATTTAGTCGATCGACACATTGCTTTAATGAATCAATGCATTCGGCCTCGTCTTTAAAATCAACGATTTGTTGCAATAATTTTTCATTTTCATTTTTTAACTTTTCAAATTGCTCCTGATATTTATCGATTATTTTCTCCATTTCTTGATAGTTTAATAATTTGACGGTTGAATCTTTTAATTCGTTCATTAGACGTTCATTCTCCTTGGTGAGTGATTCCATGTCCGTTTGTAATTTAATTAGATCATTGGTCGAAATATTGGCTATTGTTTTTGTACTATCGTTTGTTGAACTTTTGTTTGTCGATTGTTCTAGGGAAAGATTTGACAAATCAAAATTATTATTATCCTCGATAATATGACTTTTTTCCGATAGAACAGAATCGTCGATTTTACTCTCGCCCATTAGGGTTTGATTGAGACGTTTATACTCCGCACATTCTGCCCAAGCGGCTACAAGACCGTTTTTTAATTTCTCCCGCTCAGTTTCGACTCGTTTTGTACGATCATTAATCTCTTGTAATTTGGTTTTGTATTCGTTATTCTCGACTTCTTTTTCGTGAAGCAACGTTTTTAGATTTTCAATTTCTTCGTTTTTATTTCTCGACGCATCTTGTTGCAATTTGTCGCAAGTATTTTTCATTTCCTTGAGTTGCTTTTCATAGGAGCGTTTCATATTGTTCGCTTGTTCTAATTCGTCATTGGCTATTCGAATACTCTTCTCGAGATCGTCGATACGACTCTGCAGTTTCTTCTCCAATTGTGTTTTCTCCTCGAGTTTGTGAATATGATGTTGATAGTGAGTTGCAAAATCGTCAAGATTCTGATAGACGGTCGCATCGAATGGCGATGAACTGGAACTAATTCCACTGAGTCTTGATAGAGTTTTTTCTAAATCGAAAATTTTCGTATTGAGCGAACGCTCGTGCATTTGATTATTTTCAAGGAGTGATTGAGAGGCCGCGTAACGTGCTGTGAGATCGTCTAATTTAAATTTAAGCATTTCATTATCTTGTTTCAGTGAGGCAACATCGGACAGGGCTTGCTCTAAGGAACGTTCGATACTTTCTTTTGACTCTAGAACACTGGCAGCTGCCATATATTTTGCTGTCATATCGTCCAATTGAAGTTTATGCAAACGAATCTGTTCGTTCAGTAAATCATCGCCGAGGTCGTCGATTTTCGAACGTTGTAAACTTGAATTTGTTCGAGACGATTGCATTTCACTGTGATTCATCAATTCAAGTCTTAGTGCCTCGACGGTCTTTTTATAATTCACCACCTGTGCTTGAAACACTGCCAATTCTTTAGAATGAACATTTTCCTGTTGTATTTTTTCATCTCTTATCTTTTGCATATTATTCTCATAGGTTTCCTTGATTGTCTCCAATTCATGTTCGTATTTCTTTTCCAGTTCCTTTGAATTATAATAAATCGATAAATAAAAAGAAATAGAAAATTAAATTAAATTAAAATTAAATAGAACAAAAATTTAATTACCGTCAGTTCTTTTTGATGTTCGAGAGTATTCGCATTAATTTCGGCTGTGAATTTTTCCATGAGGACTTGCATTTCCTTTTTGATCTTATCAACGCGTGCTTCGGCCAATTTTTGTTGCTCTATTGTTTCAATACCAGCGCGAATTTCTTTGTTCAAATTATTAACTTGCATTTTATAATCACCAATTTCCGAAGTTTGCAATTCTTTCTCCATTTCTAATTTTTGTATCCTTTCATAAGACTCTTTGATTCGTTCCTTAAGATCAGTAATCACATTTTTTTGCTCGCCGACATTCGACTCTAAGGCACTTATCTAAAATAATTGAGACATTAAATTAGTTTCAAATCTTTTAATTAATTGGTTATTTTTTTAAACTGACAATTCAATTATTATGAAAGTGTAAATTTTGTACCTTTTCTTGTGTGAGTTTTTCCACATTGGCATTGTCTAGCTTTACAGAATTAAGAGAATTTAACTGTGCAACTAAACTATCACGAACACCCAGTGCTTGCACTAAGGATGTGGTTAAATCTTCAATAACTTTATCACGTTGCTGAACAGCTGATTCAAATTCTTGAAGCTGAAAAAAACAAAAGATTGTATCTTTCATTTGTAACCACATTCGTTTTAAATGATTTAAATTGGATCCTGCAAAGTCTATAATATTATTTGAAACTAAAAAATACTTTGTTAATTTTTAATTTTTAAAATTAATTAAAAAAAATATATATTAAATATCTAAATTTGTTTATAGAAAAAGGAAAATACTTACTTTAGAATGGTAAATGGCTATGATATTTGAATTATTTTGAATACTGCTAGTATGGCTACTGTTGTGTGAGGAATTTGGTGAAGAATTATCACCTCGAAGATGTTCTATTTCTGCTGTTAGTCCTTCAAGTACAGCCACTTTTCCCTGTCTCAATTCATCTAATTCTGCTACTCTACCGGCCATTACTTCCAATTCTCCTTCACCCTCGCCTTCACTCATGCTTACACTGCTGTACGTGACATCGCGGGAAAAAACACTCTCGTTTGCCTATTTTTAAAGAAAAATCCATTTTCTTAATTTATTGCTTCTCCATCGCAGCAGTTTTTTAAAGTTATTTTCTATATTTAATTTTTATTTAAATTGTATACGAAATAATTAAATAAAATCCCTACGGAACTAAAAATGAATTTTCAAATTGTATGTTTATAAAAAAAATATAACAAAAGTACTTACACTGGCACCATCGGGTCCTAAATATTGTCTCGGTAAACTATTTCGAAAGGAATCATCGTCAGAAGCTTGAGATGTTCGAGCCAATCGTTCGGCTTTAAATCTTTCAAGCTAAAACAATTTATTAGATTTCAATTCATTTACTTTACATTTTCATTCTAATTCCGTTATTTATTTACTAAATCAAATTATTTCAGAAACAATCAAATATTCGTGAAAATTTTGCATTTATTACGTAATTTTGATCGTTCTTCAAAATAGTTTTTATTCAATTTCAATTTTTTATTGGGGACTTTCAAAGTTTTCCATAAATAATAAAGATTATTTTAGGTTTTTTTTTGCTTCTCACTTGCAAATTAATAAACAAAATTGTAATGAATATTTAGTTAATCAATAAATTCGATGTAATTGTTTTTTTCTGGTAATTTTTCAAAGCGAATTCATGTGTCACATAACAATAGACACAGAATTAATCAATTTGTCTCTAATGACATTGAGTTCCAAACAATAAGTATACTGTTCAAAAACTAAGTTCTACAGTAAACAAATTGATAAAAGTTTAAAAGAAAAAAAATTTTCTCCAAGAAATTTGAATATTAGAGTAAGAAATAGTTATTTCTGTGTATACAAGGTACGACGAACTCGATTAGAGAATTTTCTATTTTCAGCATTATACGGAGCAAATGAAAGGGCCAAATTGTGTTTATAAATAGTTTACATCTAATTAATATGTGTGGCATTATCAAAATTACATAAATATATAACTGATGTGCTAACCATTTCTTTTCCTGCCTCCACGGCGCGTCTTCTACGTTCTTCTTCATCCATAACGTTTTATATGTGTATGTTTTTTTTTAATAAAAAATATTACGAAATTATCACGGAATATTTAAACGATTTAAACTAAAAAAATTCTACTTGACCAGATTATTAAAAATTGTAGTTCATTGTCATTATTACTACTCACTACATTTTGAATAATTATTTTTTCTAAACATATATAATTCAATTGACAACAAACGTATTTTTATTATTATTATTGTAGTCACTTCTTTTTGTCCGTTAATAAAATTTACAAAATGCCAAGCGTCTCATAAAGCTCATAAATGTCAAAAACTATAAAAATTGACAAGAGAAGAAAAAGAGAGGTTAAAAAAATCAAGCTACACTACTGCCATCTTAAATTTGAATGATTTGAATTCATCCGTTACTGTTTAATTTTTAAATATTTCTAAAGAGAAAAAAGATAATTATTAAGATAAAATTGTATGATTTTGTTAATTGCACTAAATTAAAACAATTAAAACGATTAATTTATCTTTACATTGTTAACATTTTTATAATTTGACTAGAAATTGTTATTTCTGCTTTGAAAACGCTTCTTTAGGTTGATGTATCCAATTGTGAATGTGCCTTAAATTTGACCAGTAAGATCAGCCATTTAAAAAGTCTATTTACCACATTGTTGCGAAGTGTGATTATTTTTTGCCGCTTAATATTTATTTATAATCTTTAATAATATTTAATTCTACTTGAATTTGAAAAGAATATAATGGATTCGCACGATATAATTCACGTGGAAATATGTCAGAAGGATGACAGGTAATTTCACTTATTTTTGATAAACACTTTGTCGGCTTTGTCTTTGTTATCACTTATCACGCCGCGTGCTTTGCAAAAGATTGTTAATTCTTATTTTTGTTTTTGTTTCATTTACTAAACATGATTAATAGATATTTTTTTTGTTCTCTTTCCAATTGTTTTTATTATATCTAAAAACCTCAAAAACTTTTAAAAATACGAAAATTCCTGAAATTGTTTGAGGTTATAATTGTTGTTTAATGAATAAAATGAAATTTTTTCATTGCAGTATGTTATCTCGAAGTGATATAGAAGAAATAGTAAGAGCGGAATTAAGTTCCTTGGATGAAATAACTTTAAATGTACCAATGCCCGGGGAACAGTTTTCCAAGGACATTGTCAAAAATCATGTTCAATCTGTTATTTGCTCTTGTAGCAATCCTGAGGTATTGTTTTTGTCAATTATAATAAAATTCATTTCTGCAAAGTGAATATTCGTGAGTAAATAAATTTGTTTTGCAGAGGACACACATGAAAATTCATAGCAGCCATCTAAAAGTTTATGTTTATCGATTAACTGAAGAAAGTGCAGCGACCGAGACAATTCGCAGCGAATCTGACGAGATGGCTGCTGCTTCCCACTGGATTCTTCCATCCACAGAATTTCACGGTCTTTGGGAAAATCTTATTTATGAATCCGATATTAAAGAGCACGTAAGTCTTTATTTCTACCTACTTGCTATTAATTAATCTAGATTAATTATTTTTATTTGCCTTATTTTTCAATAAATTAGAGTTTTTCATTCATTGTCCTTTTTTCAGCTTTTACACTTTGTGGAGACGACAATGTTGTTTTCAGATCGAAAAGTTGATCCAAATATAATAAGTTGGAATAAAGTGATTCTCCTTCATGGACCTCCTGGCACAGGAAAGACAAGTTTGTGTAAAGCCCTTGCACAAAAGGCAGCGATTCGTTTGGGAAATCATTACACTCATGGCGAACTCATTGAAATAAACAGTCACAGTTTGTTCTCCAAATGGTTTTCAGAGGTTTTTATTGTTTGCCTAATTTATTCCTAAAGAAATAATAATCGTAGTACAAAAAGGAATATTATTTTTTGCAATGAATGTTATTTTTGTTTGTTAACAGAGTGGAAAGCTTGTAATGAAACTATTCGACGAGGTGAAAAATCTTTTGGAAGATCCAAAAGCCCTTGTTTGCGTTTTAATCGACGAAGTTGAATCTCTTGCTCACATGAGAAAATCTTGTACAAATGGTACCGAACCCAGTGACGCTATTCGAGTTGTAAATGCATTATTGACACAGCTGGATCAAATAAAAAAATACTCAAATGTTATAATCCTCACGACAAGCAATGTGACCGAGGCAATTGATTTGGCATTTATTGATCGTGCGGATCTTAAACAATTGATTGGACTTCCAAGCGAGCAGGCGATTTATAAAATTTATCACTCTTGCATTAAGGAATTAATGAGGGTAAGAATCTAATTACATAACTTGAAATTAATTATATTAATTGATAATATTATTATCATTGTTATTAATATTTAAATATTCTTCAAATTTCTAGACTGGTTTTCTAGAGACAGAAGCTTTATGCGACATTGCACATTTGAAAAAATTGGGTTACGAAGAAAACAGTGAGACGAAACACAGTTTAAAATTACTGGAATTAAGTAAAGAAAGCGTGGGAATGAGTGGACGAGTTTTAAGAAAAATTCCTTTCCTAGCGCACGCACTCTATACACATTCAGCAAAATGTCCAGTTCCTCGTTTCTTTAGAGCAATGCATCTCGCTGTCGAAAAGCAAAAAGAAGAGGAAATTGCTTAAAGAGAGATTTAAATAATCCCTTATTTATTTTTTTTGTTCTTTATTTAAAGCTTTAAATTTTTATGCTTTTGATATAACACGTCGTAAAATTTTTTTATTTGAGTCACTTCTCAAAATTGCGTTCTTATTTTACTTATTATTTAAATAAGAAGTTGCCTTAATGCTAAAAACAAAGAAATATTCAGTATTTTTCTAAACTACAGTATTTTCCTGTAAAAAGCACAAATTTTAAAAATTAACATTTTAAGAAAATTGACACTTAACTGTAGTGCCTTGAATAAGTGCTTCGAGTCGTTTTTATACTGAAATTTTTATTAACTTTAATTAGTGGTTGTAACTATCGTAATGTATTTATAAAGTTTTTATTTATTTTTCAAAAGAAGAAAAGAGAGAGTGTAAACTGCACAATTTAAGAATATATATTAAAATTAAAACTGAAATTTATTGGTTTTATTATTATTCATAATCATAAATTAGTTTTTTGAAAATACTTTCTGTACCTATATTTAAAAAAGTCGCGCGATACGGATATTTTATATTTCGAACGGAAGTATATTTTTTGCGTGCGCAGTTTTGGTAGCACTGGCGGAAAGTCAGAAATTTCGCAAAATTTGCGTATAAAAATGGTATTTATTTTTAATAAAGAAAATTCCTTTCATTAGAAAATCTTTCGATTTTCATTATTTTAGTTTTTTTTAAAGTTTTTTTTAGTTATTTTAATTCAGATTAGCAAACAGCGCTCTTGTTTACTTGGCGGTGAAATATCGAACTGCGTTTTTGGCGCAATTTCCCTCTCTGTTTATTTCTTGTTCAATGACTAAACTTGATTTTTCCGTGGCACGTCGCATTAGTGGTTAAGCCTGCAAAACGTTAATGTTTTCAGTTATTTAAAGGCGCCAATACGTGATGGTTGTGTTTTCCCGGTGAGGAATTTATGTGTGGTGTGTGCCGATAAAAAAATACCGCAAGACGAGAAAAAAAATCTTTGAAAATCAACACGATTTATCACGAGATTGACGAGCTTTCTTGTGAATTTGTTTACCCAGTGAAAAATAGTGTTTAGTTCGAGGAGTTAAACTTTAACAGTGAATGCAAAAAGAAGACCGGAGTGATAGCGGAATTAAATATTTTGTCATCATATAATGTCGCAGCGCGACACTGTAATACACCTTGTTGCCGGAGGGTTGGTCTCTTTAAATTTATAAACTTTATAAATAATCTCATAGTTTAATAACGTTACCACTGTTTTTCAACTATAGAAATTTCGTCATGAAAAATAGTCCCCTCAAAGTAACCGGTTTCCTTTTCAATAATGAAATTCCGTTTATTTTCAAACCTCCATCTTTCCATGGACTTTCTCTCCGTTTTGTCGACATTTAATATTTAGCAATCTACTGAAAATTGATAAGAGAATTAAAAAAAAAAGAGGTAAACAATGATAAGTGAGAAATATAGTCAGATCGTCTCATTGTTAATACTGTTTTACAACTGTGATTTTTTTTCTCTACCCATTATCGAAATGATTTCTTATTAATTTGTTCTTTTCTCGTATTTGTGTATGAAAATTTACATGGAAAAAAAGACGAAACAAATAGACATTGCAAAAAAACCAAGACCTAGGACAATATAATAACGTAATGTGCCACACAGATTCTATTGCGCAGTGTCGAAAAATATTACAATTTGTTGTTTTATAACGTGGTCATTTCTAAATATCGATTTTCAATAAAGATTAAATTTTTCATATTTATTTTCCAGCTTTATATAATTTACCCAAAAATAAATTTTTTGTAGATTATTTTCACTCTCGCTTAGTCGCTTCTTTAAAAGTAATCATCTGATCATTATTTTGTTACATCACATTATGATAAAAGTGCAGTGACCTAATTTTGATTTAAAAAAAAACAAACAATTATTTTATTTGCAAAAAGAAAGAAAATTATTTTGATCAAAAATTTTAAACAAGTAAAGTATTTTATTTTAAAGGGAGACAATATTGTTAATTTGTCAAATTGAAGAAAATTTAAAAAAGAGTGAACTTGAAAATAAAAATTTTAAATGTGTATAATTATTCGATATTGTTGATGAGTAATTCTAATCGATACGAAAAATACGCGACATTTCTAAGTTTTCTTTTATCTAAAAATATACGTTTATTTTTATTCACTGATTATTATTTTTATGTACTTTATTTTGAAATATTGAAAGAGGTTCAGATTTCTTTTACTTGTGAATCTTGTGAATCTTGTAAAATAAAGAATAGTAAAATATTGGTGAAATATTTGCTAAAATATATTTTTAGAAAAGATTTCTTCCTTAGATTGTTTTTTTTAGAAGTTTAGTTTTAAATTTCGAATATTGTTAAATAAATGACTAGTAGATTTAAAGACAGTTTGGGTAAATTGTTTTGCTGTAGAATTTCAAGTGCTAGATGCATTTTTTTAAAGAGCCGGTAAACAGCAACATACTATATGTTGTTTGTGTTTTGAAGTGGCAGTATGCCGACTCGACAGATTATACTATACAGTCAGAGACTTCCTGAGCTATATTTAGAAGTAAACGATGAATTCTAGCCGGTTCAAATGTATAAAAGTGTGTATTGGTTCAATGATTGTATATAGACGGAATTTTATACACCTGTGTATATGTAACCGGTCTTACCTTCTCTTTCAAATTTCTCGCCTCAATATCTCACGTGGATCGATTTTACAAATTATCAGCTTCTAATTGAAGTAAAAAACATTTGCCAATCTTTTTAACTCACTTTTTGTTGCTTTTCACAATTTAACACTTTCATTCATTTTAATTCTAATTTATATGTTTATTAATTGTTTTAAGACTTTAAAGTCATTTTAATTCTAATTCTAAAAAAGTAAGAAAAATTTTCCTAATGTTTCTAACGTTCGAGTTTTTTCTTCTATTTTATTTCTGTAAAGAATATTTTAATTACTGTGAAAAAAGAGAGATAATTAAAATTAATTACTTATTGCTGTGCTGAGAATTTGGTTTTTAATCCAGAAAATAATGTTCGTCTGAACGTTCGAAACTTTAAGAAAGTAGTGAAATTAATTTGAAGAATAGGGAAGGAAAGAAAAGGAAACTTTTTCGAATTAAAATTTGTAATTAAACGTCAAAATATTTGTGTAATTTGTATTTTAATTTGCGCAGAGTTGCTGGAACAGTGGGTGCTATTGCAACCTGTCCTCTTGAAGTTGTCAAAACACGATTGCAATCTTCAACCTCTGGTTTCTATCCTCCTGGAAACAAGGAATTTTTTTCCGGTCATGTCACTTGCAAAACCTTTCCAAATCCGCCTCAAAGGCGATTATGTACTGGTGACAATCCGAGGTATTTCTTTCATTTCATTTATTTTCTCTCTTAATTATTATCTTAATTCTCTCTTGTTTAATTTTTTTTAATTAAAATTATTTAAAATTTTAATTATTAAATTGAGTTATTAGTTTATTTTTTTTTTGTAAATTAGTAATAGAGAAATAAAATCTGATGTTTGGAATTAAAAAATTTGTTCTCTTCATTAGATACTCGATGATATTGTCGCATTATGGAACCTCGGGCGGTGCTCCACATTCACATGCTCCGAATTTTATTCACTGTATAAAATATATCATAGACAACGAAGGATATCGAGCCTTATTTAAAGGATTAGGACCAAACCTGATTGGTGTTGCGCCCTCAAGGGCGATTTATTTCTGCACATATTCACAAAGCAAGGGCTTCTTCAATTCATGTTTACCTCCTGACAGTCCAGTTGTTCACGTTTGCTCCGCTTCTTGTGCCGGTTAGTAAAAAGAATATTGATTTTAGTATTTATTAACATTGTCAACATCTTGAATTCGAATTTTTAGGCACATTTTTTCTGCGGATATCAAATTGAGAAAAAAAACGAATCAAAAGTGTTGTGTCGCAAAAATCCGCAGAAAATCTGTCAGGACATTAAAAATAAATTTTTCTCTTGGAAAAATTGAAAATTTTCTATGGAAAAGTATTTTTTTATTGTGACTTATCTAATTTCTAGACTAATTGTAATTATTAGTTTTCTTTTTATAATCGAAAATTACGCGAATCATGGTGAGATAATGATTGTGAATGCGCGTCATGAATTTATTTTTATCAAAGGGCGTCTTCATACTATACACTTACGATTTCTCATGCACTCTGATCTTTTATTATATATATACATATGTACAAAAATTGATAACACTACTCTTTCACTAGGCACACTTGAGAATTTAATTATAAATCTATTGATACGTCATTATCAATAATTGAAATTGAGAAAAAGAGGAAAAAAAGAAGTTTTGAAGAAATTGAACGCTAATTTGAATAATTCGATTATATAAATACTTTTAATTCTATTTTGAGTTAACATAGAGTACAATTTTTTTTCTCGTAAATTTCCATCTCTCGTTGATATATAGAAATTCATCTCCAATTACGCAATGATCATTGAAAAAAATAGTGTTTATTGCGCAACTTCTTAATTCTTTTAGAGTTTATTAGCATTTATTTGGACAAATTATGTGATTTTTGAATTAAACTATGCTTACTTCTGAGACAAAAAAAACCCTTTTTGAACTTTAAATATTAAATAAATAATGGAATATTATCGAGAGTGTTGAATTGAAATGAATTAGAAATAATGAATGAATATATATGTTGAGACATTTTTTTGTACACGTATAAAAGACATGGATATATTTTCATTATTGTATGTGTATCATTCAATTAAAGGCAAGATATTCAATGGTCTGACAAGTCCATAACTTGAAACTTGAACTCAGAGACACAATGGCTCGACAAAGATTTCTCTGCTGGGGAGACATTTGTCTGCTCATCTGTTTACAACTTGTGCAACACGAGCTCAATCACTCGTTTAATGTACATATTACCTACATAATTTATCAATGTATGCGTTTCACTTATTAAGAAAATTGCACTCACACAATTTTAATCGTTTAACTTGTCAAACGCACAGTCAACGAGAGACAATATTTTTTTAACATTTAAAACATATTCAAAAGTATCAAGTGTCGTGAAAAAAATTTGCATACCTACATCGGAATTTACGTTTTATTCTTTTTAGTTATTATTTCAGAATTTTTACTTTAAATGATTCCATTTAATTATTTTTTTATTTTAAATTAATTTAATTAATTGAATTTCTAATTTCAATTAAAATTTAATGAATTAATATAATTTTCCATTTATTAAATTTCCAAAAGTCATTTCAAGAATTAATTAATTTTCTAATTTCAACTAAATTGAATGAATTAATATTATTTTACAACTAATAAAATTTTAGAAGAATTATATTATTATTTATTATTTTAATTTTATTGTTTTATTGTTTATTATTAATTTACGTCACAATATTTTATCAAATGCATACAAAAATAATTTATATTTTACTTTGCTTCAAATTAAAATTTTTCCATTTAGTATACTATTATTTCTGGAACAATATAGAAATTATTATTATTACTGAAAATAGTATTCAATATATAATTTTGTTTGTAGATTAATTTTAAATTCATCTTGATTATTAATAAAAGAATTAATTAATACCATTAATTGAAGAATAATCGTGCGATTAATTAAAATTAATATTCTACATATTGTATATTACACAGGAAAAAAAAAGTCTGACTCCGTTTACACCTTAAATTCAGCCCATGTATTTCACATAAGTCTGTCCTTGTTTAACGGGGCTGACTCCGTTTACATCATAAATTCAGCCTCAAAAAGAGGCTGAAAGTAAAACTTTTTTTTAGTGTGTAAATTAATTTAAATTATTGAGAGAAATTAATTTAAATTATTGAGAGAAATTATTTTCAATTATTGACAAAACTTATTTTCAATTATTGATAAAAATTATTTTAAACTATGTATTGAGAAAAATCATTTTCAATTATTGAGAAAAATTAATTTATAATATTTTGAGGGAAATTAATTTAAATTACTGAGAGAAATTATTTGCAATTAATAGGAAATTCAATTCATAACTGAAAATGAATTTCTATTAATAGCGCAATTAATTAAAATTAATTTACAACCTCTTTTTTTATTCAATGATCGTATGTTGCTGATACTTAATTTATTTTTGATGCAATTACGCGGCAAGCGCAAAAACAACATTGCATTCATGACAACTATGACCTTTTTGCATAACTATTTTGCTTTCAAGATTAAATCGTTTTAGTTTGAAAACAAAAACACAAATAGGAAAATATAAATCTATAGTGAAGGCGGTCTATACTTTTTGGAAATAATTACTTTGTTTTTTTTAACGAGTCAGAATTATTTACGTTTCCAATTCCGATTTGGGAAAGTTTTATTCTTTAGTAAGTACCGGAACATTGAACACAATTTCAGGTCCTTGCTCTCGCAAATAAATTGCAAACCTGAGAAGAACCACGTGTTCAAAGTCACGTAGGCAGCGAGCTAAAAGGGGGTGGATGGGAGGATTGCACCGGGAAATCAATTTTTCATTTACGTTATATTTATTATATAGAAAAGGAATATTTTTTTTAGGATTAACTACCAAAATTTGTTTCTAAAACCTAATTCTGAAGAAGGGAAATTTAATCAAAATTCCCCAAAAGAATTGCAATTTTAACCAAAAGAGTTACAATCTTTATTTATTTATTTCTACTCTTTTCTTTATTTACAATAAAGATTTTAGTACGAAATTGAACGAAAACAACGAAATACGTTTTTAATTTTTGTTTTCAATGAATTTTTCATTTTCATTGTATAGAAAAGGAACAATATTTTTTTCAATTAACTACCAAAATTTGTTTCTAAAATCTAAACTTGAAGGAAAATTAAAAAGATACTCCATAAAAAATTGAAGTTTTAACAAAATAGCTATAATTTAGTATACGAAATGGTACGAAAAATTTTCTGCAAAGTAATACTCTTTTTCTGCGGAATTGAATAAATTTTCAAAAAAACGATGAAAATTGGAATAATAATGAAGGAATGTTTAAAAACAATATTTTATGATTACAAACGAGTAATTCTTTTTTTTTGAGAGAGAGAGAGAGAGAATTGCAAATGAAGTTGTTTTTGAAAAATTTTGCATGCAACTTTGATTTGAAAAATAAATGTCTATATAAACATTGTTGACACACGTTTCATTTTCATTGTCCTTGAAATTAAATTGCGGGAAATAGTAAATACGTACATTGCACCTATTTGAGTGAACGATCATATCGGAAAATATACGCGGCATTTACTATTAATAGTAACCTACTCGTTGCTATTCATTGAAGCAATCAAGATGAATTAGCGGAAATAAAAAAAAGAACTTTTGCTATTTCTCAGTTTCTTTTTCTCTTAATTTAATTTATTTAAAAATACATAATAATTCTACTTTCCGATTATTTGCAAATTAAGTCTATTTCAAAATGCTTTTTCAAAATTATTTATTTTTCAATTATTTTTCATATTTAATTTTTTAATTCTTTTTTATATTTAATTTTTCAATTCTTTTTCATATTTAATTCTTTTTTTTTGAAAATAATGTAAAACTATGGAAAAATGAAGACTAACTTTGCTGAGGCAGAGTTTTTTTTATTTTTCGTTTGAGTATTTTTTTCAAATACAAATTTAGAATTGAAAACAAAATATTAATCTTGAGATGATGATTTCAGATTGACTCGTAATTTAACAAAAATTAAAGGCAGAGAGAGAGAGAGAGAGAGAGAGAGAGAGAGAGATTGAAGGTTTTTGCTCAACGACGAACAGAATTAATTCGATGATTAATTTGAGATGATAAGATCATTAGCTCATTGGGATCGTGGTACAATTATAGAAATAATCATCAGCATCATCATCATTGTCTAAAGCGCAATTAATTCGGGACATTTGGCCATTTAACAGAGTTCTACTTTGAGTTATAACATTTCGTAAACAATCTTTTATAGATGCACATAAAGGAGAAACAGAAAAACAGGTGATACGTGCCTTGAGTCAGGAATCGCACGTGCTGATTATTATTTTTTTTTTTTTGCACAATAAATCTTAATTTAACAACTTTTTGTAATGAATATTTTTCTCTTATTTTCTATAATCATATGGGCACTTATTGACCATTATCGTGTAATTTGAAAATGTTTTCATCTCATTAACTTCCGGCCTTCATTTTTCATTTTTCAAGTAGAATATGAGAGTCTGCGTGTTCGGTCATTTTCTATATAGTACATATAATAGTTTCACTTATGTAAGCGAAAATACACCGATATTGTCCTTGACAATTTGTGTCATCGTGAATTTACAGTGCACCATCTGGTGGTGTACGCCTTTGTGCAAAGGCATGGTTCCCCATCAAGTGAAGGAAACCAATTATTGTATAGTAGATAGATCTACCCCATTTTTTAAGTAAACGCGGAAGATTATTACTCTATTTCCGCGATCGCGCGGAATTTGGTCGAGTCGGGAAGCTGTTCTTTTTGAATTATACCGAGTCGAACTACAGCTAAATTTAAAATGTTTCTTCCAGCGTTCACATCTCTATTCCATGCTGTCCTGCAACTGGAGCAATAGGCAGTTCTATTTCTTAGAATTTTCATCTTCTGATTACATGTACTGCACATTTTAGTGGTATTAAATTCGTCGATAAAAACAAGACGTAAATTTTTATATTTATCTTGCTTTTCGGCTAATCTTCGTACCACTTTTCTTAATGGCATGCGTACATGACCACGCATCCACGGTGAGATTTTTGGACTGCCTATTGCTATGAGTTGTTTTTCTTTTCTATTCCCTACCAGATAATCAGCAAGATAATCAGTTTCTCGTTGGACAAGCATGTATTTGTCCCACTTGAGGCGAGCTATTTTCTTCTTCTCCATATTCGGTTGTTGATCGTAAAAGGTTCTTAATAAAAATTTAGTACACGGAATAATAAGTGATGGATCGCGATGATTTACTTTGTCTTTGAATTCGGGAGTGTCTAATAAAGTTTCGTAATACTTTTTCTGATCATTTCCTACTTTATATAAAATCGATCGCCGTTTATATTCCTGAGTTTGGAAACGAAATGTTGCCGTGGGGATTTTAATCGGTTTGTTTTTAGAATTAATATCAAAGTCTTGCTTCATTTCCCTTTCAACGCCACCGAAAGCAAGCTTTAATCCTGGGTCTAGTCCTTTTAAAATTTTATATTTAGTTTTATCGCGCACATCTCCTTGTTCGGTAGGCAAGAAATCAATTATTTTCTTTGGTTTTATAACATTAAAAATTACTGAAACGGCAATCCCGTCGGTCATAATTGTCCCTGAAAATTTATACTTCTTTTTATTAACGCGTAATTTCGAGATATTGAAAAGTCTTTACCACCTTCGTTCATTTTCAAGATATTTATCTTGATTCCTCTCAGTCACGACTTTTTTGTGAATTTCTGTAATGTTTTTTAATTCTTTGTTGATGATGGACAAATCTTCATTTAAAACTTTTAATTTTAATTCCAATTCGGCCAATCTTTTTTTATTCTGGGGATTTTTTTCACTTTTTATTAACTTTATATCTCTCGTCAAAATTTTCTTATCACTAGACAATTTTTCCTTCTTTTCCTTTACCGGTGAGATGAGTTTCTTGTGATCTGCCTCTTGTTTCGAAATTTCGGCTTTCGTCATTTTCTTGGTTGGTGTTTTTTCTCCAGTTTTATTTTGCTTCTTCTTGAATACATTTTCCAATTCACTCAGTGCAGTATTTGTGTAGCAGATGTACTTTACACCAGGTTTCATTATAGGCACAAGCATGAAGCCTCTTATTTTTTCATCGACAAAGTATTTTTGTAAGCGAATATAAAAAGGGAGAAATTTGTGACACGTATTTTTATCCTCGATGTCTCCAAAATCCAATTCCTCCAAATTCATTTGATTTAATGTTTCACTTTCGCATTTATTTAAAAGAAGATTGTCAATTAAGGTTTTAATTGTGTAACCTTCTTTTTCTTCTTCCTCTTCCTCTTCCGTTTTGTCTTTTTCAATTGTTGCAGATGTTTCAACGCTTGTTTCATTTTCAGGTGTTATTTCCTTCTGCAGATTCCTGCACGGTTTGTTTTTGGGTGTTGTCTTTGGTGGTTTGATGCTCGGCTTCTTGGAAAATTTCTTCTTGCCTCGATTCCTTCCAATAGTTTTCCTTGCGTCGTAGACAATTTTTCTCTGTTCAACATTATGTGATTTTTGTTCCGTTTTCGATTTAATGTTTATTAATTTGTCCCTCATTTTTTTATTTTTTGGATACAAATTTCTACATTTATTGTGTTTTCCAACTCTCTTCTGTCTTCCAGATTTTCTTTTCATCCTCTTCTTCCTGTCCCATTTAATTCGTTTTTTCTTGCACGTTTCCTTTTTTCTTCTTTTCGCTTCATCTCCCTCTCTTCAATGGATTTTTCGTCAATGACTCTGGATTTTCTCTCCTTGTAGCTCGGTGATTTTTTAAACAGTTCATTTTTAAAAAATTTGGCAAGTCGATTTCTACAGTGCGTAGTGAGATTTGTAGTGAAATTTGTATCCATTTGTGCAGCCATTTGTTGTATTTGAGAAGATAAGTTAGTGCAATTGAATTTTTCCAATGGTCGCCCCATATATTCTGAAAATTCAGGAACAAATTCTTCACGCAACTTTTTGAGAAATGCATTCTGTGTTGAAGTAATACGTTCCTTCTCTTTGAATAAATATGTAATTGTTAAGTAATCGGGCCCATTCTTAGACCATTCGTCAAGAAAAAAAGTATTTGTAGGATGTCTAAGGGCAAAATTAACAAATACAGATATCAAGATGAACATACGTGATAACATTTGTACTTGATCATTGATAATTGTACGAAGTTGTTCATTCGGGCAGAAAGATTCAAATACAGTCTTTATTGTAAATTTCGATTGTTGTTGTTGTTCTTTCCTGGATGTAGATTTCTTTGTTTTCTTCAATTTTTCAGAATCATTTCTGCTACTTTTAGATGGTGTCGCTAATGGCTCGGGGATTTTGAATGTCGAATCTTTTTCTTCCTGTAAATGGAGACTTTGCAAAAAGTCGTTTTCATCAGCTTGACGACTCGTGCTGGGTATCGGAGATAATGATTTTTTCTTCTTAAGAGGAGCTTTTCTTCCTAATTTCTGCTCCTTTGATGTTGATTGTTGGCTGAAAACATCTTCAACTAGTTTCTCTTCTTTTAAATTCAGCTTGTATCTTTTTTTCGGCGTAGGACTAGATGTTGTTTCTTCCTCTTCCTCTTCATTATCAATATCCATCGGTGTACTGCTGTCCTTGAATGATGATGATGACACGATGTTCATCAGTCCCAAATTACGTTGCCATGATAACGTTGTATCATCATCAAAATCATGTTCCTTCGACTTGCAATAATCTACTCCACTTCCTACAGACATTCGGGTGTTCTCGTCGAAAAATTGAAATAGTTCCTTTTCTATTTGAACGTTGGATGGAATTTCATCGAGCGACACTTCTTCTTCAGTAATTCCGCATGTAGACGAACAAGCTTCTTCCATGAATGTTGGGTCAAATAATGGACAACGCACTCGACTTTCATTACTTTCAAAAGATAATACGGGGATAAAAGGACTAGACACTGTTCTTTGAATTCTTGTACTTGTCTGTTGAGGGGGACAATTTTCCAATTCTAATGGGCGGTTAGACGATAAATTGAACTGCGGTAACGGGTTACTAGACGGTAATACTTGTATAAAAGGACGTGATACCGCACGTCGATGAAAATTATTCAATTTTTCTACGCGACGAATTTCATTTTCATGTCGAGATGGGGAAGATCTAACACTACTTACATTATCGTTTTCCTTTTCCATTTTAAAAATGTATATTAAATTTAAATCCGTAAATATTCGCAATCCGTAGAACGTAGTGTCCAGGTGATCCTTTCTAAAAAAATGCAAAGCAGAAAAAGCTCGAATTGAAAAAAGTCGAACTCGAAAAGTATCGAAGCAAGAAATAAGCATAGAGAATAAAAAAGAACATAGAAAGCGCACCTCACACTCTAAATGTAAACGAAATAGATGGAGCTGTCTTGGGTTTGTCTGGTTTATCTCAAGAAAAATTTATAAATAAAATGATTTTATTTATAAATAAAATAAAATCATAAATAAAAAAAGAAGGATATCAAATAATAAAAATATAATAATTAAAAATATAAAATAGAATTTAATTAAAAATTAAAATAGAATTAAGAATAAAGCAGCAACAAAGTCGACCGCCAAGCGGTCGACGAGGGCTCTGGTTTTATATAAAAAATTATTAAATTAAAAAACTGAACATTGTAACTTTTAAAAATTGAACAAAAATGAAGAAGGAATAGAAGCAACGAAGACGGCCGAAGGCCGTCTGAGGCGCTAGTTTTCTTAAAATACTCTTCTTCCTCGGTGAATCGTTTGCAGTGGAGGTTTTGACAGTGCGCTGCACTGATGGTTCGATCCTTCCCGTGTAAGACACTGGAGGAAAGTGATTGTAGAATTGGCAATTCGACAATTTTCGACTAGAAAGGCTCTGTAACAAATTAAAAAAAAAAATTTTATTAGAAAAGATGTTCTTAGATAACAAATTTTGTATTTGTAAATATAGCAAGATGTCAAGAAACATTTAAAATGCATTTATAGTAATATAAAATATGTTCACCTTTTGCAAAGAAGGCTCGGACGTTAAAGAAAGACACGAATGAATTTCCTTATCAAGCTCGACTAGAGCACCGTTGCAGTGGAGGTTTCGTAGATAGATACTTCCTGTGTAAGACACTGGAGGAAAGTGATAGCTCTCAGTGTGCGTGTGCTCTTTTTATACAAACAGCACGGACGTTGACGAAAGGCTTGTGCGAGACGACTAAATTTCCTTGTAGAGCTATAAATCAAGCTCGACAAGAGCACCGTATGCCGTGGAGGTTTCGTCAGTGCGCTGCACTGTTGGTTAGATCCTTCCTGTGTAAGACACTGGAGGAGAGTGAAACTCCCAGTGTGCGTGTGCTACTTTTATACAAGCGCACAGACGTTGAAGGAAGGCTTGTGCGAGACGACCGAATTTCCTTGCTGAGAGCCAACTCAAGCTCGACAAGAGCACCTTCGATGTGGAGGTTTTGTCAGTGCGCGGTCACTGTTGGTTAGATCCTTCCCGTGTAATTTATTTATTTATTTATTTGGAAAATCACGGGACAAGCCCTTTTGTACAAAGTACTCATAAAACTAGTAAATACAATATGAAACAAATATAAGCTTAAATGCTAGGTAGCCTATGTCACATATCTGTTTGAATTAAAAAGTAGGCTTCGCAATCGTAATGAAAATCTTAAAGCATTAGTATCAAAAAAATCAACATCACTCTCAATTGAGTTAGCTTCTCTACATAGTCGATGTATTAAAGAATTATTTCCATAATTAGTTCTGTGAAAAGGAACTGAGAATAGAGTGTTGAATCTCGTTATTGTTCTAGGAACTCGTAAGTTAACCATTGAAAGAAGTGAAGGGCAGTAAATAGCTCCATTCAACAGCCTGTACAGAAAAGACATATCAGAAAAATAGAATCTCGAAGTTAAAGTAGGAATATTCATTTTAACCCTCAAGTGTTTATAGTCATGTGTATAAAAATCAAAAGGAATATTAAGCAGTCTAGCAGCAAATCTCAGGAATCTATTCTGAACACGTTCAAGTCTGATTATATTAAAAACATAGAATGGAGACCAAATCACACATGCATACTCGATCATAGATCTAACAAGCGTCAGAAACAAGGTTTTAACAGTGATAATTTTATTAAACACTGAAGCATTCCTCATTATGAACCCAAGAGATTTTGTAGCCTTAGATACAGTTTCAGTTATGCGCTCATTAAAAGAAAAATCGTTAGTAAATGAAACACCCAAATCTCGCACCCTTGTCACTCTGACCAAAACAATCCCATCAAGAATATAGTCAAATAAATTAACCCTACCCTTAGTGAAAGACATAACATAACTCTTGTTAGTATTTATACTGAGGTGATTATCGTTACACCAAACTTGTAGACTCCTCAGATCTGACTGCAAATCCGAGGAGTCCTCTTGAAAGGTTGGAAGCTTAGTTTTTATGAAACATTTTAAATCATCCGCATAGAGCAGAAACAAGGAATGCTTAAAGATGGGTTTAATATCATTCATATATATCACAAACATTTAAGGGACCAAGACGTGATCCCTGCGAAACACCCGAGGTTGCTAAAAAAGGATCGCTATAAATACTATTGACCCTGACTACCTGACACCTATCAGAAAGATAACTTTTGAAAAAATTGACTATGTTATCAGAAATTCCTATAGATCTAAGTTTATGCAATAGTATATTGTGTTCAACCCTATCAAATGCCTTTGAGATATCTGCATAGATAGTCTCAATCTGGTAACCCTTCTCAATATTCTCAGATAAGTAAGTTGAAAAAATACCAAGATTTGTCAATGTGGATTTACCCTTAACAAATCCATGTTGTTCCTCTATAATGATCCCTGAGACTGCCGCGTATATATTATCAAAAATAATACTCTCGAATATTTTCGCAAAAGAACTTAATAACGTTATTGGTCTATAATTCTGTGTGTCGTTCTTATTATCAGACTTGTACACGGGTGTTATTACTCCCCTTCTCCAGTCCAGTGGAAACACTGAGGATTGTAAAGATTTATTAAAAATTATAAATAACGGCTCAATGATCGAATAGCCACATGACTTAATGAAGGAAGGAGGTATTCCATCCGGACCCGCCCCCTTGTTAATATTCAAATCTTTAATTATCTTAAAAATATCATTTCTGTTGACACTAATTTTATTAAGACTGACATCAAAGTTCGAGTTAAAAGATGAATCTGGATACTGTGTTGTTGGTAAAGTGTAAACTGACTTAAAATGTTTTGCAAAAAGATTAGAAATTTCATACGGTGTATCTCCAGATTCATCCTTGAAAAACATATGTTTTTGTGCAGGAATATTATGATCTCGACGAGTGGAACTTACATACTTCCAAAAAAAATTTGGATTTTCCAATATAGCATTTTCGGTATTAGAAATAAAGTCATTGTAACAAGTCCTAGAACAAATCTTACATTCAGCCCGTAGCTTAGAAAAATATAAGTAATTTTTATCACTTTTGTCTTTGATGTAATTTAAATGAGCTTTTCTTTTAGCAAATACTAATGATTTTAATTCCCCAGTAAACCATGGAGGAAAAGTTGAAAACCTGTGATATTTCAAAGGAATAAACATATCGAAAATATTATATAAATAATCATAAAATACTAGTAACACTTTGTCAACATTGTCATCATTCAAAAGTAAATTCCAGTTTGTGAAATTTAAGTATGTAATAATGTCTGCCACATTTGCTTTTTTGAAATCATAACTAACATTGTAACCTTGCGAAAGATCATTATCAAAAATATTTAAATTAAAAAAAATAACATCAATTAATAGAGGGGGGTGATAATTATCAACAGGTAGAATAGAGTCACAAATAGTGTTTACGGTTAAAAAATCCCCATTACAGATGATCAAATCAAGAATCGAACCGAAAATATTCGTATTTTTGTTTATTTGTGACAAGCCTAAGAAGTCGATGGTATCAAGAAAAAGAGATGTTATTTGCTGCTGTTGAAATGAGAGTTCATTAAGTAAATCCAATTGTGAAATATTTCCAAGAAAAAATTTGGTTAAATATGGCAAATTAAAATCTCCAAGAATAAGTATAAGAGCATTAAAATACTGGTCATGCACTTCTTCAAAAATATTACACACCTCGACAAAAACACTAATTGATGAATTGGGAGGTATGTAAAAACAGCCAAGAATGTATAAATTATTTTTGTATCTAAATTTAACAAATACGTGCTCAATGGAAGATATTCTAGTATCAATAATTGAGCTATGCAAATTTTTTTTTACCGCAATCAGAACACCTCCACCTTTAGTCTTATCACTAGTTGCACTGCTCCTGTCAAACCGAAAAATATCAAAGTTGTGAAAACCAAGTTCGTGGAATATTATATTATCGTTTAGCCAAGTTTCAGATAGTAGATAAACACTATAATTATAAATGGGAATGTTTTGACGGAGATCGTGCACCTTCGTACGTAAGCCCCTAACATTTTGATAATACAGTTGCCTAGGTGGGGAAGTCACTGAGAGTGGGATGGCTCTCCCACCTGTAACGTAACAGTGGTCGTGCGTTTCGGTGGGGGAACTTTGACAATCATAGGGACTCCTCGACGATACACTAATGCGATGTTCATCTCTCACTCCCGCCGACGCGCAGCCAGCTGATCTTGGACTCCTCGAATCTCCTCTCTCTGCATAGACGTTTTGTCTCGCGTTAGGGACAGATTTTTCAACTCTGTGGAACGGACTGGGTCTCGCTTCGCAGCAATAAAGGCCCTTAGTACTTTCTGTGCCCCTTCCTCCGTCACGCACACAATTTTCACCGGTCTGGGTTTTCATAGGACCTGCGCATTTGAACCGATTCTTAACATTTTAACACTTTCTAGGTCAACAACATTTATTGAATTTCTAAGTCTATTAATAACCAGTGTTTTTAAGTCTGCTGTATTCAATGTGTCGTTTTCGGGAAGACCAAATAATACGAGATTTTGTTTCCTATCATTCCTGTCAAGTATTTCATTAACACACACACTTGCATTTAGTTTAGGATCAACTTTTTCGGAAAGGGTGGTCTCGCATTTATCAAGTCTCCCTTCCACGGTTACTATACGGTCAGACAGAGAGGAGACCCTACCTTCAATCTTATCAAGTCTAGACAATGTGTCGTCAAGCTTGATATTTATGTCTGCAAAATTTTCATTCATGTTGATGAAATTAGTGGAAACTGTACGTGTCAGTTTATCCAAAGCTGCCATGACCGTATCAAAGTTGCCCGCTGCTAGGGAATCTTGGGAAATAACTGAAGGAGATGAAGACCTGGGTTTACAGCATATCTTGAATGAGCCATCGGGTAATGTAGACATCTGTGACACACAACTTCGATGATAAGGCAGATCGCATCCGGTGCAAAAAATAGGTAATGCACGTGTAATATCTTTACTACACTTTGCACATCTTTCCACACCACCACTTGATGCCATTTCAGCCACACCAGAAAATTAATACAAAGAACACAGAACCCAAACTGAACATTCAAAAATATCCGTTAATAACCGCACCAAAACTTTAGTGTTCAAAGTGAGGTTAGGACAGAATAATCCCAAGAATCTACAGTCCAAAGATCGTTAATTTTGCAATAGAAGTCACCAGCTAAGCAAACCGAAAAGACACAATTGAAACCGACCGTCTATTGTGAATATAAATGTCTCAAACAAACAAAATATCAACTTTTAAACTCAGACAAACGCACAAGCATGTGCACTAATTGGCCACCTAGCGGCCATTGTAATACACTGGAGGAAAGTGAAGCTCTCAGTGTGCGTGAGCTTCTTTTATACAAGCAGCACGGACGTTGACGAAAGGCTTGTGCGAGACGACTAAATTTCCTTGTAGAGCTATAAATCAAGCTCGACAAGAGCACCTTCGCCGTGGAGGTTTCGTCAGTGCGCTGCGCTGATGGTATGGTCCTTCCTGTGTAAGACACTGGAGGAAAGTGAAGCTTTCAGTGTGCGTCTGCTACTTTTAAGCAGGTTCTACATGGGATACCCGACACGTGAAACGGGCCCCCTCTCCAATACCAACTTCTCCTCCGTGAGTAGGGAAAAGCATTTGGTAGATAGAGTAGAGGGGGCACGTCGTGTCGGGCATCCCATGTAGAACCTGCTTTATACAAGCGCACGGACGTTGAAGGAAGACCCCACTGCGTGGGGGGAATTACTCCCTACTTTCATGCTTAGTAATAGCTTTCTCTCTCTCTCTCTCTATCTCTTGGCACGTCAAAGTGTTGCTAAGCATGAGAGTGTTGTGTCAGCTTAAGGTTTTTACAGAGAAAACTCTGAGGGAGCATTTACACCTTCAGTAAAAATTTCCAGAACGGAAAATTTTTCATTGGAGTAAGAGAGACAGACTGTGTATCTGACTCTCTTACTCCAATGCAAATTTTCATTTCTGGACAATTTTTACAGAAGGTGTAAACGCTCCATGAATTGTGAAATATTGCTGCGTTGGAGAATGCACCTTATAATACCCCCATCACATATTTTTTTTGGAAACTACAAAAGTTCTACGCATTATGTTCTCAACCCTGAATTTAAGAGACTAGTTTCTCAGCCGTGAATAGAAGTAATAGAAAATAATAATTATAACTACAGTCGGGTCCCCATACTGTTACATTTCCAGAAATTTCCCACTCCTCCAGACTCAGCTCTGTTATGTGCTCAAAGTATGTCTACTGCGCACCTTTCAGGAACGTAAATATATACACCTCAAGTTTGGCCTAGAAGTATATGCCCCCTTTTCTTTGGGCTTAAGAATACGGCCCTGAAAATTGGTGACGTAACGTGACGTCACCTAACACTTCTGAATTTGGAGGTTATGCAAAAACATAACACTACTGAGGACATAACAGTTTGGAATCTAACAGTATGGGAACCTGACTGTATTAGAGCAAGAGAGTATAATATCTGTTTACATTATATCGAATTTATTCCTCGGTAAGTTAGGTAATAAAATTGCGACTTGAACGCAATATTTTTTCCGATTTCCCGATTTTCGGAACCAATATTTATTTCAATATAAAATATATTTTGAAATAATAATTCAATTTATTTTATTTTAAAGATTGTAAATTACTCAAAAAAATTTTGATTAAAGATGAAAAAATGAATTTCCAAGTTTTATTATTAGAGCTAAAGGATAAAATATGCCCAAGTGAGAAAACTACTATATTCTGACGATAAAATAATAAATGAGACAACACAATATAAAAACAAATATGCAGCAATTGAAATTTTAATAGAAATGCAAAGTTCTCTTTTAAAAACCTCCATCAATTTATTTAAAGTCTGTAAAAGGCAGTTTTTTTGAAAAAAAACCGTAAATTGTACGATATGATTTAGAGAATTTTTCAGAAGTTACAAATGGTTGCAGAATTTTAATTATTTTTAAAAGTAATTAATTCTTTGGATAAATTAAATTATGTTTCAAAATTTTGGAAGATTCTCGTCAAAATTAAATTTTGTTTCAAATTAAAGATCTTGAGAATGTTTTGGGTTTTGGGGAAGAAAGCATGCACCCGCTTGATTTGTTCTTAAAAAATATATTATTTAGAATTTGACTATAAAAAATGTCAATAATTATTCAAAATCTTTTTCAATTCTATATTTCTAACATTTAACTCTGACAACTATAATATTAATTTTTTTTCAATCATTTTCTCATTTAAATACAATTTTGAAAGGTAAAATTCAATTTAATGCAATTTCTATTCAATTTGGCAACTTATTTACCTAAATTAAATTTCCTTTGTTTCGATACTAAAAATATTTTACAAAAATTAAATTCATTTCATTCATCAATGCCTAGCGAAAAAAATTATGAATTTACTTTTAGAATTCAAGGAAAAGTAATTAGATTTTCTGTTATTTTAATTTTAGTTTGAAAATATTTCATCTTTCTTTCGTTTTGTTTTTTTATTTCAAATTCTAAAAAAATCTCTCGGTCGCATCAATCTTTTAGATTGATTTGTTAATCTCAGTTCAGGGAGAAAAATTAATTACAAAACAGTTCGAAAGTTATAAATTTGAAAACATTATATTTCTGGACTTCGCTTATTATTTTATTGAGAGTCAAGACTCGTGACAAGATATTTGTTAATTTTCGAATCGTCGCATGAAAATATACACGTCGTGAACTTTTTTAAATATAACAAATTTTTTTTCAAGTACACGATTTAGATTTTAATTTCAATGTAAAAATTGTTTCATCTTTAAAATTAAATAAGGAAAATTTTTTTTAATCATTACATTTTAATTTGATATCGTAATTTTTGTTTAGAAAAGTAAAATTTGTTTTGATTCTGTTTTAAGTAATAAAACATCGTAAATTGGAAATTTTAATTATTATTGGAAAAGCAAATTGAGCGTTAAATTAAGTTTCAAAATAGTAAAAAAAACGCTTTTCATGAATATTATATCAAGCAGCATTTATTGACTGCACAAGGGTTTGACCCAGTTTATAGAAGACATATAGAAAATTTCTTAAGGAAAACAATAAGGAGATCGATGTATTTGATTGGATTGGTGGATTTTAAATTGTTTTTCTTAAGCAGGAAAAAAAATAATTCGAATGAAGAGAAATTATATTTTTTGAAATTCGAATAAACAGGAAAATTAAAACTTTTGTAATTCGAATGAATAAGAAAATTAATTTCTAGAAATGAATTAAAAATTGAGTTTGTATTTATAATTTGAGAAACTAATCGCAATTTTGATAAAGGAAATACAAAAAAAAGAGAACGCACTGCTTAAGTAAGCGCCTTTTTTTCCTACAATAAAATTATACATCGAGCACGTGACAATAATATAATCTATTTTTTTACGCTGCATCTTTCGCTATATTTTTCTTTTTTTTAATTTTCTTCACTTTCTTCCCTTTAATTATAAATAACAACCATATAGAGCGATAAATATTGAATTTCCTTTAATTTGAAATAACAGTTAATAATGAAACGAAAAATTTGCAAAAAATGTTTCATTAATAAAAATGAATCTTTTTTATTTTTTAGAAATATCAATAGTCAGAGAAAGAGGGGAACGAAAATTTATGGAAACGATTATTAATGTGGAATCAACGAATTATGAAATAGCGAATAACATTGACACACGTGACTCTATAATAATATGCATTTCAATTTCAAGGAAATATTGGAATAGGTCGCGAGCGAAATCTTGTGATAATCAATAGTCAAAAAAGAAAAAAAAATGTTTTGCATTTTTTCTTGACGTTGTCATTATTGACTTTGTCATTAATGTGATTGTTGACAAAAAATATTGACATTTAATCTTGAGAAAAGCTTTAAAGCTGGATGAAGTGATGCATTCATTAAGAGTAGAAAATAAGATAATCGTTGCACTGACACAAATGTCTTTATTTGCAAATACACCGTTAAAAATAAGACTATAACTTTACACTATGTATAAAGATTGAATTTCGCACCCTTAAAGTTTAAATGATTGATTCGAAACTTTAGGTTGAGTCCACAATAGGCACTTTTCTTAAAACGATGTAGAGGGTATGCATCGCTTTAAGAAAAGTGCCTATTGTGGACTTAACCTAAGGTTTATAAGCAGGGCTGGAAACTTTAAAGGTACTTTTACAATACATGCAGCAAAGTTATAGCTCATTTGGTGGTGTACGCCTTTGTGCAAAGGCATGGTCTCCCATCAAGTGAAGAAAACCAATTATTGTATAGTAGATAGATCTACCCCATTTTTTAAGTAAACGCGGAAGATTATTACTCTATTTCCGCGATCGCGCGGAATTTGGTCGAGTCGGGAAGCTGTTCTTTTTGAATTATACCGAGTCGAACTAGAGCTAAATTCAAAATGTTTCTTCCAGCGTTCACGTCTCTATTCCATGCTATTCTGCAACTGGAGCAATAGGCAGTTCTATTTCTTAGAATTTTCATCTTCTGATCACATGTACTGCACATTTTAGTGGTATTAAATTCGTCGACAAAAACAAGACGTAAATTTTTATATTTATCTTGCTCTTCGGCTAATCTTCGTACCACTTTTTTTAATGGCATGCGCACATGACCACGCATCCACGGGGAGATTTTTGGACTGCCTATTGCTATGAGTTGTTTTTTTTCTCTATTCCCTACCAGATAATCGGCAAGATAATCCGTTTCTCGTTGAACAAGCATGTACTTATCCCACCTGAGACGAGCAATTTTCTTATTCTCCATGTTCGGTTGTTGATCGTAAAAGGTTCTTAATAAAAATTTAGTACACGGAATAATAAGGGATGGATCGCGATGATTTACGTTGTCTTTAAATTCGGGAGTCTCTAATAAATTTTCGTAGTACGTTTTCGGATCATTTCCTACTTTATATAGAATCGATCGCCGTTTACATTCCTGAGTTTCGAAACGAAATGTTGCCGTGGGGATTTTAATCGGTTTGTCTTTAGAATTAATATCAAAGTCTTGCTGCATTTCCCTTTCAACCCCACCGAAAGCAAGCTTTAATCCTGGGTCTAGTCCTTTTAAAATTTTATATTTAGTCTTATCGCGCACATTTTCCTGTTCGGTTGGTGAGAAATCAATTATTTTCTTTGGTTTTATAACATTATAAATTACTGAAACGGCAATCCCGTCGGTCATAATTGTCCCTGAAAATTTATACTTCTTTTTATTAACGCGTAATTTCGAGAAATTGAAAAGTCTTTCCCATCTTCGTTCATTTTCCAGATATTTATCTTGATTCCTCTCAGTCACGACTTTTTTGTGATTTTCGGAAATGTTTTTTAATTCACTGTTGATGATGGATAAATCTTCATTTAAAACTTTTAATTTTAATTGCAATTCGGCCAATCTTTTTTTATTGTAGGGATTTTTTTCACTTTTTATTAACTTTATATCTCTCGTCAAAATTTTCTTATCACTCGACAATTTCTTATGCTTTTCTTTTACCGGTGAGATGAGTTTCTTGTGTTCTGCCTCTTGTTTCGAAATTTCGGCTCTCGTCATTTTCTTTGTTGGTGTTTTTTCTTCAGTTTTATTTTGCTTCTTCTTGAAAACAATTTCTAAATCACTCAGTGCAGTATTTGTGTAGCAGATGTACTTTAAACCAGGTTTCATAATAGGCACAAGCATGAAGCCTTTAATTTTTTCATCGACAAAGTATTTTTGTAAGCGAATATAAAAAGGGAGAAATTTGTGACACGTATTTTTATCCTCGATATCTCCAAAGTTCAATTTCTCCAAATTCATTTGATTTAATTTTTCACTTTCGCATTTATTTAAAAGAAGATTGTCAATTAAGGTTTTAATTGTGTAACCTTCTTTTTCTTCTTCTTCTTCCTCCTCCGCTTTGTCTTTTTCGATTGTTGCAGATGTTTCATCGCTTGTTTCATTTTCAGGTGTTATTTCCTTCTGCAGATTTCTGCACGTTTTGTTTTTGGGTGTTGTCTTTGGTGGTTGAATTCTCGGCTTCTTGGAAGATTTCTTCTTGCCTCGATTCCTTCCAATAGTTTTCCTTGCGTCGTAGACAATTTTCCTCAGATCAACATTACGTGATTTCTGTTCCGTTTTCGATTGAATGTTTATTAATTTGTCCCTCATTTTTTTATTATTTGGATACAAATTTCTACATTTATTGTGTTTTTCAATTCTCTTCTGTCTTCCAGATTTTCTTTTCATCCTCTTCTTCTTGTCCCATTTAATTCGTTTCTTCTTATTTTTTCTTGCACGTTTCCTTTTTTCTTCTTTTCGCTTCATGTCCCTCTCTTCAATGGATTTTTCGTCAATGACTCTGGATTTTCTCTCCTTGTAGCTGGGTGATTTTTTAAGCAGTTCATTTTTAAAAAATTTGGCGAGTCGATTTCTACAGTGAGTAGTGAGATTTGTAGTGAAATTAGTATTCATTTGTGCAGCCATTTGTTGCACTTGGGAAGTTAAGTTAGTGCAATCAAATTTTTCGAATGGTCGCCCCATATATTCTGAAAATTCAGGAACAAATTCTTCTCGCAACTTCTTAAGAAATGCATTCTTTGTTGATTTAACAGGTTCCTTCTCCTTAAATAAATATGTAATTGTTAAGTAATCAGGCCCATTCTTAGACCATTCGTCAAGAAGAAAAGTATTTGTAGGATGTCTAAGGGCAAAATTGACAAGTAGAGATATCAAGATGAACATACGTGATAACATTTGTACTTGATCATTCACAATTGTACGAATTTGTTCATTTGGGCAGAAAGATTCGAATCCAGTCTTTATGGTAAATTTAGTTTGTTGCTGTTGTTGTTGTTTTTCTTTCCTGGCTGTAGATTTTGTTGTTTTCTTCATATTTGATGGTGTCGCTAATGGCTCGGGGATTTTGAATGTCGAATCTTTCTCTTCCTGTAAATTGAGACTTTGCAAATAGTCGTTTTCATCAGCTTGACGACTCGTGCTGGGTATCGGAGATAATGATTTTTTCTTCTTAAGAGGAGTTTTTCTTCCTAATTTCTGTTCCTTTGATGTTGACTGTTGGCTGAAAACATCTTCAACTAGTTTCTCTTCTTTTAAATTCAGCTTGTATCTTTTTTTCGGCGTAGGACTAGATGTTGTTTCTTCCTCTTTCTCTTCATTATCAATATCCATCGGTGTACTGCTGTCCTTGAATGATGATGATGACACGATGTTCATCAGTCCCAAATTACGTTGCCATGATAACGTTGTATCATCATCAAAATCATGTTCCTTCGACTTGCAATAATCTACTCCACTTCCTTCTGACATTCGTGTGTTCTCATCGAAAAATTGGAACTTTTCTATTTGAACGTTGGATGGAATTTCATCGAGCGACACTTCTTCTTCAGTAATTCCGCTAGTAGACGAAGAAGCTTCTTCCATGGATGTTGGGTCAAATAATGGCCGACGCACTCTACCTTCATTACTTTCAAAAGGTAATACAGGGATAAAAGGACTAGACACTGTTCTTTGAATTCTAGCACTTGTCTGTTGAGGGGGACGATTTTCTAATTCTAATGAGCGGTTAGACGTTAAATTGAACTGCGGTAACGGGTTACTAGACGGTAATACTTGTATAAAAGGACGTGATACCGCACGTCGATGAAAATTATTTAATTCTTCTACGCGACGAATTTCATTTTCCTGTCGAGATGGGGGAGATCTATCACTATTTACATTATCATTTTTCTTTTCCATTTTAAAAATGAATATTAAATTTAAATCCGTAAATATTCACAATCCGTAGAACGTAGTCTTAAGGTGATTTTCTTAAAATACTCTTCTTCCTCGGTGAATTGTTTGCAGTGAAGGTTTCGACAGTGCGCTGCACTGATGGTTCGATCCTTCCCGTGTAAGACACTGGAGGAAAGTGATTGTAGAATCAGCAAGTCGACAATTTTCGACTAGAAAGGATCTGCAACAAATTTAAAAAAAAAATTTTATTAGAAAAGATATTCTTAGATAACAAATTTTGTATTTGTAAATGTAGCAAGATGTCAAGAAACATTTAAAATGCATTTATAGTAATATAAAATATGTTCACCTTTTGCAAAGAAGGCTCGGACGTTGAAGAAAGACACGAATGAATTTCCTTGTAGAGCTTCAAATCAAGCTCGACTAGAGCACCGTTGCAGTGGAGGTTTTGTAGATAGATCCTTCCTGTGTAAGAAAATGGAGAAAAGCGATTGTAGAATTAGCAACTCGACAATTTTCGACTAGAAAGGCTCTGTAACATATTTTTAAAAAAAATTTTATTAGAAAAGATATTCTTAGATAACAAATTTTGTATTTGTAAATGTAGCAAGATGTCAAGAAACATTTAAAATGCATTTATAGTAATATAAAATATGTTCACCTTTTGCAAAGAAGGCTCGGACGTTGAAGAAAGACACGAATGAATTTCCTTGTAGAGCTATTTAATCAAGCTCGACGAGAGCACCGTTGCAGTGGAGGTTTTGTAGACAGATCCTTCCCGTGTAAGACACTGGAGGAAAGTGATAGCTCTCAGTGTGCGTGTGCTCGTTTTATACAAGTAGCACTGACGTTGACGAAAGGCTTGTGCGAGACAACTAAATTTCCTTGTAGAGCTATAAATCAAGCTCGACAAGAGCACCTTCGCCGTGGAAGTTTTGTCAGTGCGCGGGCACTGTTGTAAACGTCCTTCTAGTGTAAGACACTAGAGGCAAGTGAAGCTCCGAGTGTGCGTGTGCTACTTTTATAGAAGCGCACGGACGTTGAAGAAAGGCTTGTGCTAGACGACCGAATTTCCTTCCTGAGAGCCAACTCTAGCTCGACAAGAGCACCTTCGCTGTGGAGGTTTCGTCAGTGCGCGGGCACTGTTGGTGAGATCCTTCCCGTGTAAGACACTGGAGGCAAGTGAAGCTCCCAGTGTGCGTGTGTTGCTTTTATACAAGCGCGAGGACGTTGAAGGAAGGCTTGTGCGAGACGACCGAATTTCCTTGCTGACAGCCAACTCAAGCTCGACAAGAGCACCTTCGCTCTCGAGGTATTGTCAGTGCGTTGGGCACTGTTGGAGAGATCCTTCCTGTGTAAGACACTGGAGGCAAGTGAAGCTCCCAGTGTGCGTCTGCTACTTTTATACTAGTGCACGGACGTTGAAGAACGGCTTGTGCGAGACGACCGAATGTCCTTGCTGACAGCCAACTCAAGCTCGACAAGAGCACCTTCGCCGTGGAGGTTTCGTCAGTGCGCTGAACTGATGAGTAGATCCTTCCCGTGTAAGACACTGGAGGCAAGTGAAGCTCCCAGTGTGCGTGTGCTACTTTTATACAAGCGCACGGACGTTAAAGAATGGCTTGTGCGAGACGACTGTATTTCCTTGCTGAGAGCCAACTCAAGCTTGACAAGAGCACCGTCACCGTCGAGGTCTTGTCAGTGCGCGGGCACTGTTGGTGAGATCCTTCCCGTGTAAGACACTGGAGGCAAGTGAAGCTCCCAGTGTGCGAGCGCTACTTTTATACAAGCAGCACGGACGTTGAAGAACGGCTTGTGCGAGACGACCGAATTTCCTTGCTGAGAGCCAACTCAAGCTCGACAACAGCACCGTCGCCGTCGAGGTCTTGTCAGTGCGCTGAACTGATGAGTAGATCCTTCCCGTGCAAGACACTGGAGGAAAGTGAAGCTTCCAGTGTGCGTCTGCTACTTTTATGCAAGTAGCACGGACGTTGAAGAAAGGCTTGTGGAGACGACTGAGTTTCCTTGCAGACAGCCAACTCAGGCTCGACAAGAGCACCTTCGACGTGGAGGTCTTGTCAGTGCGCGGGCACTGTTGGTTAGATCCTTCCCGTGTAAGACACTGGAGGCAAGTGAAGCTCCCAGTGTGCGTGCGCTACTTTTATACTAGCGCACGGACGTTGAAGAAAGGCTTGTGCTGGACGACCGAATTTCCTTGCAGAGCCAACTCAAGCTCGACAAGAGCACTGTTGCCGTGGTAATTTCATCAGTGCGCTGCGCTGATGGTCCTTCCCGTGTAAGACACTGGAGGAAAGTGAAGCTCCCAGTGTGCGTGTGCTACTTTTATACAAGCGCACGGACGTTGAAGGAAGACCCCACTGCGTGGGGGGAATTTACGGAAGCTTCTACGCGCCACCCTGCGGCACTCACTCGCTTTACGAGGCACAAGGCAAATGTCGTTTGAAGCACCCTGCTAGTGAATGCCTTGTACGATGCCTCGGTGTGTGCCTCGTAGGGTGCCTCGATGCGTGCTTTGTGCGACCAGTAGTAGACCAGTGTTTTGAAATTTTAAACGGCTTTAAATGTAAATCAGAATTCTCAAAAAAAAAATTTGACTAGTTCAGGTTAAATTAATAACTAATTGCTGTTAATATTTTTAAATTAAAAAGTGTAAATTTTAGAATAATTACAAATTTTGTTGAATCTTTTTTTGGATTGTAGTGAGGGTGTTGAAATGTATTTTTACTTGAGAGATAGGTTATATAACCTCTAGTTGTCTTAAAAATTTTAAGCAAATATGTACATCTTGAATAATTATTGAATTCAATCCTCATATATAAAAATATATTGAATCGTACTTGCAGCTTGTCATAAATAACTTTTTTGGTAGGTGAAAATGGTGAAAACATAACCTTGACATTTTATACTCAAGTAAAAGAAACATTTCAACACCCTCACTACAATCTAAAACAAGATTCAACAAAATTTGTAATTGAAGGGTGGCATGACAAAAATGGTCAAGCAACAATTTAACGATTTTACAGGAAACGAAAATAACACATTAAAAATTTTTTCTGATCATTAAAAAAAAATCTAAAAAAAACCGTTTGGAAATACTATTTCGCTCAATCAGTAGAAATAAAATTTATGAAGATAAACCTACAACCTACATATTAGTGAGAAAAATAAGTAAAAGTGTACTATTTTGTGGTTACGTCAAATGCGCATATTTTGTTATAAAATTATAATTGTTAAAAAATATACAGTTTAAAGAAAAACTGAAAAATTAGTTTTTTAATATTGAAATGACGAATTGAATGCAAAAAAGTTTGCTTTGAAAAAGTTGTTTGTTTTCAAGAAAATTGTTAATTTAATGTTAACTTTTGAAAGTAAAAAGTATAGAAATTATCAAATGTAAACTACAAACAGGAATATTTAAAAATTAACAGAAGAATAATATTTAAATTATTGAAAATTAGATAAAGAATAAAAATTATTTCTAAATAGACATACAGTTTTTCAGAGAAATTTAATATATATTTAATGATATAAAAAAGAAATAAATATTTTTAACGATATTAATCTATTCATAATAATATTCATTTCTTTTGTTTTTTAACTGAATTGCATTGTAAGTAAAAATATGTAGGCTATTGTCTTATTCTTATTTTTATTAAAAACGAGTTTAAAAAACAATTTACAAGAAAATCCTTTTACAGAACTGTGTAAAAGAATTTACCTGATTTTTTTCTAAAAATATCTCAATTTCGAAAAATTGTTGCTGACTCCCTTTTGTCATGCCACCCTTCAATTATTCTAAAATTTACACTTTTTAATTTAAAAATATTAACAGCAATTAGCTATTAATTTAACCTGAACTAGTCAAATTTTTTTTTTGAGAATTCTGATTTACATTTAAAGCCGTTTAAAATTTCAAAACACTGGTCTACTACTGGTCGCACAAAGCACGCATCGAGGCACCCTACGAGGCACACACCGAGGCATCGTACAAGGCATTCACTAGCAGGGTGCTTCAAACGACATTTGCCTTGTGCCTCGTAAAGCGAGTGAGTGCCGCAGGGTGGCGCATAGAAGCTTCCGTAGGAATTACTCCACACTTTCATGCTTAGCAATAGCTTTCTCTCTCTCTCTATCTCTTGGCGCGTCAAAGTGTGGCTAAACATGAGAGTGTTGTGTCAGCTTAAGGTTTTTACAGAGAAAACTCTGAATTGTGAAAAATTGCTGCGTCGAAGAATGCACCTTAATACCCCACACCACATCTTTTTTTTGGAAACTACAAAAGGGCAACGCACTATGTTCTCAACCCTGAACTTAAGAGACTAGTTTCTCAGCCGTGATAACGTTAATCAAAACAAACCGGGTATTTAAATGTGACATTTTTAATAAAATAATAAATAATTAATAGAAGAAATTGAACATAATAATTGTAACAATTAGAGCAAGAGAGTATAATATCTGTTTACATTATATCGAATTTATTCCTCGGTAAGTTAGGTAATAAAATTGCGACTTGAACGCAATATTTTTTCCGATTTTCCGAACCAATATTTATTTCAATATAAAATATATTTTGAAATAATAATTCAATTTATTTTATTTTAAAGATTGTAAATTACTCAAAAAAATTTTGATTAAAGATGAAAAAATGAATTTCCAAGTTTTATTATTAGAGCTAAAGGATAAATATGCCCAAGTGAGAAAACTACTATATTCTGACGATAAAATAATAAATGAGACAACACAATATAAAATCAAATATGCAGCAATTGAAATTTTAAAAGAAATGCAAAGTTCTCTTTTGAAAACCTCCATCAATTTATTTAAAGTCTATAAAAGTCAGTTTTAAAAAAAAAAACCGTAAATTGTACGATATGATTTAGAGAATTTTTCAGAAGTTACAAATGATTGCAGAATTTTAATTATTTTTAAAAGTAATTAATTCTTCGCAGAAATTAAATTATGTTTCAAAATTTTGGAAGATTCTGGTCAAAATTAAATTTTGTTTCAAATTAAAGATCTTGAGAATGTTTTGGGTTTTGGGGAAAAAAAGCATACACCCGCTTCATTTGTTCTTAAAAAATATATTATTTAGAATTTGACTATAAAAAATGTCAATAATTATTCAAAATCTTTTTCAATCACACTGTGCGAGATTGAAAAAACATCGTTTCAATCTCTTTGGTGTAATGTTGTAATTCGATTTTTAACAGTGTACGTATATACACATTTGCCGCAGGTAGAAACAGATGGGGCATTGCCCCGCAAGTTCTTCTATAAAAGTGGGTCAGCGGGTCCAACAAATGTCACTTCACGAGCTTTTTATTGCTCAAGAAGATAAAATTTTTTCTTTTTTTACTCTATAAACAGAAACCAACAAATTTTGAAACCTTAAGACTTTTTAAATAATATTTACATTTATTATCGCAATATATTATTATTATTATTAAAATCCATTATTATAATTACATTTATTACTAAATTTAGTTTTGAATTTAATTTTGAAATAAAAATTCAAGACAATAAGACAAAAATTAATCATTATTGTTGCATTGAAAAATTATAAATTAACTAGAAAATGATACGCGCGGAATACGGTTTTTCATTTATTATTATTTATGCAAATTAAAAAAAAATTGCAATTTTGGAATAATTTCAGATTCAAAATTTTAATAATTTTGGTTAATAACTAATTTACTAATTAATTATAATTAGGTACCTATTTATTGTATTCAAAAACTGTAATCAAATTCTTTGCAGGAATTCTATTGAGAAATTTTATTAAAATTGTATTGAAAATAATTGAATTATTTCTTTTACAATTTGATAAAATTCTTCGCAAAAATTACATTATTTAGTAAAATTTCAAGAAAATTCTTTATAAGAAAAAAATTTAATTAAATACTTTGAAAACAAATTAAATTTTCTTATTAAATAATAAAATTGTTAGCAAAAATTGAATTATTTTGAAAAATTTTTGTAAAATTCTTTACCACTCACTTTTAATACTTATAATTTTAAGAAAATTATTACTAAGATTTCAATTATTTTTATAATTATTAACATTTCTAGAAAAAATTCTATTATATAAAACAATTTTAATAAAATTTCTCGAAGGAATTCAATTATTTAAAAAACTTGTAATAAAATATCTGGAAAGAATTTAATTACTTAAAAAAATGTGAATTATAACATTTTTCAGAGACATTCAACTACTGTACAAAAATGTTGATAAAAGTCTTTATAAGAATGTAAATATTTTTAATATTATCTTATTAAATTTCTCGTCAGAATTAACTTATTTTTAAAGATTTTAATTAAATTTTTAATTATTTTGAAAAATTTGGATAAATTTCTTGAAAAGGATTCAATCATTTCAGATTCCAAATTATAAAAGAAATATTTTTAATTCAAAAAAATTTTGTTTAATTAATTTTTGTTATTTTTTCATCTTCAAAGCATTAAATTAGAATTTCATTAGTTTTAAATATTGAAAACAGTAACAAGAAAAATTACCAAAAAAATTAAGAAACAAAAAGCGAACGAAAATTCTGATTTGAAAAAATTTTTTTTCACTTAATTTATTATTCATTTTAATGTTAATGCGTTCTTATCTTTTTTTATCAAAAATAGCTAATTTTAAATAACTTATCGAATTAAATAAAATAAGTAAATAAAATTAGGAATAAGAAATCTTTTTGATTCACAAGAAAGATTATTAATTTTCACAGATAATAAACGAATTTAGTGACATTTTACAATCATTTCAAATAAATCATCAATCTCATCAAGTGTATTAAATTTTAGATAAAAAAAAATAATCGTTCTCGGCGGTAAATCGATTTGTCTTTGATAAATCATCGATGGGGGGTCATTAATTAAAATTCCTTATAATTATTTTGGTACATTTGAAGAAAATATTTTGAAAATAATCCTATTGAAGTCAGAATTCTTCTTCTTTAAAAATATTCAGTTTAATTTGGTTGAGAAATTAATTAATGCACTAATTAATTGAAGAGTTACTTATTATACACTAATTCTGTAATAACTAAATTTAATAATTAATAATTAATTATATAATTAAATTATTATAGAATCGAACTAGTAAAAAAAATGTTGTCAGACTTACAAATACTTAGAAATTTAATGATAAATCTCGTAAAGAGATAATAATCTCAAGTACTGTACTTATCTATCGATAGCGAATTTCCAAAATTTGATACAAAATCATATCATTATTTAGTTTTGCAATAATAAAATTTTTTTGATATTAAATTTATAATATTTTAATTAAAAGAAATGTATTTAAAATATTTTTGAGTAATTAACTTTTTTTTGAACTCAAGCTCTGCACAAGACCGAAGTGAAATATTGTCCTACAGTGAGTGGATTTTTTATTTTCTTATTGATGTTTACAGGTTTTGTGGCGTGTACAACGACGAACCCAATTTGGTTCGTTAAAACGAGACTGCAGCTAGATCATCATTCAAATCGAACCAGTGCCCTAGAATGTATCCAGAGGATATATAGAAAATCGGTAAGGAATTAATTAGACTTTCGATGCACTGGCAAAATTCGATTTTTCAGAAGGGAATTCAAAAATTCGTCTTTTAGTTTCAGATTCCAGCAAAGCTTCACTAGAGAAAATCGTATACAGTCAAATCTCGATAATTATCAAAAAAATAAGAGATTTAAGAACAAAAAAAGGTTCTAAAAATTAAATAGCGAAAGGAAATTTCTTTTTCTACAAAGAAAGGAATAAATGAATTTTGGAATTAGAAATTAGAAATTAGAAATTCATGAAAAGAAGAATAAGAATGTAAAATTCGAATTATCGAAGTTCGACTGTATATTTTTATTTATTTGATTCATTTTTCTTTTTGAATTGATTGGCTTTAATATTTAAATTTATCGATAACAATGAGTGCATTTTTCTTTAGAATTAGTTTGAATTAATGAAACAAACTCCGTCTTAATTAAAATCACTTTAATTCATTGTATCAAATAGTTACACGTGTTAATTGCATGAAATGTTAATTTATTATTTTAAAATGTCCATTTGTGTGTTAATTAACTTTTGTGTTTTGATGCAGAGCTTCTTTATAAATTCAGCAAATTTTCATGAAATTTATCACAGAGTTTAAGTTTTTCCACCAGACGAAAAAAATTCTTCGTTATCTTATTCGCAACTTTTTTTCTAATTCTCTTTCTAAAATTGGCCTCATGACCTATGAATAGGAATTTACTTCTAAAAATAGGAGGAAATAATTTGTAGTGTAAACATGTGATTTTATAGCTCCTGTGAAATGTTTCTTTAGCACTTTCATTGCCAAATGCAAGAAGATGTTTATAAATACAAAATTCAATCGACGAATTCTTTCATAAAGGGAGAAAAATAAAGAATTCGTCGATTAATTAATTGTTGATTTATTTATATTGCAACAATTGTTTTTTGTCAGATTTCTTGATATGAAAGATTTTTGTCCCTTGAGGAACAGAGAAAAGAACAAATGTGAAACGTTTGTGAATTATTTGCAAGTTTTTTTTCTGCTCGCAGATGTTTCTCGATTGAGAGTAGAGAAAAAGAAGTTCTTTAGGAAAATAGGTGGATGTTGGCATGTTCTTTTTTAATTGTATGAAATGAAAAAGAAATAAAACTTGGTTTTATTAGTGATCGATAGAAAAAGTTTTGAATTATTAAATTTAAAAAAAGAGTCTAAAATAAAATAATTTGTTGACAATAAAATATTTTCTCAAATTGATTATTCAATGAGACAAGTAAATGAAGTCGTTGACTTTTGATTTTCTAGGGTTTCCTCGGCTTCTACAAGGGCATCGTCGCGTCCTACTTTGGAATCAGCGAGACAGTCGTTCATTTCGTCATCTACGAGGCTGTCAAAGCTTGGCTTCTGACTCACAGGTCAACAGTGACTGAAAACGATGACTCGAAATCGTCGCGCGACTTTTTGGAGTTTATGGGAGCTGGAGCTTTTTCGAAAACAGTCGCTTCTTGTATCGCTTACCCTCATGGTAAATATTCCAAAAAAATTTGTTTCCTCTTTTACGAACGAAATTTATTTCAATTAATTTCCTTTTTTATTTTTTATTCGAAACGTTTATAAATTCAGTAATTGACAAAATAATTCCCATTTTGAATAAATAAAATAAATAAATAAAAACATTTTTAATAATAAATAAATACAATTTTTTAATTTGTCTTTAATTTCAAATAAATTTTCTTCTGCATAATAAATCGTTTGTTTTAAAAATAAACTTTAGAGTAAATAATTCGAAACAAGATGATTGGAATATTAAGCATCTTTTTTGTTGTTTGTTAAAACAAAATAATTTGTAGATTACGTAAGATTTGCGCTTGAAAGGCCTTCGTGACTATGTACGAAAAGCAAATTGCGTTTGAATTAAATTTTATCTGATGTTCTGGAATATCATCCTGGTCACGTGGTTTACGATCTTGTTATTTTTTTCCATTCTCAAACGATTTTTTCTTCTTTTTCTATTTTTTTTTACTTTTTGCACAACATGGATTTTTTCTTTTGTAAAATTTTCTTCTATCTCGTTTGTCCTTCATCAGTTGAATCTAAATATAGCACGAGAAATTCATCTCCTCTTGCCAGAATTTTCAACAAGTTATCTAGTTTTGCAAAATTGATTTTATTTCTTGTAAATCAATTTTAGTAATGATTCGTTCTCATCTACTAAAACTTATTTATCACCTGTTTTTACGATTTGCTACTATAGGAATATATATACTCTAGGAAACCTGGAAAAACTGAAAATATCAGGGAATTTTATAAACCTTGAGAAAACCTGGAAAAGTCAGGGAATTTGAAATGAGCAAAAGCGTGGCAACCCTGTATTTGAATATTTTTTTTTTACATTTTTGACACTAAAAGCTATTTTTTCTTCTTTTTGAAATTAATTATCGACTGCGAAGCCTAGGGAGAAAAAATCCAAATTTCCCAATAAACAATAAAATCGAAAAATAATAGACAGATATTATAGATTTTTCCCTTTTTGGAAAATTAATTTATTTCTATTAATTAAGGGAAAGGAATTTATTTAATATTTATTGTTTGAAAATAATAATAAATAATGTTGCAGAAGTGGCGAGGACAAGATTAAGAGAGGAAGGAACGAAATATCGTGGCTTTTGGCAAACTTTGAATACAGTTTGCGCAGAGGAGGGCGTTCGGGGATTGTATCGAGGATTATCGACGCAATTGATAAGACAAATACCAAATACAGCCATAATGATGTCGACGTATGAGGCCGTTGTCTATGTTCTTTCGCGACATTTTCAACCGACTACCAATGTACCAGGCACAACACAATTCTACACCGAAACCAAAAACAAACAGGAGCTTGCTTAGGAATTGCTCACGGCTCGAGAGTAATTAGAGCCGTGAATAAAAAAATTAACTGATTAAAGCTTTCAAATATTCTATACCATCAAAAAAGTGAATCGAATATTTCAAAAAATATTTTTCTACATTTTTTTTTAATTTTAATTTTTAATTTTCTAAATGCAAAATTTTCAGTCTCATCTTGTATTTCTTCATATTCCCCATATTTTTTTCCGTTTCTTTAATTGAACGTTGGTTATTTTCAATATAAGCAAAATTGCTTTTCCGATAAAATTTAAAAGCGAAATTCCTAATTTTTCCATATTTACTAAATTTTAATTAAATTCATTAAACTTGACTTCAGTTAATTGTGAACTATTTTCAAAATTCATGCGGTTTTCTTTGTCGAAGACGAAAAGCATTAAAAAATAGTAACTCAATTTTTCGAATTGAAAACTAAATATTAAGGGATTTTTTTACTCGCAATTTTAAATTATTTGACTCAATTATTCCGCATAAATCAGTTGATTTAAAAATTACGAAAGATTATTTCACAGTCATTAGTTTATGTTATCTTTCTAGTTTATAAAGCGCCAAGTCGATATTGTGTATATAATATTAATAATAATAGTAATAATAATATTAATAACAAGAAAAGAAAATAATTAAAAAGTCCAGAATCTACACGTAGATTCGTCGCCCTTTTTTTTCTAAATAAGGAGATGTAAATAGTTGGTGAAAAATTCAAATTAAGAGAGTATTATGCTTATAAACTCCTTATTTTACATTTTAGAGGATCGTTTCGCAAATGTGAAATACACTTTTTTCTTGCATCAATTTTTAGCGTTAATTATAAACAAATATTATCTACAAAATATTTTTCAATGAAAGGAAATTTTCAATTTTTTTTGGAAAATTTGTCATTATGTCTAATTTCTGATTTTTTTCAATTTTACATTAGAAATTAATTATAAATTACACAATATAGAGAATTGCCTCCATTCCTAAGGAAGTGCATAATAAAAAATTACTTTTATTAAATTTATTTATCTATGAAATAGATACATCACACAGTTGTGGATAAAATCTATCGCATTAATCTTAATTTTAGTTTTCCTATTGAATAATTAAATGTAAATTATAAATTAACACAAATGCGAGACGAATGAGCCTGTGATTTTAGTTTATTCCGTCATTTGTAAATATTTTATTCTCTATAATTAAAGAAAAAAACCGAATTCTTCTCAGGAGAGGATAATTTAATTACAGAGAACAAAAAAATCCAAAAACAAAATATTGTAAATAGTGTAAAAATTGTAATCTAAAAGAATTGAAGTAATTTTTATGGTTGTAGTGACTATTGACGAAAGGAAAAAAAAATTAATACTTTCGTCCATTTTAAAAATTCAAAAAGAAAAAACAAAAAAAAAAGAGAAAATATTATCGCGCTGCTTTTTATTAGTGCAAAAAAATAGCGAAAATTTTCGATTTCATGAAAAGGAACATAAGTGCGCATGCGAGCGAGACTGATTCAAATTTTTTGAAAGACTGAATAAATTTTATTGTACTTAGGCTCTAGAAATTCTTTTTCTTATAAAGAAAAGATTTTTGCGTATGTGATAAAAATAGATAAAATAAAATGTTGAAACAGAGAATTTAGGTTCTGAATTACAAATTCAAATTAATATTACATAGTTTTATAAGGACTCATTGATACATAAAATTAATTCAATTTGTAATGATTATTTTTAGAGGGTATTTAATAGAAATTTTGATATTGAAAATATTACGCATTTCAATTTTGTCCTTTATTTCATTACAGATAGAAAAAATATCGGAAATTGTTCATTTTTTATTTTATATATTAAAATTTTATAAAAGTGAAAATAAAAATTATTTATAGATAAAAAAAGATATAGTTTTTGTAAAAAATTCATTTTTTTTGTTTCTTATATAAATTTTTATAAAAATGAAAATAAATTAGATTAATAATTTCCTATATATGAATTTTTAATAACAGAAAATCATTAAATGCCTTAGAAAAATAAAGTTTATCTTTTCGATTTTTTTAAGTAAAAAATATTAATTTTTCTTTTTATATAAAATTTTGTATTACGAAAGTTTGTGTTGAAAGTGTGCTTAAATGTTGAAAATGTTCCTAATTACTATCTTCAATTAATTGGACACTAACTCCCATAATTGTAATATTATTTAAAAATAAAAAACAAATTAAAATTAAAAAAGATTTCACTATTTATCCCCACGCATTTTTGTTTCTTTGAGTCAATTTTAAATAATATATTCTTCCATTTTTCGTTTATAAAAGTGATTAAAAGTAACAAGAAAAGCATTTGATATTAAAAGATCGATTTTATTTTGAGTGTTGAAATTAAATAACGTCATTTTTGTGAACATACAATTACAGAAAAATGAACAGTAAATATTTACTGACGATAAATTTTTAACTATATCAGTAAAGTAGAATAGAATTTATAATTATAAATAATGTGACATTGATTTTGAATATGTTCTTTTTTCTTTTTGCTTTTTGATAAAATTTGCTTTTACAAACCTACACGGAGATAGATACGATTACACGTATATCTACTTATTATTAAGATATAATTAATCTACCATTTCTCCTTGATTGTAAAATTGTAATGTGTGTGTATTTTTTTTAAATATGATGCTAGTACATTAAAATCGATTTCCAATTTATAATCAAAAACTTTTTTTTCTGAAAATCTATATAAAGAATTAAACATTTGAAAAAACCAGTTGCTGGCTTCATTAGAAATAAAAAAGAACCGCCCATTTCAAAAGCATTTAAAAATAATGCGATATATAAACTATTATACAAATTAATATTCTTGTTCTTTAACAAGAAAATGATTTTTTTTTTGTCAACTTGAAACAATCGTAATTGTTATTTTTACAAGAATTATTTCTACATAAAACCCAAAAAAACTACCAAAAGCATTCCCTTTCAAAAATTTGTTCTCTAATTAATAAATTCGCATTAGTTGCAAAATATTTAAACTATCTATTCTGCAGAATCTAACATAGAAAAGAAAAATACTTTAAAGTGAATATTTTAAAATTTCAAAATAATCTAAAAAGAAACAATTGATTGTTTGTCATTATTTTGATATTTCTTTTTTTTTTTGTTTCATATTTTTCGACTTTCAAATTGCAACAGTCAAATCGAAAATTTGTAATTCCATTAAATTATTTAATGAAAAATACAGTGTCAAATAGTATTTATGAAAAAGTGTGTTTTTTTTTTGTAAAAAGTCGAAAAATATTAATTATTAACCAATGTATTAAATGGATTAATTTTGATTTAATTCGCAAAATGTAATTGAATTACGATTCAAACAATTTCAATCCAGATAATAATTCTCTATTTTTTAATCTAAAAATTTCTATCATTACGCATAATATATAATTTAATTAAACAAATAAGGCAGAAGTTTTCTTTTTCTTTTTTTTTTTACTTTAATCACTGATAATGCGACGGTATTTCCTGTTTGGTGGGGCAAGTTCCTCGTCCTCATCACCTTCAGCCGCAAGGAAAGGATCGTCATAAGCGTAACTTGGCGCCCATTTTAGTAATAATTTCTCAAAAAATTCTTCTAAATTACGGGCTTCCTGATAAATTTGCGATTCAACCTAAGGATAAAATAGAAAATTATTTTCTAATTTCTTTTCTTAATTAAAATAAATAAACTTTTTTTACTATAAAAATTCCCAACTTACAGGATTGTATGTGAAAGCGTTTTTGAACATCAATCGTATATCAGCCATAACGTGTCTTAAATCTGTGTAATGCTCGGGATTGTCAGTTTTCAATTTATTTCTAATAATATCCAGAGCCATTGGCTTCTTGATAATTTTGTGGTACTCGAGAATCTGCTAAAACAAGGGACACATTTTTTCTTTTACCAAAGAATTATTGTAGAAAAAAACATTGTATAATAAAATTTGGCATTTATGTAACTATGTTTTTGAAAATTTGTAATTTTCAATAAGAAATTTGAAATTACCTCAGGTGAAACAACTTCTCTAAATGGTAGACTTTGTTCGTATTGACAGTAAAGTTCGAGTACTATTCTTTGCGCTATTCTCAATTCACGTGCAGTCATACAATTTGGACGCTTCTCACCAACAGGATCGTCCGAGGAGTCCAACACATTTGTACACAACATACACTGCCATGTTTCACTTTCGCTGAAAAATTACCATTTAAAATAAAGTTTCTTTTTCTTTTTTAATTTAATTTAAATTTATTTAATAATTTACTTTCATAATTTGTTTAATTGTTGTACTTGGAGAAATTAATTGACTAACAACTTACTCGGGAAATGTTTTTAATCCAGGTATGTGGCAAAATAAGTGGAAGACTTTTGGACATTTATCACAACAAAGAACTGCTTCACCTCCATCCATACAAACAGCGCACCAATCTTCATTTGGATCGTCTTTTGATATCGATGTTGGCGTACTTTTAGCAGTACCTAAAAAATATTTTTTATTATTATTAAAGTCACAAGGCATTTACTAATTTCGTTAGTAAAATTTTTTGTCAACTAATATTTACTTTAATCGAGTACAGGCTTTGCACTCGATAATTAATTTAAATGAGAATGTAAAAAAGTATCGAAAAGTAGTTTTAAGACTGAAAAAAGTAGGAAAAAGTTGCTGTCGAAAAATTAAATTTGACGCCAAAAAATTCATTTTAGTCGATAGATAAATATTTAAATTAATAATAAAATAATTTTTTAAAAATAAATATTAAAATATTATTCGTTTTACAAACAATTAAACTTTTCAAAGACTTTAATTGAAAAATCTTTTGAAAATTAATTATTTTATTTATTCGAAAATTATCGAAATAGAATTTGAAAAATGTAATAGTAATAAAATATTGAACTCACTCAAGGAACTTTGAACACTTCCTGAACCAATAGAATGAATACCTTCATCAGTGGAACTATCAACTTGACTCGAGTCCATTTGATTCTTCTGCTCCTCTGGAATGACGACAATTCCATTACTGTCCAATTTAGCGATTGTCATCATTAAATCATTCATGTTTTTTTGACAAAATTTATCCAAATTCTTTTCCATCTCGTCACATTTTTCCAGTAATGTTGGACTCGGCGTTTTTGGCATCGACGAACTAATTGTCTGCCCCGACGATGGTGAATTTGCCGATTGATTGGAAGTATGTAGAGCTTGATTTATATTTGGAAATCTCTCATTATTATTATAAGCCGGTGGGTTTTTTAGTGTAATTTTGTAACTATCATTGTGAGGAACTTGCATTGAAGGCATTGATTGTTGTCGCGCGGGATGTGGAAGACAGGGATTCATATTTTGTGGAATATGCCATCGTGCTGCTTGTTGCTGTTGTTGTTGCTGTTGTTGTTGCTGCTGTTGTTGTTGCTGTTGTTGTTGTTGTTGATGGGGATAATTTAGATGTTGATTGACATTGGCATTGTTGTAGGGTGGTAGGCGAACCATTGGTGGAGTGTTGGGTGAGTAACCGTGGCCCATCATTGGCCTTTGTTGGGGTCCGGGCATTGGATAGCGACCGGTGGGGGGCATTCGGTAGTGCATGGGATTCGGTTGGGGTTGCGATTGGGGACGATAGGCGAGAAGGTTGCGGAGATTTGCGTTTGAATTCATTTGATCGAAATGCACTTGTTGATGGGGGTGGGTGGATGATGTGACCTGCTGCTGATGAGCCGTGAGGCCGGTGTTTTGGGGCATTAGCATGCTCTGCATACTGTTGGTGAAATTTGTATTGTAGGGCATGCGATTTTGGGGTGATGAGCGTGGGGGCATGTTGTGTGAGGGGTAATGTTGCATGTGATTTTGTACGTGGGGTTGGAGTTGTTGTGGATGTTGGGGTGGTTGTTGTTGTTGTTGTGGATGCTGAGGCGGTTGTTGTTGATGTTGGGGCGGAACTTGATGTTGAGGTGGTACTTGATGAGGAGATGGACCCATTTGTTGTTGTTGTTGGGGTGGCAAATGATGGGACATTATTCGCTGATAATTTTGTTGCATATTGTTCGCGTGAGGTGGCATCGAATTCATTTGATGGGGACCAGCAGCCATCGGGGGAGGAGGTGGTGGTAATGGTGGTTGAGCGTCAACGTGAGCAGGTGGATGAGGAGTTGGTTGCTTAGCTGGCTGCTCGGGCACAGGAACGGGCGTCGAAACTTTCTCTGGCGCTGAATTTGGTGTTGTTGTCGTTGTTGATGGATAAACTCTCCCATCAACCACAATGCCTCCTATCGACGATAGAACTACGAAAAAAAACAATCTCTCAATTATTCTATCCTCTAAATCACATTAATTTCAATTTTCTTAATTTTAATTGCATGTGAATAAATCGATAAATAAACAAAATTAATAATGAATAAATTGATGAATAAGTGAAAAAAAATAATATATGAATAAAATTATCGAATCCAAGTTTCAATAAGATAATTACTTTAAAACTTTTGAAATAATTAAATAATATTAAAAAAAAATTCATTCTTGTCATAAATAGAAAAAATTTTTGAAGGTTTTGTATTAGAATTCGTGATAATTTTATAGTTTATGAGGCAAACAAGAAAGACACTGAAAATTCAGAATTTTCTTATGAATTCTAAAAATTTAATTTTTTCCAGTACTTTTAATAAAAATCCCTGACTTTTCCCTGATTTCCCTGACCTATGTCAACCCTGATTAAATAATTAAATTATTCGTTACCTTTTTTGATATCAGGCAACCTTTCTAACGAGAGATTTATTCTCACGGGAATTTCAGGATTTGGAATATCCGCCCTTTTACTTTTTATCCGCTGCAAGTGACTCGTGATTGATCTTGAAAATAAGATGACAAATTAATAAACAAATTCGTCAAATTGTTAGTTTAATATAATTATTATAATTTACTTTTTACTGTAGAGGAGCTCAACATCGGATCCTTTATCTAAAGCATAGCTGACAAACTGAATACAATGGTCCGTTAATTTTGATAATTGGTCCAAGGCGGTTTTCTTTTCATTTAAAGTATTTTGTTTTTGGTCGCAAACCTCGTTTAGACGCATTACTAATTGCTTACTTCTAACATTGATTGCATTAGTTAATCTAAAATTAAAATGAATAATTTAGTAGGTATTTAGAATAATTTTCAATTTACTTCGAAAAGAAATTTAATTTAATCACTACTTACTGTACAACCATATTTGTAATATCTTGAACTAAATTTTTCTTCTTCTCCAATATTAAAACTTGTCTATCTTCTATTACTTTCATCGCACTTTTTAACAAAACTCTTTTATAACTGAAACAGAAAAATAAAAATGTAAATTTTAAATGTTCAATTGTTCAAGATTAAAACTTTTTTTAATTTTGATTTGTTAATAGAAAAAATGACTTACCTAACTTCTTTTAATAATGTGGAAACTGAAGTACGCGTTGTGGCAGCAATTTCGTGGATAAAATTGTATTTGTGATCACGATGATCAGTGAGTTGACAATCACGACACGTAAGTCGATCACATGTTTGACAAAACAAGGACAATTGTTCGTGAGGATGAATAACACAATATAAATAACCCTGATTTTTTTTCTCCACCTTTTTTGCACTGTCATCATTGGCGACTGATCCTCTTGGTTGAATTGTATGATCTTTAGTAATTTTTAACCTTTGATGTGCCTGTGAAAATTAGATTAAATTAGGAACAACTGTGATGAGAAAATAATATTTGTCTTGCGTTAAACAATTACCATAACACAATTTTCACAAATAAACTCCTCGCAATCGATGCAATAGCTCGTGGCTCGTGCATCCTCGCTACAACTTGTGCACTGTTTCTCCTCCTCGCCATCCTTATTTTCTTCTTCAGGACCCGCATTACATTCCTCTTGAATAACCTTCGAGATGAATTGATTTTCAATCAAATTATCCAATTGGCTCGACACATTGCAAGACGTGCAGGCAATAACATTCGTCTCCACTGAAAAAAAGACAAATTTTTATTTTTATAAATATATTTTATTACTAAATATTTCAATTTACAATTTACAATTCACAAATTTTGTTCAATTTTCCACGTATTTGAAATACGCCAATAATTACTACATATTTCCATTTTTTTATTTTCCTATATATATAATTATTTATTTTACAGCTTTAATTTTGGGATTATAAAGATAGTGAGCCTAAAAGATTTTCAAGATTTGACAAAATTTCTAAGAACTATATTTACATTACTATTTGAGAAAAAAAAAACAAAGAGGGATTAGAGTATATTTAAGAATCGAATACTTTCCCTTCAGTTCTCTGTTAATCTTTGAAAATAATAAGCAGGGTTTTTTTTGCCAGGTTTTCCAGGTTAAAAAACGGAATTTTTTCAGGTTTTTAAAACGTAAATTATTCGAAATATCAATAACTTTATTTTTAAATAAATATTCAATCATTATTTTTTTTAATAGAAATTAAGATTTTTAAAAATTTTAAATTCAATAACATGTAAGAATATTAATTATTATAAAACATGAAGATCAAAAATTATTTTCATCATTAGGTATGATTATTCACTTGTAGAATTTTCAACTTAAATTATTCTTTAAGTCAATTTTTTGAAAATAATTTTTGAACAAATTCTTTGTTAATTTTCAAATTCTTTTGTTTACAATTTAATTTTACGAAATTTCGATTATTCTCATAATCTTGAATTAAATATATTAGAAATTAAAAACTTCAAATAATTGAAAAAAATTCCATTAAACTTATTGAGAAAAATTAATTCTGTAGAATTCTCAATTAAAATTTTTCAATAAAATTTTCAAAGATTTTAATTTGAAATTCATTTTTAAATCAATATTTATTAAAAAATTCTACGAGAATTCAATTATTTAACTATAAAAATAAATATTTTATTAAATAATTGAATTCTCTTGACAAATTTTAATAAAATTTTTAAGAATAATTTCATTTTTCGAAAAATTTGATGAAAATTGTATTAAAAATAATTTTAATTCAGACAAGAATTTTATTAAAAGTTTTGAAAATAATTGAACTTCGGAGAAAAATGTTATTATTTATAAAGATAATTGAAATTTTGACGAGAATTTTTGTAAATTTTTAAACATAATTGGATTTCTGCGAAGAATTTTATTAAAATTATTTTGAAAAAAATTGAATTGTTACGCAAAGATTTTCATTAAAACTTTCGAAAATAATTTAATATTTAAAGAAATTTAATAAAAAATTTATTGAAATTAATACTTAAATTCTAATAAATAAATTGTTGCAAAGGTTTTTAAAATAATTGAATTTCTTTGATAAATTTTAATAAAATGTTTAAGAATAATCATATTTTTCGAGGAATTCCATTAAAATTGTAGGTATTAAAAATAATTGAAATTCAGCATTAGGATTTATTATTTATGAAAATAATTGAATAATAATTTATGAAAATAATTTCTATATAATTGAATTCCTGTGAAATTTTTATTATTTATGAAAATAATGAAATGTTTGCGTAGAATTTTATTAAAATTTTTTTAACTACTTGAATTCTTTTAGGAATTTTTATTAAAGTAGTAGATATTAAAAAACATTGAATTGAGGAAAGTTTTTGAAAATAATTAAAATTTTGCCAAGAATTTTATTAAAATTTTGGAAAATAATTGAATTTCTGCAATCATTTATTGTAATTGCTTCAAAATTCAATTTGTTTTTAGTGTTTTTAACTAAAATTCTTCTATAAATCCATTATTTTTTAATAAAACTAGTCAAATATATATTAAAAAATGTAACTAATTTCAGAAGAATTTTAGTTTTTAAAATTGTGTTTAAATCTTCTTTTATATTTCTAATTAAATTAAATTCATTTAAAATTAAGATTTTACAAAATAAGTATTAAATCAAAATCTTTTGAAGTTCATCTACTTATTGAAATTGTAAACGTTATTAATTTAAAATTGAAATATTTAAGTGAAATTAGATTTCAAGAATAAACTTTAGAAAACAAAAATTTTCCAGGATTTCGATAAAAATTCCCTGACTTTTCCACCCAGTAAAAAAAAAACTAATTCAAATGAATTGAAACGAATTAACATTTTTGGTAGGCTCCAATTCGTATTTGTCACAAAGCGGGATTCACTCAAGCTCTTTATATATTTAATTGAATTTAATTCAATATGTACCAATTTGTCCAAACGAATTCGCATTCGAAAGAAATGGCCAAGGAATGCATTGATTTCGTGCTAACGAATTGAAAAAAATTAAAGGCTCAAAACTTGTCCAGTGAATTGGTACGGATAGAAGGTTCGGAAGTTCAATACAGTTTCACGAATTTAGGAAAATTGCATCATGGCTCCAATTCGTATTTGTCACAAAGCGGGATTCACGAAAGCTCTTTGTGAATTCTTTTTAATTCATTTCAATTAGTTTTCGTTTACTGGGCAGGTTTCCAGGTTGCATGGCAACTCTGAATAAGAGATTCAAGTTTGACAGTTTAAAAAATATACATAATAAAAATGTGTCAAGATTTTAAAAATAATTTGGCATTTAGAATTGGAATATTCTCTTGCACATAAAGGTGTGACCTTCCGTAAAAGGTCTTGCCGCGCTTTCCCTGGAGAAAGTTGGCACAAACCTTCCTTTTTCATTCGATCTTACCAGCAAGTATAAATCGGGGCGCATGAATATTATCCTTAAATTCCACTCGTCATATTTGACGTTTATCTCTTAAATTAATTTTAATAGAAAAAAGAATTAAACTTTATAGATGTGCCTAACATTGACCTTTACACATTTTCGACCCTGAATAAAATGTATGGCCTATTTAACAGTTTTCTCCGGAAAAAAACGAGTATTATCAATATATTCGATAAATTCTTTTAGAACTCCGTTATTTAAACCACAAATTACGTAAAAAGAATTTACACGATTAACTTAATATCAATGATCTAATCAGCTGTTTGCATCAATTTAATTAACTTTTCACCTTTTTCATAAAATGCATGAAATTCATGAAAATTGTCAAGACATATTTTAGTAAGAAAAAAGGTTTGCAAATTGAAAATTTTTATAAAAATAATTTGAAAACTAAATCGTAATGGGTAATAATGTTTTTCCAAAGTGATTAACTTACAGAGAACTTCAGTATCCACTGATGTGTTATGTTCATTATTAGATTTTTCAGTGACACATGCGGAACAAATTGTATGAAGGCATTCTAAAAGTTTAAGGTTATCGGTCGAGGTGAAGGTTTTATTGCAAACAACACATTTTGCCAATAATGCACGAATATCACTTTCATGACCTTCTGTTGTGCATTCAATTTGTTGATCATTGTCTATTAGCTCACTGCTGCAACTTGTTTGTTGTTCAGTTATTGATACATTTTGTTCATTCACTGTTGTTAATTGTTCACTAATTTCCTCCTTCACTGACACTGTGGGTCCAGGGGTCAAGTTATCACTTCCACAGGCGTCCATTGTACGCCGTGAAAATGAAAATTTTCTTTTTTTCTTCTTCTTTTTCTTCGTTTACTTTGAAAAACCATTAACCACGGAGTCAAAAAACGCCATAAATTGCGCACACTCCCATCTTGGCAAAGTACATTTAGAAAAAAAAATGGCGGTTCTACCTGTCAAAATAGCGACATCTACAGATCCTGAAGATTATTAACTGCTGTACACAGGTGCAACAGGGATGAGTCGTCTTGGATTTTACTTGTGAACGCACCTTGAAAGAGGGAAGTTTAAAAAGGTTTAAAATTAATATTAATTTAATTTTTCAAAGTGGTGAAATTTCTCCAGATTATCGAAAATTACATATAAATATAAAATTCTAAATATTCCATTCCATAAATAAAAAAGAAACACGGTATAGATTAAAAAAGAATTCACGAATATTTATTGAAGAAAATCCATACAACATTCACAACTAAATTGTTTTGCACTTTTTTCTATAGGAGCACTTGAAAGGAACGAAATATTTCTAATAATAATAATAATAATAAATTTTTTTTAATTAAAGCGCCATTTTACGTCCTTCTATTGAGATGGTCACTGCTCGTCTGTTTGCCTTCAATCTCTTGTTATCGACATAATTCTTCATATGCTTCTCAAATCGATTCATTTGTTTTTTCGTACTCTGTAATTGGTAATAAGATACATAATTCATAATAATTCATAAATAATAAATTATTAATAATAATAACGACAGGGTGGTCACAATTTTCAGTTTATCAATTTCCCTGACAATTTACTGACATTAAAATTATTTTCCCTGACAAAATTCTTTTTACAGAAGAATATGAAAGTTTACGGATAATGAGTTAATTATTTGTTTACTTTTTCTTAGATTGAAGTGTATACGAAAATTTGAAGAAAAAAAAAATATAACTCACTCTACTAATATCGACGTCTGATTTCCAATCAGGTCGAACAACATAATCCTTATTCGAAGGAGTTGGAACTCTAGCTCTGCTCACCCATCCAGGATCTCCAGGTCGAAGAGGTCTGAAAATAATAATTGGAATTACAATTATGGTTTTTAAATTTTATTAGAATTTTATAGAATTCAGTAGAATTAGAATTGAAAATTAATTAATAAAAAAATTTTGATAAAATTTTGCCTAATGAAAAGTTTGTTATGAAAAGAATTTTTCTCACTTTGCATCTCCTTTGAATGCCTTATTAATGTCCTGAGATTTTTGCGATGCACCGTCAGCGTCGACTTTTCTCTTTTTCTGCGGCGTTTGCTCTAAATCGCGTTGCATTCTCTCCTCTTTCGACAGTGCTTTGAAATCGGCGGAAAGATTAAATATCGGTCTAGCCCATTCGTTAATTAATTTACCAGCGCGCTCCTTGTTTTCCTTCGTTTCCTTAGGATGCTTATATAAATACATGACTGCCTTTCCAATTCCAGATTGCTTTAAAGAAGACTGATCGATTTTTGGAAACTGGAAAAAGAGTTATTTTCAATTTGAATTATTTAAAAATGTCATGTGAAAGAAGAATAGAAAAGAAAACGAAAATATTATTTTTCTCACCTCGCAAAGTAGACGAAGAAGACTTTCCCTAATTCTAAGTGATGGCAGTGATCGATCCGGCATTGGAGCCAGCCAATCCGTAAGAACAGTGAGAACATTATGTTCGAGAAAAGCTAATTGTAGATCGTGTTTCTTTAATTGCGACATAACTTTTGGTAGCATTGCTATTTTATTCGTCGCCGGCTTAATAAGTTGATTTAATTTTCTATCCTCCTCTGATGCATTCTTCATGTCTTGTAATAATTGTGCAATTATGTCATCATTGTCGTTAATAATATCAATATCCTTTCGCTTCTTGCGACGTGATTGCTCTTCCTTTTTCTTTGCCATCATACGATCGAAGTCTGATATGAAATCATCTCTGCAAGAAAAAAATAACAACCAACCATGTAAAATAAAAATGCAAAAAAATGCAAAAAAAATGCAAAAAAAATGACTTACGATTCACCCGTTCTTGGTGGCTCATCATCGTCAGAATCGTCAAGCTTTTCAACCGGTGTTTCCAGTGATTCATTTTTCTCACCCTCATTATCCTCGTCAATGACATTTGTCGCTTCATTCTTTTTCTCCGGTTGCTCAGAGTCCGAGTCCGATAATTGATGAACTCTTTTTGCTTTGCTGTAGGTATTTTCATCCTCCGAATCAGACAATAATCGACCTTCTCTATTATCACTTGAGTCACGATTTCGTTTTCTTGATATTCTCGTCGAAGACGTCGAACGTGATCTTGATTTCCGGTTAACTTTCGACGTCGATGGCGATGGTGATCTTGATCTTGATTTCGATCTGGACCTGGACCTCGATTTTCTCGATCCACTTCTTGAACGAGATCGTGATCTTGACCTCGAACCGGATCTGGATCTTGATCTGGAATTTCTCGATCCGGATCTTGATCGTGATCTGGATCTTGATTTTCTGGAACCTGATCTCGACCTCGATCTCGATCCAGATCTGGACCTTGATCTCGAGCCCGACTTTCTTGATCCGGATCTCGATTTTCTAGAGCCGGATCTTGACCGTCTGGAACCGGACCTCGATCTTCTCGAACCTGATCTCGATCTTCTCGAACCTGATCTCGATCTTCTTGAACCCGATCTTGATCTTCTTGAACCGGACCTCGATCTTCTTGAACCGGATCTTGATTTTCTGGAGCCAGATCTTGATTTTCTAGATCCAGATCTTGATTTTCTTGAACCGGACCTCGATCTTCTTGAACCGGATCTTGATTTTCTTGAACCGGATCTTGATTTTCTGGAGCCAGATCTCGATTTTCTAGATTCAGATCTTGATTTTCTGGATTCTGATCTTGATTTTCTCGAGCCGGATCTAGAACGCCTGGAACCAGATCTTGATCGTGATCGTGATACAGAACGGGAACGGGATCTGGAGACTGATCTGGATTTAGGGGAATTTGATCTTGATCGGGATCGTTTTGTCGGTGATTTTGATACTGAACGTTTTCCTGATGGTGATTTGGATTTATTTCGTGACGGTGATCTGGAGTGTGGTTTGTTTCGTAAAGGTGATTTTGACTGTGATCTGTTGCGCGAGACAGATCGGGAATTTGATCTTTTTCTAGAGGCTGATCGTGAGCGAGATCGTTTTAACGAGGGTGAACGAGAATTCTTTCGCGATGACACTGATTTTGATCTTGATCTTGATACTCTCACCGATCGTGATTTCGATCTTGATCTTGACTTGGATCTTGATTTAGATCTCGATCTTGATTTAGATCTTGACACTGATCTCGACTGAGATCTAGACTTAGATCTTGATTTAGATCGTGATTTCGATCTAGATTTTGATCTTGACTTAGATCTAGATTTAGATCGTGATTTCGATCTGGACTTTGATCTAGATTTGGATCGTGACCTGGATTTTGAACGAGATTTAGATTTAGATCTGGATCGTGATCGAGATTTAGATTTAGACCTGGACCGTGATCGAGATTTGGATTTAGATCTGGATCGTGATCGAGATTTGGATGGTGAATGTTTGGGTGAATGTGATGGAGATCGAGCTGGTGAGTGCTTTGAAGCGGAACTTGCATTAGATGGACTGCGAGCATTAGATGATGCTCTAGAATGATCACTTCTCTCTGACACCGGTGATCCTGATTTGGATCTTCCTCTACTTCTCGAGCGAGACTTTCGTTTAGATTCAGATTCACTGTCTGAGTGTTTATCTCCATTTAAATTATTCCGTTCAACTGAAGGTGATCGTTCTTTTGAATTATCTCGTGAATTTGTCGGTGAATCGGGCCCTGATTTATTGCAAAGCTCATCGTCAGTTGTTTTCGATAAATTCTTTTCGTTCGAAGGCGAAACAGACCTGAAATTAATTTTTTTTATTCCTTGTAATCTTGCGATTTTTTTTTCTTTTAGAAATAAGTAAATTAATGTAAAATGCGTAAAATGTTACCTTCGGTCTGGCGTTGATTCTCTATCCATCGTCTCTTGTTTGTCACCGCCACCGGAACTATTTTTCACTATAAACAAAATTCTATCTATTCAGAAACTATTTTTAAATATTAAAAATGTTCGAAGGGTAAATTGTATATAATATACAGTATAATGTGTATAGATATAAAAGATAAAAAATTCCTTGAAATGCGAAGAACAATTTCTCATTTGGTTTAAATAATAAATATACTTTCAAAAGTGCTGTTTTTTTAATAAATTTTTATTTAGTAAGTAGTAAATTTAAATTTTAGGAATTTATTAACTATAATAATTTTCAATAATGCTCAAATAAAATGACAAATCACAGAGTTTGTAATGACGAATGCGGGCGCTCCAAAATATTTATTTCTTTTAGTTTAGATATAATTTGAAATATGCTTAATTTATGTAAAATAATCGGAAAATATGTTCACGAAATGTTCTGTATATTCGAAGAATTATTGAAAATGATATAAAATTATATAAAATGATATAAAATAACATAAAAACAAAAAAGAATAGTGTTTTCTTTAGAATAAATAAGGTTATGCTTACATTCATGTTCCATTATGCGTGGTTCCGCCTCTTATTATCATGAGGTTCAAAATAAAGTACCGATTAAGAAGAAAACGGCACTGAATAATATATATACAAAAAAATAACACGTGTTATCTATATTATTAAATAATTATTAAATAACTTTTAATGAAATACGTGCTTGCAAACAAGAAATTGACTCTGACACCGTCACACCGTGTTTTTCATACGCAGGGATGGGAATGCTGAGTCACAAACTAGGAATGACCTTTGAAATGTTACAACCTTAAGGTCCGATCACAGGTCAGCTACTGCTACTTCCTGTTTTTTAAACGATGGCGAGAGAGCAGAATTGACGCTTCTACATCATTTGTGATCATTTGTCATTTGTCATTTTTCTCTCCAAGCTTGAACAACGCAGACGTTGTGTCAGTGCCAGGTCAGTGCAAAGCATACTGAAAAGGCTGAAAAGTAAAAATAAAAGCAAGTAAATTCAGGAAACTAATCGAAATATTGAGCAAAATACACTCTGAAGGTATTTATAAAATAATTTTATTATTCAGTAGGAATAGGAATGGGATAAGTGGAATTATACGAATTTGTATATCAAACAGATTCTTTTATTAAAGGTTCAATTGTGTTGACTAATTAGATAAAACTCTAACGGAAATGAACGCAACTGGTTTGAACGATGACAATGTGACGTGTCCCTATGATAAATCTCATAGGCTTCAGAGAAGTAAAATACAAACTCACTTAGTAAAATGTCGAAGAAATCATCCATGCGATAAAAGTGAAATGCTAACTTGTCCGTACGATGCAACACACGTCTTTCATCAGGCAGAATATCAGGTGAGAAATTATAACTAACTAAATTAAAACATAAATAATTTGATAAATGATAAATTTACCTATACTTATCATAATAAACTAAATTCTTTCCAGTATCACATTAATAATTGCAGAGAAAGTGGAAAAGTGGTGAATTTTATTCAGTCAATGGAGCCTTCTCGAAGTATTGGTGCAGTACCCATAGATGTAGTAGCAAATGTTTATGTTCCATCAACGGAAGAAAATTGGGATGATGTAAGATAGCAATTTTAATCTGAATTTTCCACTATAATTATTTAAAACGATTTAATTTCATCATTTAGAATAAAATACATTTTTTATTTAACAGGAGCCACCTGCGCAAACCTATGACGCCATGTCAAATGCCAAGGAAAAAGGTGTTCTAATCCCAGAAAATTGCTTATCAAAAGCAAAGAAAAAGCAATTTAAAAATTCTGAAAGAACGCGCCATCAAAATCTGGAGCAAAGTGGTGTCACTTTCAATCCTGCTCCGAAAAATAGTAGACGGGTAAGATTTTTCAAAGTCCTAGTAATTTTTCAAATTTTGTCTGACAAATAGAAATTCTGATAAATATTTCAATCTATAAAAATTTTAATCGACCCAATAATATTAAAAAAAAATTTATTTCTTCAGATTAATAAGAATGAAATATCAGAGACTAATGAAGAGGAACAAATTCCATTACGACTACCACGTACAAAAGTGGTTTCAGCGACAATTTCTTCAAATTCAGATTATACAGAAAAGTCTTTGAATTCTCGCCAACAATTAAATTCTAAATCTGAGAATAAAGCGTCAATTTCACCTTCAACTGGAAATTTCACTCAAGAAAATAATGCACAAGCATTATTTGAAGCAATACTTTCCGAAGCTGCGAAAAAAACTGATAGAACAATTTCTCAAGCATCGAATTATTCGATTAATTTTACTCCGAAAGAAATCAATGCCAAGGAAGTAAATATTCGTGATCTGGGAAGTTTGCATATTTCCTCCATTGAGGAAATTTAAAAGCGATTGAATGTGGTCAAAAAATTGGAAGAGAATTTAGAAAACGAAAAAGCAAAAATAAGGGAAGTGATGAAAAATTTCTAACATTGAAATTTGAATATTATACATAATGAGCTTAATATGTATAAAAGACACATGACGTGTGAAATAAGGTTAATTATTTCTGTTTAGTTTTAATTATTATTATTTCAATTAATCATTCTTTAGATTTATAATAATGATGTGCAAAATATTGATACTTTATGAACTGCATAAATTATGCAGTTCATAAAGTATCAATATTTTGTGTCTAGCGAACCGGGAAATCGGGAAAAACCGGGAAAAACCCGGGAATTTGGTTCGACCTCAAAAAACCGGGAAAAACCCGGGAATTTTCTATTTATAGGGTATTTTTTGAATTATGTATATAAAAAATTATAATTTTTTTCAAAATCGTGAAGGGTAAATTGATAGTATGAAGCAGTAGTAAAAATAATAACTTAAATTTTATTTAAAACTAACTTTAGTATACGTTATATTATAAAAGTTAAAGGATTTGTACTATTATTATTTTTATATAACAATTTATAGGTATACAATACGTAACAAATTTTATAAGAAGAAATTAAGAATCTTCTGTGATATAGGAAAGGCAAAGATTTTACTTTTTAAAACTAAATATGGGGCATTCCATTTCAAAATGATCCTCTTTATAAACAATTGACATTGTAAGGCAATTTTTAAATCATTATTTCTCATATTTATTGAAGCCAAACTTTATTTACTATTAGTGGTTTTAAAACAAAAATTTCTCAACTTTATAATGGTAGAAATTTTTTTTTTTAAATAATAGAATTTATGAAAAAAATTAAGTTTGAAAGATAACCTTTTTGAATATCTCAAAACACGTCGCATCCGATTTTCTTGAAACTTATGTAAAAATAAAGCTTAAATATTCTAGTTTAATTCTATGTAAACATTATAATGTGCAATTCATGGTTTGAGAAATTAATTAAATTTTACAAGTATTTCAAAGGGTATAATGTATGTACCGAGCGGAATTTTTTTTTTCAAAAAAAGTTTTTCTTAAATTCCCCTGAATTGACAATTATATTATAAAGTTGAGAAATTTTTATAAGTGAAATTTTGATATTCTATGTCAAGTTTTTAGAAATTATTGTATAACTTTAATCATTGTAATTTAATAAAAACAATATTTAATTACGTAAATAATGTTATTGATAAACATTTAAATATGTTTTTAAATCCTTTGTGAATATCCGGGAAAATTATTCAAGAACCCGGGAAAAAACCGGGAAAAACCCGGGAATTTTAAATTGACGATTCGCTAGACACCCTGATAATTAACTGCATAATTCTATTTCTAATTTTTATGGAAATTCATTTTTACTATTTGATTTTACAATTTACACTAGAGAATATTATTTTCCACACTTTTTATCTATTTCATCTTACATTGTAAGATAAATTGTAATTGTAAACAATTTATTTAATTTTACTTCATAGTGGAGGAAGCCTTATATATTATGTTAAATAAATTCTGTTTTTAAAATATATAAGTTTTTTTATTTTAATTTCTTGTCTCCTATTTTTATGAAATTTCTATCTTTCTCCCAATTTCAGATACCTGACAAATTTTCGTCACGAATTAAAAAATAAAAAAAAAATTAAATTGAAAAGAATTTCGAATTTAAGTTATGGCGCGCTTCTATTTGTGTTTTCATTGGACAATTCAAATTTGCAGCGACATCCGGATCCGGTGGATGTATTTCTGGTACTCTGCTTTCATTCGTGTTTTTCCAGTCTCATTATTCAACGCGACGTTACCACGCGGAGACGTGCCTGTGTAATCACAAGTGTAATAACTACAATTTCAAAGACTGAAAAGAAAACCATTTTATTCAGGTATTTATAAACAATTTTGATTCTTATATATTAACAACAAGATATTTTTATTTTTTACCATTTTTTTTTGTATATTAAACCAATAGAATGTGTGTAGAATGCAGGTACAAACCTGCAAATCTGCAATGCTTTGTAATCCTTTGTTCGTTAAATTTTAGAGAATTTATTTCACTCACGAATTGAAGTTCGAAATTATGCAAAAGAAAATCCTAACACTACTAATTTCTTTAACTGTTTGAATTTAATAAAATTATATTGAAATTGTTTCAATTAACGAAAAAAAGGAATTAATTTTGATTTTTCGTTATGAAGATGGACGCCACGGACCTACACGATCCTTTATTAACATGTCCATACGATAAAAGTCATCGTATTCTTAAAAGCAGGATGCAATATCACTTGGTGCGATGTCGTAAGAACCATCCTTGCGATAAATCGGAAATGGAAACATGTCCGTACGATGCTACTCATATAATTTCAAAGGCAGAATTTCCAGTAAGTTAAGAAGAACAAATAACACAAATAAGCAATTGTGTACATAATTTTCTTTTCATTTATATTTAATGAACTAAATCCCTTTTCAGTACCACTTGGAAAACTGTTTCAAAAGGGGAACAGTAGTCAACTTCATTACTTCAAAGGAACCAAACCGAAGTGTCGGGGCTGTGTCTATGGACACCATAATAAATGTTTATGTCCCTCCACAGAATGAAAACTGGGACAATGTAAGTTTTGTCAAATTTAATGTGTTCAATTTAATAATTATTCACTATTTTTATGTATATAATAAAATCTTTCTTTTGTAATAGGAGCCACCAGAGCAAACATACGATGCCTTGAAAGAAGTAAAGAACAAGTGCGTATCAATCCCTCAAGTTGGTTATTTATCAAAAGCGAAAAGGAAGCTTCATATTCAAGCAGAAAGATTGCGAATTCGAAATCTAGAAACAAGTGATGCTGATCAATTCAATCCTCCTCCCAGGAATAGGAGACAGGTAAAGTGTTTTAAAGTGTTTTAAATTCTCTAGTTATTTATTAAAATGATAATTTTCAAAAAAAAAATTTATTTTATTTTAAACAAATATGACTTTTTTCGTCTTTTTTCAAAAAGTGCGACTTTTTACCATTTATTTAAAAAAAACTGTAATAAAATACCACATTTTTATTGAAAAATGCAGTTTCTATTTTTATACTATGAAAAATAACTAATAGAACGAATAAAATAAATAAATAAATATAAATGATGAAATAATAATTATTAAATTAAATAAGTAAAGACTGGAAGAATTAGAAATTTTAAAGAGAAATTATTTTGTTATTTTCAGAATGAAGAAGAAGAAGAAGAAGAAGATGTCACAGAGACTACAGAAGCACCATTGCGTCCACCGCGTTCGAAAGTTCATTCCGCCTCAATTTGTTCAAACACTGATTATATGGCCGAGTCTTTAAACAACACCAGACAATTGAATTCTACATTCCATTCGGAATGTAATGAGCCAGCAATTCCCATTCATCAGAATGCTTCACAAGCATTCTTTAAGCCAATGGTTGCAGATACTGAGGAAAGAACCTACGCATCAATTTCTCAGTCATCAATAAATTCGATAAAACTGTTTAATCCTGCTCCAAATGAAGTCGCTGCCGATGAAGTGAATGATATAAATTTCGGAAATTTACACATTTCTACAGCATACTCGAGCACCAGTACATTAAACAATATCGACAGTAATATTTGTCCCTTGGATAATAATAATTCGGTAACAAGCAATCATTCGAATTTGAACTCATCAAAAAGCGATATAATGGAAATTCAAAAGCGTCTCGATGTTGTGACTAAATTGCAGGAGCATTTAGACTCTGAAAAAGCCATATTAAAAGAAATGGTTAATAATTTATGTTCAACGAACGATAATGATTCAAGAATGTCTTCCAATAGTCGATGTGCGGCCAATTTTTCAAACGCAAGTGATATGAAATAAGTTCATGTAAAGCTTAAATCGATAACTTCAATTCAACTTTATTATTTAAATTTTTCTCTTGCAATTGATGCCAAAGTTGATTATTATTCTTAATTTTCTTTGAAATACTTTTATAAGATTTTATTTTTGATACTTCTTTAACTCTACTTTATGATCAATAAGAATATAAAAATACGTTTAGTTGGAAAATTTGAAAAAAAAATTATTCTATTCATGTACATGTTTATAAATCTGTAGAGATCAATATGTAAAACTTTATTTTTCAAATAAAACATTTTTCTGAGAAAGTGATTTGTTTCTTTATGATCCTAAAGTTCTGAACGTTCAAATGAACGAAATTAATTTATTTCTTCTTCAAAATAAATTTTTATTACAATTTTATTTAACAATAAAGAAAAATTAATTGTAAAGTTTCTAAATGTATAATTTAAGTTTCAACTTTTATTGCAATTATTAATTTATAAAAATGTTTGTAATAAAAAAAATTTAGTTCATTTGAACGTTCAAAACTTGTGAATCATGTTTCTTTATCTTTTCGTACAAATTTAACTGTATTATTTTACACGATTGTTAATTTAGTTTTTGCGATACTATCTTTAATTCTTATCGTTTTTATCATTTTTTAAAAAAATTGCGCCAATTTCTACTTATCCACTTCTTTTTTTTAGTATATTCTTTCTAGATTAATTTTTATATTCAATGACTATCACTGGCACTTGGCGCACTGGACTGAGTTTAGGTTATTTTATTGTATTATTTTTCATTGCTTTAAACAATCAACTTTCCGGTATTTATTTACAATTTAAATTTTCATCTTATTTATCATCGATTAGAATATTTTTCTAACAATTTTAATACAAGACAAAAAGGTTTATTTAAATTTTTTCCCTAATAGTAAAAATCTCCAACGTATTTATTGTGTAAAACGTGTAAAACAAACTTAATTGTCGCTTTTTAAAATTATTATTATTATTATTATTATCTATTAGATATGAACAAAAATTACTCACAAAAACGCAGATTGATAAACTTAAAAAATAGTAGATTTGCTTGAAAATTATTTGACTTTGGAAATTTTGTATTTTAAAATACATACCAAAATTCGACTGTTTTGAGTTTATTTTAACTTTTTTGAATTATAAATTTCCTAAGTTGAATTTAATTTTAAATATGTTAATGACAAAATATAACTATAATTTCAGAACTATAATTTAAAGAATTGCAAAGGAAAGAAAAAATGGTGAAGATTTATTGTGATATTTGTAATGTATATTTTCCTCATTATTCATCATTAAAACGTCACGTGGCGAAGAAAAAACATAAAGTGCAATTTGAAGCAGTGAACAAGGAAATAAGTGCAATAACATTGAAACCAATTCTCGAGCAATATTTAAATTTTGACAATCAATTGTCATTGTTTTTAAATGCAATTGAATTTAATAATATGGAAACTGTGTACGAGAGAATTTGTTCATATCTTTATGAAATATTTCCACAAACTTTAGAAAAGTGTAGAATACAAAAATGTGGTTCCACATTGACTAGAATATGTTTTAAGACAAGTGATTTAAAACTCTACATGTACTTAGGTAAGCGCGTATTTTTTTTCTATAAAAATTATTCATTATTAAAATATATTTTGTCATTTCAGATAATGAAACAATTTCCAAGGATAAAACTGATACATCTTCCGACACTGAGAATGAAAATGAGAATATTCAAAGGGTTTATAATGAAATGACAAAAGTATTTAGTAAAAATCGTCATTTATTTGACAATATTGTACATATAAGAGTGCCAACGATGCCAGTTATTAAATTTATCGAGAAAACAACGAGGACAAGTTGTAAATTATATTTTAGAAACAGTATTGAATTACACAAGAGTTTTTTAATAAAACATTATTTATCACTTGACCCACGAATAAGACCATTGTTGATGATTGTCAAATATTGGGCTCGACATTGGAGATTTACGATTGAAACTCAAGAGGGAAAATTGACAAATTATGCCTTAACGATGTTGCTTATATTTTATTTGCAACAATTCTATGTTGATCTTGTGCCTTCTGTGATGGAGCTGACGAAACATTGTGAACCAAAAATTATTGACGGCTGGCAAGTGAATTTTGATCCCAACCATAGGTGTCATTTGACGGATAATAAATGGAGCCTTCAAGAATTACTTTATGGTTTTTTCAAATTTTACGATGATTTTAATTTTGAAAATTGTATCATTTGTCCGATTGACGGATGTGTCTATCCAAATGAGAAATTTTTTGATATTAGTAAACTACCAGAAAGTATGAACAGGTATATATACGATTTTTTAAGTACTTTTTGTCTGTTTTTACCAAAAAAAAATATTTTAAAGTTTTTATTTTCCCAAAAAAGGTATAAGGAGTATATGGAGAAGACCCGAATGGCCCGCACATTTGTTTCGGTACGGCCTTTGTGCATTCAAGATCCCATCGAACTTAATTATAATTGTTCGCAACATGTTTCCATCTTTCTTTTGAAATCGTTGAAGAAACAAATTTCGAAGGCTGTTGAAATTTGCGCTGAAGCTCTGAATAATAATTCCTCTCGTCTGCTGTTAAATTTAGTTCCAGATGTGCCTGAATACGAAATTGAACATTTATTAAGGTATAAATTATTTAATGAATAATAATTTCCGAATTAATCCAATTTTACAAGAATTGCGTTTACAATTTTCATAAATACATCAACTTTAAAAGGTTGCAGAAATTCAATTATTTTCAAAAGTAATAAAGTTCTTCGCAAAAATTCTATTATATGTTCAAAAATTTTAAAAAAGTTCTCGACAAAATTTCATTTTTTACTTTTATAAATACTACAATATTCTTCTCCGAAATTCAATTATTTTCAAAAATTTATAAATAAATAATTTCTTCTCAATAATTCAATTATTTTTATAAACAAATTCTTTTACATGGATTCAATTATTTTATATATACAATTTTAATTTCAATTATCGTAGAATTTTCTAATAAAAAATGTTATCAAAAAATTTAAAACAATATAAAAATATTCTTATAAATTATTGAATTTCAAAAAGATTTGAATTTGAATATTTTCAAAAATTTTAATTCCTACGGAAAAATAATAATTAAATATTTGTGGCATCCCTATTAATTTTGATAAAACAAAACTGTTCGTCACTGCAATAATTGGTTTTTTTTTCAGTGAAGAGAATGATACATCATCAGACGATGAAAATGAGGAGATAAGAGATGAATATTATCTGAAAATTTTGAAACCAATTTTCGAAGGAAACAATACTTTCGATGAGCAATTGAAATCATTCTTGAGTGTAACTGCGTTAAATGAAGTTGAAATTGCAGCTTTGTATGAACCAATTTGTCAGAAGTTGAATCAATTGTTTCGTCAATCTTATCCGTTGTCCACGGCGCATAGATTTGGTTCAACGGTAACTGAAATTAGTTTTCAAAACTGCGATTTGGACATATATTTGAACATAGGTATGAAAAAATAACTATTTTCTCTTTTAAGATTTGAAATATTTTAACTCTTAACAAAATATTTCAGGTGAATCAATTAGCATCAAGGATAATAAGGAAATGTTCGATGAAATATTCTTGGAAGTGACGAACATCTTGTTGAAAAATGAATTATTTTACAATATTGTTCCCGTTTCGAAAGCTCGAGTACCAATAATTAAATTTGTTCACGAACCAACGCAAATTTGCTGCGATTTATCATTCAACGGTTTGGGATATTACAACAGTCTTCTAATAAAACATTATCTATCGTTTGACCCAAGAATCAGGCCCCTAATGATACTGGTGAAATATTGGGCAAAATGTTGTCGCATCACAGTGAATACCGTGAGGAATAATAGAAATTTGACAAATTACGCATTAGTAATGTTAGTAATATTTTATTTGCAACAACCAAATGTGAATATAGTGCCTTCTGTGATGGAATTGACGAGGAATTGTGAGCAGAAAATTTTTGACGACTGGCAAGTTAATTTTAATCCCAACTATCAGTGTCATTTGAAGAATGATAACAAATGCTCAATTCCTGAATTGCTTTATGGATTTTTTGATTTTTATGCTTTTTTTAATTTCGAAGAATTTGTTGTTTGTCCAGTTGATGGTTGTGCACATCCAAAGAATATTTTTATAGATGATAATAAGTTGCCCGAAAGCATGCATAGGTAATTTTTTTTTCTTTGAAATATTTCTCATATCTGTTGACGATATATAATATGAAACTATATAGTTGATAAAATTTTTTCTTTTGGTGTGAAATTAAAGAGAAAAATTTTACAGATACCAGATTTATATGATGAATAATGAAGATCGAGGACTGAAGGTGGAAAAATTGTGCATTCAAGATCCTATTGAGTTGAATGCAAATTGTGCTAAAAATGTTTCCAGTGAAATGGTTTACTTCTTTCAATATCAAGCAATTACAGCGGCTGAATTATGTGCCGAAGCTCTAAAAAGTGATTCATCTGGATTTTTATTAGATTTATTCAGAACAATAATATCAAGAGAATGTTAGATATAATGCAAATATTAGTGAGAATTGATATTGATGTTAAATTAGTATTTTAATGAAAAGTGATGTTTCTATAGAATCTGATATTGACAAGTTAATATTACTTTTAAAATATTTAAATTTTTTACTTTTTAAATACTTTTTCAATTTTAAAAGTCCAGAATAGTTGAATATTAAATAAAGAGAATAATAAAGGAGAATATTTACAGAAGTATTACTTGTAATTGTTATGACAATCAGTTTAATTATACTTTAACACGTTATTTAGGTATTGAATTTTAATAATTATTCTATTCGCTAAATTATGTGAATTAATTTTTACATTTCCCATGTTTATTTAACAATGTTTTATAGTATATTTTATATTTTATTTTAAAAACGTGCGCCAAGTGTAATCGGCAGACACTGAAACTAGAAAGCTCGAATTTGATTCGCTGCGCGACCGTTTAGGCGGAAGCCTGCCTTTATGATTTTTCATTGCCAATGACGAATTCTACGACTCTACAAAGCTCGATTGACGGAAAAAAATTATTTGTAAGGTTACCTTTGTACGATATTTTTATTTAAATTTATTTATAATTTTACAATTTTCATCCAGATGTGATTTTCAACACTAACATTTAAGTTTGAAATCGGAGTCGCAGTTGAAGGGTATATTTTAAATGTCAATAAAAGTAAGTAATTTTTAAATTCATTCAAACGTTTTAACAATTCAATTTTTAAAAATTAATTATTGTACCCGATTGATCAGTAATTACGGTAATTACTACTAATTTTAAGAACTGTTTTTCGATTTTTTAGTTATAAACAATATTTCGTTTGTTGTGATATTGTTGAAATTGTGAAACAAAACAATAAAAATCAACGAATTTGTTGTTATTATTGATTGTGATTAATTTTATTTTTAGTTTTAGGGTGACAAATTGACAAAACAGAAAGTATTTTATTTTTGATTTAAGATTGTAAAAAGAAAAAAGATTCCAAAGAATACAAAATAATAATAAAAAGTTGAAATGTTTATACAATAAACAAAAAATGACGAAACATTGTGATATTTGTAATATCGATTTACTTGATGAATACGCATACAAAGGACACTTGTCTGGAAAAAGACATTTAAAAAATGTTCAACAAATTGATGTCACATCGCGATCAGTTTATATTTATTGGGGACATAATCAATTTGTTGTTGAGGATTTTTTAACTTACCTTTCGAGTTTCGATAAAGTTGTGGATCACAAATTTGGACCTCATCTCGACTATGGTATCTTTCAATTTAAAGAAACGTAAGTTTTGAAAGAATTAAAATATATCTTTTAAAAAAATAACTACATACTATAAAAAATCATAATTTATTTATATACAGCAAAACGGTGGAGAAATTATTAAACACAAGATTATTGTACAATGGAACCAAGTTAGAAGTGAGACCGAGGACAATTACAAAAAATAGTAAGTAAACTACAAAGATGATGTTGATATTTAAGTTTAGAGGTGATTTGAGTGTTTATTTCTTCCAGCTATCACGAGGAATGAGGAGAAAAATGAAAACGACGAAGAAACAAAGAGCGAAATTGATTTTACAAATTTGAAGCCTATTTTTGAGAGAAAGACAAGTTTTGACGATCAATTGGCTTCGTTTTTAAAGCAAGTCGCCCTAAGTGACTCCGAAATTGAGGGAATGTACGATCAAGTGTGCTTTCATTTAAATCGACTATTTCGACAAGCATTTCCCAAGTGCAGGACTTATCGATTTGGTTCAACGGTGACCGGATTGTGCTTTAAAAATTGCGATCTCGACATTTACATGAACATAGGTATCAAAAAAATTATTTACAAACAAAATTAAACTGCAGGGTTGCCAAGCTTTTGCCCTTTTCAAATTTCCTGACTTTTCCATGTTTTCCAGGTTTTTAAAACGAAAATTATTCGAAAACATCAATAACTTCATTTTTAAATTTAAATATTTAATCATTTTTTTTATACAAATTAAAATATTCAAAAATTTGAAATTCAATTAATCCACGTTGCGTGGCAACCCTGAAACTAGATTATTAATAGTTAATTAAATTTTATTTATTATATTTATTTTATTACTAGGTGAACAAATTAGCAACGACGAAAACGAAAAGACTCCCGGAATTTTGACTTTCCGAAGAGTATTTTCCGACGCAAAGAAACTTTTGTTTCGAAAGAGTCACTTTTATAGTAAAGTAATACCAATTCCCCGAGCGAAAACGCCAATTATCAAATTTTTTAACATACCAACAAAAACATCGTGTGATTTATCATTTAGAAATAGTTTGGGCGTTCACAACAGTCTTTTAATAAAACACTATTTAAAATTTGATCCCCGCCTCAAACCGTTGATGATGCTCATTAAATATTGGGCGAGAGACTGTGAAATTTCAACGGAGACTTTGAGTGGAAGAATTACTAATTATGCTCTAGTTTTGTTATTTATTTTTTATCTCGAACAACCGAATGTTAATTTGGTTCCTCCTATAATGAAATTAAAGGATTCGTGCAAAGCAGAAATTATTGACGGATGGCAAGTGAATTTCAGTAAAAAAATCCAGCATCAGGCGGATAACAAAAAATCAATTCCTGAATTACTTCACGGATTTTTCGAATTTTACGCCAATTTTGATTTTAAGGAATTTGTCATTTGTCCGATTGATGGTTGCGCACATGCGAAGGAGTCTTTTGATAATATCGATAGTCTACCAAAATGCATGGACAGGTAATTAAAAATTTTTAAATTTAAACACTAATTTAAACTAATTGTTTAATTTAATTTTTAAACAACTATTTAAAATTTACAGTTACAAGGAGTACGTAAAAAATACCGAGAATGCATACACCTTTAATATTCAAAAACCATTGTGCATTCAGGATCCAAATGAACTTAATCACAATTGTACCGGCAATGTCACACCTTTCCTCCTCGAAGTTTTTCAAAGGCACGCCTCAACATCCGCCGAAGTCTGTGACAAGTCATTAAAAAATAATGATTCTTCTCAATTGCTATTGAATCTCTTCCTAACAAAACCCGAAATCACGAAACCAAATACAAAGAAAATTGTCATTCCAATAAGTATTCAGAATTTTCTCCATATCGAAACATCAGATAATGACAATGGCAATGACAATGATAATGATAATGATAATTCAACGAAAACGATAAAAGATGGAAAATTCCCAAAAGAAAATTTATTCGACATTGTCTTGGATATTGTAAGAAATATCTTTGTTAAAGTTTATAAAATGAAAGTCGAACTTTTAGCTATTGATCGTGAGCAAAAACAACAAAAAATTGAAATTGATTCCGATGTCCATACAAAGGATAGTGAGAGAATTGTCCTCGAATGCACAGGCGATCAATGCTTTTGGAAATTGAGGAAAATTAAGTCTCTCGTACTCGATCCAAGTTACAGTGTACTTGAAAAAGAAGTGATAATTACGAATAAAATGATAGAAAATAAACAGAATAGCAATGAAAATGCACACGTTAATTTATTGTGCGTCTTTGAAAAATGTCAAAATCCACTGAACGTTAAATTAATATTGAGCAGTAAAACCGGTGGTAAAGCTTATAAGGATTTTTCAAGTTTTCTCAGGGGGAAAATTCCCAGTATTGTTGAAAGAACACTGTCACATATGGTACAATATAAAAAAAGTTCAATAACATTCGAAAGAATTGACGACTCAAATAAAGAGTAAAAAAAATATCCAACACGGTAAATACCGAAAAAATTAAGTTTCAGAATAAAACTCGAATAGATCTGAAAAGCATTGTAAAATATAGTATAAAAATACACTTTTTTAGTTACTTTTAAAATGTTTTGTTTAGAATTGACAGTATATTTTTTTAACAGTTTTGACACACAAACTTAAGAAAGTTTAATTTAGTTTAAAACATTTGACATATTTTAAATTTTGTTTTAATAATACTTTTCGCATTTGTAAAGAAGATAAGATCACACGAATTGTATTCTCTTTTCAATAAAACGACTGCAATTATTTCTTGCATAAATTGATTCTACATTTCTACAATTCTAATTTAGATAATTTAATTATAGTCATTTATTAAATTAAAGTTTATATTTTCTATACCAATGAGTATTAAAAGAAAATTGGATATTAACATTACTATCGATAATTAATAACGAAAAAAATTAATACTAGGAGAAAATGTAAATTCAACTTGAAAAAATGATTAAATTTAAACTAAATTTGTAAAAATCAAATGCTTATGACATTTATTTACTTTATTGTTAAAGGCATTTAAGCATAATCTATTTTCTTAACTATATGGATTGTATCATAATTACAGGAATTACTTGTGAATTTATCAGACGATTTTTGTATATAGGATGAGAATATTTACAACAGATTATTAGCATATTTATGCAGTCATAGGCGGCATAAGTTCCATTCCTTTGCACTCGAGGGCAATTTTAATCCCTAGTGCAAATAGACCAATACTCTTTACTAAACACCTGAAAAACAAAATAAAACTAATGATATAAGAAGAGTAAAATGAAAATAAAGCTTTGAGGAAGCAATATATAGTAAATAAATATTAAATAACGAAACTATTGTGGTAAATAAGTCTATAACTGTAAAAATTCTTTTATGAATGAAAAATTGAACTTTCCTTCTTTTTGAGAAGGAAACTGATTCTTGAATAATCATTAACAAAGATTCGGAATACTTTATTTTGAATTTTAATTGACAAATTTAATTTTTTTTAATTAAAAAAAAATACGAAAAATACTTTCTGCATTTAGGTTAGGATTGAAAAGCAATAGCATTATTTTGATAGCTTACCATTTAAAGGGATCTTCGTATATATTTACAATTATCTTTCGTACGCTAGCCATGTTTTTTTTAATTAAACATAAAGCTTAATTTAATTTTCTTAAGATATTTTAGGCCAAATTTATTTTAATAATTTTAAAAACTCTTCACGAGGTATTAAGTCACTATCAAACAGGGCTGTGAAGCTCTGTTAGACTCTTTTACACGACGTATTTTACACCACAAAAGTTGCGTACATTATCGTTAAAGTAGAGTTCTACTTTATCCCGGTCATCTAACGGTAATTTTGCGAACCTCAATTTAAAGTTTCAATTCAAAACCGCCGAAAAAAGCGGTTAGAGATTTTGTTGCGAGTAATGGCTGCGAACGCTGTGACAGTTATGTAGAAATTTCATTTTTCTCTCCAAGTTATGTGTATTATCAAATTTTTCGAAAGAAAATAATGAGTGTATTTTGAAAAAAGAAGAAAAGTGAATAAAGTAATGTGTGCTTTGTGGACGTTTATGAACAAGTGTAAACAAGAGTGCTTCTTTGACAGTGTTGTAGCAAAGTGTAAACCAGTGTAAAGAGTGTAAACAAACATAAGCTTTATTTCCTCCTATAGAAATTCTTTTGTTTATTACAAAATTCTATTAATTGCATTTATACATTTAATTTAATATTTAAACATGACATCTAATCTGTCAGTATTAGCTACTTACGATGAACTTGTTCGATGTACGAACGTTCTTGTCAATGGATCCTGTGAAGGAGGTTAGTTTCGGAAAAGTTTCTATATATTTTTTTGAATTTAATTTCAAATTGACTTTTTTTTATAAATAAATTAAACCAGGGGCACCAGAAGTATGAATCTTATAAATTTTATAAATTATACTTTTGAAAGTAAATAAAACTTGTTGAAAAGATAAAATTTGCAGTAATTGTGTAATTTAAGTGTATTAAATTGTTTAAAATTTACGTTTGCAGAGTTTTTACAATTCGCGATAAATCAAGAAGAATTGAGGCAAAAATGGCTGCAGTCAGTTCAAGAATGTCAGAGGCTTCATTCAGTTCTGGATAAGGCTCATCATGAAACTGCAGATCTCGACAGGAAGTTGAGTCATGCGAGGAGATTACTTGATGAAGAGAAGCGAAAACGAAGAACTGCAGAGGAGCAACGAAATTCTCTGGTAATAATTTATATTCTTTTTCTATTGGCGGATAATATTTTAATTTTTATTCCATTAATAATTGAACCGAAAATCTTCATTTCTTTACAGGAACGTCAAATGGCAATGGCACGTGACTTTTTATTCAACGACGGTGGACGAAATTTGAATGATGAGACTAGAGAAAAACTCCAGTTTTTAAATAACACCACATTGAATGGTCGTCACAGTACTGTCAATCTAAAGGATCATTATCAAACTGATAAGTAAGTTCGTAATTTTCATTAAAGCTGAATAATTTATTTTGAAATTAAATTCTCCTATATTTTGGAATTATTTACTTCTCGAAAGATGTTAAGAAAAGAAAACCCTTTTTTCCCACAGATTAAAAACGATAACAGAGCTGGACTCTACTGGCACATTGTTGAGCGATTTGAGTTGTTTTTCAAAATCGGAAGACGATTTGGATACGAGTATTATTCTACAGCAAAGTAAAAAGAAACGCGAGTGGAAGGAACATCGTCCGAGTGGTGAATATTCTGGAAAGAAAAGGAGAAGTGTCATTAAATCCACGGATTTAAATAGTTCGGATCGAATTATTGCTACAACTACTGTTACAGTGCCGAAAGATGGTAATATCACGGCATCATCGATTATTGAAACAGTTCCCGCCGATGAAAATAACGATCCACAAACTCCTGTACAATCGTCGCGTAAACGACGCAAGAGTGAAGAGTCAAGAAGATCAAAGAATGCTCGAACAGACGCCACTGATACTCCAATTGTGGTATGAAAATTAGATTTTTTGCTCCCTCATTGAAAAAATTTTGTATTTTAAAAGCGAATATATCTATTTTGGATTGCTTAAAAAATTAAAAATTTTTTTAATCTAATTTCAATTTTCTGAAAATTAGTGTAGAATTTTAATTTTAATGTTAAATTTTACTCTAAGAAAAATTAATTATAGATAATTATTAATTATCCATTATCAGGGTGGCCACATGTCAGTAAAAGTCAGTAAAGTCAGGGAACTGACAGGAAAAAAATATAGTTGTAATTTTTACAAATTAATAAATTTCAGAAGTCGAAATTTTTTAAATTTTATTTCCCGTAAAAAAAGAAATAGGAAGTATTTAAATATTTATTTAGCATTAAATTATTCGAGTTTTGATTAATTGAATTTAGAAATCTGTGAAGAATCTGGGAAATACAAAATAAAATTTTTCGTGACAACACTGAATCAAATAAACGACTTTTTTTTTCTATTTTTAATCGACTAATGCGACTTTTTTGGTTTGTTAAAGTCGATCCGAGGCCTGATTATGAATAATTTTGTACTATAAAAAACAATGCCATGGTTTTACATTTAAATCATTTTTTTGAATAGCCTACGGCACCACGAGCGGATGCTTTAACTTCAGAGTCAGAATCAGAAACTGTTTTCAAACCGAGTCCTAATATTGGTGGATATACTCTGAATACAAAGACAGCGCGAGGTCACAATTTCAGCGCGAAAACCGTCATAAAACCGGAAGCTTGTTTGTCATGTGGTAAAAGGTAATTTCTTCTTTATGAATTCAAAAGTTTGTCTAATTTTTACTATTTTATTAACATATAAAATCTGTGATTAGAATACGCTTCGGAAAAGTGGCACTAAAGTGTAGAGATTGTCGTGCGACGACTCACGTCGAATGCAAGGATTTACTACCTCTCCCGTGTGTTCCAGCCGGAAATACACCCACATTACGTGGTGCATCGGTAAGACAATAAAACAATTAATTTTCATGTTTAATTCTCTTAAAATAAATTAAATTTAATTCTAATTTTGTCTAAAAATGATTTACACCAAATTTCAGGGTACAATCGCAGATTATACTCCCATGACTCCGCCAATGGTACCCTCTATCCTCGTGCATTGCATCAATGAAGTGGAATTGAGAGGAATGAACGAACAAGGTTTATATAGAGTTAATGGCGGAGCGAATGATGTGAAAATATTAAAAGAAAAATTCCTCAAAGGAAAAGGAGCCCCGAATCTTTCTGAAGTTGACGTAGCCACTATTTGTTCAACTCTCAAAGATTTTCTCAGGTTGATTTTAATCCACTTTTGAAAAAAAAAACTATAAAAACTATCCCTGAAAATCAGGGAGAAACAAAATTGAAAACCCTAATTCTAATTTATTCTTTTGCAGAACATTACGAGAACCTCTAATAACGGTGGGTTTAAGGGACGATTTTATACGAGCGACAACAATTCCCGATAAACAGGATGCTGACGCGGCACTTTATCAAGCGATTTCAGAACTTCCGCAACCAAATCGTGATTCTCTTGCATTTTTAATTTTACATTTGCAAAGGGTATCAAGTAGCACCGAATGCAAAATGCCGATAAGCAATCTCGCAAAGATATTTGGACCGACTTTAATTGGCTACAGTTGCAAGGAACAAACTGCAACTGCAATGCTTAATGAAACAAAAACACAAGCTACTGTGAGTTGATAAAATTATAGAAAATGATAATTAGGAATTTCATATTTAAAGATTAAGTGTATAATAATTAAAATTATTTTTAATAATGATGATTCTATCACTCAGTCGTCAAATAATATTTGTTAATATTTCGAAGCTTTAATAATAAAAATTTCTTTATAGATCGTCGAAGGCCTTTTGAAAATACCATCGGATTATTGGGCTAATTTCGTCAATTCGGACTGTTTGAGTAAAGTCGGAACACCGAAAGTGGCAACATTGAGACATACACCATCCACGGAGTCACTTTTAAAACGCACAGCATCTCGTGGATTTTTTCACACGCCATTAGGAAGCAGGTTTGTTTATTTAATCGAGAAAAAATAATATTTTATTTCATTTCATTTGAATGTATTTATTTTTCTCTTTTTCAGTCGAACATTTTTAAGGAAAAATAAGAAATACTTCGCCACACCGCCGTCAAAAACGAGCTCTAAATATTAATAAGGTAATACTCACGAGCGCATTTAATACGCAAAGCTTTATTTTTTCACTCGTACTTAAATAATGTCCTAATTTTTTTTTTAATTTCAAAATAGGAAACTACTACAAATTCACTACTTTTTAAATTTTATTTTTACAATTTTAACTGCTAAAAGTATTTTTTTTTCTAAAGTATTTTTTGTGTGTAAAAATATCAATAAGATTAAAAATTTAGAATACAATTTAATCGATTAATTATTTAATTTCGACACTTAATCAAAATAGAATTGAAATTTAATTAGCAATTAATTATAATTGTGTCAAGTGCACAAAATACATAAATTGAAATTAAATAGGAAATTAATTTTAAAATAACGTAAATTTTTACAGTTAGGATTAATTTAATTATTAAACATCATAAATGTATTATGATGAAAATATAATTTATAGGACAGTAATTGTACTAATAATTATGGGTTTTTATAATAAAATTTTGATAAAAAAAATTTTGAAATAATTATGGAAAATTTTAAATAGAAAATTGGTTTAAAAAGTATATATTTATCCATTTTACACTAAAAGTATAAATGTACAATAGATTTTTTTTTTTTCAATTTCTTACAAACAAATTCATAGTATAATTTCGAAATTATATTCCTGCTAACAATATACAATCAATTTTAAATTTAATATTCTTTTAAAATACTTTTTAAAGTAATTTTTAATAAAAGAAGAAAGAAACCTGCTAATTTTCCTGCAATGATTATAATTACATAACAATAATGATAATTTATTATGAAAATATAATTATTCAATTATATTTTAATGATATCGAATAATTTTTAAACGTGAATTATTATTAATTAGCAAAACAAATCTTTAAAATTGAAATCTATAATTTTATTTGGTATTTCGAAAATCACTTGTATTAGAAAGACTAGAGTGCTATTTTAGTTTGAAGAAATAATATATAATAATTTAATCTAAAATCACAAAACATATAAAAATAAAATTTACAAAAATTCATGAATTCGAACTTAACTTAAAGAGAAGAAAAAGGAACAAAAATTTATTCTTTTATCTTGATGCAGGATTTTTCCTTTAATTCCCAACAGGCTTCCCAAAATATTTCTAATCTATTATCACTATTTGAGCAAAATTGCCTGAAATCCTGAATAATTCTCTTTTGGAATAATTCATCCCCAGACGATGTTGATAATGATTTCCATTTTCGACTTACCATGTGATTCCACGACCAGAGAAAGCCTAACTGTTGATTAATTATCGTTAATTATTATTATAATAAAATTTCATAAATAATCAACTTCTTCGCAAGAATCCAAGGGGCCGTTCAAAAAATACGTAACGCTATTTTTCGGAAATTTGGACCCACCCCCCCCTCCCCCATGTAACGCAATGTTGTATACATTAGCGCCATTTTTTCTGCTGACCGTAACAAATAGCTTGACCCCCCCTCCCCCTAAAGCGTTACGTATTTTTTGAACGGCCCCCAATTATTTTCAGTACAATTTTTATAAAATTTCTTGATAGGATTCAATTATTTTTTTAAAAAATGTATTGTTTTCAATATTAAACAATAGGGAATATTTTGTATTTCGTATGTGATAAGTTTTAGTAAAGAGAAAGAACTTACTCGTCTATCAGGACTGTAATCGTCATTACTTTTTCCACTGACGTGCCTCGTGATATAAGCCTCGTGTGGACTTGGCTGATCCGAATGCACTGGATAACGTTTCTGAGCCACGTTTCGTCTCACAACATTGGTGCCAGTTCGTGTTCGCGGTCTCACGCCAGTTGTCGATGGAATCAAAATAAAAGCATTGCCAGTTACATGAACATATTGCCGATCATTTTCATTGCATTCTGTAATGCACGGAATGAATCCAAATCTTTGTAAAATAGCCTCTTGAAATAGAAACAATCTCTGCGTGTATGTGTCCTCTCGAAATTCTGCAATTACGTTCAATTTCATTATAAAATAATTTTTTTCTTATGTAGTCAATATTTTTTTCAATATTCAATTCAAAAAGAATTGTAGTCAATTTTTTTCTCATTTTTTGATGCATATTCAATTCTTTTTTAATTCAATTCATAACTTCTTTTTCAATCGAATTCAAAGAGAATTGAATATTCATCAGAAATTGAAAAAATATTGACTACAAATAAATGATAACGATTTTAAAAAGTAAAATAAAGTAATTAAAATAATAACTTGCCTTCAAAAAGATAGCGTCGTTTATTCATTAAACATTCTGTACTTAGAGGTATGAAAATAGGCCCTCTTAAAGGATCGCTTTTTAGAGTAAAAGGTAAAGCCAGTAAATCGCTAGGAATCGGTACCATGTGTAGACCACACATTAGTGCCTTGCGTTGCCACAGAAATATCTGAAATTCATAAAAAGAAATTATAACCATTATATGAATATAATCAATTAATTAAAAATAATTAATAATTATATTCAATAAATGAGGAATAGAACAGAAATTTTGTACACTTAAAAATTAAATTACAACTTTACACCAAAGAGATTAAAACGATGTTTTTTCAATCTCGCACAGTGTGAATGCTAGGCATTACATTGATGGTTTCAAAGTTTTTATTCAAAAATGAATTTAATTTTTGTAATTTATTTGTAGTTTTGAAAAAATAAAATTTTTAATAAAGTTGCCGAATTGAATAGAAATTGCATTAAATTGAATTTTACCTTTCAAAATTGTATTTAAATGAGAAAATGATTGAAAAAAATTAATATTATAGTTGTCAGAGTTGAATGTTAGAAATATAGGATTGAAAAAGATTTTGAATAATTATTGACATTTTTTATAATCAAATTCTAAATAATATATTTTTTAAGAACAAATGAAGCGGGTGCATGCTTTCTTCCCCAAAACCCAAAACATTCTCAAGATCTTTAATTTGAAACAAAATTTAAGTTTCACGAGAATCTTCCAAAATTTTGAAACATAATTTAATTTATCCAAAGAATTAATTACTTTTAAAAATAATTAAAATTCTGCAATCATTAGTAACTTCTGAAAAATTCTCTAAATCATAGGTATCGTACAATTTACGGTTTTTTCAAAAAAACTGACTTTTACAGACTTTAAATAAATTGATGGAGGTTTTTAAAAGAGAACTTTGCATTTCTTTTAAAATTTCAATTGCTGCATATTTGTTTTTATATTGTGTTGTCTCATTTATTATTTTATCGTCAGAATATAGTAGTTTTCTCACTTGGGCATATTTATCCTTTAGCTCTAATAATAAAACTTGGAAATCCATTTTTTTCTCTTTAATCGAAAATTGTATAAGTAATTTACAATCTATAAAACAAATTGAATTATTATTGCAAAATATATTTTATATTTATATTGAAATAAATATTGGTTTACTTCGAAATAGGAATTATCGTAAAAAATATTGCGTTCAAGTCGCAATTTTATTACCTAACTTACCGAGAAATAAATTCGATATAATGTAAACAGATATTATACTCTCTTGCTCTAATAGTTATAATTATTATTTTCTATTACTTCTATTATTTATTTATTATTTCATTAAAAATGTCACATTTAAATATCTGGTTTGTTTTGATTAACGTTATCACGGCTGAGAAACTAGTCTCTTAAGTTCAGGGTTGAGAACATAATGCGTAGAACTTTTGTAGTTTCCAAAAAAAAGATGTGATGGGGGTATTAAGGTGCATTCTCCAACGCAGCAATATTTCACAATTCAGAGTTTTCTCTGTAAAAACCTTAAGCTGACACAACACTCTCATGCTTAGCAACACTTTGACGCGCCAAGAGATAGAGAGAGAGAGAGAAAGCTATTGCTAAAGGCCAACGCAGAATAGATCTGTAACCGGAACCGCAATCGTAAGCGTAACCGTAAGAATGAGTTAAAGAAGGATAGGTATATTGTTTATCCTTCTCTAACTCATTCTTACGCTTACGGTTACGATTGCGGTTCCGGTTACAGATCTATTCTGCGTTGGCAACGTAATTTGGGACTGATGAACATCATATCATCATCATCATCATTCAAGATCAGCACCAATGACAGCAGTACACCGATGGATATTGATAATGAAGAAGAAGAGGAAGAAGACAAAACATCTGTCAAGGAAACAAAATCTAGTCCTACGCCGAAAAAAATGTACAAGCTGAATTTAAAAGAAGAGAAACTAGTTGAAGATGTTTTCAGCCAACAATCAACATCAAAGGAGCAGAAATTAGGAAGAAAAGCTCCTCTTAAGAAGAAAAAATCATTATCTCCGATACCCAGCACGAGTCGTCAAGCTGATGAAAACGACTTTTTGCAAAGTCTCCATTTACAGGAAGAAAAAAATTCGACATTCAAAATCCCCGAGCCATTAGCGACACCATCTAAAAGTAGCAGAAATGATTCTGAAAAATTGAAGAAAACAAAGAAATCTACATCCAGGAAAGAACAACAACAACAACAACAACAACAATCGAAATTTACAATAAAGACTGTATTTGAATATTTCTGCCTGAATGAACAACTTCGTACAATTATCAATGATCAAGTACAAATGTTATCACGTATGTTCATCTTGATATCTGTATTTGTTAATTTTGCCCTTAGACATCCTACAAATACTTTTTTTCTTGACGAATGGTCTAAGAATGGGCCCGATTACTTAACAATTACATATCTATTCAAAGAGAAGGAACGTATTACTTCAACACAGAATGCATTTCTCAAAAAGTTGCGTGAAGAATTTGTTCCTGAATTTTCAGAATATATGGGGCGACCATTGGAAAAATTCAATTGCACTAACTTATCTTCTCAAATACAACAAATGGCTGCACAAATGAATACCAATTTCACTACAAATCTCACTACGCACTGTAGAAATCGACTTGCCAAATTTTTTAAAAATGAACTGTTTAAAAAATCGCCGAGCTACAAGGAGAGAAAATCCAGATAGTCATTGACGAAAAATCCATTGAAGAGAGGGACATGAAGCGAAAAGAAGAAAAAAGGAAACGTGCAAGAAGAAACAAATTAGATGGGACAGAAAGAAGAGGAGAAAGAAAAATTCTGGAAGACAGAAGAGAGTTGAAAAACACAATAAATGTAGAAATTTGTATCCAAATAATAAAAAAATGAGGGACAAATTAATAAACATTAAATCGAAAACGGAACAAAAATCACATAATGTTGAACAGAGAAAAATTGTCTACGACGCAAGGAAAACTATTGGAAGGAATCGAGGCAAGAAGAAATTTTCCAAGAAGCCGAGCATCAAACCACCAAAGACAACACCCAAAAACAAACCGTGCAGGAATCTGCAGAAGGAAATAACACCTGAAAATGAAACAAGCGATGAAACATCTGCAACAATCGAAAAAGACAAAGCGGAGGAGGAAGAGGAAGAAGAAAAAGAAGGTTACACAATTAAAACCTTAATTGACAATCTTCTTTTAAATAAATGCGAAAATAAAACATTAAATCAAATGAATTTGGAGAAATTTGATTTTGGAGACATGACAAGTAAGGATGAGTGTCACAAATTTCTCCCTTTTTATCTTCGCTTACAAAAATACTTTGTCGATGAAAAAATAAGAGGCTTCATGCTTGTGCCTATTATGAAACCTGGTGTAAAGTACATCTGCTACACAAATACTGCACTGAGTGAATTGGAAAATGTATTCAAGAGGAAGCAAAATAAAACTGAAGTAAAAACAACACCAACCAAGAAAATGACGAAATCCGAAATTTCGAAACAAGAGGCAGATCACAAGAAACTCATCTCACCGGTAAAGGAAAAGAAGGAGAAATTGTCTAGTGATAAGAAAATTTTGACGAGAGATATAAAGTTAAAAAAAGGAAAAAAAATCCCCAGAATAAAAAAAGATTGGCCGAATTGGAATTAAAATTAAAAGTTTTAAATGAAGATTTGTCCATCATCAACAAAGAATTAAAAAACATTACAGAAATTCACAAAAAAGTCGTGACTGAGAGGAATCAAGATAAATATCTTGAAATTGAACGAAGGTGGGAAAGACTTTTCAATATCTCGAAATTACGCGTTAATAAAAAGAAGTATAAATTTTCAGGGACAATTATGACCGACGGGATTGCCGTTTCAGTAATTTATAATGTTATAAAACCAAAGAAAATAATTGATTTCTTGCCTACCGAACAAGGAGATGTGCGCGATAAAACTAAATATAAAATTTTAAAAGGACTAGACCCAGGATTAAAGCTTGCTTTCGGTGGCGTTGAAAGGGAAATGCAGCAAGACTTTGATATTAATTCCAAAGACAAACCGATTAAAATTCCCACGGCAACATTTCGTTTCCAAACTCAGGAATATAAACGGCGATCGATTTTATATAAAGTAGGAAATGATCCGAAAACGTATTACGAAAATTTATTAGAGACTCCCGAATTTAAAGATAAAGTAAATCATCGCGATCCATCACTTATTATTCCGTGTACTAAATTTTTATTAAGAACCTTCTACGATCAACAACCGAATATGGAGAAGAAGAAAATAGCTCGCCTCAAGTGGGACAAATACATGCTTGTCCAACGAGAAACTGATTATCTTGCCGATTATCTGGTAGGGAATAGAAAAGAAAAACAACTCATAGCGATAGGCAGTCCAAAAATTTCACCGTGGATGCGTGGTCATGTACGCATGCCATTAAGAAAAGTGGTACGAAGATTAGCCGAAAAGCAAGATAAATATAAAAATTTACGTCTTGTTTTTATCGACGAATTCAACACCACTAAAATGTGCAGTACATGTAATCAGAAGATGAAAATTCTAAGAAATAGAACTGCCTATTGCTCCAGTTGCAGGACAGCATGGAATAGAGATGTGAACGCTGGAAGAATCATTTTAAATTTAGCTCTAGTTCGACTCGGTATAATTAAAAAAGAACAGCTTCCCGACTCGACCAAATTCCGCGCGATCGCGAAAATAGAGTAATTAATCTTCCGCGTTTGCTTAAAAAATGGGGTAGATCTATCTACTATACAATAATTGGTTTTCTCCACTTGATGGAAAACCATGCCTTTGCACAAAGGCGTACACCACCAGATGAGCTATAACTTTACAAATGACATTCTTTTTATTTTAATTTTTAAATATTCATTTTGTTTAATGTTTCCGAAAATGAATCGCTATCTATTGATTTAAAGTTTACAATCAATCATTCAAACTTTTGGTGCGAAATTCAATCTTTTTAGTGTAAAGTTATAGTCTTATTTTTAACGGTGTACCAAATCCGCGACAATACTTCCAGAAGACGCGACCCACTGAACAACCAATTCATAGGAATGATCGGCTTTAAAAACAGATTGATATCTTAAATGGCCCCATTCAATTCTATCACTTTTAGTGATATTATTTAGAATATCAGTGTCTAAATGAGTATGTTTATACATAGGAACTGCAACAGAAAATAGAAAATTATTTTTTTTTCATCCCAACTTAATTTGGAAACTTAAAAAATAGTAAAAAATCCAAATACCTCTTCCGTCTCGTTCGTTTGTCGTGTCGGAAATTTCTATATCGTCTCGCAGAAAAATTGGAACATTAGATTCGTCTACAGTATCACAGCTTGGAATAGCTATCGGTGATGAGACATTTGAGTGCATTATAGGTACTGTACGTTCGCACCATCCTTTCGGCGGTCTAGTTTCAATCTCCACCCATTCGTTTTCGAAACTTTGTAAATCCCCAAGTGGCAAAGAATTGTCTGTTCCTGTAACTTAACAAAAAACAATTAGAACATTTTTCTTCTCTTTGATTATTAAAATTATTAATTTCGAAAAGAAATTTTTTCTTTTCTCTTCGATTATTAATTATTTTTTTTCTTAATTTTTAAAGGAAATAAATTCTTCCTACCTTTTTGATTCTCCTTCTCCTGTACAACGCGATATAAATAAAAGCCCAAAATAAATGACTTTGTAAAATCTCCGGAGGCGTGACATATGAGCTTCTCATTTATCATATTCTGCAAAATAATTTATTTAATTAATTTACATTAATTTACATTCAATTAATTTTTCAACTGAATAAATTGGATTTAAAATTGTTTTTTTCCTTTTTAGAAGTTATTTTCTTTTCTTTTTTGTAAATTAACACACCTGCATAATGTTTATTGCACATTCAACTGTTACTCCTCCATCGATATGATTATTTAACCATTGTACTGCGTCTGCACTCACAAAAGTTTGACTCGGCAGGGGATCCTTGTGTTGAGTGAGGAAGCCAACACCAGTTACGGGATGTTTCAGTGCTTCTAAAATCTCCGAATTCGAAGCATTGCTTTTCAATTTCGCCACCTCAGCATTATTGCTACGAAAAAACAAAAATATTACAACCCGTGTGGAAAATGAAAATTGGTCCTAGCCAGGTCCTACCTATTTTGCCCTGTTAATAGCTTGGTCCTAGGTTGGCAGTGTAGGTTGGACCAACAATGGGTGGTGATGCGATTCTAGTCTGGTCCTAACTTGGGAGCCTAGTTAGGACCAGTTTATGGGTCCATTTTAGGACCTAGAAAGGACCATCTCAGACAGTATTTTCTATTTCATTATAATTTTAATTAGTTAATAATATTTGTTAAAGAAATAACCTAAATTATTAATAATAAGTATTAGTTTTAATTAATTATAATTTTTTTCAATTAAGTGATGACCAAAAGCGAATTCATAAATAATGTTAGTATATGTAGAGATTAATATATATTCCTCTAATATATACATTAAAAATTATAAAAAAATTAGAAATTTGTTAATTAAATTATTTTACAGTATATATAATCATTAAATTGCATACTTATACGAATACAATGCAGAAAAATCGGAATAAACGCAAACCTAAGAAGTAAATAAAATCTAACGCACGCGGGAATCGAACCTACGACCTACGGACTACGAGACTAACGCCCTAACCACTATGCTAATGAAACTAGTTGAGATGAAAATTTTTATTGTCAGTGACTTGTGGACTTGCTTTTGATGATTCAATATAGTAATTATTGACACTAATACACAATAATAAATAAAAAAAATAGTTTAACAACAACAATAATAATAAAATAATATCCAAATATAAAAATTCAAAAATTAATATTTTTATATTATATCAAGAAAAAAAATATCTATACATTTTCGTTAAAAACAGGTTTTTCATTGTTCTCAATCATTTTTAACATTAATTTCTTGGTCTAAAAAAAATATTCGTCTTTTGGACTTGGAAATTTTTCCTAATTAATTAAGCGGGTGATCCAATTTTTAAAAAAATGTCAAAAAAATTTATGTTAAAAACACGTTTTTCATTATTCTAAATCATTTTAAGCATTAATTTTTTGTTGCAAAAATTTTTTTAGACTTGGACTTAGAAATTTTTGCTAATGAAACTAGGAAGCTCAGGTAGGTCCTGGGTTGGACCTGGGTGGGTCAGCCCACATTCGAATTGCAATATCTCTTAGTGTTTAGCACCAACTTAAACGAAACTTAAAATCAGCGAACGAAATTAGAAATATATTTTACTAATGATAATTATATTGCAGTCTGTATCTGTTTAAATAAATAAATAAATTTTGCTATTATATTAACTTTTGTAACAAATTACTTAAAAATTTGCAGTTTTTATCTAACTTCGCGATTATTACACTTGAGTAGTGAAATATGAAGATAATTTATAATTTTAACAATTCAGCATTTGTTTAAACAAAAAATTGTTGTTATTTATTAATTCTTAAGACAATAAAGCATCTAGACACTTGTAGTCTTTTAAAATTTTGCAATTAACTAATCTGAGTATTTACTTGTTGCAAAATTAGAAAAAACTGCTAGTTTCTAGGTTGATTGTGTAAAAAGTTAGTAAATAACAATTATTTGTTTAAACAATTGCTGAATTAATAAATTAATAAATTAACTTTATTTCATAGTATTTGTATAATTTTCTGATTTATGTCAAACAATAAATTGTTTAAACAAATATGATTATCAATTAATTTTATAAATATTAATTGAGAATATTTATCAATTTTTACATGTTTTTCATGTATCAATTTTGACACTTTATTTTCCTAAAAATTTTTCTAAGTCATAACTGGATCTCCTAGCTAGTACCAAGTTAGGACCAGCCTAGGATATATAAAAAGGGGTTGCCAAGTTAGGTCCAAGCTAGGGCCAATAATCATTTTAGGCATAGCATGGTGATTTCTACACGGGAATAACAAAAATATTAAATAAAATAAATACAATCCTTCCTCTATGAGGAAGCAATAATTATTAAATACAACATTTTTTATAACAAAAATAATATTACGATAAAAAAAATAGTAACCAGTAAATAAAATACAAAATTATTAAATAAAAAAAATAAAGAAATTTAAAAAAATAATTATTTTACAAATTAAAAAAATAGTAAATAAAATAGAATCCTTCTTTTGTGAAGAAGCAATAAAAATAATACACTGTGCGACACATTTTTCTTTCCCGGTTGGCTCTAGTGCTAAATGATAGTACAAATAAACAGTAATTTAACCCTCCTAGGGTTTTTGAAATGTAGCTCAAATTTATTTTTTATAAACCTTTAAGGGGCACAACTAGTGTGAGTGATTGAAAAAAACGTCGATTTTTAGGAATTTTTTTCAGGGAAATTATTGCATCTAATTTTTTTTAAAGTTTTGTACATGTATATTTGTATAAATAGTGAACATTTTGTAATTTTTTCAAAGAAAAATATCTATTTTTTAAAGAGTTATTCGCTATATCCAAAAAAAAAAAACAGTTTTCCCACTGCTGCAGTTATTACGGCCTTCTGAGTGACTGAAATAAAAATAACCAAAAAGATTATTAAACTAGAAGATATTTGCCGTACAATGAGGCTCCAGTTTTTTGATTGGATGAAAAATAAAATTTTGGGATGCCAAAAACCATCGGATTTTTTTGGCGAAATTTAAAAGCTTTTTCAAAACTCCGCCATTTTGTTGCAATTCAATATTTTTTGACATCCGAGGGTCATTGTACGGCAAATATCATCTAGTTTAATAATCTTTTTGGTTTTTTTGATTTAGGTCACTGAGAAGGCCGCAATCACTGCATGGGAGAACTTTTTTTTCGGATACTCAGGAGATAGCGAATAACTTTTTTAAAAAAAGATATTTTTCTTTAAAAAAACTACAAAATGTTCACTATTTATACAAATATACATGTACAAAACTTTAAAAAAAATTAGAAGCAATAATTTCCATGAAAAAAATTCCTAAAAATCACCGTTTTTTTCAGTCACTCACACTAGTTGTGCCCCTTAAACTTCTGCTCATTTTTGTGAAATTTTCAAAAATTTTTAATCTTTTGCTATATTTAAATAGAAATATGAATTAAGTAATGAGTAAAATATAAGTATTAAATAAATTCTAATTAAAAAGGTGTAATTATAGTAGGGGAGAGGTACGCACGTTGAGACGGGTTCTGTTTTTCAGTTATAATTTTTAAAAAACAAAATTTAGCGAAAAATTCGAAATGCTTTCTTAAAAGTATTGTCCAGGGCTACAACATTGCCAAAGAAAGTTATTTTTTTTTGGACAAAATTGAAAAAGTTATAGCTGATTTTTTAAACATGTTATTTTTTACCAAAAAAAAAGTGGTGCGCACGTTGAGACACCCATAGTAATTTATTTTAAATTGAAACAAAATGAATAATTACGTCAGATTCTAATTGTTTGTTGTTTATTTACTTATTTTGATGGTCTTAGCTCAAAGAAAAAAAATTAAAACATTAAAAATTAACTTAAAAAAAATAATCAAAAAATAAAATTTTATTTTGCACAAAAATAATTAATCGAAATTTTTATATTCGCAATTTTTATAGGTGAAGAACAAGTAAAACGCTTAAAAATTGTGGATTCAAAATCAATTTTAATGACAGTACTATTTTCACACCGTGAGAGTTTTAACCTGCGTACCACAGTGTGTCTCAACGTGCAGACCTTGCCGTTATTTTTTTAAAGCTTTGAAATTATTTGTAGATGTTAACGTATGTCAAAATTTTTGTCGGAACTTTAAAGTAGAACCAAAATTGATATGTAAATGTTATCCGCAATTTTTTCTGCCACTAAAAAATACAGTATAAATACACTAAACAGAAATTCTGAAAAACACTTTTTTTAACTAAAAAATTGGTTCGCTCTAGTTCTACCGAAAAAAACAGAAGTTATTGCGCTTTCATTGAATAAAAAGTTTGGTATTAATGATACGACAAAATGCCAATAAAATTTTTGGTATTATCAGTTACACAGGTTATAATATCTTAGTGTCTCAACGTGCGGACCGTCTCAACGTGCGTACCTCTCCCCTACTTAATTGAAAAAGTGATTATAAAAGCTAATTTATCGAATTTTTCTGTATTTTTTTTAACAATTTTGTTATAACCATAATGTAAACAAATAATCATATTTAAATTGTTTAACAATTTTTCCAAGGAAAAAATATTCAAAACAATTTTTTTAAACAATCTATTTTTAAAATTATATATCACAAAAGGTGCAAGATTTTTTAAAAATATCATAAATTGTAACATGAACTTTCAAATTTCATAAAAATATGAAATGAACTAAGTTTGCAAAATCCTTTTGGGGGTTTTTTTTTGCATACATCTACTTCAATTTAACCCTACACTTATTTGGGAAAGAAACAATAAACCGAAAATTGTTGCACAGTGATAATTATTACTTAAATAAAAAATTGTCTGTAACAAAAATAATAAAAGAAATATAGAAAATTAATAATACAATTTTAAAAAAATAATAAATAAAATAAATAACTATTAAATAAAATATTTGTTGATAACAAAAATAATATTACAATAAAAAAAGCAAATAAAATTAATTGTTTAGTGAAACCTTTCATCATTAGTGTCCAAGTGATCCTGTTGTTGCTCCAAAGAAAGCGGCAAAACTGCTTCACTTGCTGGAGAAATTCTACCTCGATCCAACACTTTTGATCCTGATCTGTTAAATAAAAAAAAATATTTCCATATTAATCAAAAATTTAATACAAATTATACCTAAAATAAATTACTAATCTTTCATTTTAATAGAAAAAAATAAAAAATAAATATTTTTTGTATTTTAAACGAAATTTTCAACTATTTTAGCTAAAATTAAAAAAATTTAAATTCGTAGGTATTTAGAAAATTTTTTTAAATTGATTTTTAAATAAAATTTAAAAATTCAGTCCTTTCTTTATTAATTTTCGTAAATACTTCTTTTTCTTGTGAAAAAGAAAATAAATGAATTGTAGAAAATAATTACAATGCATAACAAATTGAAATAAAGTAGAAAAAAGTAAAATTTGCAGAGCATAAGAAAGAGTATAGAAAATAAGAAAAATATTCAAAATACTTTCTCATGATAATGAGAATACATAATTATGTGAAAGAGAAGAAATATTAAGAAAAAAACAAGTATTTAATTATATTTATGTATTTTATATATTAGAATTTTTTAATTTTCTTTATTAAATAATTTTCAATAATAAAATAATTTATAATTAAAAGTTTATTTAATTTAATGGAAATTATGAAATTTAATGAAAACTAATTTAATGTGAACAATTTTATTAGAGAACTAATGAAGACTAACGTTACTGACAAAATAAGTACATAGTGACAACAGAGAATATATTTGTAAATTTTATCTCAAAAAAAAATTAAAAGAAAAATTGATTCATGAAAAGAAGAATGTAAATTTCGAGAATAATTTTTTTAATATTAAAAATTTCTCAAAATGCATAAAATAATGAAAAACAAAACCAACCTGTTTGGTATGTGGCGAGGAGTGTCGAGGGTCGTTCGGGCAATCAAAGTTGAACTCGTTAAGTGCTTCTCCTGTACAGAGAGAACCCTCACTCACTCACTCACTCACAACCAAAAGAAACCAAATTTTTTTTACAGAAAAAAATGGACAAAAAAAAATTATATCAACTACGATCAAAGCACTAAATAAAGATGAGTAAGACTAACTATAAAATGTAAGGAAACATTAATTGGAATTACAATTAAATATAATTAAATATAATTAAACATAATTAAATGTATCAAAAAATGTATTAAATAATTGTAGTAAATCTATTAGGAAAAATGTATTAAATATGTAAATAAAACAAAAAAAATTGAAATTGAAATGAAAAGGAAAGTAAATTTCAAATTATTGAGGAAAATGGAACTAGCACCTGAGTTAATTTGTAGCTTTCTAAAAATGCAATAATTAATTGAAAAGCAAATTCCAAGTCCCCAGAATAATTAATATACAGAATTAAGACTAAATTAGAATTAAAACCATGTAGTGTCAAAAGTTTTCGAAAATCTGAAAAATTAAAACAACAATTACTCAAAAACTTTATCACTACATTTTTTTCTTTACTAAAAATTACCAAAACACACGCAAAGCGACAATTTTTTTTTGCAAATAATTCTCCACACTCTGCATAATATTAAAAATCTGTAACTACTTAAAGCTAAATTTGAAAAGAAATTTCAAATTTCCTTGAAGCTTGGAAGTTTTACTGAAAGGATAAAGATTTAAATAAATGTTTGAAATTAATAAAAAAACCATCAACCATTATAATTATGGAATGTTGAAATATGGTTCGAAAAGAAGAACACCTTGTCTAAACTGAAAACAAGCGAGAAAGCCTTTTTTTTCGAAATTAGTTAAAATTGTGAAAAATCGAACCTTGGTCTTGGTTTTTCAGGAAGTCGATTGCTCCCAAGTCTCTCTCTGAATGGAGAATTGCCAACAAGGCTTGTCTGTAAAGTATCGAGATTAAAATAATTTCATTAATTTTCCCAAATTTTTTTTAATTTTGCAAACAAATGAAAAAAGCTATGATTTTGAAAAATTATCTTTTTTACATTTTTCTAATAGAAATTATTAATTATTATTCATAAGCAGGAAAAATTAGTTCTTTTTTTTTAAAAAAGTCCAAAATTATAGAAGCAAATTAAATTTTTACAGCTGTTTAATGTATAATAGTAGCGACATTAATATAAATAATTATAATTAAATAATAAAAATGGTCATAATTGATAAAAATATAATAAATACAATAATAAGAAACTAATAGTAAAAAATAATAATTGATAAACAGATTATAAAAATAATAATAAGAAAATAATAACATGGCTCGAATTAGTAAAAGTCCGTATTTTTAAATACTTTCACTGGTTCCAGCCCTGTAATAAGAAAAAAAAATAATAAATAAAATAATAAAAATAATAATAATAATATTAATAATAAAAAAAAAATGTTTATTGAATTAATTAAATATTTTTCGCTAAAAGGGAATATCTCTAAAAAAAGTGAAATTGTGTGTAAAATTATAAATAGAAGTTAATGTTAATAAAAGTGTTAATTCTACGCAAATATAAGTAACATGCTTGTTAAAGGGAGAGGGGGAAATAAAAATTGAAAGAACGAAAGTATTCTAAAGTACCGTGCGTCACTTTACGTCCCAAAATGCTCAATATTGATTTTTTCGAATAGGCGGAATGAGAGGAAATCTTTTTAAATATTTCTTTTCGTAAAATTAACAAGGAGAGTAATTTGTTTCTTTTTAAATAGAATTATTCGAGGATTCAGGTAGAGGAGGGGAAATACCTGATGGTTAGTGAGAAAAATCAGGCTCGTGCTGTGCCTTCGCCTTGTCAAATGAGAGGCAGGATCTCTTGGAAAAGCACCACCTAAACTCGTTGTACTCTGAAACACATTTCGCTGTATGCGATCCTTCTTAAATAAAAAGTCAATTTTCTTTTTCATTATTTATCAAATTATCACCAAACGTTTTTTCATTTCACTTTTAAAAAAAGTCCAAAACTACAAATTTTTGTAAAATAAATTTGTTTCCTTTTTTGAATTCGAAAATACCTTTGGTAAAATTATCATTTTTTCATTTGATTCTTTTCGAAAATTGCGATTTTAATTTAATTTTTTACTTTTTTGTTTTAAACTATAAATTGTTTTGAGACGAGAGCGAGCACCTTGGGTACCTTGGAACGTCTGGAATCCAAATATTAATAATTAAAAAAATACTCTATTTGTTAAAATAAATTTGAGTACAGCAGAGCTGAAATAATAAAGGATAAAAAATTATTGATTAATAATTTGTGAATCTAGTAAAATTAGGTAAAAAAAATAAAAGCTGCAAATAAAAAAAACTACTTTTACATAAAATATTAGTTTGGTGCTAGCTTTCAACATGCAGGTTCAAATTCTACCATGTACAATTTATACATAGTGAAATATTTTCCAAAAAAATATTTCACGGAATATTCAAATCTTACTTTCCTTTGATTATTATTAATAAAATGTATCTAATACTAAAAAAATTGTTTAGAATTTATTTTTAAAGGAATAATTCTGATAATTTCTTACCCAGTTTTTATTCGAATTTGGTCGTCGAATTTTATTTAACCATCCCTCGATGAATCGAAGGAAACCATCCATGTAAGCGGTTTGTTCGTTTGGAGAGAGAGGAGTGTAAATATCACAACGTGACGAGCCATCGAGAAGTTTACGTGTCGCTGGATTATTTAACGGTAGAAGAAATATTCGAAATCTCCAATATTTCAGAGCCTGTGAAATTATTTCCAGTTTTAAATATAATTATTTACTTTTGTCAAATTTTAATTTACTTTTATTGAAAAATTTTCAATGGGGTTGCCGCAAAAAATTGTTTTTCCCTGATTTCCAGATAAAATTTTCCCTTTTTTCCTGACTCTACAAAGAATATTCTGATTCACTCTAAAAATTATTAGATAAAAAAATGTTCTATTGACGAATTTTTTTAATTGTGAAATTATTCGAAAAGAATTCAATTATATTCATAAATAATAAATTTCTTCACAGTATTTCAATTATTTAAAAGAAATAAAATAAAAAAAAAAATAAATAAAATAAAATAAATAAATAATATAATAATATAATAATATATATGGGTAGTTCTACAAACGAGGGAATACATTATGTCCAAGGTTGTTTTTTACATTAATTTTGAAAAAAATAAAATTATTTTCAATGGAAACTGTAGTGCTTAATGATTACTATTATGCCACAAAACGTTACCCGGTTTCAAAAAATATTCTTTGCAAAAAATAAGCATTCAAGTGCTAAATTCTCAGTTTCCTGGCATGTTCCAATGTGAAAATGAAAGTTAATAAATTATATAAATATTATTTTTAAGCGATTAAATGAAAATTTACACTTGGATAATAATTTCAAATAGTTGTATGGAGATTTAAAAGTATATCATCCATAGAGTGGTATGAAGACCACTTTATATCGTTTCGTCCCGGTCCCCACTACTTGGACTCATCAGTAAGGCTACGTAGTGGGAGACCTGCCCTAGACGGGGGAAGCAAATTCGGAACTTGTATATATGCTACAAGACTAGCCCGTATTGCACTTGTGAGAGATCTATATGGGAAATTGGCGTAGATGCGAGATCTATTGGCCAATCCCCACATACTCCCCCCCTAGTATCATCGAAGTAGATGATACGATTGGTTAAAGGAATAGGAACGAAGGGAAAGCTTCAGGAAACTCAAGTACTATGTACGAGTGGAAAGAAGACTTTGCGTGCACAATGTGCAGATCAGAAGGTTTTTGGAAAGAGATAGACGGAGCGCGTTGCGAGCGAGAGACAGCGAAGGCATCTGTTTTCTAGTGCTCACCGCTTCGTGGCAAGTGCGAGGAAAGGTACGAAAGGAGCGTTGTGAGCGACCCCGAAAACTCGAGCTCTTCGTTAACACCGTCGCAGAAAATTGCAACACGAAGCGGCCCGTCGGCGGTCACCAATATGGAGATTTAAAAGTATATCATCCATAGAGTGGTATGAAGACCACTTTATATCGTTTCGTCCCGGTCCCCACTACTTGGACTCATCAGTAAGGCTACGTAGTGGGAGACCTGCCCTAGACGGGGGAAGCAAATTCGGAACTTGTATATATGCTACAAGACTAGCCCGTATTGCACTTGTGAGAGATCTATATGGGAAATTGGCGTAGATGCGAGATCTATTGGCCAATCCCCACAGTTGTACTTTACAAAGATTAAAATAATTGTTACATTACTGGATATTTTATTTTCATGATATTATCTTGAATTTTGTCCATCGAATTAATTCTCAGTTTCCTGGCATCATAAAAAACGTTAAAAATATTAAGAATTTTCATTCCGATTAATTCACCATTTTTCACAGTGCTTAGTAAAGGTTAACTAAATATGATATCGCTTGCATTTTACTTAACTTGCAGTTCAATTAACTAAAATTGTGTACTTTGTGACCGAAATGGCCATTTGGTCAGACAAATTCTCAGTTTCCTGGCACGTATTTTTAAAAAAAATATTTTATGTTTTTATACTTTTGTTGTTCTAGGTGTCGTAGAACCTTATTCCCTGTTGACCAGTATGCTTTATTTTTTTATTAAGCATTAATTTAAAATTTTTTAGACGAAAAATGACCAAATTCTCAGTTTCCTGGTTCTCAGTTTCCTGGCACTTTCTGACAGAATTCACATGTGCTTAAGATGTAAAATTTACAATTTTTATTTTTTTGACTGGCCACTTTTAGGTAACTTTGATAATATTTTTAACTTGAATTTAACCTACTTTTTAAAACCTGAACGTAAAAAAAATATTGTGCCAAAATTTTCTTCATTTTCGTCCTTCGTTTGTAGAACTACCCATATAATATAATATATAATATATTATATATAATATAATATTATAATAAATAAATAAAATAAAATAAAATTTGTTGAAAGAATTCAATTATATTCATATATAATAAAATTCTTCACAGGATTTCAATTATTTTTAATACAATTTTAAGTAAATTCTTCGAGAAATGTAATTATTTAAAAAAATTTTATTAAATTTCTTCTAAATAAATCAATTATCAATTATTTTTAATAATTATTGCAATAGTTCCTTGAGAATTTAAATATAAAAATAAATAATTTATTGAATAGATAATTGAATTCAGAATTGAATTTTCATAAAGAACTTTATCAACAATTGAATTTTTGCGAAGATTTTTATTACTTTTGAAAACAATTGAATTTCTGCAATCATTTGTAACTTCTCCAAAATTAAATTTTTTCCACTACTTTAATAAAAATCCCTGACTTTTCCCTAACCTGTGGCAACCCTGCAATTGTATTCAATTGGAAAAATGTAAATTACTTGTTATGAAAGAGAGAAAAAAAAATTTTTATTTTAATTTTTTGAAACATTACCTCAGCTAGAGAAAAATCCGTATCGCCACGAGTACAAATATAATGATCCAAATAATTCCAATTGTAATTTTCTAATTTCTCGGTTGTAAAAGAAACCCAGGACACTTCATAAGTATCATGATGAGGCGCGTGAAAGCGGTAACGATAATGAATATTAAACGGTGGATATGGATGTCTAAAATTAGAAAAAATAGTAGAAAATTAATAAGAAGAAGAATTAAACATAAATTTTGGCGTATACCATTGCAAAAAAATGGTTACAATTATTGAAAAATTAAATTGCCTTGGTCTGTATCTCGTTACGGTTATACAATTGCCACAGAGGGAAATTTTGTGAAATATTCTTCCGATACTTAAAAGATATTCCTCCTTCGGCTCGGATTCAGAAGGTCGACCTCGCATAACTGAACTGATTGGTGGTGCATTATTACTTCCAGGTGTTGTAATTTGATTCTTATTATTCGGTGGCAAGATAATGTGTTGAAATCCCTTAAAGAAAATTTTTTTTAACAAAAATAACAATTTCTTCTTAAATTAATAAATTAAAAGAAAAAAATATACAATTCTTCCCATGAGGAAGCAATATTTATTAATACATAAAACTAAAAATTACAATAAATAAAATTATCAAAAAAGTTGAAGTTTATTTAAGTTTAATAAAATTAATCGAATTCATACTTGTGCTAATCGTTGAGAAACCAATTCCTTGAAGACTTCGGCGGTCGTGAGGGGTTTTTTATAAATCGCCCGCTGCTGTGCAAAATCAGCATTAACATCGTCGGGCAATAAATTATAATCAGAAACAAGATAGTCATTTTGTAGACTTCTTTTATCCGGAAAATAGTCAGTTGTAATTGGTAAACAAGCCGGAATTGTCAGCGACTTCCAATCAACACCTAAATTTAATTTCTACTAATTAATTTCCATTATTTAATAATAATGAAAAAAATAGAAAAAAGTAGAAGAACAGTATTTACAAAATATTAATACATTTCTTTTGTGCTACCATTACATTCACCCTGTCATATTTTGCTGATGTCAAAAAACATTTTTTGTCCTTTTCTTTCAAAGAAGAAACAAAACGTATTTCCTACATCTTTTACCAGACATTAAAATTTTTTAGTAAATTGTGCAATTATTTTTCCTTTTATTGCAATATTATTAATAAATAACATTTATATATACATTTAATTCTAAAATGAGTATTTCAGATTTAAAGCTGCACAGAAAATGTGAAAAAAATGTGCTATACATGAATTTACGAAATGAGAAGTGAATGGATGATATAATTTACATGCGAATTGATAATTGATAATCAAATTAAAATTTATGGTCACAATTTTTTTAAAACTAATTAATTGAATTCAGAAAATATTTTATAAATTAATAAAGTAGTGAAAAAAGTATAATCAAAATACAAGAGTGAATTTAAAGGATATGAAAGAATAATTACTAAAGGTAATCAGAAAAAGTGTCATGCAGAAAAAATTGAGAACTGTTAATAATTTACTATCTACAAGTGAGAGGAATGAAAAGTTTTAATAAAAATATTTTCCGGCGAAAGAACAAACGAATAAAAATTTAAATGAAATAATTGTTAAAAACAGGTGCCATATTTTAATACGATTCTTTAAAAACAATTTTTTTAAACAATTCATAAATTAGTAAAATGGAATTTATGACCAAAAAAATATAAAACGATTTATAAATAAGTAAAATGGAATTCAAAAAACAATTTAAAAATATGTAAAAATGGTGAAATGGGAAAATATAAATTTAGGTATAAAAAAAAAGATAAAAAAAATGAAAAAGAGGATTTGAATTAGAAAAAACATCACGTGAATAGCATGCAATTTAGCTTGTGCTAAAGTAATAAATTGAAAGAGAATTATTGTGTCTTAGGAGATATTGAAGAACGAAGTGAATAAGAGAACCGAAACAGCCCGGAGTAATGTATGACGCTAACCTATGATTGCTGTTTAATGTTGTACATCGTATGCATCACAATGTCCAGCGTTGCATCCCAATTAGACGTACCACAGCATGGAAATAAATTTAAGAGCATTATTTAGTTAAATTTTTTAAAAACAAAAATTAAAATAATATCAATTTTCGTATTCTCGTTTAATTATGGATTGAAAAAGATTATTCTTATCAACAACTTTAGTTAAATTTGAAATCTGTGTAACGTGATGAAATGAGATGATTATGGCTTTTTCTCTTAATTATTAACTATTATCTGCTACTGTACTGTAAATTTTATATTAAAAAATAACTATTTGAAATACTAACTATTTTGAAATATTTTATATTTCACTATTTAAATAATTATTATACCTGAAAAATTTATTTTACTGATAAAAGAAACTACCACGAAAGAAATTCTAATCAGCAACTGTTTATTCTATATATATATATTAATTTTTTGGCAGTCATTATCAAATTCCAATTGTTCTATTGAAATTAATAAGTAAATTAAACTTCAGTGAATTTCATAACTTTTATGATTAACGATTTAGAAGAAGAAGTATTTTTCGAAGCAAATTTTTACTATTTTTCACTTTTCTTCATCCACGAGTTAAATGTAAAACTTAGACAAAAAATTGTAATTGCATAGATTTTTCTAATCGTTAATAAACGTTTTGAACTTCACCGATGTAAAATTTGAAAATATTTTGAATGATTTTTAATTAATTTTTAATTAATTTTTAATTTTTTTAATTATATATTTGGAATTGAAAAATATTTGGTACTGGAAAAAATTGAAACTCAAAATAGAGATTTGAAAAATAATTAAAATAATTGAGTAATTTTTTAATTAAAAACTGATGAGGGGAGAGAAAATTTATTTAATTTTGTGGATAAAATAAAGTACCTGTTGTAAGAGCTGGTGTCCATTCTTGTTCCCCCGTAGCGCCCCACAGAAGAGTCAAACTTTTGCTTGAAGAATGTCCTCCTGTTTGTCCAGCCTTATCGATATTATTCTGTGAAGCAAGATTCTTCTGCAATTTCGATTGCGAATCTAAAAGAAAAATAATTGAATTATAATTTGAATGAAATCTTTCCTTTTACAAATTAACTTACGATCTTGAAATCCAGTTTGAGACGATGATCTGGACATTGAATAATTTTTGGTGCCATTCTGTTCGGGTGAAATACTTAACACTGAAATTGTGTCACCCGGTTTTTCCGAACGTGTTTGAGCCGGAACTGCTTGATAATGATGCTGTTGAATTAGAACGCCAGTTGGACCTAAAAAAATCAGAGTGAAAATTAAAATGTTTATTTTTTAAATAACTTTAATTTCTTTTCTTTGACAGGGCTCGAACCAGTGAAAAGATAATTAATTCTTTCCAAGAAATTTATTTGAAAGTTTTGGAAATAATTGAATTTCTGTGAAGAATTTTATGAAATTTTTGAAAATAATTAAATTTCAATCAAATGACGGATTTTACCGACTTTTTTTTTTTTAAATTGACTTTTACGGACTTGAAGCAAATTTACGGACTTAGTTCGAGCCCTAGTTTGATAAAAGAAAAGGAAAATTTGTTTATAAAAAAAAGTGTCAACGAACCTTTAGGAAAAATATGAGTCCATCGTCTTCGATTACTCGTGAGTTTAATAGTCACGTGAGAGGGATCGAAAGGATTTATGAGAGCTCTGCTGGGTCGGAGAATATTTATCGGTTGAGCAATTGAATTAGTTGGACTGCCAGCACTGCCGACAATTGGCCTAAAAGGCGGTGATATTTCGCTGTCTGTAGCATCGCTTTTCAACGATATTCTCGAAGGAGCTGAATATTTATATAAAATTTACAATTCGAAATTAAGAAGGCGTAAATTTTGTTATTTTTTTACAATTCGAAATTAAATTATAAACGAGGAAAAAAAATACCTTTTTGTAGTCCTTCATTTGAATCAACACTGTTCACTTCTTCATTACGATGAGGAATTGAAATAGCAGCACTTTTACTCGAAAGTAATGTCGGAGACGATAATTCCGGTGGTGGATGATGAATATCAGGATCCGACATTTTTCGCTTTAATTTCAATGCTTGTAAATTGTTCGGTGTCTCCAGGCAAGCAACACTCGTTTTCTTTGTTCTATTCGACACCCTTTGCAGACTGTTGAAATAGAAAATATTTTCATTTCTAAATTATAAAATGAAATGAAAGAAATTATTACCAGAAAAAATGTAAAGAAAGAAAGAAAATTTGGAAATAAAAATACCTAGATGTATGAATTGGAGGCAATTGAAAAACTTGAGCGTCATAGGCATCGTAATCAAAGAGAGTATTATGGAGGCATTCTTTGGAATCTTGATGTAACAATTTTTTGGTCATCAATTTTTCATTTTCGTTCGGTTGTTTCGAAACTTTTGGCGGAAGCTTGATCCGAGGTATAAAAGTCGAATGGGGAATTTTTTTGTTCGTTGAATAGAAACTAAGATTTATCCAATGTGGCATACTGTAGTCGTCAGGAACTTTTATCGAAGTATCCTTATTGTGAAACTAAAAATAAATTAATAATAAAATAAAATAAATTTTCATAAAAAGAAAATTTTCAATCTGATTATTGAGTTTAGGAAAGTACCAACTTTTAGAAGAGGTACGGCATGTAGAGGTTGCTCCCCAACGCAGACCAAATCACTACCAACTCCATTGTCAATGATTCTCTGCTTTGTGACATTCGTTAATTCACGATCAACTTCGAAAACTCCAACTCCTGGTGTTATCACCACAGACAATTGTCCAGTTCTATCGAAACTGCGATCCAGATAATGTTTCTCAAACACTAAAATAAAAGATTCGTAAAATTACCATTTTTAGTCAAAATTAAATACTTGATTCTAGAAAAAATTGTTTACCATTGAGAGACATGTTGAGAACTTCTAAAAAGTTCCCCTGTGCAGCTGTGGAATTTGTCGCCTTCGGTACAGGCACACCTGACTTTTGATGATATTCCAAAACAATTTTCTGATAATCAGTGAATAATTTACGTAATTGTACCAAAACATTACTCCAGTCTTCGTATCTCTCATTTTGTACGGCAACACGATAAAAATCCTCGTAAAATCGACCACGATAATCGTGTTGTAAACATTCTCGCATATGATTTGGAAATTCCTCTAAATTACTTGCATTGTAAAAGGTTCGTGAAAATAAAACAATGGTCACTTCATGATTGCTGCCATTTTTCTTCCATTTTTGAAATAAATCGGCGAGAAAACCATTAACGGCTTTCTCAAAATAAAGATCGCCGTGTATGTCAAAATCCCACATTTCCGAACTCATTTGTATAAAAAGATAGACCATACTTGTCGACGAGCGAAAAACAACCTGGAATTATTTTTTTGTTGCAGTAAATAATCAATTCCACAGGTATAAATAATAATTGATTAATTACCTTTGTATCGTCGGTGATGACACCACATGCCACTCGATCTCCTTGCGACCACATTTCATGAACTTGACATCTTATAGTTCCTCCACAAAATTCGATTTTTTTATTCGTATATACACACGTATTTACCTGCAATTAAATTTTCTTTTTATTCAAACAAAAATTCTTTTTATTCAAACGCAGGATTCGTAGTCGATAATTAATTTTAAGAAAGTAACAAAAAGTATATAAAAAATAATTGAATTCCTAAGAAGAATTTTATTATTTATAAAAATAACTGAATTCTTGCGAATAATTTTATAAAAATCTATTTAAATAATTTATTTTTTCGAAAAATATTAGGAAAATTCTGTTTTAAATAATAGAATTCCTGTGAAATTTTGTTTTAATTATTAATTTCTTTTAGAAATTTTTTTATTAAAATAGTAGATATTAAAAATCATTGAATTGCAACAAATTTGTGAAAATAATTGAATCGTTTTAAAGAATTTTATTAAAATTTTTTGAATTTTTTCCAATTACCTACTTTATCAAATCGTAAAAAAGTAGTAAATAGTAGGTTTTAGTAGAAACAACTAAAAAGTATTTTTTAAGCGATGGAATATTTACCAAACTATTTTTCAACCTCCACATTTCACTGCGACCCATATATTGATCCTTGAATGTAAGTTCAACCGAATCGAGAGCAACATCGTCGGGATTAACAATATTCATATAAACATCGGCAAATGTTCTCAATTGAAACATAGTTGCTACATTATTTTCAACGCTAATTGTTTCTCGACTTTGCAAGTCCTCTTTAAAAGAAGTGACTTGCAACAATAATCGACTAAACTCATCTTCCGGATGATAGATTTCCACAACATCTCCAGTTTTAATACCCGGATAATCCTTTGGATTTATAATTAAATCTTCTCCACTGAAGTTTTTCTGATGAACGATTAATTTGAAAAGTTTCATTTTCAGCCCATTCTTTATTTTTTTCCACCGATTATTAATTTTCTTCTTGATTTATAAAATTTTTACAATCCGGAAAAGCTGAAATTTATAGAATTAAAAACTTGTGATATTTTGTATTATATGTACATACGAAAATAGAATCTAAAACACTAAAGGTCAAGTGCAAGAAGGAGAAAAAAGAGAATGATAAAAAAGAGTAAATAAAGGGGATAAAGAGTAAATAACTTTGGAATAAATCAACAGATATACAGTGATAATGGAAACAATCGAAATACCTGCGAAATACTTATAATTACGAACAACAAAGACCAAATGAATGTGAAAAAAAGGAATTGTTAAATAAAACAAAATATGTTTGGATTGTTTATTAATAATTACCTGAAACAAAGACAGATCAACAAAGAAACCGAACAGACAAGTGCTTGAAAATTTGACATTTAGTCTCGTTTTTTTAAAACTACTCTCAATTTCACCAGTTTTACAATTGCACAATAATAAATAAACGAAATAAGTCTTCTTCTTCTTCTTCTTAATTTCTGGCTTCGATTACTCAGGCCAATTCCAGTAGTATATTATATCATGTAATGTATTATTCTTATTTGAGGTTCCACTTGTGAGTCTTATTAGATGACAGCTGTTTGCAGTGGTGGAGAGGTTTAGGAGTTTGACACTAGGTGGCGTTGCCTTCCTCTCCGTTGTGTAGGGAAAAAAAATTATTTAAAAAATGTCTGTTGGCATACAATGGTAATTAATATCTTGTTATTTTATATATTTTTAGAATATCTTTCTTAGCTTGACTTTTTAATTATTTTGATTTGTATATATTGTTCCAATTGATTTAACTGTATGTGTGTTATACATCAATTTGTGTAATGCTTTTTGAGAGTGCTTTTATTAGGATTGTGGTGGTAGGATAGGTTTGGGGGACTTTTACTAGCATTCCCTATACAATCAGTCACCATGATTTGAAATTTTTTTTTTTTTTTTTTTTTTTTTTTTTTTTTTTTTTTTTCCTCCTATCATTCGTATTTATTATTTATTTATTATATATTTCTCTTTTCCTTTTCCTATTGCCTAAATATTTACATGTGCTAATCCTTTTGCATTTCATGGATATATCTGTGCTTTCGGCCAATATAATTTTTTTTTTTTTTTTTTTTTTTTTTAATTTGTACATTTTGGATAAACTCGATTTTGTAATTGATAATTATTATACTTCCATTGTTCCTCTTAATCCTATTCATAAAAAGAGAATTGAGAAGTGAAATTCCTTCTCTTCTCCTCCAAATTAAAATATCAAAATTAAATTTTTTTTGAGAGGCATATATGTCTCTGTTTTCTACTCAAGTTCCGTTTGAAATATTAAAGAAACTCTGAGGTTGTTGACATTATACAACTAATTCGTTTATCAGAATTAGTAAAAAGAAAAGAAAAAAATAAAAAAACAAAAAACAAAATAAAAACAACAAAAAATAAAGATAATTAGAAAAAATTTGTGCGACTTCTAAATTAGTCTTGCTTATAGCAGACTACCTTCAGATCGGTTTCCGGATTTAATTTAAATAACTATATCATCCCTCAACAGGAGGTCACCAATTTCCGTGACAGATTCCATAGTTGGGTTGTATATTAGGAAGTTCCATTCTGGGGGATTCACCGTTCTAGTTTTGAATTTGTTGTAGAAAAATTCAATGAATTTGACTCTTCCTTCAGAAAACAAGGGACAATCGTTAACATAATGCAGAACCGAGCTCGTCTCATATCCACATCTGCATGTAGGTGCAATGTTCCAGCCTAGTCTGGAAAAAAACTCCCCCACACAGACATGTCCCGTTCTGAGTCTCGTGATCAGATTAATGTTTCGTCTTGGTATATCATAGCTTGAGAACCAGGGTCTTTCAGATTTAGCAGTGATATAGTTAAAATATTTTTGTCTGGTTTTTGCTTCCGGATAAAATGGCCACGCGTGTTTGATTGTCGATATATGATCGTTGTTTATAAGGTTTTTTAGGTCTTCTTTTGAGAAGAAGGCTTTTCTTCCTGCCGGAAAGCTTAGGGCCAGTTTTGCTAACCTGTCGGCTTCCTCATTTCCCGGTATGTTTGAGTGTGATGGGATCCAGAGCATTTTAATATCTTTTTGGAGATGTATCAACTGTAAGATCATTGAAGCGATCTCGTGGACTAGTACTCTGGACTCAGAGTCTCTCAATCTATCTCTGATTACATGCATCGACTTCATAGAGTCTGTGATGATTAAAGGGTGTATAATGTCCTCCTCAATGGAGTGTTTTAGAGCCGAGTGTATACCACTCAGCTCCGCCATTATAGGCGACAAACACCCATTCAGTCTGTTACCCTGTCTGAATTGTGTCTGAGGAATATAGAGACTCGAAGACGCCCTTCCGCCAATTTCCGCATATGATCCATCTGTGTAGATTAGAGTATTGTGTCCGTATTTGTTTTTAACAACATTATGGAAAGCTTCTCGGGGGTTTTCAGCTGATCTTACATCATAGCCCGTTTCTTTATCCATGATGTTGTCGACATCCATTATTAGCTCCGCCCAGTCTCTATCATAGTATGCCGGTTTTAGAGGTCTGATGGTAGTGGATGACAGATCTTCCACCGGTTTCAGGTATTTTAATGGAGGAAAATTATATAAATATTTGGGCGTCTGTTTTGTTTCTGCGATTTCGAGTGACAAGTCCTCTAGTCTGCGTAGCAGAGGGTTGCTCATCCAACTAGAGATTCTAATAGAGTTTCTATTCAGGAGCAGAGACCTTCTACACTCAAGTGTAGGTTCCCCCGCTTCCGACAAAAGTATCGGGATTGGGGTTGTCCTCATACATCCTAGAGCAATCCTGAGGGCACTAAACTGGATACGATCTAATCTAATTAGTCTGCATCGACCGGCGCTAGCAAAGAGTATGGAGGCCCATTCAAGCAGAGATCTTGTAAGGCCCCTGTATACCACCAGCATTGACTCTGGGTGGGCTCCGTAGGTCACCTTTGCCAGTGTTCGCATAATACTTAGTGACTTGTTGGCTCTCAGCACCAAATTATCGATGTGCTCATGCCAGTCCAGTTTATGGTCCATGATGACTCCCAAATATTTTATACTATTGGAGTTCGTTATTTGGTTATTTCCAACCCTTATTTTCTCTGAAGAGAGGTCATTCGCACCTCTCGAAAATATACACATTTGGCTTTTCCCTGTGGCGACGCTGAAGCCAAGATCTGATAGCCAAGGGATTAGCCTATCAATAGCATCCTCGATTTGAGATTGTGCTTCATTGTGATTTTCGTTTGCGGCGTACAATAAGATGTCATCTGCAAATTGCAGAATTTGCACATCCTCTCCAATAATTTGTTTTATCTCTCTCAAAGCCAGGTTGAATAATAAAGGGGATAAAACTCCTCCCTGTGGCACTCCAACCCCACAGACTCGAGGGGCAGAGGATTCTCTCCCGAAATAGAGTACCCTCTCAGTAATCATGAATGATACAAAGTTACGTATTCTGGCAGGTACCCCCGAATCTCTCAGCTGACTCATGACCGCTGACGGCAGGAGGGCATTAAATGCCCCCTTGATGTCTAGAGCCACCGTCACCGTGTTCTTTTTTTGTGTGAAATTGTGGAGTATGTCTGCAGTTAGGAAGGTCACGCAATCAAGAGCAGATCTCTCTTTGCGGAAGCCATATTGATGGTCAGGGATAAGGGCCTGACGTTCCACATAATGCTCTAATCGCGTGTTAACCATTCGTTCCATCAACTTTCCCAATGCCGAGGTCAGTGATATGGGTCGAAATCCTTTACCTTCTGGTTTTGGAATAAATCGAACCAAAGTCGACCTCCATGACGTCGGGAAAGTGGACTGAATAAAACATTCATTAAAAAAACTTCTGATCATCTCCAGGCAAGGAGATGGGAGCCTTTTGATGGTTGAATACGAGACCTTGTCTAGACCTGGTGCGGAGTCTTTCTTACATTTGGCTAAGGCCGAGTAGAATTCCGCTTTTGAGAAAGGTTTATTATATTCATTATTTTCGTCAATCTGAGTAATTTTGATATTTGGAATTGGGGGGATGTCCTCTCTAACCATTTCATTCTGTAGGTTCTTCATGGTTTCCGAGTCCAAGTCGTTAGTTTTGGTGTTTGCTCTAGAGAATTTTCCGGAAAATGCTCTTATCAAGCCCCAGATTCTTTTTGATCCCATACTGGGGGAGATGGAGCTGCATAGTGATCTGAAAGATTTTTTCTTCTGTTCAAACAGTATTCGCTCCGTTTCTCCCTCAATCCGAAGGTACAATTCGAGATTCTCGTTGTTTGGGTGTCTGAGATACGCTTTTCTTGCCCTCTTTTTTTCTCGAAGGGCCGTCTCGCACTCCTCCGTCCACCAAGAGGGCTTGATTGGTGAGGAGGGGCCAAGGCTCCTCGGAACATAGGCACCCGACGCTACAAGTGATTCCACTATAACCTCTACAAGTCGGTCATATTTCTCCATTGGTCCTTCATTCATTCTTTCAAGTTCAGGCAGGTTGGATGTAATTTGGCTGTTAAATTCCATCCAGTCAACCTTTCTGAGGACTAGTCTGGCGGAGCTCTGACAGCTCATCTCCAGTCTAATAGGGATAGTCATGATGACTGGGCAATGATCACTGCCAAATCTCTCTATAGCTGTTATCGATGAGCACAGGAACGATAGGTCAGATGAAACCATCTGCAGATCCAGCACACTACCCTGAGATTCTCGCGAGTATCCAAATGTTGGTTTACCATCATTTATAATGTTAATGTTTAACATCTCCTGTAATAGGGGTATCAGTTTGCCTGTTTTATTACTGCGGAAGGGTAGATATTCAGGTAGATGAGCGTTAAAGTCACCCATCAGGACAATTTTCCCATCCTTTGGGATTGCCTCAGCCATCTCAGAAAGGAGATTAGCCGTGACCTTGGCATTGGGAGGGATGTAAACGGAAAAAATATATACACGTCCCAGTATTGTATTAATCCTAACACCAACAATCTGGAGTATCTCCGTCCATGGGCCTATCAAGTCAATTCCTTCAAACGTATAAATGTTTTTAATAAAGATTGCAGTGCCTCCCCCCGGTGTAGGGAGGTTTCGATCGCATCTAAAACACGTGTATCCCTTAATGTTAAAATAATTTGTTTTACCTGAAAACCAAGTCTCAGTCACTGAGAGCAGATCAAGGTTGTGTTGCAATAATAACGTTTCACAATTAATTTTCTTCTTTAACAAACTTCGTGCGTTCCATGTAGCACATTTAAACTTTGCTTCCTCCGATGGGGGATTCATACTTATTATCTAAACTATTGTCTAATCATGCATCTAATTAACTAACTATTTAACTAAATATCTAACTGATTAACCCACCAACTAACTAAATTCTTCACTAAATTTGGGGTTAGGTAAGTATTAACAAGGCATGTGTGACTATTGAGGTTAAAGTTTTTATTATTGATTAACCGTACGGTTGATTATTTCCTGGGTGACATTTGTTTTGGGAGGTTCTGATCTATCGGGTCCCTTTTGTTCCTGATTAGTTTTTTGATTGTTTGTGGCTGATTCCGTTGTGGTTTGTAAATTGCTAGGTGCAGATTCCTGTGAGATGTGATGGTCTGAATTTGTTGAGGAATTTCTCATAGTGTTTCCTATCATGTCTATATTAAGGGCTTGCTGATTTTCGTCATCATATTTGCTGTCCTTTTTGAAGGTAGCCTGTGGGTTGCCTCTTGGAGACATTAGGTGGTTAGGACTGCTCACTCTTGGTGAGGAGGTAGGTGATTCCATTATGACATCATCAGGTCCGAGTTTATAGATGCCTCTTTGTTGCAGTCTGAGGATAGCGTCGTCTTTTGTGAGACTGTATAAGTATCGCTCTTTCATGACAAGGTACTCATACTTGTAAACCGGACAAGTGTTGGATGACGATTTGTGTTCCCCTGAGCAGTTAATGCAGAAATCGTTAGGCGATTGGTCCTCACATCCATCCGATTCGTGATTCCCCCCACAGTGTTCGCATGCAGGTCCAGATGCTCTACATTGCGTAGAGATATGTCCAAAGAGCTGGCATCTATGGCACCTCTTTGGTTGCGGTATCACTGGGTAAACGTGGTGGGCCACGCTGTGGATGAATACAGTCTTAGGGATGTTTTTAGTTTTGAATCTTAATTCTATAGAATCCAGAGGGAGGTTACTACCTCTCTGGGTTCTCCTAACTGCTGAGGACAGGGTTGATAAAGCTATTTCATCAAAATTGTTCACTATATCGGTCACCGAGTGCTCGGATTGCACATTAATATTGCCCTTTCTAAATAGCATAGATTCAGGGATATATGATTTAAGTTCCAATTCTTGTAGTTTGGGAGAGTACAATAAAGAATTGGCATCTTCCAGCGTTTCGCAAAATATTTTAATTTGGTTTCTGCCGCTAACAAAAACCCTTCTTTCCCCCTGTATTAGTCTAGCTATCATTTTCCCTATCGCTATGGGGTCATACCTACCCAAATTTCGTTGGGGGTTGGTTGACTCCATCATGACCAGATATGGGGGATCAAATGAGTCGTCGTAATAATGTTTATAGTCATCAGCAGTTGCTGGCGTTGAGAACCATCGAAATTCTGGGCTATTCTGAATGTGAGTGTAAGGAATAGGGGCATTTGTTCTACTTGTAACATCAGTATCCCTCTCCTGTGATTTGCGATTTTGATCTAAGTCAGAACTTGTACCTTGTTCAGGTACCATCGGGGAACTAGTTCTTATTATACCTGTTTCGAGTTGGAATTGGGTAGGGTCTGTTTCTGTTATACCCGTAACAATTGCCCTAAATTTCTTTTGTATTTGCCTTGATGGTGGAGAGGCAGAATCGGGTCTGTCAGAGATTTTTTCTGATATCTGGTCTGCTCTCTCCCTAAACGTTCTTTTGCCGCGAGATGTTGAGGGTGACGAATTATTATTAAATAAAATAAATGGGGTCGATTTTTCTAGTCTATTGGACAGTTGCTTCGTTATTCTGGTTACCCTTTCTAACGAGCTTTCTGCATTTGTTTCCTCATTAGGACTATCATTAGGGTTCTTCCCCATTTGATTATCATTGGGGCTACCAGGTCGGGGTGAATTTGGTCCCATGTCTAGGTGATTTCTTTCCTGTTCCCAGGGGGTTGGACGGCTTCTTCCCCTACCCCAGGGTTTGAATTTTCTATTTCCCGCTTTACCCTTATTGTTCCCTTCTTTGTTTTTTTGTCCAGGTTGTGAGTCAGTCATATTTATAACTCACATAAAGTTTTGTTTAATAAAATTAACAAATCTAATTTATTAATTTATCAGACTTTCGAAAATATTATTTCAGTTTATAATTGAAATTGAGCCCGATATTATGTACAATAGTGCTAAAGGAGTTAAAACTGCATAAACAGTTCCAACTTTTTCACTTATTTAGTTACTTTTTATTAATCTATTAGTTTATTACTATATTGTTTTTATTATTCTGGTATTTTGGAATATCTATTTCTTCCAGAATGGAACCTCCAGGTAAGATGTTAGTATTAATATAATTTATAGTCTCACATGCCTCGTAATTTGCTAGTGACTTTTTGACATTATTATTTTATTGCATGTAGATATTTATTTTATTTTTATTTCATATGCATCAAACCAATCTATTTTGTAAAATAAAAATTAAGATAAGACAAAACAAATAATTATGTAAGCTCAACGAAATAAGTCACATTTCAGGTTGTTATCAATTAATGAGCAGAGAAAGGTTAGTAAATTATTATTTATTAAAAGAGGGCGGAATACGTAAAATACCAGTATTTACATCGAGTGAAGTGTAACAACAACCCAACCCTGGTAATTACTTTCGTACTTCGTACTTCCCAGCCTTGATTAATGATAAATAAGGCAATGCTTTTGCCAACTGACGTTTTTGTGGCGCTGTTTATCGTCAAAAATCGCGTTGAAATTGTGTCTTAAAATGGAAGAAAATGGCATGTGAGATAGTGTATTTCAGTCATTTCATTAAAGAAATGTTTGTTTCATTAAGATCACTAGAATGGGTGGTTGCATAGGTATAACGAGAGGCAGAAATGCCTCTGTTGACTCTGCCAATTCCACAAGGACGAATTCAGGTAAAAAATTCATAAGATACTTAATCAGCGTTGTTAACCTTGGATATTTAACTCACCTATTTATTTCAGATTTATTTAAATATCCATCCTATCCCCCCTCTCTCTCATTCCCAGTTCACTCTTGTTTTATTTACACTGTTTAAAATTTAAAATTAACACAGTATTATGTTAATTTAGTCATTGACTTTAATATTTAGTAGAATTGAATAGTAAACATTTGCTTTTAAAAATCTTTTATGAAACAAGTTTTAAAAATTTAATTTTACACTTATATTTTACAACCTGGTTGTATTATTTAACTCCTTGAATACAACTTTTCAATGATTTATTTTTAGTTAATGCGACAAACTTGTAGGATTTTCCTTCAAAATCTTTATTGTACTCGATCTTTGAACGCAAAACTTGCATTTCAAAGTTTTTGATTATCGAATGACAATGAGAATAAAGTTTCACAAACAGCTGTTTTCTGCAATGTTCACGTATATAATTATAAAAACAATAATATATGTAGAAAAAGTTTGAAAACGTATTGCTTTTTTCACACAATGGCTAATTTCTAAATTTTCTTTTATTGTTTTTGTTTATGATACAATAATGTTAAAAAAAGGTTATTTTTACATTTTAACGAAGAATAAATAAAATTGCTGTTTAATGTTTTATTAAGTGGAGAAACTAATGATAATTAAATGTATGTAATGTAAAAAGTAATTAAAAAAAATTGTAGGAAACTCTCGAAAAAATCATCCCCTGTGTCACGAAGTTATAAGATGGAAATCGGATGTTCCTTTAACAGAGGGACAATTGAGAAGTAAACGAGATGAATTTTGGGACACTGCACCAGCTTTCGATGGACGAAAAGAAATATGGGATGCACTTAGAGCTGGGGCAACAGCGGCCGAAGCACAGGATTATCAATTAGCACAAGCTATTCTCGATGGAGCTAATATTTCTGTTCCTAATGGATTTTTGACTGAATGTTACGATGAGTTAGGAACACGGTATCAGGTTCCAATCTATTGTTTATCTTATCCAATCAATATTGTCAAAGAAGATTGCGGCAGAGATTCTCCTGCTGATTGCTCAGGTGAAATTTTAATTTTTAGAAAAAAAGTTTACACAAGTTTTTAGAGTGATGGACTCGCTTTTTATCTTTTTTTCTTTCTTTGTGTTTATATTTTATTTTTATTTATTTACAGGCCTTGGATATTATGACTTTTTCGACTTTTTTCCAACTATTTTCAAATAATGCGACTTTTATTGACTTATATTCAAAATTTTGCGACAAATTACCATATTTTTAGTATAAAATGCTGCAACTTTTTTCAATTTTTACACAGTATAAAAAATAGCTGTAGATAAATCTTCCAAAAATTATTTTTGAATAATTTTTCTAATTAAATTTTGGAAATTTACAATTAAAAAGATTTTGAATAATTGAAATTTTGTAAAATTTAATTGAAAATAATTTATTTTCTTCATATTTTTTTAAAGATTCAAATAGCTTCGAACAAAGTAAATTAAAATTTTTAAAAATTGACTATTTTAGAATTTTTGAGAAATTATTTATAATTAAAATTCTTCGAAAAATTTGATATTTTCTAAAAACTCAATTATTTTAAAAAGATTTAACATATTTCAATTATTTTCCAAAGATTTTACTAAATTTGAATTATTTTTTAAAAGATTTTACTAAATTCCAATTTTTTGGAAAGTTAATTTTACGAATTTCTTTATTAAAATTTTTGAAAATATTCTACCTTAATATCTTTAAATAGAAAAATGAACGGTTTCAATTATTATAAAAAATTGAATTTTTGTATTTAAATAATTGAATTCTCGAAGAACTTTCGAAAAATTATTTAAAATTAATATAGATAATTGATTTAGAGATGAAGTTTAGTTAAAAATTGTAGAAAATAATTTAATTTTTGGAAGGGTTATAGTTTTAGTTTTTAGAAATTATTAAGTTTCAGAAGTTGACATTTTTTAAATTTTATTTCCTGTGAAAAAAGAAATAAGAAGTATTTAAATATTTATTTAGCAAAATTATACAAGTTTTGATGAATTGAATTTAAAAATCAGTGAAGAATCAGGGAAATACAAAATAAAATTTTTGTGACAACACTAAATTAAATAAACTACTTTTTTTCTATTTTTAATCGACTAAATCAACTTTCTTTGCCCATTAAAGTCGATCCCAGGCCTGTATTTATATTTCATACCTATAAGAATATGATTTCTTATATTTTTGCTATAACTGTTACTTATATTATTTTTACGTACAAATCGATTTATGTAATATTTTTATTCTAATTTGTAGAACCTGTCGATGGAGGAACTGAAATGACTCTGAAACTTAGGTTATCTACTACAATGGGTGATGTTAAACTACCTGTTTACAGTAAAGACACGATTGGTGTCGCGAAGAAAAAATTACAGGTGAGTTACAAATTTCGGATATCATTCATCAACTTTCTGAATTTATTATTAATTTATCTTTTTTATTTTTTATTTTTGAAAGAATATTCAGAATATGAATATTGAAAGAAGATTTTAGAAGCAAAATACCCAGTTTTATCAGTAGTTAATTAAGGGGTTACACCACCCTGAACGCCTGAAAATTTCAAAAATAAATTATGACAAAACTACAAACAATACAACTTTTTACTAATTACAGTATAAAAATACATATATTTAACTGTAAAAAAAATTTTGAAAAATGAAAAAATATTCAAAAATGGCGAAGATATGGCGTTTTTTCGAAACTACATTTTTCGGAACGGTGTACATGATTTCTCAAAAACTACTCAACCGATTCTCTTTAAATTTTGTACACAACTGCTCAATAACATTCTCTATGGCATGACGTAGGATTTTTTTGATATGATTTTTTAAAAAAAAGTTATACATTTTTAAAAAAAAATTTTTGTACCCAAAATTTTATACTTTTTTTTTAAGTACTCCTATTTGCTCAAAAAATTTTTTCTTTAAAAACGGCTACGTCATGCCATACAGAATGTTATTGAGCAGTTGTGTACAAAATTTAAAAAAAATCGGTTGAGTAGTTTTTGAGAAATCATGTACACCATTCCGAAAAATGTTGTTTCGAAAAAACGCCATATCTTCGCCATTTTTGAATATTTTTTCATTTTTTCAAAATTTTTTTTACAGTTAAATATATGTATTTTTATACTGTAATTAGTGAAAAGTTGTATTTTTAGTAGTTTTGTCAAAATTTATTTTTGAAGTTTTCAGGCGTTCAGGGTGGTGTAACCCCTTAATATTATTTATATTTCCAAATGTCGCCAGATCGGGTCTTTCCTTTTTTTTTATTTTTACTTAAAAGAAAATAAATCAAAACAAAATTATCTTTTTTTTAATAGAGTCAAGAAGGTTTAGAACCATCACGACAAAGGTGGTTCTTTGGTGGTAAATTGATGGGCGATAAAATGCACATCGAGGAGGCGAAAATTCAACCTGGTTACGTAATACAGGTGATCGTAAATCCAGAAAAAATCGATGACAGTCCAACAAAGACCAGTTGAATACAATTTCAACTGATTTTTTATACTTTTATCCATTATGACAAGCACATTCCCTTAAATTTTAGTATCAATAAAAAGAAACTCTTGTCTATTATTTATTTATCATTTTGCTGATAAAAAAACAATAAACAGCATTTCTCTATTTGATTTATTATTTCTACATTTTGAAAAGAAAATATTTTGTCATGCACATAATATTTCAACATATCGTCACAAAGTGTACTAATAATCCTTTTTATTTCTAATTTATATTTTTCTATCAATAATTTCTTTTATTATTCAGGATACCTATTTATAAAAAAAAATATTTTTTAATTATCCTTAAAAGTATAATATGAAGAATTTTATATTATAAACAAAATATAATATAAAAATTTGTTATATTGTACGAAAATAGAAATTTTGTATTAAGGTAAAAAAATAGGATGTAAAAAAACAATATTAAATTGAAATTCATTGGGTTGTGAGTAAAAGAGGAATGTGCTGGTTATTGAACTAAAGTAAATAAAAAGGAGAAGAAAACCACAAGAAACGCTATAACACTCAACGCGTTCAGGGGTATATACACTGTATGTATATATATATAATACTTGCTACCATTTTATTTTGTTAACTCGTTTTGATTTTAATGAAACTCGTCCTGTAAAAAGGAAATTTAGTGCTAACATTTACATCGTAATTGCATTAAACGACTGAGCCTAAATAAAACAGCCTAAAACGCTATAATTGCTTCTAACGAGTCAAATAGACTAGAGAAAATAACAGTCTCCTAAGTCGTCCACGGAATTGCAAGATCAAAAAAAGAATTTTTCTCTGTAATTCCGAAATGAAAATTACACCAAAATCATAAAAAGCAAAAGTGCAGTGGCTCGTTTATTCAAATACGCGCGTCAATATTATTATTAAAATTATTATTATTATTTTTATTATTATTATTATTATTATTATTAAAATTATTATTTTTATTATTATTATTATTAAAATTATTTTTATTATTTTTATTATTATTATTATTATTATTATTATCAACTGAAAATTAAAAGCTTAAGTTTATTTATGAAACACTATATCATGAACTACAAATGTATTATATTCTACATGTGATGTTATTTAAAATAAGTGACTTTAAATGTCACAGAATTTAAGGGGTGGTCCAAAAACTGTAATTTTTTTGTCTCAATGAAATTCTTATTCTCAATGATTATTCATTTACAGAAAATTCAATTGTAAATTAAAAACAAAAATGTTTATTATTCATTTTTGTTATTATTAAAATTTGAAAAGAAAATATTTTGTTTTGTACCCTTTAGTTATTAAGGGTAGTAAAATAAACTTTTATAAATTAACGTCTTTAACATTAATGACAATAAATTGTTTAAATTAATATTTTCAGTTATTCAAATTATTTCTAGGATTAATGAAAAAAGTGTCTGTAATCAGTCGGAGAAAATTACTGTAAACGAAAATTATTTTTCAATTTTTGTTAAAATTGAATTAGTATTAAAGACTTTTTTAATATTAGTAAAATATTATTAATATATTAATAGTATATTAATAACAATTTTAATATTCAATTAATATTAATTACTGTAGTAAGTAAATTAAAATAGAATTGTGTTAATTAAATTACGAATTAAAATTTATATGTAGAATTTAATTAGAATTTCTAAAATATTCGAAAATTAAATTAATTATTTCTATGATATAAATTCTAAATAATTTACCAATTATTTATTTTCAAATAATCAAGAGAAGCATTTTTGTTGTATTCGTTACAGTAATTTTCGATTCGAATGGAAAATTTATCATTCTATTAAAAAATTAAATAATTGACAGAAAAAAAATTAATTATTAAATTACTATTGGAAAAAAATTCGAAACGATTTCTTTGGACCATCTTGAAAAAAATACGAGGAAAACACTTCTACGTGTATGTATATAAACATTATTCTTAAAAATAATTTTTGTATTGTCTCATCGAAATTTTTTTAAATGCAAAAAAAACGAAAAAGTTTTGAGAGAAGCGTCGCGAAAACATGAAAAGTCGTGATGTGTGTTATAGCAATATATTTCGACTTATAAAATATGAATTCAATAAGTAGTTGGTGGCAATTTGATAAAGAAAACACGGCCACGCAAAGAATTTTGATGAATTTGGGATCAACTTCGCAAAAAAAAACAAATAAAATAAAAGCTCAATCAATTCTTACTTTCTATAATAAATTAAAATAAAAAGAAAATTCACGAAATAACGGAGACATTAGACATATTATAGAGTTGCATTTATGTAATTTATAATCTATTCAATTTTGTGTTATTCTCATTTTTTTTTCGATGCTGTGCTCGAAAAATATTGATAACTCAAATTGTAGCTGTTATTTTTTTTAGACTGATCTATCAATTGAAATTACAAGAAATATTAATTAATTTTTACCATATCTACTTAATTATTTCAAATATATTTCAAAGCAGAGAGAAAAAGAAACACAAAATATTAATAATAATAATGAAATGGTTGTGTTTTAAAAAGCAGCCATTAGTTGTTTTTTTCTTGACTGACAAAAGTCTTATTAGAAAAGTGCTTAAGTGTAATTATAATTTTTATTATTGACGTTTACTTGGAGATATTTCTCTAAATCGTCCTACAGTCACTAATAATAATAAACACTACAAAACTAATTAATTTAATTGCAATTTTCTTTTGACAAAATAAAAAAATACCTACTTCTTTGCTGAAAATGGGAAAAACATTTTGAAATTTATTTTTTCTAGAGATAACAAAATTAGAAAAATTCGTCATGTTAAATGTTTCTTCTAAATAAAGATAGAAAAAGGATTTAATTTTTAGCAGAGACTTGCAGGTACTTTTTCTCAACACTGCACGTTAAACAATTTCTATACATTACGCTTTTGCGACAAGAAAAAAAAATTATTTTATAAAAAAAAACTTTTCTGTACAGTATTTATAAAAAATATTTTTAAAAAATGCAAGTAATCAAGATTTTAATTGAATAAAAAATATAATGCATAATATTACATATTTTTGCCTTTGATAATATTTTAAAAAAGCTATTTCATATTATAATGATATGACTTGAATCGTGTGTTGGAATTTTTTATAAGACACCCATAAAGTTACAAATATTATTTTTATCCACGTTTGACTGTATCGTGTGATTTACATTTTTCTTTATTTATTTATTTTATTTTTTTTTTAATACTCTTAATATACTGGTTATCACTTTTGTAAAGTGCGACATGTTCTCAATGTCTCCAGGAATGCTTGTAAATAAATAAATAATAAAAGTGCAATTTAAAAAAATGAGTGAAAAGAAACTATTACTCGTTACATTATTATGAAAGAAAAAAAAAATCAAAATTTGACTGATTGACAAAGCGTTTATATAACTGCCACTTAAATGAAACCGAAAACATTTTGCAAATGTAGATGGAATTGAAGAACAAAAGAAAATTTGATAGCGATAAAAAATTGAAATAATTTTTAAATATTGTTTCAAATATAGTAAATATATTATTTTAGTGTAAATAATATATTTTATTTGGTGTCAAAAATGTAGACAAATATTCGTTATTCGTAAATAGTAAGAAAAAAATGTTTTTGAATTTGACAAAACAAAAAATTTAAGATTTCAAGGGAAATAAACAAGCAAAAGAATTTGGAAAATTTGGAGACATTAAAACACACACTAATTACGTTTTGATAATAATTACAAAAAAAAAGGTTTGCAATTTGTATTACAAAAGCATTAAACATTCACGAGAGTGTCACAATACACTAATCATTTATAAAGTTGAATAAAAAAGAATAATTTTTATAAGTGACAATTATAAAACTACTTACTGTCAAATAAAAACTATATGTATAAATAGTAATTTAATCCATTTTCTTTTTCCTTTGCAAACTATCAGAGATTTAACTTTGTTTTTTTTTAATTTAAACTTATCAGGGTTGACACGCAACCTTGAAACCTGGAAATGTCAGGGAATTTGAAAAGAGCAAAAGTGTGGCAGTGGCAACTCTGCTTATTTTTCTATTTTTTAAAATTTTGTTTTAGTATTTTATTTATATTTATTCTAATTATTTTTATTTTTAAATTTTTTATTGTCATTGTTTCTTTTTAATTTTTGCATTTAAAAAAGGTGAAAATGGAATTTTCTCAAGTATGTAAAAAGTTTTAGTTTGAATTCTCCCTTTCTTACTTTATTAGTTTTTTCAAATATTTGAGTTCGTGACAGAGCCAAATCATGGAACTTAAAAGTAAAAGACTGCCAGACTGATGTAATGCAGCGAGTGTTATCGGTACGTGATGCACTAAAGTCGAAATACCTAAAATTACTTGCATATATCCCGCACATAGAGCCACTTTTATTGCCAAAGATGCTCTACCCGGTAATTTGTATTTTCTCGACATTATTGCAATGCCGGTGACTAAACCTAAAGTTGTTATTCCCTGAAAAATAGATTTCACATAAGAAATTTTTATCCTTTCTCACTGGAAAAAGTTAATAATTTTTCACTAATTTCAATACCAAGAAAATTAAAATCTTAATTAAAATCTATAATTATTAATTGAAAAAAATGAATTAAAAACGTACCAGTATTCTGTGATCAAACTGAACAGTCGTGGGATTTTCGGTAAAATTCCTCAGCGGTGGATAAAGGGCAAAAATATCGTCCGGTATCCATTTATCAGCCATTTTTGGAAATGTATTGTAAATTAGACCCGCATCCATTCCAGCGACAAATGCACCTGAGAGAGCAGTGACGAAAACCAAGCCCTTCGTTCCATGAACCATGATTCGAAATCGTTTTAGTGTTTTAATGATATTCTGCTTGATATTCGATGAACCAAAATAATCGAGTTCAATTCTCTTCGCCGGTAAAATATGATCCAGTGCATTGTAAAGTAAACCGGTAAATAAAATAAATGCCAAGCCTAAATGCGACGCTAAACGATATTGTGAAACTCTTGGTACATCCGATGGTCCGTGAAAACGATCTTCAAGTCCCGATTTCACCATATACCATCCCAATAGTCCTTGAGCACCGATAAGTGACCCAAGTGCCAGGACACGACTCTTCATTCCTGGTTTTAACATTCCTTTACTCCAAAAATAAGCCGCAGGAATCAGAAATGTAAAACCAATTAGACGACCCCACATTCTGTGTGCGTATTCCATCCACCAGATTCTTTTGAATTCCTCTAAAGTCATGTTGGCGTTGTTTCTAAAAAGAATATTAATTACATTTTTCTCCTTATTTATTTTTTTTTTTTTTTGTTGAAAATATGATTTTAATTACATTTTATACTCGGGAAATGTTTTATATTTCTCGAATTCTTCGACCCAACCGGTTTCTGTTGTTGGCATTTTTTCTCCAAGCAATTTCCATGTGACCATTGATAATCCCGATTCGGTGAGTCTTGTGACACCTCCTGAAATGGAAAAGGCGATAATAAATTTAAAAAATCGATTTATTTCATGCCATTTTATTTACAACTTTTCTGTTTGAAATAAATATCGTGATAATAAAATATAAATTTATCGTATTATTAATTATAAATAATTACTTGATATAAGAAATATTAAAATCGCATTTTAATGTTGAAGATTAGTAAATCTTTATAATGTTATACCTATTTTCCGTAAGTTATGTCAACAATCATTTGTATGACTTTTCGAATGTAACCATAAAGCAGGAAATAATAAAGCGTACCTAATACAACGGCTACAAAAACCATTCCACTACATGTAAATAACCACGTGCCAACGAGTTTTTGCGATTTAATATTTGGTTTTGTGGCGAATTGTAAAGCAATCGTGCCATTTCTTCGAAATAAATTCGTTATCTGCAAAAAAAATTTTAATTAATTCTAAGAATAAAGAATTAATTCTAACAATAAAGAATCGTTCAGAAATTTCTTAATAATAGAAAATTTTTAATTGAAATTTTCGTAATAAAAATATTGGATTTAATTTGAAATAAAACGGATAAGAAATACCTTTTGGGGACTAGAAGTGTTTCTGTAAAGGAAACTTTGCAAAAATGTGCATTTATTAGAAACTGTCGGATAATTATAACGACCAACATTTAAAAATGCTGTTTTATTTCGTTCAATTGTTCGAAAGCATTGCCTGGTCGCTAAACTTAACATGATTGTTCGATTTTCCTGTAAAAAAAAAATGTAACAATTCATAAAGTAGAAAAAAAAGAAAGCATTTTTATTGTTAAAAAAAAAGTAAACAAATTGAAGAAAAGAGAAAGTACAAAAAAGAAAAAATAATAAAGGGAGAATTGAATAAAATAGAATGAAATAGAATTCAGTTTCGTAATAAGACGAAATTGTAATTTTAAAAATTGTTAAAAGTTGTTTTCAATATTTTCAATTAAGCAATAAATGTTGGAAAGTTTTAAATCTCTCAGTAGGAACATAAATAACAAAAACGATAATTAATTATCGAATTATTACTATAAAAAACTGATTAAAAAGTATTAAAAATATAAATATAGCAAAAATAGTATGTAATTAAACATAACCAAAAAAAGTGACATGTCAAAACACATCTTAATTGAACTCTAAAAATAAATGAAATAAATGCATCATAAACTAGTAACAAATTCGCATAAATCAAGTTTCAATTTCACGACAATTAACATAAAATATTTAAATAAACGAAAATAAAAAACTTACGTCAACAGAACATGTTTTTTCAAAAAAGGAAGCAAATTAAATACATTAAGGTGCAATCACAATATGATTTCATATTCATTTGTCCAGTTTTCATTTTCAAATTTTCTGTCTTTGTCACTCACACTGCAAATACTGCAATTGATAAAAATGACAAAACCTTTAGGTAATTTTTATATTTGTCAATACACTTGCATGACAAATCATAACAATAGTATATGGTATATGTATATATATTTGTTGTAAGAGGTTAATTAAACCTGTGTAAGTAATAATCAACAATTTCAGTCACGTTATCGTTGTATCGCATATTTAAAGAAGTTTAATTAAATGATAAATATCCATTTGAAGAATTCCAATTCATTGTAAGATTGTGATGCATTCAGAATATTGTGAAAATTTACTTTTTTTTACGTTTACAATGTGTCCACTAAATTTTCACCATGCTTGATTATTTCAAGAATTTACTCATGTTTACGTAAGGCAACTAGTTTGTGATGTAATCAAAAAGAATTATCTTTTTTCCTCATCATTATTCACAGAAAAACAATCTCCGGTAAGTATGAATGATGATCCTGCATAATTGTCTCTCTGTTAATTTTTCAAGTTTTACGTACCAGATTTAGAGCATGATTTTCTAAATCAGGTCAATTTTTTTGAGAAAATATATATTTATTTAAAAATTAAAATTTAGGTATATATATTTAAATTAAAAAAACTGATTTGTCTTTTGTTTTTTAAAGATAAGATTTTTATTATCTCGTTTTTATTTTTATGTTAACAAACACTTGAAAAAAAAGATTGTCAATTGTCACAAGTTCAGAAGTTAATTTTCTCTCATTTTACACGAGGAAAATGGAATTTATTTTTACATTTGTTGAATATTCATTGTTTCATTGTTATCAATGTTAATTGATTCATTTAATTTCTTTATTCTTTGCTTTATAAAATCTATAAAATTGTAAAAATGGACAATGGTTTTTAGATTCTTTATTAAGTTGTATAAAAGAAGGTAATTGTATTTCAATTGTAATTAATTGTAGTATTGTAATTTGAATAATTTTTATTAATATTTCATTCGTTTTCTTTTTAATTTGCAGAAAATGTCTGTTAAATTTTGTCTTCTCGTCGGGGTTGTTCTATTGGGAACGACAGGAATTTCAGCGTGGAAAATAAATCTAAATGAAAGTACTATTAAAATACATATGGATAGTACAGTATCGGTTCAATTTAATGTTACCGATTTACCTGCAACAAGTTCTTCAAAAGTAGAAATAACAGCTGAAAGTTCAGACACAAATATTGCAACTATTAGTCTTCCTGTTTTTCGTTATGATAAAATAGAAAACGGAGTTTGGAAAGATTTCATCAACGTAACAGGTGTATTTTTGGGAAAGGCGAAAATATCAGTGACCATCAATCACAATGGGGTAAAAATATTAAAATATTCTCTATATTTTAATTTTAGTAAATAATATTAATTTGTATTTGTTATTTAATTTCGAAATAGAATTTCTTTAATGTTGAAAATGTGTTTAAAATTTGTTTTGATTTTTGTTTATATTTTTTTCAGGAAATAGTGAGATCGAATGAATCGAACGTTATTGTGACACGAAGAGAGAGAGTTATTGATATAATATTCACAGCAAGTGTCGCAATTCTTGTTTCGATTTTATACATTAATTTTGGTTGTGCCATGGATTGGGACTTGTGTAAAAAGACTTTGAGAAGACCAGTAGGACCAGTAATTGGTTTCGTTTGCCAATTTCTTTTTATGCCTTTGGTAAATAATGAAAAAATTAAATAAACTGTTTTTTTGCACTTTAAATACAATTAACAATATGAAGAAATGTTTGCTTTGCCTTTTAGATCAGTTACGTTATTGGTTATGTTCTGTTTCCTGATTATCCTGAAATGCAATTGGGAATATTTTTCACCGGCATTAGTCCAAGTGGTGGAGCATCAAATATTTGGACACTAATGCTTGGCGGAAATTTAAATCTTTCGATTACTATGACCACTTTGTGTACCATAGGAGCTTTTGGTAATTGTTTCTAAAATTTAGATTTTGTTTAATTTATTTTATTAAAGATTAAATTAAATAATATTTCTTTTTTGGAATAGAAAAATACTGATTAAATAATTGTAGTTTACGTAGAAAGTGGAATATTCTGTCAAAATGTTCTAAATTGATAAATACTTTTTTAGCATTTATTCCCTTCTGGCTGTTTACATTGGGTAAACATATCTTCGATCGAGGTACACTTAAGGTTCCTTATTCGAATATTGCGACTTATGCAATTGCTCTTGTCGTTCCGCTTGGAATTGGATTTCTTTTACAGAGAAAAATGCCAAGATTTAGCAAAATGATGGTTCGGATAATGAAACCGTTTTCTATTATTCTAATAATTTTTATCATCATTTTTGCCATCGTCACAAATCTCTATCTTTTTAAATTATTCTCCTGGAAGGTAATTTTAAAAGACATTTGTTACCTTTCACAGTTTTTGGAAAATATTTCATTCTAAAAACACGAGTTTTTCAAGTGAAATATTTTTTTATCGTAAAAAAGTTATTACTTAAAATAAGATACTTAAAGTACTACTTTAATAATTAAACATTAAAATTTGTCTAATAAAATTATATTATCTTCGAAGATAATTCTTTCCGGCTTGGGGCTTCCATGGCTTGGATATATTCTTGGACTTACTATGGCACTAATATTTAAACAACCAGGACCAGATGTTCGTGCCATTTCAATTGAAACAGGAATTCAAAATACTGGAATTTCTATATTTTTGTTAAGATTCGGTCTTGAACAGCCAGAAGCCGATCTTACGACAGGTTTGTATAAATATTAATTAATAATTTAATTCATTTACAAAAATTTTTAAATCAAGAGTTAATAAAATCTATTATTGATTTTCAGTTGCCCCCGTCTCATGTGCAATAATGACGCCGCTTCCTTTGATTTTATTGTACATAATAAAATTAATATTGGATCGTAGAAAAGAAAAATTGGCAGCATCAATGGAAAAGTTACAAAATTCTGTTCCTGCAATTAAAACACTTTCATAAGTGCGTGCAAGCTCAATTTTTTGTGATACTGTTATCGAAAGAAAAGCTAGAAGTCTACGTTTCTTATAAGAAAACAAAAATAGTTATTTCGAAGAAAAAATACAGAATAACTATAAATTAAAAAATAAGGTATTTAAAAATCTTCCATCAATTTATAATCAATTTTTTACAAAAAAAAATTTCTAAAATTTATTTTCATGGACTTATTTTGTTAATAATTTATAAATTATATTTTACAAGTTAATTTATTGTTTAATCAATTGTTTACATACTTATCTATGTAAACAATTATGTTTGTTTAATTTTTCTAGTTGTAATGGAAAAATAGGTATCATATTATAATATTTAAATTGATAAATTATTTATTGTTGGGTAAATCAAAAATATTAGGTATCAGTCTGAAACATTTACGTTTAAAAATTGTGTATCAAATGTTAAATAATTGTTACAAAAAAATTGTATGCTTTTATAGTAGGAATATTCCACTTTGTTAGTAATTGTTGGAGAATCATTTTGTTATCTGTGATAACAATCAAACTTGAATTGCGATAACACAGCAATTTGTATTATAATATAAATATTGTATTATAATACAAATATAATAGAATTATAAATATTTATAATACATGTAATATAGAAAAAGAGGTCACAATGTTATGCAAGAGATTATGAGGTTTTTTTAATTTTTTAATTTTAACGTTTTTTTATAATTTGAGTAAATTTTTTTTATAAACATCGATTGCATTTTTAAAATGAAAAAATTCTTTTTGTATGAAAAGTTGTACAAATTTTCAAGAAAAGAATAAATTTTAGTGATATAAATATATATTGTTTGTTTTTGGTATTTTTTTTTAAAGAGAAATATGTAAATTACAAAAAAAATAATAAAAATATTTACTGTCAGAGGAAGTATTTTTCTTTTCGATAAATAATATAAGAATTCTTAAATAAATAATTTAAGAAGTGTACTTACTAAATATTTATCTCTATTGAAATTAATTTGTTAAATATTATTTATTTAAATTTAAATGCCGAGCGTTAATAGCGCGCGCCTTAAAAATTTGAAATCCACCAATCAAATCATATAAATTCAAAAGTTATTGTTGATGCTATTCTCTGAAAATATAATATAATAAAATAAAGATTAATATTATGATCTTTAATACAATTTAAAATATTAGAAATTAAAAAATCTCTTTTCACAATTAAAACAAAAGATTATTACCTTTATTAATTTATTTACAGAATTTCAAATTTTAAAACAATCGCGCGCATGCGCTGTCATAGAAACAGCAGACGGCAAATTATTTTCCGTTATATTTATATGCACGTTTTGTGTTTTGTGTGTTGCAAGTCTCGACGTGTTGTTTATTCTGCATTGTTCTTTTTGTGAATTCTAAAAAGAAACCAATTTATTTTGGATAAATAATATACATTTGAAGACTTAGATTTAAAGAAGAAAACTTTCATTGATTTGTGATTAATTTAGAAAATGTGATATTAACGTTTTTTAAATCAGTGAATCATTTTTGTCAGCGAACAATGAACTTTTGATTTGTATACTTTTATTGTGTTGATCATAAAATATTTATAGTTTATTGAAAACATGGATAAGTGGCGTAATTTTTCACGTAATTCTGTTTCATTAAGTGCATCAGAATATGAAGAAGAAGAAGAAGAAGTTCCAGGTTCCCTAGAAGTCAGCAAATTATCTGTTGCAACTCCAAATTTTATATATGCTCCCGATAGCGAAGAAGAGAACGACAATAAAAATGACCTTGAAAACATTTATAAATCCTCAAACAAGGATAAAATACACAAAACCCACCGTAAATCAGGTAAGTAATAAATTTTTGACAAATTTTCTCTTTTATTGAAATCAGAAGGAAGTTTAAAATTTCGCTGTGTCTATTTCGCCCGTTTGTGGGCGAAATAAGAGTGATGAATTATTTCGCCCGTCACTAAAAATACGTAGGTGGGGGACAACTGGCGAAATAAGAGAGATGAATTATTTCGCCCGTCATGAAAAATTAGTGAGTAGGGGGAAACGGGCGAAATAAAAATAGTAAATTATTTCGCCCATCATGAAAAATAAGTAAAAAAAATATGTCAAACGGGCGAAGTAGCAATTACACATTGCTTCGCCCGTTTTTGGTTTTTTAATTAATTTTAATGGGAAAAAGGTTAGCTTGTCACTTGTATATTTTTGTGAAGATTGAATTAAAAACTTAAAAAGTTGTGAATTTTTATAATAATTCACAAACTTTCTTTATTTATCAATATTTTTGGTGCTCATTAGTAATTTTCTACATAATATTTTATAAAATAAACTAGATTATGTATTTTAATATTTTTTCTACCTATCTATGTAGACTAAAAACATTAATTTTTAGAAAATTCTTATTATTTTTGTTCAAATCAGTTCAAAAGTATATTAACTCAGATTTGGAAAATAAGTTTTATGATACTATTTTTGAAAGAAAAATTTAGAAATAATTTTATTTTTTTTTATTTTGATTGACAAAAACATTTTTTTTTAAAGAAAGTGTGAAAGTGTGAAATTCATTTTAAAACTTAAATAAAGAAACTGTACTTTTTTTAAAAATGAGCTACACATAATTATTTGAATTTGGTGTGAAGGTTACTAACCTGACTTGAACACACTTCTTTTCATTTCTGTCATTCACCTTAAAAATTAAAAATTTTTCAATGGTATTATAGGAATAACTATATAACGGGCGAAATAATTCATTGCTCTTATTTCGCCCGTTGTCCCCCACCTACGTATTTTTAGTGACGGGCGAAATAATTCATCACTCTTATTTCGCCCGTTTGCGGGCGAAATAGACACAGCGTTAAAATTTTGTAGTGTAAACATATTAATCGTTGATTAAATTTTTATATAATTGTGTATTAGATATTGTAGATGAAAGTGAAGAAGATGAAGACGATGAGGAGGAAGAAGATGAAGAAGAGGAGGAAAGTCACATCGAAAATAATTCTTCCAGAACTGATAAGGAATGGCAGAAAAGTGAATCGAATTATGATATAGGTAATTAAATTTTTTCCCTTTTTTAAAAATATTATTTACTAATGCTGACAATATGTAAACACTAGAGGTAACTTGAATTATCTTTAATTTAATTAATGACTGTATTTAAAATTTTAAATACTGTTCGAATTCGAACTATCGAAATAGAAATTTCGTAATATTAATTTTGCATTTTCTTCTTAAATTATTTTTTTAATTTATTCTCTTTAATTCAATACTTTATTTAACAGAAGATGATTCGGAGAATTCGGATGAATTTGATACGCCAATAAAAAAGAAGACAAGTGCAGCGAAAAAATTTCAAATTCTGGATGACAATTCGGATGATTTTGATACGCCACTAAAAAAAAAGTCAAGTGCAGCGAAAAAATTTCAAATTCTGGATGATTCAACTGACGTGAGTGTAAAGGATTCCAATCATTCCTCAATTGTCGAAATTCACGATTCTAGTGATGAGGAACACTTACCGCGTGAGTGTTTTCTTAAAATTAATATTATTTAAACCTAATTGGATTTCGATTTTTATTTTTGACAATAAATTTATGATTTTTAGTTTCTATCAGCAACTCTAGTGCTCCTGATATTGCCATTTCGCTCGCAAAAGGAGAAACATCAAACACTAGTATCGATCCTTTAATGATTCAAGAAAAAATTTTGAAAACGTCCAAATTGCAACAATTACAGAATGATTTAGCAAAAGCCAAGGTTAGTGATTTTTTTTGCCATCTTTGTTAAATTTTGCCCAACTTTTTATATTTTTATTATTTATTTATTTTATTTAATAAAGACTAAAGTTCCTATTTTTATCTTCTTTTAGAATATTTATCATACCGTGAATCGATCACAACTTCCGGATCGTGGGGAGAAATTACGTCTTAGTATTGAAACTCTACAGGAGAAAATACAAAATGTTTCACTCGAATTAGAGAGTTATCCAAAATTGGATGATTCTGTTTTAAGTGCAATTTCGATTAAAGATGAATCGTCAACGTCAATTAAAGATATACGAGCCTCGTCACAGGAGCCGGAAATAATACCATTAGGTGGGAAGAAAATGGGTGAAATGGCAATGGCAACATTTGAGCGTCAACAGGCACTGACTGTCGAGAGAATTGAACATTTGCAACAATCATTGAATAGATGCCCCGAGGAAAATGAGGAGGCTGAAAATCCACGAGGTTTAAAGACACAACTAATGCCCCATCAAAAGCACGCATTGGCCTGGATGCTTTGGCGCGAAAAGGAAAGACCACCTGGCGGTCTATTGGCTGACGATATGGGTTTGGGAAAGACTCTGACAATGATCTCCCTCGTCGTTGCCACTAAAGATGAGACTTATTCCGATTACAGCGATAATAATGAAGAGGAAGAAGACGAGAGATGGTCCAGTAACAGAAAGTACGGTCGTCCCAAAGGCGGAACACTCGTCATTTGTCCAGCATCACTTTTAGATCAATGGCAAAATGAAGTCACCAATCGTTGCAAACGCGGTGTTCTCACAGTTGAACTCTTTCACGGTCAGAGACGTGAAATTGTTGCCAAACGTTTAGCACGCAATGACATGGTTATAACGACATATCAATTAGTATCGTCAGAATTTAAGAAGAATTCAATTCTCTTTAAAATTCGTTGGAAGCGCATTATTCTCGACGAAGCGCACGTTATTCGTAATCATGCTGGTAAAATTTCCGAAGCCGTTTGCAATTTATCGGCATGTTGTCGTTGGACATTGACGGGTACACCGATTCAAAATAAGGAACAGGATTTGTATGCTTTATTGAAGTTTTTACGAGTCACACCATTTAATGATCTTGCTGTTTGGAAACGTTGGGTGGATAATAAAAATGCCCAGGGACTTAAACGTTTGTCAACCGTCACGAAAAGTTTAATGCTAAGACGTACAAAACAGGAGTTAATTGCTAAAGGTACTTTGGATGAATTACCGGAGAAATTTATCACAACTATCTCAATTGATTTGGACGAAGAGGAGACGAAAATTTATCAATTGGTTTTGGCTTTTTCGAAAACTCTTTTTGCACAATTCTTAACGCAACGGGCGGAGAAAAATCATATGATGGAATTGAATGCGGGAAAATTCGATAAACTTGCATTTTTGAACAACAGTAAGTCATTCTTGCTTATAACAATAACAGGGCTCGAACTAGGTCCATAAATCCCGTAAGGGTCCGTAAAAGTAAGTTTTTTTGAAAAAAGATCCGTTAAGTCCGTAATTTGATTGAGAAAAAACGAAAAGTTCTTTAATTCTGACTGGTTATTTTTTTGTCAGTAATTGGTCCGTAAATGGTTCGTAATTTTTTATTTTTTGTCCGTAAAAAAATACTGATTTTTTAATACTTTCACTGGTTCGAGCCCTCCAATAACAAATTTTAAATTATTAATTATTTAAGTGATTAATGAAAATAATTGTTTACAGTTCCTGAATCGCAGTTTGTCGCTGCTCAAAAACAATTACTTGGACATAAAGGAGACGATGTAAAGGCTTATCATATTTTAGTTCTTATTCTTCGATTGCGACAAATTTGTTGTCATCCGGGTTTAATAAAAGAAATGCTAACTAAAGATGAAGCCGAAGCTAATGGAATGTCAAATGATGGTGAAGCTGATCTTGATAATTTAACGGCGCAAGTTAATAACATGACACTTCTCGGGGATGAAGAAAATGAAGGAAATGAAAATTCCGATTCTCAAATATTTTCTTCTTCAAATCCAGTTTTCGATTTTGAACGAAAAAGCTCTAAGGTAATTTTTTCCAAAAGAATAAAATTAGTATTTTAGGAAAACATAAAGGAAACATTTCAAAAAGGGAAACTAAATTTAAAAAAATAAATAAATAAATTTAAATAATTCTTTAAAAAATTTGTCTTGATTTTAGATTGCAGCTATTATTGAGAAAGTTGAAGAAATTACAGAAAAGGGCGAAAAAATGATAATTGTCTCGCAATGGACGGGAATGCTGGAAATAATAGGTCAACATTTAACAGCGATTGGTTCCGCCCAATGGGAAATGTTCTCTGGAAGTGTTCCAGTTAAGAAAAGGCAAGGGATAATCGATAGATTCAATGATATGGATAATAGTTTGCAAATTTTACTTCTCTCCTTAACTGCCGGTGGAGTTGGATTAAATCTCGTTGGTGCAAATCATATTCTACTTATCGATATTCACTGGAATCCGCAATTGGAATCGCAAGCTCAGGATCGAGTTTATCGTTTTGGTCAGAAGAAAAATGTTCACATTTACAAGTGAGTAAAAAAAACTCCATTCTAATTATAATTATTTATTAAAAATAATTTTTTTCCATATAACAATTTGTTTACATAAAATAAAATTAAAGGGAAGAAATTAAAAATTTTCGGATAAGAAAATACCTTATAATTAATAAACGTAAAGAAGAAAAAAAAATTAAGTAATGAAAAAAGTATACAAAATTCAAAAAATAAATCTAGTTAATTAAAATTAAGTCAGAAAATCATAAAAGAGAAAAGATTTTTTGTTTTTAATTTCCATGAGTAATTTAATAAATTTCTTTAGAAACTTTTTTCAATTTTATTAAAATTTATAAACGATTTTAGGTTTCTGTGTAAGGATACTATTGAACAGAGAGTTAAAGAGCTTCAGGATAAAAAATTAAATCTTGCTGAGGATATTTTTACAGGCCACAGAAGAACATCAAACAAATTGAGTCTCGACGATCTTAAAAACATTTTTGAAATGTAAACGCAAAAATGTTTAGTTCGAAATCGTGGCCGGCCACTTAAAAACAAAGTAATCTAATTCTATTTAATTTGTATTTTTTTATTTTTTATAACAACGACTTTTTTTAATGCCTTTTAATATTTAGAAGCTACAAAGTATATTTTAAATATAGATTCTATATACATTTATAAGTTTTCATTTTTGTAAAAATTTCTTTATTGTAATATAATATACTTGTACATTTAAATTATCTACAAACTGACAGTTTAACTTAATCACATTTAAACAACTTTTTTCCTTAAGTAGGTAATAAGAAAAAAAGTTTTTTTTATTTCTATTAAATAGAGAAATTTTCGAACACTTTCGTTAAAAAGAAATTGTCCTTAAGTAAGAAGAACACTAATTAAAATTGGATAAAAAGACAATTAATTATAAATTAAGTAATATCTTAAATGCGTAAAAAATTTGAGCTTGCTGTTCTTTGTATTTTGGTTTAAAAGAAAATACAGTACCGTCCGCAATTGTCAGTCCACCCATTTTTAAAGGAATGACAAAAATTTTTTAACATAAAATTCATGAAAACTAAAATTTTTTTTGGTTTATATTTTGAAAGACGATAAAATTTTGAAAAGAATAAGACCTTACAGAAGTCATTTGGCCAAAATTTGTAGAAGTTATTCCTAAAAATCGTCATTTTCAATGTTTTACAAAAATTTAAATAACTTCTAAAATAATGAACGCTTTTTAATAATCTTAGGCTTATTTTAAAGGTCTTTTTCTACGGAATAAGAATTACTTATAGGCATTAACCTGTCATTTTTAACTTGGAATAAGCATGACGTCAAAATTAGACAAAAAAATTGTAAAAATTTGAAATCAATTTTTTGTACTAAAAACTATTCTAGAACATATATAAAACATGATATGGTGTAGATTTTTCAAGAAAATTTAATAAAAATATATGTTTGAATTTCAAAAATTATTTTTCTTTTAATAATATTATTTCAAATTTTTTGAATTTTTTTGTCCAACTTTAACGTCATGCTTATTCCAAGTTAAAAATTACAGGTTAATGCCTATAAGTAATTCTTATTCTGTAGAAAATGGTCTTTAAAATAAGCCTAAGATTATTAAAAAGCGTTCATTATTTTAGAAGTTATTCATATTTTTGTAAAACATTGAAAATGACGATTTTTAAGAATATCTTCTACAAATTTTGGCCAAATGACTTCTGTAAGGTCTTATTCTTTTCAAAATTTTATCGTCTTTCAAAATATAAACCAAAAAAAATTTTACTTTTCATGAATTTTATGTTAAAAAATTTTTGTCATTCCTTTGAAAATGGGTGGACTGACAATTTCGGACGGTACTGCAGTATACGATTATTTATTTTTATTTTCTTTCTATATCACGTGAATTTTAGAGAGTCTATGGTTTTCCTTCCGTCAAGATGAACAGTTCTGATTGAATTTCGTTTAATCGCGGAAGCTTTACTGTGATGAATTCCATAGGTAAAGTATATAATAAGACCTGTGTAAATATTTGCAAATATTAATATACAAAATTAAATAAAATTAAGGTTCTTAATTTTGAATTAAAATTATATTTTTTTAAATTAAACTTTTGTTTTAATTAAAATTTAAACATTTTTCAACTTGAAATTAATTTAATACATAGTTGACTAAAATGGCTAAAATGAATTAATTTCAAAATATTTTACTCACCAACTGTCATCCAGACTGCAAATCGTAACCACGTCATTCCATCTAACATCATCATTAAATAAATATTAATTAATATGCTGAAGCCTGGTAAAAATGGTACCAAAGGAACCTTTAAAGAAACGGAAAAATTATAGTTTACGTGATGAGGAAAAATGTACTTTAATTATTATTACTTACAGAAAAACTGAGGCTTCTTCCAGATACTGGTTGCATGTGTATTATCATTAATATTGCAAACATTGCCAAGACTATGAGAATTATCGGCACAAGGATTGTCATTTCAAAATGATAGATATTTCTCGAGAACATCGAAATTAAGGATGTCAAGCAGACGCAAAGAATTACTGTTAAAGAAGAAAGTAAAATAGAAATTATAGGTAAATATTAATTTATATTAATATTAGATAAAAACTAGAATTAGTCGGTACTTTTTAAATTTTTTCTGAAATATTCTATAATTACTAAATTTTTATTTGAATTTCAAAAATCCTTAAAAATAATTTACACAAATGGAAATTAGTGGATTATTTTTTAAATATAAAAATTCAGTAAAATATTTTAAAAAAAATGTAAATAATGTAAATTTCTCACACTTTGTATTTAAAGAAAATTTTCTTTAGAAAATAATGATAATTACTCACTATAAAGAAAAACGAGTGTTGATACAAGTCGAGATGTCATTTTTGTTGCTTGAGACGTTTTATTGGAGTTCATTATCAGTTTTACAATGGAAACAAAATTTAGTTGAATGTTATCATTTTTCTTTTCAATTGTCTCAGTCTCTTCATATCTATTTATAAAGTAAACAAAATTTTCATTTAGATTAGTTATAAATTAGGAAAATATTACATTTTAATTAAAAATGAAAGAAAAATAATAGATAATAAAAGAATATTGGATAAAGAATGATAATAATAGTAATAAAAACTAATAATTAAATTATTTTATTTTGAAATTAAGGTGGCGACTTACCGAAGGATAAGAACGCAGGCAGCTACGATGGAATAAGCCAGGAGAGTTCCAATACTCATCATGTTGACTAATTGATGAAGTTCAAAAATAGCGGCGAGGGTTCCTGCGATAAATATTTGTCATATTTAACATACATTTACTTCACCCCCAGAAATTTGAAAATGGATTAGAAAGAAGAGATTTTATATGATGCTTGCCTGTGAGTAAACCTGCCGAAAATGTACCCATCATTGGAGTATGAAAACGAGAATTCACTTTTCCCATCCACTTGAATATCAGTCCGTCCGATGCCATCGCATAAATAACACGTGGCAAGGGATACATTGCACCAAGAAGACTGTTTTAAAATTTCCATGAAAAATTTTATTTAATTTTTTAAATAACTTTTTTTTCTTTTTTTAAATAAAATCTAAATTTACCTGGCACATAATCCACTAATAGCGCCAATCGATACCAGCCATTTGGCCCAAGACCATCCAATTTTATCGAAAAGATAAGGAAATGGCGCGTCTGGATTTTGTTCAAAATATGGCAAAACCATTGTGAGAACAACGGAAACTCCAAAGTAAGCGAAAAATACAACAAAAAGCGATGTGACAATTGCTATTGGAATGGATTTTTGTGGATTTTTCGCTTCTTCGCCGGTTGTCGCGACACAATCGAATCCAATAAATCCATAAAAACATGTCGCTGCACCCGATATAATTCCAACTATACCGTACGGTGCAAATCCTCCCTTTCCAAATTGACAACTTTCCTCCGTACATAGAGGTTGAGTTTTCCAATTTTCCACATTCGCTGGAAAAAAACTTGTTTTCAAAAAACATTTCGGCATAAAAGATTATATTTTAATTGTTTTCTTCTATAAGTTTACCTTTAAAAGCTCCGGCAATAATAACAAAAAGAACCACCGACAAATTTGTTATCGTAAATATATTATTTGCCATTGACGATTCCTTTGCCCCGAAAGCAAGAGCAGCTGAAAAAAAAATTCTTGTAAAGAACTAGTAAGAAGAACTATTTTTTTCTAGTAAGAAAACAAATATTTTCCTTTGCATTTTATTTAATTAGTTTCTATTTTTTTCTCTCGAGAATTATTTTCATATTAATTAAGGAGAAGTTGAAAAATATTTTTACCTAATGTAAATAGGATTTAAAAAGGAATTTTAATCAAAAGATTTTTATTTCATTATCTTTCGAAGGTGGGAAATTTCGAACATATGTTTTTTAACTCGAATTTTATCGCTGATAAAACGTAATAGTACATTACGACATAAAATCTGGATCAGTATCTTCAAGTGTTTGCAAATTTATCCACATTATTTTTTTCAAGAGAAATTCATTAATTTTTCTTGAAGATAAAAATTTGGAGAATACATTTTTTTTCTATTTCTAATTCCATCAGATTTTTGCACGTCTATGCAAAATTTTTTACTTTTTAGTAAAATTTATTTTTCTGAACTATGAAAGAATGTTTTTCTTTAAATAATAAATTTGTAATTCCAGCAGACTTTTGCTTAAATAGAAAGTGTAAAAATAAAATTGAAAAACCAAGAGTGAGAAAAATAGTTTAAATACTTTAGGCGAATTCTAAAAATTTGAGGAGAATTGAAAATTGTATATTATTTAATGAAAATTTGTTCTTTTTTAGAAATTGACTTGGATTATAAAATCGGCGACTTACCGGAAAAGGCGAGAGTAACGCCGAAGGCAAAAAAGTCCGGATATGAAGAGAGGTGATTGACATTTATGTGAGCGGCCGATTCAAATGCTTTTCTCATCGAATTATCAAAAAGTGCATCGACGTAAGTACTTAATCCACGAACAACGCTCGCCGAACCGATTACATATTCTAGAATTAAGGTCCATCCAATTATGAAGGCGACGAATTCGCCCATTGTCACGTAACTGTAAACATAAGCTGAACCTGCTCTTGGTACTCTTGCGCCAAATTCTGCATAGCAGAAACCTAAAAATTTACAAATTATTAATTTTTCTTTTATCAAGAGAAAGAGAATTAATTTTTTTCATTTCACTAAAGTTTCAATTTTCATTTAACAAGTCAATTTCTGTAAGAAAGAAAATCAATTAACTAATTAATTGTCCAAAATATTTAAAGAATAATTTATTTTTTCTAAATCTTATTCAAATTTTTTTTGCATGAGTAATGATAATTTTTTAAAAAATAAAAATATTTTCCATTTTTTTCAGTACCTGCTATCATTGATGCTAAGGCTGCGATTGCAAAAGATATGATAACAGCCGGTCCAGCAATATCACGAGAAACAGAGCCAGCTAAAACGTAGACACCAACTCCAAGTGTTGATCCTATTCCTAGAGCTGTGAGGTCCAATGTTGAGAGGCATCTCGATAATTCCGTTTCCGATGGCGTGTTAATCACTTTTTTCCTCGTGAATATTCGGTAAATATCTTGCAAGCCTAATATCCTCATTTTGTCAAACTTTAAGAAAAACAAACATTTCTTTTAACTTTCAAATTCACTTTTACATAATTTATTTATTTGAAAATTAACGGGAATACGAAAATTTCAATTTTATTCGAAATTAAATTGAAATTTTCGTATTTCTTTTAATTTTCAATTTCAAATTCGCTTTTACATAATTTATTTATTTATTTGAAAATTAACGGGACTACGAAAATTTGAATTTAATTTTGAATAAAATTCTATCAAAAATTGGAATTTTTTCAATTTTGAATAGTTTGATCCAAAATTGAAATGTTTTCAATTAACCCCCGAGTCGAATAAATAGAATATATTTAGTGAGTAAAAATGTTAATCGTATAAAAAATGAAATAATTTAAAAAATCGTTTTTGAACTCAAAATTAAGAATAATATACAAATTGACGGGAGGAAAGAATTAAACAAAGGGCAATTAGTTAACGTATATTAATTGTATTATTGTTTACAAACTAGTTCGGAATCAAATAAATCAAGGTTTAAACTGAGATTCTTTAAAAGGCAATAAAATATAGAAAAAAGTAAATTATAAATATTATAATTAATTGTTTATTTTAAATAGAAATCTAATATTAAATATAAATTATAAAAATAAAAATATATAAATACTGATGGAAAAAATAGAGAAAATTTGCGAAAAAATGTAAAAAAATTCGAAAGTTACTTTTAGAGTAAAAGAAAAAAAGATTACCTTTGATAAATCGAAATGAAATCTATCATGTCCAGAATTCCTTGGAATAAACTGAAAAACGAAGTTTACAATATCAAGTTTGACAGACTAATGATTCTTTTTAAAGCAGTCAGTAACACCTTTATGACCGTGTCATTATTATCTGAGTATGACAATATGATCATAGTTGGCGCTCTCTTTGGAAATCAAGTTTTATCTACAGATCGTTTCTGTCAATAACAACTCACCAAAAGTATGATATTGTAAAAAGTTATAATGCCCTATAATCACTTTATAATAAATCATTACATAAATGGGTTTTTGAACGAGAGTTTAAAGAAAAACTATTTTTAAAATTCAACGTTTAAACGAACTTAAAATAATGTCGAGTTGAAAAACAAAGGAAATTCATTTTTGTCTTTAGTGATAAAGAAACTTTTACACTCACCATTATAATTACAATACTTTGGACAAACCGAAGGTCATTTAATTATAAATATTTTCAAAATCGTCGAAAACAGGAAGAACTACAACATTTTTATTTATTTTAAATTTAAAAATTATAGAATTTAATTAATTAATTTTTTTGTTTGAAATCAATGTCTACGTTTTATGAAGAGATCTCTGTTTCTGTTTGTATCTTGAGTGTTGAAAAAAATATCACGAATCAATTTATTCAATTGAATAAATTGGTGTCTATTAATCAGTGGTCTTTTTTTCTTACATATTTGAATGTAATAAGTACTTTGAAAATTTTTCTAAATATTCTTCGGGGAATTTTTTTAACGAATAAATTTTTTCGATTGTAATTTTTTTTGAAAAATAATTAAAATAACCTTTTTTCGGAACCAGAAATTTTTTTTCTTTTTTTAAAAACATTTTTGAATAGCTAAACTTTTATATATATATATATATATTTTTTTTTTTGATAATCATTAACCTGAATTTACAGATTAGGTGAAAGATCATAAAAAAAATTGGATAAGAAGTCTTTAAAAGCGCTTCTTCAAAATTTTTTTACGATTTCGTGAAATATTTACAAATTTAATTTTCAACAATCTAAAATTGTTTTTTTGACTTCTTAAAAATAATATAATTAGAAATATAATAATAAAAATAATAAACAAAATAATTGAATTAAAATATATTTTCAAATTAGATAATTAATAATTTAAAAGATACAATATTATGTTTTTAAAAATAATCTTTTATTTGTAAATTAGGATTAAAAGTTTTAAAAAAAAACTAATTTCGTATTCAAATCAATGCAATAATGCATATTTGATTAAACATATTTGATTATTGTAATAATAAATTCATTGTAATAATTGAAATATTTAAACATCACGTGATGCTTAAAATATTTTTAAAAAGCATTGTCAATTTAACATTAACATCAATTTCTTTAGGTTTCAATCGACTTCGATGTCCTTGTGGTAGTTTAATCAATTCCGTGTCCGGGCAAGGGAAAGGTTCGCAATAAAAGTATTCGTGATGAAGAGCCTGGAGGAAGAGAAGAAAAAGAGTGAAATACCTGTTCCGATTGAGAATTATTAGGAAAAATTTCTTTTAATTTTTAATTTTCTCACCTCATTGGCTGTCAAACGTTTCGAGGAATTGTACAAAAGAATATTCCTCACGAGATCAACAGCTTCCGATTGAGCGTCAGGAATCACTTGCTCCCACAACGTTCCCTTTTGGTAAGGAAACGTTATTTTATTATAATCCGGTAGTGTCGTTAATTCTGGCCACGTTTCCGCTGTTGGAGAACCCAAATGTCTTAAAACAATTGCCAATTGCTCAATATCCGTATCGCCCTGGAAAAATCCTTTTTTTAAACATAAAATAAGAATAAAAGTGCAAAATTTAATTTGTATTTAATAATTTAATTTTTTTATTTTTAATTAATTTAATTTTCTTTAAATAATTATTTATTTAACTAAAAAATACGGAGAATTTTATTTAAGACTTATTCGGTTAAAAACAATGTTTAAATAAAATTTTGATGAAATAAATAAAGAGTAGATTTTGATTTTTAAATTTTATACTCACGGGAAAAAGTGGAGCGTTATTGAGCATTTCGCCAAAAATACAACCCACGGACCACATATCAATGGACGCTGAATAAAATCGCGCTCCATATAATAATTCCGGTGCTCTGTACCATCGAGTTGCGACTTGATGTGAATAAGGTCGACTGACATTTTCCCACATTAATCGCGATAATCCAAAATCGGCAATCGTTAAATGACCATTTTTCTTTATCAGTAAATTAGCTGGTTTTAAATCCTAAAAATTTGAACGAAACTTTAATAATAAAAATATTACATTTTTCCTTTTTAATTATCAAGTTTTATTTATTTTTCCTTGCTTTATATTTGCAATTCTCAATCAAGAAATCAAGATTTTTCCCACACATTGTTTTATTATCGAGCTTTCTATAATTTTTTTATTTTGTCTATTTCATAACTGACTGCGAAATCTTGATTTATAAATAAATAAATAACAAACGTAATTTTAAAAATAATAAACAATTTTTAATTTTCACCTACTCTATGCATTATATTTTTCGAGTGCATATAAGCGACGCCTTCCAGTAACATTTTCATATAAGTTTTCGTTTGCGACGCTGATAATGGATTTTCGTTATCTTTTATTAGTTCCCATAATCCTGAGGGCATGTACTCAAACACCATCACAAAGTCGAGTCCAATTGGAAATGCATCAATCAATTCGATTATCTATTTTGCAGTCATTTTTTAAAATAAGAATAATTAGTCTTTTTTCTAAGAAACTTGTATTTAGTAATTTATTTTCATTTTTACTACCGACGGGACAATAATTTTTAATGGAAAAATAAATTGTCTCGTTGGTAATTGTTAATTTCGATTTTTTGCAAAAAATAAAAAAACTGCTTTTTGAAATATTTATTATTTCGAAAAGAATATTTATATTTAAATAAATTATATGATGATAGGAAATAATTTAAATTAATAACAAAATAATAAATATTGTAAAAAAATTATTTTCTGACAGCAAATATAATAAAAAAAATAAAAAGAAGAAAATCGAATAAAATTAATATGAACGTAAAACGTGTAAATTTTTCATTTTAAAAAATTATTAATTACATAAGGATGTTTCAGAGTCTGTAAACTTTTAACTTCACGAATTATCGACGTCGGTATTCCATCTTCAATTCGTTTTAATAGTACTTTTTTTAAAGCAACTTCACGTCCATTTGTGTTATCGATCGCCTTCAAAACAACTCCATGTGCTCCTTCTCCTATTCGACCACTGATGGAATATTTATCCATTTTTTTAAAAATTCTTTTATTCTTTTTCACTTTTACAATTTCTCTTTTCTTCTCATCATAATTTTTCAGATGGTTTTATTTTCCCATAAATACAAAATTTTTAATTTATTTCTTTTCCTTTTGCAGGAAAAGGTGCTTCACTCAGAAAGCAGGTGAACTTTCACCTGAGGGCCACATGTGGACTAATCAATATTTGAAACGGAATGAAACAAACGTTAATGGTATCGATTTTTTTTAATTATATTAAAACGAATATTTTGCAACAAAAAAAATTTACAAAATTATTTTTTAGCGCTAAAAATATTTAATTAAAACGCTGTGAATAATTTAATTTTTTTATGTCTTTGAAAGGGGAAAATAAGTTAGGATAATAATGATGATTAGTAACGTAAAATTAGTAATAATAATTAGTAAAGAAATTTTTATAGAACAATTCAGTTTAATTGAGTTAATATTAAATTTATATCGCTACTTTTTTGTTAAAATTCGGTATTGCTGAAAAAATTAAAGACAAAAATTTCTAGTTAGTATTTTATTTAAATTATGTCAATTCTGTTCAATTGGGTCAATTGAATAAAGACCTTCTTCAAATTAATCGTGCATGTAGAGTGTCCAACTCGTATTAATTTAGACTTCATCTTAAAGCTGTTTCTTAAAAGAATTTTCAATAAAGGCAATCCTACCTGTCTTATTTCGAGAAACAAAATCTATCCACTTCTTTTCTTTTAAATGTCAACCTTTTCTTTTCAATATTATATTAATATTTTTTTTCATTTAATAGAACTTTTATTTTTTTCTATTTTTATTAAGTTTAAAAGAAAACTTTATTATATAAAGGGAATTACAAAGAATGTTTTGGATCATTGCAGAAAATCTTAATTGTAGATTGTCTTTTATTGACGATAATAACCTATTACTACATTTTTCATTTTTATCTAATTTTTATTTTATTTTTCATTATGTTTTATTTTATTTTTCATTTTATTTTTTATTTTTATTTTATTTTAATTCATTTTACGAAAAAAATAGCGAAATTGAAAGAAAAAGATTTTGTTAATAATATAGAATGCAGAAAAAATTGAACTTTTCGTCATTCGTAATTCTTCTTCGGCAAAAAGTATTATTTAATAATTTTCAATTTCCATTTGCGCATCGCAGGAAATAAGTTACGTGAACAATTTTGTTCATCTGTGATCTCATAAAAGGTTTAGTCGTCGTAGAAAATTGTTTAGGGCACATTTTTTTTAACTCCACGAACTTAAATTTAAAAAATCTATTTTTACTAAAAATGCTGTTCCGTAACTTTATTATGTAATTTTATTTTTAGTTGTGTTAATATTTAAAAAATAGTTTATACAATAGTTTATACTGTTTTTGTTTCTCAAAAAAATATACAGATTTGGCATACTGGTGGTGTACGCCTTTGTGCAAAGGCATGGTCTTCCATCAAGTGGAGAAAACCAATTATTGTATAGTAGATAGATCTACCCCATTTTTCAAGTTAACGCGGAAGATTATTACTCTATTTCCGCGATCGCGCGGAATTTGGTCGAGTCGGGAAGCTGTTCTTTTTTAATTATACCGAGTCGAACTAGAGCTAAATTTAAAATGTTTCTTCCAGCGTTCACGTCTCTATTCCATGCTATTCTGCAACTAGAGCAATAGGCAGTTCTATTTTTCATTATTTTCATCTTCTGATTACATGTACTGCACATTTTAGTGGTATTAAATTCGTCGATAAAAACAAGACGTAAATTTTTATATTTATCTTGCTTTTCGGCTAATCTTCGTACCACTTTTCTTAATGGCATGCGTACATGACCACGCATCCACGGTGAAATTTTTGGACTGCCTATTGCTATGAGTTGTTTTTTTTCTCTATTTCCTACCAGATAATCGGCAAGATAATCCGTTTCTCGTTGAACAAGCATGTACTTATCCCACTTGAGGCGAGCTATTTTCTTATTCTCCATGTTCGGTTGTTGATCGTAAAAGGTTCTTAATAAAAATTTAGTACTCGGAATAATAAGTGATGGATCGCGATGATTTACTTTGTCTTTAAATTCGGGAGTATCTAATAAATTTTCGTAATACGTTATCGGATCATTTCCTACTTTATATAGAATCGATCGCCGTTTACATTCCTGAGTTTCGAAACGAAATGTTGCCGTGGGGATTTTAATCGGTTTGTCTTTAGAATTAATATCAAAGTCTTGTTGCATTTCCCTTTCAACCCCACCGAAAGCAAGCTTTAATCCTGGGTCTAGTCCTTTTAAAATTTTATATTTAGTCTTATCGCGCACATCTCCTTGTTCGGTAGGCAAGAAATCAATTATTTTCTTTGGCTTGATAACATTATAAATTACGGAAACGGCAATTCCGTCCGTCATAATTGTCCCTGAAAATTTATACTTCGTTTTATTAACGCGTAATTTCGAGAAATTGAAAAGTTTTTCCCATCTTCGTTCATTTTCCAGATATTTATCTTGATTCCTTTCAGTCACGACTTTTTTGTGAAATTCGGTAATTCTTTTTAATTCACTGTTGATGATGGATAAATCTTCATTTAAAACTTTTAATTTTAATTCCAATTCGGTCAATCTTTTTTTATTGTGGGGATTTTTTTCACTTTTTATTAACTTTATATCTCTCGTCAAAATTTTCTTATCACTCGACAATTTCTTATGATTTTCTTTTACCGGTGAGATGAGTTTTTTGTGTTCTGCCTCTTGTTTCGAAATTTCAGCTTTCGTCATTTTCTTTGTTGGTGTTTTTTCTTCAGTTTTATTTTGTTTCTTCTTGAAAACATTTTCCAATTCACTCAGTGCAGTGTTTGTGTAGCAGATGTACTTTACACCAGGTTTCATAATAGGCACAAGCATGAAGCCTCTTATTTTTTCATCGACAAAGTATTTTTGTAAGCGAATATAAAAAGGGAGAAATTTGTGACACTCATCCTTACTTGTCATGTCTCCAAAATCCAATTTCTCCACATTCATTTGATTTAATGTTTCATTTTCGCATTTATTTAAAAGAAGATTGTCAATTAAGGTTTTAATTGTGTAACCTTCTTTTTCTTCTTCCTCTTCCTCCTCCGCTTTGTCTTTTTCAATTGTTGCAGATGTTGTATCGCTTGTTTTATTTTCAGGTGTTTTTTCCTTCGGCAGCTTCCTGCACGGTTTGTTTTTGGGTGTTGTCTTTGGTGGTTTGATGCTCGGCTTCTTGGAAGATTTCTTCTTGCCTCGATTCCTTCCAATAGTTTTTCTTGCGTCGTAGACAATTTTCCTCAGATCAACATTACGTGATTTCTGTTCCGTTTTCGATTGAATGTTTATTAATTTGTCCCTCATTTTTTTATTATTTGGATACAAATTTCTACATTTATTGTGTTTTTCAACTCTCTTCTGTCTTCCAGATTTTCTTTTCATCCTCTTCTTCCTGTCCCATTTAATTCGTTTCTTCTTGTTTTTCCTTGCACGTTTCCTTTTTTCTTCTTTTCGCTTCATGTCCCTCTCTTCAATGGACTTTTCGTCAATGACTCTGGATTTTCTCTCCTTGTAGTTGGGTGATTTTTTAAGCAGTTCATTTTTAAAAAATTTGGCGAGTCGATTTCTACAGTGAGTAGTGAGATTTGTAGTGAAATTGGTATTCATTTGTGCAGCCATTTGTTGTATTTGAGAAGATAAGTTAGTGCAATTGAATTTTTCCAATGGTCGCCCCATATATTCTGAAAATTCAGGAACAAATTCCTCACGCAACTTTTTGAGAAATGCATTATTTGTTGTATTAATACGTTCCTTCTCTTTAAATAAATATGTAATTGTTAAGTAATCGGGCCCATTCTTAGACCATTCGTCAAGAAGAAAAGTATTTGTAGGATGTCTAAGGGCAAAATTGACAAATAGAGATATCAAGATGAACATACGTGATAACATTTGTACTTGATCATTCACAATTGTACGAATTTGTTCATTTGGGCAGAAAGATTCGAATCCAGTCTTTATGGTAAATTTAGTTTGTTGTTGTTGTTGTTGTTGTTTTTCTTTCCTGGATGTAGATTTTGTTGTTTTCTTCATATTTGATGGTGTCGCTAATGGCTCGGGGATTTTGAATGTCGAATCTTTCTCTTCCTGTAAATTGAGACTTTGCAAATAGTCGTTTTCATCAGCTTGACGACTCGTGCTGGGTATCGGAGATAATGATTTTTTCTTCTTAAGAGGAGTTTTTCTTCCTAATTTCTGTTCCTTTGATGTTGACTGTTGGCTGAAAACATCTTCAACTAGTTTCTCTTCTTTTAAATTCAGCTTGTATCTTTTTTTCGGCGTAGGACTAGATGTTGTTTCTTCCTCTTCATTATCAATATCCATCGGTGTACTGCTGTCCTTGAATGATGATGATGACACGATGTTCATCAGTCCCAAATTACGTTGCCATGATAACGTTGTATCATCATCAAAATCATGTTCCTTCGACTTGCAATAATCTACTCCACTTCCTACAGACATTCGTGTGTTCTCATCGAAAAATTGGAACTTTTCTATTTGAACGTTGGATGGAATTTCATCGAGCGACACTTCTTCTTCAGTAATTCCGCATGTAGACGAAGAAGCTTCTTCCATGGATGTTGGGTCAAATAATGGACGATGCACTCTACCTTCATTACTTTTAAAAGGTAATACAGGGATAAAAGGACTAGACACTGTTCTTTGAATTCTTGGACTTGTCTGTTGAGGGGGACGATTTTCCAATTCTACTGGTCGGTTAGACGATAAATTGAACTGCGGTAACGGGTTACTAGACGGTAATACTTGTATAAAAGGACGTGATACCGCACGTCGATGAAAATTATTCAATTCTCCTACGCGACGAATTTCATTTTCATGTCGAGATGGGGGAGATCTATCACTACTTACATTATCATTTTTCTTTTCCATTTTAAAAATGAATATTAAATTTAAATCCGTAAATATTCGCAATCCGTAGAACGTAGTGTCCAGATGATTTTCTTAAAATACTCTTCTTCCTCGGTGAATCGTTTGCAGTGGAGGTTTCGACAGTGCGCTGCAGTGATGGTTCGATCCTTCCCGTGTAAGACACTGGAGGAAAGTGATTGTAGAATTGGCAACTCGACAATTTTCGACTAGAAAGGCTCTGTAACAAATTTTTAAAAAAAAATTTATTAGAAAAGATATTCTTAGATAACAAATTGTGTATTTGTAAATATAGCAAGATGTCAAGAAACATTTAAAATGCATTTATAGTAATGAAAAATATGTTCACCTTTTGCAAAGAAGGCTCGGACGTTGAAGAAAGACACGAATGAATTTCTTTGTAGAGCTATTAATCAAGCTCGACTAGAGCACCGTTGCAGTGGAGGTTTCGTAGATAGATCCTTTCCGTGTAAGACACTGGATGAAAGCGATTGTAGAATTAGCAACTCGACAATTTTCGACTAGAAAGGCTCTGTAACAAATGTTTAAAAAAAATTTTATTAGAAAAGATATTCTTAGATATCAAATTTTGTATTTGTAAATATAGCAAGATGTCAAGAAACATTTAAAATGCATTTATAGTAATAAAAAATATGTTCACCTTTTGCAAAGAAGGCTCGGACGTTGAAGAAAGACACGAATGAATTTCCTTGTAGAGCTATTTAATCAAGCTCGACGAGAGCACCGTTGCAGTGGAGGTTTTGTAGACAGATCCTTCCCGTGTAAGACACTGGAGGAAAGCGATTGTAGAATTAGCAACTCGACAATTTTCGACTAGAAAGGCTCTGTAACAAATTTTTAAAAAAAATTTTATTAGAAAAGATATTCTTAGATAACAAATTTTGTATTTGTAAATGTAGCAAGATGTCAAGAAAAATTTATAATGCCTTTATAGTAATATAAAATATGTTCACCTTTTGCAAAGAAGGCAAAAGAATGAATTTCTTTGTAGAGCTTAAAATCAAGCTCGACTAGAGCACCGTTGCAGTGGAGGTTTCGTAGATTGATCCTTCCTGTGTAAAACACTGGAGGAAAGTGATAGCTCTCAGTGTGCGTGTGCTCTTTTTATACAAGTAGCACGGACGTTGACGAAAGGCTTGTGCGAGACGATTAAATTTCCTTGTAGAGCTATAAATCAAGCTCGACAAGAGCACCGTATGCCGTGGAGGTTTCGTCAGTGCGCTGCACTGTTGGTGATATCCTTCCCGTGTAAGACACTAGAGGCAAGTGAAGCTCCCAGTGTGCGTGTGCTCGTTTTATACAAGTAGCACGGACGTTGACGAAAGGCTTGTGCGAGACGACCGAATTTCCTTGCTGAGAGCCAACTCAAGCTCGACAAGAGCACCGTCGCCGTCGAGGTCTTGTGAGTGCGCGGGCACTGTTGGTGAGATCCTTCCCGTGTAAGACACTGGAGGCAAGTGAAGCTCCCAGTGTGCGTGCGCTACTTTTATACTAGTGCACGGACGTTGTAGAAAGGCTTGTGCGAGACGACCGAATTTCCTTGCTGACAGCTAACTCAAGCTCGACAAGAGCACCTTCGCCGTGGAGGTTTCGTCAGTGCGCTGAGCTGATGAGTAGATCCTTCCCGTGTAAGACACTGGAGGCAAGTGAAGCTCCCAGTGTGCGTCTGCTACTTTTATACTAGCGCACGGACGTTGAAGAACGGCTTGTGCTAGACGACCGAATTTCCTTGCTGAGAGCCAAGTCAAGCTCGACAAGAGAATCTTCGCCGTGGAGGTTTTGTCAGGTCCTTCTCGTGTAAGACACTAGAGGCAAGTGAAGCTCCCAGTGTGCGTGTGCTCGTTTTATACAAGTAGCACGGACGTTGACGAAAGGCTTGTGCGAGACGACCGAATTTCCTTGCTGAGAGCCAACTCAAGCTCGACAAGAGCACCGTCGCCGTCGAGGTCTTGTGAGTGCGCGGGCACTGTTGGTGAGATCCTTCCCGTGTAAGACACTGGAAGCAAGTGAAGCTCCCAGTGTGCGTGCGCTACTTTTATACAAGTAGCACGGACGTTGAAGAAAGGCTTGTGCGAGACGACCGAATTTCCTTGCTGACAGCCAACTCAAGCTCGACAAGAGCACCTTCGCTCTCGAGGTATTGTCAGTGCGTTGGGCACTGTTGGAGAGATCCTTCCCGTGTAAGACACTGGAGGCAAATGAAGCTCCCAGTGTGCGTCTGCTACTTTTATACTAGTGCACGGACGTTGAAGAACGGCTTGTGCGAGACGACCGAATGTCCTTGCTGACAGCCAACTCAAGCTCGACAAGAGCACCTTCGCCGTGGAGGTTTTGTCAGGTCCTTCTCGTGTAAGACACTAGAGGCAAGTGAAGCTCCCAGTGTGCGTGTGCTACTGTTATACAAGCGCACGGACGTTTTAGAACGGCTTGTGCGAGACGACCGAATTTCCTTGTAGAGCCAACTCAAGCTCGACAAGAGCACCGTCGCCGTCGAGGTCTTGTGAGTGCGCGGGCACTGTTGGTGAGATCCTTCCCGTGTGAGACAGTGGAGGCAAGTGAAGCTCCCAGTGTGCGTGTGCTTCTTTTATACAAGCGCACGGACGTTGAAGAAAGGCTTGTGCTAGACGACCGAATTTCCTTGGTGAGAGCCAACTCAAGCTCGACAGCAGCACCGTCGCCGTCGAGGTCTTGTCAGTGCGCTGCGCTGATGGTAAGATCCTTCCCGTGTAAGACACTGGAGGCAAGTGAATCTCCCAGTGTGCGTCTGCTACTTTTATACTAGCGCACGGATGTTGAAGAAAGGCTTGTGCGAGACGACCGAATTTTCTTGACGAGCGCCAACTCAAGCTCGACAACAGCACCGTCGCCGTGGTAGTTTCGTCAGTGCGCTGCGCTGATGGTCCTTCCCGTGTAAGACACTGGAGGTAAGTGAAGCTCCCAGTGTGCGTGTGCTACTTTTATACAAGCGCACGGACGTTGAAGGAAGACCCCACTGCGTGGGGGGAATTACTCCCCACTTTCATGCTTAGCAATAGCTTTCTCTCTCTCTCTATCTCTTGGCGCGTCAAAGTGTTGCTAAGCATGAGAGTGTTGTGTCAGCTTAAGGTTTTTACAGAGAAAACTCTGAATTGTGAAAAATTGCTGCGTTGAAGAATGCACCTTAATACCCCCTCCACATCTTTTTTTTGGAAACTACAAAAGTGCAACGCACTATGTTCTCAACCCTGAACTTAAGAGACTAGTTTCTCAGCCGTGATAACGTTTATCAAAACAAACCAGCTATTTAAATGTGACAGTTTTAATGAAATAATAAATAATTAATAGAAGTAATAGAAAATAATAATTATAACTATTAGAGCAAGAGAGTTTAACATCTGTTTACATTATATCGAATTTATTCCTCGGTAAGTTAGGTAATAAAATTGCGACTTGAACGCAATATTTTTTCCGATAATTCCGATTTCGAAGTAAACCAATATTTATTTCAATATAAATATAAAATATATTTTGCAATAATAATTCAATTTATTGTTTGTAAATTTCTTATACAATTTTTGATTAAAGAGAAAAAAATGGATTTCCATGTTTTCTTATTAGAGCTGAAATATGCCCAAGTGAGAAAACTACTTTATTCCGACGATAAAATAATAGATGAGACAACACAATATAAAAACAAATATCCAGCAATTGAAATTTTAAAAAGTTCTGTTTTAAAAACCTCCAGCAATTTAATTAAAGTTGAGAACGACGTGAATACACTTCTTGTAATAATATCCCTAAATCTCTGTATTGTTTACGTCGCAACAGGAATTAAAACTCGGCAAATTAATTAATCCTACCGCAAAGAATAATACCAATGATATGTGTGCATTAAATAAACTGGGAATTCTTTTGTCATAGACAAATGAAGTTTCAGTCTCAATGATATTTTTATAAAGCGTCAAAGATGTTTACAAAGAATTTATTTTGCTGAAAAAATACACAATTAACATATGTCAAAATTATCTAGTGTAGAAATTATCAACGAACAAAAGGCAAAGACAATTTTGGAAAAATTAACACACGCTGAACTTGTATTATTTGGCACAAATTTATGGGACACTGGAGAATTATCTGAAATCAGTGTAATCTATACAGTCACATGACATTATCCCAACAATTGGAGAATTTTTGTATTTCGTTCTCTTTTGAGAAATGTAATATTTATTGGAAAATAAATAAAATTTTTCCAAATTGTTAAAAATTAGAGAAAAATAATAAAAAAATTTAATTTTCTAAAAGAAAAAATTGAAAAACTGTTATTTAATTAATTTAATTTAACTATTATTTACTCACTTTGGTATTTTATTTCTTATTTATTAGTATTAATTTAATTCGAATATCCTTCAATGGGAAATTATTATTATTTTCTTTTTGTTTTAGGAATGCATTACTATTTTGATAGAAAAAGAGTATCTGGTACGCAGAGGTCATAAAAACGATACGTACGATTACCTGGCGTGATTTGTTGATTGAGGACAACGTAGTGCAATCATAACACGCTATTCAAAAGCTAACTTCATCGGACGTGAACCCACCGCATATAAAAGTATTTCTTCGGTTTGTAAATTGTAGTTAGTTTAGAAACTTCATTAATTTATTTTTGAAAATATGTAAAATATAGATTTTTCCAGGCAAGTTGAATAGAAATTTTCCATTCAAATTTACACGTTTTTCACTCCTTTTTCTCATTTAGAGCAAGTCATTTTTTATTTTTCGAAAATCTAAAAAATTTTAATCATTCTTGGGAATTTTTCCAAAAGTCCTGCTATTTTTTCTTTTGCTGACAAAACTTTAAAATCTGTTCTATATTTTCAGAAAATTTGAAATTACTCAAAAAATGTGTAATTTTAATCAACTCCATTTAAAAATGGTGGAATTTATTTTATTATTAATTAGAATCTAATAAAAAATTTGGATTCAAAATCAAATTAACATTAACTTATTTGCAAATTTAACTATAAAGATTCTTGGTTAAAGAGAGAAATTTTATAGAGGAAAAATGTGTCAATATCTGAATTACATTGTATTGAAATTGTTTGCGCAATATTACACTCGAATTGTAACTACTTTTCAATGTTTAATTGAGCTTAATAGATGAGAGTGTATTATTAATCTGCTAAATCAGGGGATTTACCCAATATCGTTAGAGTATGATTTTTAGAATTCAGAATAATTTCCTAATGATATAGAAATGATTGGAAAAAATTTAATCTCCAAAACAAATATTTAAATTAATTAATATATTTTTTAAAAGACAATTTCAGGTACAAAATTTGTTATTATTAGTAATTAATAATTATAATAATTTTTTATTTATTTATTTATTTTGTTTAATAATTTTAGATATTTTTATTTTATTATATTTTTTACATTTATCTCTTTTCTAAAATTAGTTTTTTCTTCTCTCTAATTAAACCTTAATAATTTTCTCTCTAATTTTAATAGTACAAAATTATCTTAAATTATTATTTTGAAAAATATTAAATAAAAAAATCCAAACTAAAAATTTATAGAATTACAAATTTTTCAGTGATTTATGAAAATTTCAATTTTGTCCACTGTAAATAATAATTTTTGTTAATAAATTGAAAAGAGTTTTGCGGAAAAATGCAAAAGACGAAAAAATGAGTTCACATCTTGAATCTAGGGTACGTTTTGTGAAGCCCCTTCAATGTAAACCTTGTGGATGGAGCACAAGGCAATCAAAGTGAATGAATGAATGAAGCATGTGGTTGATAATCGTAAAGATTAAACTTGATTGGTTCTACTTTACGGATCGAGCAGAAATAATTCTCTTGTAGCCAGAGCTTAACTTTTTTCATTTCAGTTGCTATTTATAATTGACGATCAGAAACCAACTATATTACTATATTAAACTGCAATGAAATATTTATTTCTATAATTTATTTAATTATTTTTGAGGTTAGAATCAACAAAATAGTTTATGCAAATTATGTAAAATTGTCAATTGGCAAAAATGGCAAATTGTTTTCTTTATTTATAATTATGTTTTTTTTTTTTTAATAATTATAGAGTTGTTAAAAATTTAGTGTTTCTAAATAATAATTTAATAATAAATATTAGTGTTTATGTGACTAATTTGCAAAAATATAATATTCCTTCTTTTTTTAACAGAAAAATGTTTGCCTTTGTACTATTGAGTATTACTGGAAAATTGTAATGCAAAATATGGATCATTTGAAAATACGCAGACTCTGATCTTCAGGCATATGTGAACGCACATATTGAATCAAATTTCGAGTATTTATTATTAATGTCATTGAATTTTGAAAATAACGAGGCAAATCGAATTGGTTTTTGGCTATTATCGTTATGATTCAATTTATCACCAAGTGAAGTGGAACAATGAATTTAAATCAATTGCCACATTTCAAGAAATGGCCGAAGAAGCATTGAGACTTTACGCACAAACGAAAAATCATCCCAAACAAAACGTAGCAGTTGCACATTATTTGGAAGAAGAATTCATGGAACCACAAGCCGATTGTATTCGAAAATTGGCAGGACACTCCAATGACGACAAAAATATTCTACAAGATTGCGATGTATTTCTCTTCAATGAATATGATAGACTTTTTTTAATAAAATTCAATTAAGAATTAAATTAATTCACTTCATGTGATTTTGTCATTTAATATATTTTCGTTACTCTATCAATTATTGTTTTTCAAATTTCGAAAAATTTTAATTAAAATTTATGTTAGAGGATTTAAAAGACAAATATATAAAAAAAAAGTACGTATTTCATATTATAATGATTAAATGTAAATGTAAAATTAAAAATTATATTTTATTAAATTTTCCTTACACAGTAATAATTATGATTTATTAGATTAGAAAGTAATTTTTAGATAAAATGTTTTTATTTGAAAAAATATTCCAATTCCGAGAATTATAATTAGAATTATTACAATAGAACTTTATGAAATAAAATTGTATTATTCTTTGTAATTTAAAATAAATGTGTTTAAATTAAAGATTTATTTACAAATTATTATTAATTATTTATTTCTAATTTGCTGATTTTTAATGAAAGTAATTTGACAAAATTATTACAGACACTCAGTTCGACGTGCATCATTTCCTTGGCGTTTGAATTTCGTTCGCAGTAATTCACCAAGAAAAAATAGACATTGTAACTTTTTTCCACATTCTCGAGTTGTTGCTGTTTATCAGGTGTTGTAAATTTATTATACAGTTTTACCAACGTGAAAATATGCTCTCAATACAGGTCGTACAATGTAATCGGAAAATTAATTGCTGTCAATTAATAATTTTGAACTTTTTAACGATGCGATGAATTTTTTGAGATTTTTCTATCAATGATCTACCCAGGTGCGAATTTTGGTCGGCCGCCAGAGTTGGAAGGTCGGGCGCAGGTCGGCCCATCTATGGCTGCCAATAGGTCGGCAGCCAAAGTCGGGCCGACTTTGGTTACTGTTTCCACCCAAGTTTGGGCCGACTATGGGTGCCAAAGTTTAGAGAACCTAATTTTAGTTGGTCGGGCCGACTCTGGCCTCAGTCGGGCCGATGGTCGGTAAAACTATGGCAGCCAGAGTTTAGAGAACCTAATTTTAGTTGGTCGGGCCGACTCTGGCCTGAGTCGGGCCGACGGTCGGTAAAACTATGGCAGCCAGAGTTTAGAGAACCTAATTTTAGTTGGTCGGGCCGACTCTGGCCTGAGTCGGGCCGATGGTCGGCTAAAGTATGGCAGCCAGAGTTTAAAAAGGTTAATTTCTGTTGGTCGGGCCGACTTTGGCCTGAGTCGGGCCGATGGTCGGTAAAACTATGGCAACCAGAGTTTAGAGAACCTAATTTTAGTTGGTCGGGCCGACTCTGGCCTGAGTCGGGCCGATGGTCGGCTAAAGTATGGCAGCCAGAGTTTAAAAAGGTTAATTTCTGTTGGTCGGGCCGACTTTGGCCTGAGTCGGGCCGATGGTGGGTTAAACTATGGCAGCCAGAGTTTAGAGAACCTAATTTTAGTTGGTCGGGCCGACTCTGGCCTGAGTCGGGCCGATGGTCGGTAAAACTATGGCAGCCAGAGTTTAAAAAGGTTAATTTCTGTTGGTCGGGCCGACTCTGGCCTGAGTCGGGCCGATGGTCGGCTAAAGTATGGCAGCCAGAGTTTAAAAAGGTTAATTTCTGTTGGTCGGGCCGACTTTGGCCTGAGTCGGGCCGATGGTCGGTAAAACTATGGCAACCAGAGTTTAGAGAACCTAATTTTAGTTGGTCGGGCCGACTCTGGCCTGAGTCGGGCCGACGGTCGGTAAAACTATGGCAGCCAGAGTTTAGAGAACCTAATTTTAGTTGGTCGGGCCGACTCTGGCCTGAGTCGGGCCGATGGTGGGTTAAACTATGGCAGCCAGAGTTTAAAAAACCTAATTTCAATTGGTCGGGCCGACTCTGGCCTGAGTCGGGCCGACGGTCGGTAAAACTATGGCAGCCAGAGTGCAAAAATCCTAATTTCACTTGGTCGGGCCGACTCTGGCCTGAGTCGGGCCGATGGTCGGCTAAAGTATGGCAGCCAGAGTTTAAAAAGGTTAATTTCTGTTGGTCGGGCCGACTTTGGCCTGAGTCGGGCCGATGGTCGGTAAAACTATGGCAGCCAGAGTTTAGAGAACCTAATTTTAGTTGGTCGGGCCGACTCTGGCCTGAGTCGGGCCGATGGTCGGTAAAACTATGGCAGCCAGAGTTTAAAAAGGTTAATTTCTGTTGGTCGGGCCGACTCTGGCCTGAGTCGGGCCGATGGTGGGTTAAACTATGGCAGCCAGAGTTTAAAAAACCTAATTTCACTTGGTCGGGCCGACTTTGGCCAGAGTCGGGCCGATGGTCAGTTTGAAGTTGCAGCTTATAAAATCATTTTTGTTCTTAGGCTTTCATGTAAGCGTAGCGTAATGGTTAGCGTGTTAGACTTCGGTGCGTTAGGTTGCGAGTTCGATTCCTGCGAGCGTTAGAAATTTTAATTTGTATTTATGTGTAAGATTGCGTTTAGTGTTAAGATGTATACAATAAACAAATAAATAATGAATAATAATAATTAATAATAATAATAAATAATTAATAATTTTTTGCAATCGGTCGGCCGACTTTAGGCTGCCAAGGTCGGCACGACCAAGGTTGCCAAAGTGAATCCGACCTTCTTTCTCATGGTCGGCAAAGCTTTGGCACCCCTGGTCGGCCCGACTTTGGCAACCATAGTCGGCACGACCATGTCAGCCACTGGACGGCGGGTGTTACAATTCGCTAGTTCGGCCGACCTTTGGCTGCCAAGGTCGGCACGACCATGGTTGCCAAAGTCAAGCCGACATTCTTTCACATGGTTGGCAAAACTTTGGCACCCCTGGTCGGTCCGACTTTGGCAGCCATAGTCGGCCCGACCATGTCAGCCACTGGACGGCGGGTGTTACAATTCGCTAGTTCGGCCGACCTTTGGTTGCCAAGGTCGGCACGACTATCCACTTGGTCGGCGCGACCATGGCCCGACCAACTTTTCGCACCTGGGTAGTGAGATTATTAATTATTTTCAGAATATTTGGTGTAAGTCGTTCGTCACTCGCCTATAAACAATCTAATTTAATGTCGAAAATTTCTGAATATGTCTCACCGAGTTCCATCTATATTTGTCTACAATTACTTTGATAGTAAGTCTTGTGCAGCTCCTTAAGAATATCCTCAAGCATGTCTATTCGTCTTTTGCACTTCGTCGTTGTGAAAAATTGCCAAGTCCTTTTATGCTTGCGGATAATCCTGAATTAATTGGACATAATCCTATGCGTGATTTTCGAGAGAATAATATTGTATTGCACTGACAATCAATTCATTTATTTTGAAGAAAACTATTTTTTCGATGGAAAAATCGAGTATATTTCTTTTGCGATCGTTTAGATATTTTTCTCGTTACTTGTGAATTGTAATTTTTACAAACAATCTTTATCGATTTCGAACTTCTTCTCCTCTTGTTGGTCACATTCGATTATTAGTAAAAGACGTTCCTTCGAGACGATCAGGAGTAAAATTCCATATTTCAAACAACAACGGGAACCATCGATTATTCTGAGCTTGTAGTTTTCTAATTTTGCCGCTGATTCTTCTTTCTTTTCAACATTAGGCACAATTGCAGTCAAGGTCTTTTCATATTTACTTGTCTAGAAATAAATAAAGATATTTAAAAATATTTAATTATTTTCAAAAAAAAATTGGAAATTATATTATTTTTAATATTTATTATTTCAAAAAAAAATTCGAAATTAAAACAATGTTTTTAAAATTATTTATCATAAAGAATTCGATTATTTTACAAAATGTAACAAAATTTTTAACAATAATTACAATATTTTAAAAGAAATCAATAAAATCATGTGGAAAAATAAAACAACAATTTTTGAAAAAATTCAATTATTTAGAGACATTTAAATAAAATTCATTGAAAAATTAAATTATTTTCACAAATATAACAATAATCTATCACATGAATTGAAAGTAATAAATTGTTTTCTTGAAAATTCAATTATATTCACAACATGATTTATTAATAAAAAAATTATTTCTGCTAACGTAATTTGAAAAAAGAATTCCAACGTAAAATTATTTCGTGGCCCTGAAAAGGGCTGATTTTCTTTTTTTTTTCTTTTTTAATAATGATGATGGAATAATTACCTGCCGAAATTGTCAAGGTTGAGAGAATAGACTAGATCCATAGTAGTAAATGTCTTTCTTTTGGCGATAATTTGGAGGTTATCATGAAAACACTTTTCGATAGCGCTTTTCTCCACCTTTTCACAATTCACTATTTTTTTTATTTATCTTTTAATTAACTTTGAGAGAAAAAATCAAAATTATTAGAAAAAATGTTGAATTTTCTATTTAAAAAAAAAGAACAACAATTTAGTGATATTAATTCTCGTACTAAAAAATTGTAAGAAAAACAAAAAAATTATTATAACCTAACAATTTTTAAACATTTATAAAATTATAGTACACAACAATTTTGAATAAAATAGATTAATAGAAAAAATTGAATTTAAATTGATTGTAATAAAAAATATAAACACTAAAAAAAGGATAAAATCGAAACGACTTAAGAGGCTCCTGAAAACAAACTGACAATGATGGTGTTGCTAAGCAGTGAAAGTGTGGACAGTTTTCTTTTCTCTGTAGTTCCACTGCTCCCCTCCAACATTCGATCAACCAATCAGAATGTGAGTTTCTCTTTCACCCTGACTGACCGGTGCTATAAATATTTGCGCATTTATCGCAGCAAGCATTAGTTGTCAGTCGTCGTTATTGTAATTTGAATGTCGGAGCGAGGAATGTGCGCGGTGGTAAAGCACCAACACCAAGGAAACACAAGTCGCCACCAAAGCCGTTCAGAAGAGAGCGCTTGCCAACCGCTGTCATCGCTACAGGCCCGGAACCTTCGCTACTAAAACAGCACCGATCTCTTCATCTGCAAACTGCACTTCTAACGACCATGTCCATCTCATCGAAGACACCAACATTGTATGACACCCTATTATTGGCCATCGAACAATATGATCAGTTATCTTCGAATGCATCGATACCGAATCTTCCCGCTTTTGTCCACTACAGCAAGAGGTCCACATCCCGGTAAATTGAAACTGCCGTCAGAAGGCTTCTCCTTCGTTGTGAACTCGCCAAGCACGTCGTCTTTGAAGGCACCAACTCCAATTAAATACTAAACACCATTCTCAAAAACAATCGGCCCTTTTCAGGGCCACAATTTTTTTTACGTAAAAATTATTTTGTTCATTTAGTATTAATTAATTTTTTTAGAGACATTTAAAAAAAAATTATTGAAAAATTCCATTATTTTTACAAATATAACAATTATCTATCACAATAATTAAAAGTAATAAAATCATTCGCAATAATTTAATTATTTATTCACAACATGATTTATTAATTAAAAAAAAAAAAACTATTTCTGCTAACGTGATTTGAAAAAAGAATTCCAACGTAAAATTATTTCGTGGCCCTGAAAAGAGCCGATTTTCTTTTTTAATAATGATGATGGAATAATAACCTGCCGAAATTGTCAAGGTTGAGAGAATAGATGAGATCCATTGCGGTAAAGGTCTTTCTCTTGGAGATATTTTGGATATTATCAGGCAACATTTTTCGATATCGCTTTTCTCCACCTTTTCACAATTCAATAATTTTTTTATTTATATTTTAAGTATCTATTTGAGAAAAAATCAAAATCATTAGAAAAAATACTGAATTTTCTTTTTAAAAAAAGTAACAAAAATTTAGTGAAATTGTAAGAAAAACCAAAAAAATATTTATAATATTTTTAAAAATATAATTCACAACAAATTTGAATAAACTAGATTAATAAAAAAAATTGAATTTAAATTTATTGTAATAAAAAATATAAACACTAAAAAAAGATAAAATCGAAACGACTTATGAGGCTCCTGCAAAAGGGCACTGAAAACAAACTGACAATGATGGTGTTGCTAAGCAGTGAAAGTGTGGACAGTTTTCTTTTCTCTGGAGTTCCACTGCTCCCCTCCAACATTCGATCAACCAATCAGAATGTCAGTTTCTCTTTCACACTGACTGACCGGTGCTATAAATATTTGCGCATTTATCGCAGCAAGCATTAGTTGTCAGTCGTCCTTATTGTAATGTGAATGTCGGAGCGAAGAATGTGCGCGGTGGTAAAGCACCAACACCAAGGAAACACAAGTCGCCACCAAAGCCGTTCAGAAGAGAGCGCTTGCCAACCGCTGCCATCGCTCGGAACCTTCGCTACTAAAAGAGCACCGAGCTCTTCATCTGCAAACTACACTTCTAACGACCATGTCCATCTCCTCGAAGACACCAACATTGTATGACACCCTATTATTGGCCATCGAACAATATGATCAGTTATCTTCGAATGCATCGATACAGATTCTTCCCGCTTTTGTCCACTACAGCAAGAGGTCCACATCCCGGTAGATTGAAACTGCCGTCAGGAGGCTTCTCCTTCGTTGTGAACTCGCCAAGCACGTCGTCTTTGAAGGCACCAACTCCAATAATTAAATATTAAACACCATTCTCAAAAACAATCGGCCCTTTTCAGGGCCACAATTTTTTTTACGTAAAAATTATTTTGTTCATTTAATATTAATTAATTATTGAAAAATTCAATTATTTTCACAAATAAAACAATATTTATCATATGAATTGAAAGTAATAAATTCTTTTTGGAAATTGGTGGTAAAACACAAAGGAAACAACTCGTTATCAAGGCCGTTCAGAAGAGAGCGCTTGCCAACCGCTGCCATCGCTACAGGCCCGGAACCTTCGCTACTAAAAGAGCACCGAGCTCTTCACCTGCAAACTGCACTTCTAACGACCTTGTCCATCTTTTCGAAGACACCAACTTGTATGACATCCAAATTCTTTGGTCGCATCCGTCGAGAACATGCTTAAATTTACCCTAAACATAAAAAGTTGCTAATTGCCCACAAAAATTATTTATTTCGCTAATTTGCTGAAAGTTCTTATTACACCAGCGGTAACGGACAACTCTCAGCAAATTCCGCCAACAGTGCGCTTCCCTATCTTTGTTTTGATTGGCAGATGGTCGCATTGAGTGTCCGCACCAATCAAAAGTCTACACTGCCACTGCTGGCTGGTATATAAATACGGTGCCGTTACACGCGGAAAGTATCATTTTACATTGAATTGTCATTGCGTTCAGACGTATTATCTCAAAAAAAAAATTAATAACGCTGACTCCTAAAGGAAATGTGGTAAAGCTGCAAAGAAAGCCGGCAAGGAAAAAAAAACATCACCAAGACTGACAAGAAGAGGAAGGAGAGCTATGTCATCTATACATCTACAAAGTGTTGAAGCAATTGAACCCCGACACTGGAGTCTACTGCAAGGCCATGGAACAATGTGATCAACTTCGTGAACGACATCTTACCGCTTTGCCCAGTACAGCAAGAGGTCCACCTCCCGGTAGATTCAAACTGCCGTCAGGCTTCTCCTTCTTTGTGAACTCGCCAAGCACGTCGTCTGTGAGAAGGCACCAATACTTGTCACCATCTCCAATGAAATATTGATCTCCTTTCTCAAAAACAATCGGCCCTTTTCAGGGCCACAAATTTTTTTACGAAAGAATTAGTTATAGTTCTAAATTATTATTATTAATTAATTTAATTGAATAGAATTAAATATGATATTTAAAAAGAAAAATTCTAAATTTTTCATAAATAATAAAATTTTAATAGAAATTCAATTTATTTAGAATAGCATTTTCAATAAAAATTTTTTTTTCCTGTTGTTAACATTTCGAACATTAAGCATCATATTAACATTTTATACTTTAAAAAATTTAATTTATAGTTTTAACTGAAATGTTGTCTTATTTGACTCAGACTGGTTATATTTCTATCAGTAATTGAAATGTCCGTAAATTTCGTATTTTTAAATACTTTCACTTATTCGAACCCTGTTGAAAGGAATATTTTTGTTTATTTTCGTTTTTGTCTTTTTATTTTCAGATTTATTTGTCAATATTGATAAAAATATTCTTTTTTTTGTTCGTTTTGTTTATTTGTTTGTCTGTTTACTTTTTAAATTTTATTCTTTTTGAAGAGAAAAGTAAATTCTAACACGATTAACAATTTTCAAGCATTTTTTTTTTTGGTTGAAGATTGAAAGTTGTAATCCTCATTTTTATATAATTTACTAATTTTTTGACATGCTCCTTAAACGCATTCAGTTTTGTCAAACTGATTTGGATGAGACGGCGTTGGAAAATAGTGAGTTGACGAAATTACGAGTCGCTTATAATATCATCAACTTGAAATATTGCTAATCGCACGATTAAACTATATGAAGAAAACTAAAGAGCAATATAATTAGGCGATTCAGTCCTCAAATTCCGAAGGAGAAAAATCTTCCTTAAGAAACGATTTACTTAAAGAACGGTAATATAATAACTTACATAATTATAATTTATTAAAATAAAAAATATGTAAAAATTTAATTATTTACATCTAATTATCATTTTCTACAATTTTTTCAGAAACAACTTAATCAGAACTTGCAAAACATTGAAGAACGTAATTACTGATTTGATAAATTACTTTGCAATTTGCGAGGACGAAGTGAATAATTCATTTATCAGTGAAGTGAAGTCCTCGAGAGAAGAACACCTCAGAAATTAAATTCACAATGTGACGATAATTCACCGTCAAGTAATGAGAAACAAAAAATAAAGGAAATTATTTCGGAAACAATTGAAAAGGATATTGATATTGCAAAAAATTTCCGACGCGAACTAAATGAATGTTTAACACGTTTAAAAACTGAGATTGCACAAATTCTCGGCATTTCATTTAGTCACGATGAATTGAATGTTGATCAGATTTCGAAAAAATTGTTGAGGATGACTCGGAATAATGAGGAATTAAATAGTAAACTTTCGTTCTTTTATTATTCTTCTTTTTTGGGATTTTTGCACAATATTGAATTTTTAAAAATATTATTTATTTGAGTGAAAGAAAAAAAGAAAGAATCTCATAATCAAAAGAAATTCATTGGCTACGAAGAAGATTATTTAAAAAAAAAAAAAATTGATTGGCCTTATGTTGTCTTGCCAGCAGGTGTCATTAGAACCCAATCCTCCCTCATACATTCACAGGGTTTGCTGTCGAAACGATAGATAATGTTTTATTAGAAGACTGTTGTAATATCCCAAACCGTTGAATGATAAATCGCAGCAAATTTGCGTTGGTTCGTGAACAAATTTAATTATTGGTACTCGAGCTTTCGAAACGGGAACAATATTGTAAAATAATTCATTTTTCAACAAGATGTTCGTCACTTCCAAGAATATTTCATCCAACATTTCCTTATTATCCTTGATGCTAATTATTGATTCACCTGAAATATTTTGTTAAGAGTTAAAATATTTCAAATCTTAAAAGAGAAAATGGTTATTTTTTTCATACCTATGTTCAAATATATGTCCAAATCGCAGTTTTGAAAACTAATTCCAGTTACCGTTGAACCAAATCTATGCGCCGCAGACAATGGATAAGATTGACGAAACAATTGATTCAACTTCTGACAAATTGGTTCATTAAAAAGCTGCAATTTCAACTTCATTTAACGCAGTTACACTCAAGAATGATTTCAATTGCTCGTCGAAAGTATTGTTTCCTTTGAAAATTGGTTTCAAAATTTTCAGATAATATTCATCTCTTATCTCCTCATTTTCATCTTCTGATGATGTATCATTCTCTTCACTGAAAAAAAAACAAATTATTGCAGTGACGAACATTTTTGTTTTATCATTTATCCGTAGGAATTAAAATTTTTCAAAATATTCAAATTCAAATCTTTTAGAAATTCAATAATTTATAAGAATATTTTTTATATTGTTTTAAATTTGTTGATAAAATTTTTTATTAGAAAAATTTTACGATAATTGAAATGATAATTAATATTGTGAATTGATAATTGAAATTAAAATTGTATAATATAAAATAATTGAATCCATGTAAAAAAATTTGTTTAAAAAAATAATTGAATTATTGAGAAGAAATTTATAAATAATTGCAAATATAATTGAATTACAGTGAAATTTTAATTATATTTATGAAAATAATTTAATGTTTGCATTAAATTTTATTAAGATTTTTTTTTTTTTAAATAATTTAATTTTTTTTTTGGAAAATTTTATTAAAATATTAGATTTATTGAAAATCATTTGAATTGAGGAAAATTTTTGAAAATAATTGAATTTCGGAGAAGAAATTGTAGTATTTTTAAAAGTAAAAAAATTAAATTTTGTCGAGAACTTTTTTAAAATTTTTAAATATATAATATAATTTTTGCGAAGAAATTTATTACTTTTGAAAATAATTGAATTTCTGCAAAACATTTTAAAGATGATGTATATTTATGAAAATTGTAAACGCAATTCTTGTAAAATTGGATTAATTCGTAAAAATTAAATTATAATTAATACTAAAAAATACATTTAAAAAATGAATTATGCAGAGGAATACAAATTTAATAAATTACAACTATTTATAAAAAAAAATTATAAAAAAGAAAAAATATTCCAAGTTGATAAAATTAAATTGAAAAAGTAAAATAATTTTGCTGATACGAAAAGACTTTAAATATTTGAAAGAGAGAAAATAGAAGAAAATAGAAGAAAATCTCACCTGGAAGGTGCTTCCTCTGAATTTTTGTGAAATACAATAAAACATTTTAAATGAATATTCAATTGTCGAAAGCGTCGATAAATAATATGTAAAATCGTTATAAAAAGAAACATCATATTATGATATAAAATTCGAAAAATCGAATTAATTGCCCACAATGTCAATTGATTGAAACTAGAAAGTGAATTTATGTAAATTTCAATATTCCATAGAAAAAAATAGAAAATACTTATAAATAAAGTATTCAATGTAATTAATCTGACAATCAAATAATTATCACTCTTAATTCCCAAATTACATGCAATTTCACAAGTTCTCTCAAAATCATGAATAATATTTTTTAATTTTTTTTGACGAAATCCAAAATTTATCCACGTTACAATAATTCCTGTATATTGTAGAATTTGCAGTAATTTATCCCAAAATGCAGAGACAATACTTTCGATTGAAAAAATTACTTTAAATCGATATGAAATATTTGTATAAAAACTTATTGACAATAATGTAATGAGAGAAGTTGTATAAAAAATTCCAAATTTGGAAGTGTGGAATTTTTCGATTTTATTTCCTGTCAATGAAAGAGGACATAGACCAATAATTTTTCCGTAATAAAAAATAAAATGCACTTTTAATGGATATTTTTCTCTTGAACATGTCGACATTGTTAAAGTACTTATTTTAATGACTTGAAGTAAATTGCAGAAGGGAAAATACAGTAATTTATATTCATTAATCGATGAAATATATTTGTTTAATAAAATTTTTTGTTCAATTAAATTAATTTTAATTATTAAATATTTACGTTTTGTAAACATCGTTTTTTTAATGAATATATACAGAAATTATCGAAAGTCATCAAGTTGCAATAAAATAATAAGATAGGTTGTAATCATTCCGCAAGTCTGAAAATATTCAAAAATTTATGATTAATTTTGCATTTTGCAGTATTTTAATTTTATAATTTAATAATTTTCTTCCGCTGTGATTTACCTGATAAAAAAATCCATTGTCCATTGATAGAAATCCACATAGAGAAACTTTAGCTCTTCTCTGAATTACCATTAGAGAAACTTTTTTGAACTGAAAAAAAAATTCTTTATTAAAATCTAGAAGGAAATTAACTTTTTTAATTATTTTGGCTGTAAATTTACTTGCAAACGTACAATTTTTTTACAATTAACTGGGTTATAAGTTATCCACATTCTATGAAGACAATTACCAAAATTATTCGCCTAGAGAATCAAAACAAACAAAAATTTGTAATTATTAGAAAAAAATAGATTTAAACCAAAAATTTCTAATTATTAGAAGAAAATAAAATTTGATATTAATAATTTGTGTCTTACCGTTTCGCACAAATTGGCCGAAACAGAAGATATTACTAAAAATTCGAAATTAATGATGAAAATCCACATTAAGAGGTAAAAAATTATATTCAGGAGCATAGCGTTAAATTCTTCAAGTTTTTGAAATATGAGATATAAGACATTTATTGCTGCAACAATATGGAGAAAATTTGTCGCCATTGTCAATAACATTGGCAGGAAAAAAAATTCCGTTATATTATCCAAAAGATCAAGTAATTCGTTGTGTAATATTCCGTATTTTTCCATCGTCAATGAAATTTGATAATTTAGAACTCTAAAAACAAGTGAAAAAAATTTATTTTTATTATTTGAAAATTTGGAAAAAAATTGTAAATATATTGATATTTTCTTTGGGAGAAAAAATAAATGAAAATTATTTTACCTGTAAAGTGGTTTACGTGAAATTTTCGATAACTTAAAAAATTTAACATGAATATTCAATTGTCGAAAACGTCGATAAATAATATGTAGAGCCGACACAAAGAGAAAGAACATATTATGATAAATAATACGAAAAAAAGAATTTATTCCAGAATAAAATTTCTCCCTATCCGAGGGAAACATTATATTTAAATGTAATTGTAGGGAAAAAAGGGAAAAATAAAGAAAATTAATAATTAATGTATAATTAGTAATTATTCGGCATATTTCAGTATTATCGTTTCGTATTCCTAAATTTTCAGCAATTTCACTAGTTCTATGAAAATGTTTCACTATTTTCTTAATTTTTTTCTGACGAAAACCAAAATTGATCCAAGTTACGATAATCACGATATATTGAAGAATTTGCAAAATTCGATCCCAAACTGCTGAGACAGAATTTTCAATTCCATAAATCATATTCAATCGGATGATGATATTTTTATAGAAAAAAAAAGAATACACGGTGCAAAGTAGAATTGTATATAAAACGCTTGTGTTTGAAATGTAATATGTTTTTTCGTTAAAATTCAGAGGACACAGTCCGAAGATTTTTTCAAAATAATAAAGAAAATAGAATTTTAGGGATAGACTTTTTCTTTTTGAACTTGTCGACATTGTTAGAATATGTATTATAGAACAGAAGTTATTGTGGAAAAATAAATTTATATTCAAAATCGATTAATGCACAAATAATTATTTTAGACTTATCTTGAAAAATTTGTCTTAATGGATTTCTAATTTCATTGTTTCTAATACCATTTCAATAAAACGTTAAATATTTTACTCAATTCTAAATAAATTAATGGATTGATTGATAATTATTAATCATATATAATAGAAAATAAATCAATTAAATTTGAATGTCTGAAAAGAGAGCAAAAGTGTTTTTTCTATTTAAAAGCCGTAAACACGCTTTTCGCTTTCGCTGTTAACAAAAATTTTCTCCATGTTACCAAATTGTATGAAAATAACTAAATAAGTAGTTATAGCTCCAGCAATCTAAAAAAAATTATTATTATTATTTTATTAATAATTAATATTTATAATCTACATTTAAATGTTTTTAATTACCGATTGCAATAGACCAGAGTCCAATGTAAATAAACCTCCAACAGAAAATGTTAATTTTTGGTGTAACAATTGTGTCGAAAAGGACTGAATCTGAAATTAATTTTATTAATTAGTAAATTAGAATAAACTATAAAAATCCAAAAATGTTCTAAACATTTAAATGAACGGAATTTATTCTTCAAATTAACGTTTCATTACAATAATTTTGCTATCAAAAAACTTTCAAAAGAAAAATATCAAAAAAGTTGATTATAAAGTTTCTAAACGTAAAATTCAACTCTCTAATTTTTATTTCAATGAATTTGTTAAAACTTATTTATGAAAATGTTTGTAATAAAAAATATTTCATTTATTTGAACGTTCAAAATATCACAAAATAAATAAATTAAGAATAGGTACCTAGGTAATATAAAAATATAAAGCAAAGAAAAAATAATTGCAGCAAATAATTTTTGTCAATATTCGTAGAGATAAAAAAATTTATATTCCTTTTAGGTTTTCAAATAATTTTCTCACCATCTCGAAAAATGCTGGATTCAACTGATTTATCTTGATTTCGTGAATGAGTTTTTCTGGAAATGTGGCCTAAAATATTGAAATAAAAAATAAATTCAATTTAATTCAATGAAATTTTATTTTATTTTATTTTATTTAAAGAAAATAACTGTTTCTCACCTTTTTCTTGGTCCAATTACAAATAAAAACAATAATAACGATTTGAGCACCGGTGATTAAAATTCCAAACATATTATTTCCAATGGTCACAAAATTTTTTTGATGTTGAATGTCGAGAATTAATCTATACAACATTAGTGTGACGAAAATAAATGTTTGTATTCCGCAAATAATCTGCAAAATTAGACAAATAATTTTAATTTCATTGTTTTGAGTCATTTAATATTTAGTAAAAAATTCCACTCACCAAGCTTGGTATAAAAATATTAATGATTTGTTTTCCAATTTTACATAATTGACAATGTGTGTTTGCTATAATACGAAGCACTTTTATATTCTCTAAACTCTGAGGGAAAAATAAAAAAAATTTACATTTTTGCTTTTTGTAATTACTATTCTCTAAAGTTGATTTTTTCCTTCATTTATTTATTATTTTATTATTTAAATTTAAATTATTACCTGAGGATGAGTCGATTTTACAATTAGATTCAATTTTTGATTGAGAACTTTGAATCTCATTCCAAGAATCCAAATAAGGCAGAAAAATAAAGATAAATTGGATTTGTAAATTAACGATGGTAACCACCAATTTGACCAATCAATTAATGTGCTTATACTGTTTTTTCGTTGTTATTTTTGTATTCACCAAATGAAAACAAAAATGAAACCAAAATTTAATATCGATTTATTTTTGTTGTAACTATTGCTTCTTTTTTTATCAATTTCCAAAATTACCTGATTCCGTAATAAATTTCCTGAAAGCTCAACAGTAAATTCGCAATGCTGACTAAACGAACAAAAACTTTTATTTCCCTCATATTCGCCTTGTAATTAATTCGACTTCCAATTTCGATCACAATTTTATCTTGCCTTGCAAAAGATGCAATAATTTTTCTAAACTGGAATATCAATTATTATTTTATGGAAGAAAATTCTTTTGTTATTAGTTTGATTTTTATTATTACCTTATTAGCTGATATTAATTTCCAAACAGTCATGTCGAGTAAAACGATAAAATTGAAAGTCTCCTTTATATGAATCAATAATTTTGCATCGAATTCCAATTTTCTTGCACTGTCAAAAAAAAAAAAAAAACAGAAAGAATGAAAATTAATATCAAATTGTAGAAAATTTTCCAATTCAATAAATAAACAAATAAAAAATATATTGTTACATATTAGTGAGACTATTGTCGAAGAAAATTAAATCAATAGACGATGTGGCGACGAGAAGTGATAAAAAAATATTATAAGCAATAAGTGATTTTTTAATAATGTATCTTCTATTTCCCATTTCTCCTCTCATTGCAAAAATAATCACTCCAAGAGTTTTCCAATTCCATGAAACCGAGTCCAATACCGAATAAATGTCCTCGTCATTTTTCAACTTTTCTTTATCTTTGAAAAATAAAATAAAGCATAATATTAAAAATATTGTGTAAAATTTGGAAAATTTCGCAATAGCAAAATATAAAGAAGCGAGAGGTAATTAGGAATTACAAAATTACGTACCTGATACTTTTTGTTTAATTTCATTCATTTTTTTACTTAATTTTGTATGTAAAACTCTCCAAAGTTTTCATTGTAATAATTCCTTTTTTTATATTAAAAGTCTTTCGAGTCTTCTGTTAACACTTCTTTTTTATAACAAATATTTTCAATTTATTTAATGTGACACATTTCTTTTTTCTTACTATTTTTCTTAATTAACTAAATGAATTGAAAGCAATTAAGATAAAACATTTCGGTCTCATATTTCTCACGTGTCAATTATTGTTTATAAATAAAATAAAAATTTGCTGTCATTCTACACATTAGAATTAATAATTGTAATTCGTATTTATCTAAATGAAAAATAATCCTTTTGAAGAAAAAAATATTAATCACCCATTTGTAACATTATTATAAGATATGTTGTTACAGCTCCACAAATCTGAAAAATAGATAATATAATAATTAATATTTTATATTAATAACAAATATTGAAAATTAAAAATATTAAGTTAATAATAGTTTTAATTTTAAAAATATAATACAATTAATAAAAAAAGAAAACCTTACACCGTACAGACAGGAATATCAATAGTCACGAGTCCAAATAAAGAAACGATAAATTTTTCCTGCAATAATTGCAGAGAAATTTTTATAATCTGCAATTAGAAAATTTTTATTTCAACACTTTTTCCAGAAAAAAAATGTTTAATTTTTGATAAGAAATTTTTTCACAGATCCTTACAGATTTTTTGCAATTTTCTGGTTTGTGATGAATCCATAATTTGAAAAACGCATTTCCAGTATTATTTGCCTATAAATAAGATAATAATAATATAATAATAATAATATAATAATAATAATATATATATAATAATAATAATAATAATAATAATATATATATATATATATATATATATAATAATATAATATAATTTGATAATAAGGCCTCGTAAAATTTATTACAACAAAATAAAATGAAAACGGATGTAAAATTTATCAAAGAAATACCTATTATTGTATTGAAAGTAGGTATTTCAATTCTCATATCAAATTAAAAAAAAATAATTTAATTCTTTTGAGAAATTTTATTGAAAATAATTGAAAGAATTTTATTAAAGTTTTTTGAAAACAATAAATAATTCTAATTAATTAGTAAATTAGTTAATAATTGAATTTTTATAATTTTGTATTCGAAACTATTCCAAAATTGAAATTAATATATTTAAAAATAAAGTTTTTTTAATTTGCATATTATCATAAAATTAATTGAATAAAAAAGTATTTTTCAAATATTAAAAAAATTAACAGAAAAATGTAAATTAAAGTACAAATACCTCGTCACAAATAGTTCCAGAAGCAATAAATGTGAAGAAAAATTCCAAAAAAATTAAGCTTGCCCATAAGGAACTGTTTATAGTCACTATTAAATCAGTTTTCTCGTAAAATTTTATATTCGTTACGTATAAAATCAAAAAATATAAATTCAATACAATTTGCAGGAAAGATAATATTATAGTGAATATCATTATAGGTGCGAAAAAGCTTGTCATCAATTCACTAAGTCCTTGCAATTCGTCATATAATTCACTCAAATAATCGAGAATCACTGGCATTGATTTGGATAAATTTGGCGAAATTTCCGCAAAGTCGGATCTAGAAGTAGAAGTCAAAAAAAGATTTTCAGTATTTTAAATAGTAAATATTGTATTTTAAATAAAATTATGATTACTCAAAATTTATTTTAATTTACAAAAATTTTTTCTTTACCTCCTGTGAAAATGATTTCCCTGCAAAATTATTGGTAAATTTCCAGTGTGTATATTTAATTTGTGAAATCGTCCTTTCAGTATATCCAAAGCACATATGAATAATGCGAATAAATTATGAATAATAATGTGAGGGAAATCACAAGGCACCCAAATTATCCACTGAAATTTTGGCGAATAGGAATAAACAAATATTTCAAAAAATAATAATCCTCCAAAAATGATGTTAACAAAAATAATACGTATACAACGTTCTTCCTCTTCTCAGTCTTGATGCCCAATTTTCTTTCAATCTTTTCAATTTTTTCAAAATTCTTGAAAATTCTCAATATCTTTTCTTGACGAAAGGCAAAAATTAGCCATGCTATAATTAGCACAATATATTGCAGACTAATTATTAAAGTTGCAATAATTGCTGCTAAAATCGTTTCCATGGGCAAAAGAGTTGTAATTCGAGTGATCATTGCACGAACGTAAACACAGAGAATTATTGAATAGACAATGCCGAAAATTGAATATCTAAAAATACCGTTTTCGTCCAATGAAAGTGGACATAAACCTATGAATTTTTCGTAGAAATAGACTAAATTTTCCAATTTTCCTTTCGTTATGCAATTTTTCACCATTCTTGTATTAATAAATTCCAACTTATGAGTTGAAATGTTCTTTTAAAAGTGAATTATTAACCGATTCCTCTCTATCTATTTTAAGAGTTGGAAAAACAAATATAAATATGTGCTTTTAGTTTAATTAGAATATTATTGATCGCAACAATGTAAAAATTATATTCGAAGAGTAAACAATTAATTTTATATCCGTAAATGAACTAAAACGAAAATAATTTTATTTGGATTTCAAAATTTTAAATTCGAAAATAAAAAATACTTCCTTTATGAGGAAGCAAAACTAATTTTAATTGCGTTTAAAAATTTTTAATTCGAAAATAAATACTTCCTTCATGAGGAAGCAACATTTTTTTTAGCAAAAATAATTTTAATTGCATTTAAAAATTTCTAATTCGAAAATAAAACATATTTCCTTTAGGAGGAAGCAAAAATTACATAAAATGAATAAATGAACAAAATAAAAAAAGTTAACTAAACATTTCAAAAAATGCACTTGATTTATTTTGAAAAATAGAAATATTTTTCTTAGACATAAAAATACCACTCTCCCACACTGACATTAACAAAACATTCGTAGCAAACAAAAAAAGAACATTCCTTATAAAATTACACAAATTCGAATTATCAAATTCGATTAACAATATTCAATTTCACTATCAAAGAATACTCATCACGCTTAACTTAAATTATTCATTAATATCTACTTTAAATAATATTTAAAACTAAAAACGATAATTTACAAACGTCATAAAATTAATTTTATCGAAATTCTTTTCAAATTAATCGCATTCTGTGAGTAATTGAAAAAAATGTAGATTATTTTAATGTTGCGATGAAAAAATCAACAAATTCTGCAAAATATCACAATTCTTTTACATATTTACACATTTTTAAAACGATTTTAAAAAATTTCCAATAAGAAAAATTGACAATATTTAAATTGTTCGGTCATTAATAATTTTTCTTTAATTTGATATTCTATTTTTTCTGGATTGAAACTTTTTTTCCTTTTATTTAATACTTTAGTGTCTTAATTTTATTATTCATAAATTCTTTAAATTAAAATAAATAATAAATAATTGTATTAGAAAATTTATGTTAAAAATACATTAATAAATTTTTAAATATGTTTTAATCTTCTTGAAAGTGAATATTTTTTGTAATGAATTTGACCTAAATGGGAATTTATTTTTTAAATAATAAATTAAATTAATCGAATAACCGTTAGCTCTTTACTAATATTAATAATTGAGAACATTTTTATTCAATTTTCGATGAAGATTAAAATTAAACGAAATTTTTTGCCAACAAAATATTGAAAATTTCTCCCTTGGAAAAGGGAAAACATCTGAAATTATTTTTTTAATATTTGACGTAATATTATTAAAAATTAAATTTAAAGGAGAAATAAATTTCGTTCATTTGAGCATTCAAAAACTTTTAGGGACATAATTCTGGAGAGAATATTAAATTCTCTCTTCATTGTACAAATTCTTATAAAATCTTATTTTCTCTCAAAGTTTGAGAGAAATTTACTTACATTTTAATAAGGCGCAGTTATAATTTTTTTTTCTTATCAAATTGTTTTCTTATCGCATACTTAATATATAATATTAAATACTGTTTTAGCGGAGACCTATTTTTAAAAATTGACTAAAATTTTTCTAAAAGTGTTTTAATACTTACGAGAAAGACGCTAAAAACCAAAAGAATTGCATTCGAGGGTATTCGAAATCCAGATGAATTTGTCGTCTCATAATAATACCTGTTGTAAGCTTGATCACAATGCGATGGCCAATCTTTGAAACATGCTGCGTAGGCCACCGCGTGTGCAATGTAATTCTGCTCGAATGTTCCCCGAAATAGATGAGAATAGGGTCCTTTAAATTTATTTCAAAAAAATTAGTAATTAACGAAAAACTTGACATTAAAATTTTATTTTAATTTAATTCATTTTTAAAAAATTTTTTATTTTTATTTCAATTTTATATTCCTAATTAATTTTCATTTTTGTCAAATTTAGGAAATAAAAAGGAAAATTATCTTGAAAAAAATAGTGAATGAGAAGGAAAATTACCAATAGCATAAAGTGCAACGTCCTCTCCACCGTGTGTTTCGTCTTTTAAATATTTTCCGGCAAAATGTCGATAATATGGATCCTTTCTTGTAGTGTCGTCCTCAACACGTCGCCACGTTTCATTGACTCGACTGTCATTTATTCGATGATAAAGGAATCCCGGTCCATTAGCATAACTGAGTGTTTCATATGGATCAATTTCCTCGGTTTGATTGGCAAAACCAAGAATATCGGTTCCTCGTTTCGGATAGCCATTCAAAGTGAATGCATGTGAATGATCGGCAGTTACAATTAGTAACGTTTCTTTCATCTTCAACTCTCTAAATGCCACCTGAATCGCATCCTCGAAATCCGATAATTCGATTAATGCCATTTTCGCATAATTCGCGTGATGTGCTATGTCTATTTTACCACCTTCCACCTGCAAACAGAAATTTTATTTTTATTACTAATCTTACTTTATTTTTATCTCTAATTTAATTATATTTTTGTTTCTAATTTAATTTCAGTTTTATTTCTAATTTGATTTTTATTTTATCTCCCTAGGCGGAAAAAAGAATTATTAAAATTATTCGAAAAATTATAATATTGTGATAATAGAATCTCACAAGAAGGAAGAATCCATTTTTATTTTTCTTCAAGAGTCGAATGGCTTGCAGAGTCATATTAGCCAATGATGGAGTTTCCTTCGATTTAACGGCACTGTATTCAACGTGACTGCTTCCGAAAATTCCCATAATTTTCGAAGTGTTTGCAATATCGATGGCCATTAAATCATTGAGATTCTTAACAATTTTACTTTGGGGATTATTTTTTTGCCAAATTTCTGCTAAATTCAGACCATCGTCTCTTGTGCACAGATCGATCACTTCTTTTTTGTCAGGAATACCCAAACATTGTCCTCCTCCTCCCATGATTACCTATTAAAAAAACACAATTAACATAAAAATTTAGAAGGAAATTTCGCTTCTCTCGTTTTATTAATTTTTATGACTAAATTAAAATTAAATTAATTCCTTTGTTACTGTTTAATCTATTATTAATATAATTAATATTTATTTGAATACCTTTAATCTAAATTAATAAATATGTATTTTATATTTATTACTAAATAATAAATAAAGTTTAGTTTTTAAAAAATTCTGTTATACATTTTTTACATATTTAATAAGTTTATATATGTACCTAGAGTTTAAAAAAATACGTTTTCAAGTACAATGGAAAATTCATGTTATAGAAAATTAATAGACTTTTTTTTAATTAAGTCCCTGATCTTTTTTTCTCGTTATTAATTAACAATGCAAATTAGCGTAATAATTAGCGTACATTAGACACATGCTTTAAAAAGAATGCTATAACAACAAGCATTTTCAATTCAACTTAAAATATTGCAGTAAAGTTAAAAAATGACAATTAATAATCTCACAGTCAGTAATTAAATTAATTAACAATAAATAATTTTTATTTTTATTTTGTATAATTTTTATTTTTTGTAAAATTAGTTATAATTCACAGTTAATGATTCCAAATAGAAAAAAGGGGGAATTACAGTCGTAAAAACAAGTTTATTATTAAAAAGACAGGATCTTTATCAACTTGTCAAGAAAATTTTATCTTTATCTCAAAAAGAACTTTCGAATAAATGAGGAAAAAATAAGAAACAAGAAGAAAATTGAAAGTTCACAATAAAATTTGCATTGAATTAAAAAATAAATGTATTGGCTAATAAATATTGAAGTCAATAAATGAACAATAAATTAGAATAGTTGAAAGGAGGAAAATAAGTTAATTCTAATAAATTTCAATTCAATATTAAATAATAATAGTTGACATAGATATTATTTAAAAATTAATGGAAAAAATTGTTATGCAATAATTGGGAGAAGAAAATTTATCTAATTACTATTTATCTAATTATTATTTTAATTATTATGTATTATTATATTAATTATTATAATAATCTATATTAATAACCGTTGTATTTCGGTAATCTGTTCGAAGTTTAGTTCTGAAGTTAGTTGTTGTTTCCTTTTTTGTTTCCTAACTTTTTTAATAATTTTTCTATTTAAATATTTTTAATTTTTAAATTAATGTATTGAAAATCAATACCACTGAATTGTTGCAAAGAATTTTATCAAAAAATTTGATAATAGAATTCCTTCGAAGAATTTTTTTATTTAGAAAAATAATTGAATTTTCGTTAAGAATTATGTTAAAATTTTTGATAATTCTAATTAAATTCTTTGAATTTTTTTTAAATAGGTAATGGAGTTTCTTTAAAAGTTTTAAGAATAATTGAATTTTATGAACAATTTCTTTCAAGTTTTTAAAATAATCGTGTTTGTTAATTATTGAAATTAAACATTTAATTTTGAATTTTATTAAAATTTTAGAAAATAATTGAATTTTTTCGAAGAATTTATAAAAGTTTTAGAAAATAATTAAATTATTTTGAAATATTTTATTATTGAGTTAAGAAAATAATATTGAATTATTAGAATAAATGCACAATTAAAAAAATTATCATCATTTACTTGTCAATTATTTATTAATTTAATTCCTACTGATATTTTATTGATTTTTTTTTTAATTTTGAAAAATACCTTTTTTCACGAAGAAATGCATACTGAAAAATTTCTTTTACCTTGAAATTTTTTCCTGGTGCATCTTCCACTAATTGTCTGGCGATATCTTTCACGCATGTTCTGTATTCTCTCGGAATTTCAGTTTCGCATTCCCAATCGCGATTATTTACGTGCGAATATAAAGCACCTGGAGTTGCATGAGTGACACGTGTGGTCGTCACAAAACCTGAAAAGAAAAAAATTTTTGTTATCAATTTTCAAATTTGAAAATCAGAAAAAGAAATACAAAATTTCCTTTTCTTTTAATTTTTAACATTAAATGTACATTAAAAAAAATTGGTCCTTTTTTTCTTTTTTCCTTTCCTTTTTTTTTACAAGTATTTAAATTTTCGTAAATTTATTTATTGCAATAGAGATAATATTTACAGGTTCAGTGAAATAGTGATAGTTTTATAGGAAAAAGAACGAAGGGTTCGGTGCTGCGACTAAAAAAGAAGGTCGTCTCGTGGTCTCTGGGTGATTAAATATATTTTCACGTGTAACCTTACCAAGGCCCTGCATGTACTGATTCCTAATTGATTGCACCGTATCATTGGTCAGCGATACATAATAATTTTCCTACTTCTAAACTTTCAATTTTCACTCGTTGCAATTTTTTTCTCAATTCAATCGTAAACTATTACAAATTATGAAAAAAAAAAAATTATTGCATAATTCCTTTTTTCATTTATTTAAAATAATTCTCTACTCGCTCTTTTTCTAAATATGTATATGTAATAAAATAAAATTTTGTCCTCGATTCATTGAGGTCAAGATGTATTCTACGCATTCTGATTTTATTTTAGAATTTTTCAGTACTTATTAATATGTACTCAAATCATTAGTTTTATTACTATTCTCCTTAATATTATTATTGTTCTTTTTTTTCTTATTATTATTATTATTATTATTATTATTATTATTATTATTTTTATTTTATGTTTATTTTTATTTCTTTTTTCTTTTTAAGTTTCTACAACAAAATTCCTGACTGTTACAAAAATTTTCAAAATTCTAATTTTCATTTCTTTTGAAGACACTATCACTTTTGGAAATTTAAAAATAAACATTTTTATCTGTATTTAAAAAAAAATGTTTTTGACTCATTGAAATAACATTAAAAATATTGCAAAGTCTGTTTGTATTTTTAAAAAGAAACTTATTTCCTGTTTGTAATTCATTGGACTTGAGAGTAATAATTGAACACGTGGATCCTCATTAGAGATTGAATAATAGATTAAAATCTTTTTGTCCAAATCTTCTCACAATAATTTAATATAAAGAATTAAGTATTCTAATGTTGTTGGTGCTATTTGTAATTTCAAAAACTATATTTAGTCCCTACGTATAGTTATAATTGGATTATTTTTTTTACATTGTTAGATTAAAAGTGTTTGACGTCAGTTATTTTAGTCGCACAAGACTAAATTTTTTTTTTCAAAGAAAAGATTGATTATTAAATTCGAGTCTTTATCGGAAATAAAAAATTTGTTTACTTTATCTTTATAATATGTGAACAATGACGACTTTCTTTGCGGGAAAAAATTAATTTTATAAAATGATTAAACTAAATTATTATTATTAACTATAATAATTTAATAATATTGTTTTTATTTTTCAAACAATTCAAAAAAATCTTTATTAATCTAAAAAAATTATTAATGTCATTATTCAATATTTTATTTTTCATTGAAGATAAAAATTATAAACACTCATGAAGCAAAATCGAAATTCAGAAAATTAATGAAAACTTGGAATATTGTTAAAAAGTTGTTGTAATCTATTTTTCAAACTGAGTTCTTTGTGTTTAAAGAAAAATGAAGAAAAAATCGTTTTTCATTTAATTTTCTGAATAATAATAATAATAATAATAATAATAATAATAATAATAATAATAATAATAATAATAATAATAATAATAATAAAACTAATTATAATAATAATTTAGTAATAAGTTTCTTGAAATATTACAATGTCAGTAAAGATGGATCATATGTAAATTAGTGACACTTAAAATTGAAATGTATGCTTAGTGGATGTAGAGGAATAAATGGAATTATGCAACTTGCAGTTAAACCGTCATTATGTCTTCCAGAGTAAATCGAAGTTCAAGTTCATGTTCAACAAACTATGTTGTTCCCCCTAAGTAAAGTTTATTCAGTTTATTCCCTTTGAATTAATATTATCTTCTAAAATCGATTAAACAAAATAAAAAAAAAATATCTTCAACTTTTTATTAATCAATCTTTTTTCTAAAAATAGACAATGTTTTCCTTATTAATTCAGTGATTGATTAAGTTAATAATTGTTAATTAATAATTAAGAGATTAATTTTATCACACTCATCGATGGAAATTTAACTCAATTTTAAATTTTTGGAGCAGAAACAAAAAAAAAAGAGAAAGAAAAAGAAAAATCTCACCAGTGTCCATTCCGGATTCTTGGGCCCAATCGGCAATTGTTGACAATTTTGCCGCTTCGTTGATATTTTTATCACACTTATTAACTTGTGCCTTTGCGTCTAGACCAAGAATTTTATATCTGCTCTTAACCCCGGAAAAAATGGCCGTAGCTGTTCCCGCTGAATCAGGAACTTGTCTATCAATATTGTAGGTCTAAAAATAAATTTTTTTTTTGATAATTTTTTTATTCTAATTACTTTTTTTAGGAATTTTATTCTTTCACGTTCCAAACGTTTATTGTTGGTGCAATGCCTTCAAAACGAAGGGGAAAAAAATGACCTCAGTCTTTTCTTTTCTTAATGCAAAAAAAAAGTAGGTCGCTTGGGAAATTATTTGACATTGTAAATTAAACTATAAACATTGTACTTCTGGTTAATATTTAAGCATATAATTTATAACGTTATTCCTCGTATTTTTCTTTTTATTATTAAGGAAATTGAGTGTAGAAAAAAATTCCATTTCCCTTATTTTTAAGTTACGAACAATATATATATATATATTTTTATTTATTAAACAAAAAGAAAAGATACCTTGACAAGTGCTGCGTTGGGGAATTTTTCAAAATTCAGTTTATACTCCTCGCCGGAAAATCCTTTAGATTGTCCCTTGAATATTCTCCCGGCAGTTATTGTCGATATTCCCATACCATCGCCAATGAAGATAATAATATTTTTCGCCTTCTTCTCCAAATTTCGCATTGACAGTATCCTCTGAAGATTTTCTTGTCCCGATTTCAGCCAAAATGACATATCTAAAAGAAAACAATATTAATATTATCATAATATTATTATCTAAATAAAGAGATTTTCTTCAAGAAAATATAAGTCACGTTTAGATGACATTTTTTGCTCTTTTATTTTTACTTTTGTATTCCTTTTTTTCTTTTTTCGAGCAAAAACAAACAATACGAATAAGGAAAAATTTTGACTTTATCTGATAATACAATTCGAAAGATAAAAAACCAAATAAAAACAATAATTAAAACAAGTGTCCGCGAAACAAAATAATGAAAGGTAGTTATAGACGAAAATAGTATTACAATTTATCACTAAAAAGTTATTCAGTTCTTTTCACTTAAATAAATAAAAGAAGAAGAAAAAGAAAAGTCAAAAAAAGTTATTTCTTGTCATTATTGAAAATAAACAAATATAAAGAAATTATTCTAAATTACAAAGTATTCAATTTCGAAAACTATTTGCAAAATATTCAATTTTGAAAACTATTTACAAATTTAATTTCGAAAACAAATAAAAGGTGAAATAAAAAATAACACTTATTTGTTGGAAAAAAATTTTTCTGAAGCCAAACGGAAATTGTAAAAAAATAATTTATTTTTTTCAAAGTAGTTTTAAGATTTTAATTAGCGTTATGTAAAAAAAAACGTAATTATGAAACAAATACTGTCTCTTCTTTTTTTCTGATTTATCTGTACGTATCGAACAAATCTTACTTTACACACATCCCAATAATAATAATAATTATTATTATGCGGCTAGAGTCACTTTATAAAATGGAATAATTAAAAAAAACTGGTTAAATAAATAATTGAAAATGTTAATTTTACCTTCATTATCGCCGGGTGATTGCCAGGAATATTGCAAAACAATTGCAAAGCACAGGATTAGTAGTGAATTCCTCATTTTTTTTTTTGTTTCAAAAAATTAACGTTTTAACAAACGAAAATACAAAATAATTGTTATTGGAGAAAAAAAATTTTTTTTCCTCCTCTATTTATAGGGGAAATTTGATAAAAAATTAAAAATTAATTAAAATTATAATTTAGAAGAAAACGTCACTAATGTCGATTTTTTCATTTTCGAATAAAATTCCTTTGATTGCTTGTCGAAAGATTGAAAATTAATCTCACTGGAACTGTAACAAGAGAAGACAATAATTATTTATTTATATTGAGAAAAATTTAATACTAATTTAATTCACAAACTAATTCACATTAAAATTAATTATCAGAATAAACTTTAGATTCCTGAAGTTTAAATTTTAATTTATTGAATTAAAAAACCTTACCTTTAGTCTGTAAGTCCAAATCGTGAGAAGGTCCTTAGAGAAAGAAGTTTGATTTTTGAAAATTCGACGAAAAGAAATAATTTAGAAATTTCCGGAAATAATTAAAAATATGATTTTAATTAATAATTAAAATATTAAAGAAAATCCTTGATGACAGGACGAAGGCAAATAGAATTTTTTTTTTCAGTTTCAGTTCGCGAGGATCAAATTTTTTTTAGAGGGAAAAATTTTGTGATTTCTTGAAAAATTCAAAGAAGGAAGAAAAAAAACAAATCTAGGATATTATGAAAGAAGAAATGATCAAGAGGCAATTGGCGCCTCGCGAATAACGCGGTAGCACTGACACGTAGGTAGAAGACAGTTTGTCACTTTATATAGCTCGTTTGATTAGCTGGTGCACGAGGTAGAGCGTGTGCAAGAGATTGGAGTAAATTTTCTGAGGACGAGTAGAAGGGGCCTACAAGAGTCGAGGGTAATCCTGCCATAATTGTCACTTTGATTATGCTTTTCGTTCTCTTCACAAAACGTACCCTAGATTCAAGATGTGGACTCATTTCTTCTTCTTCTGCCTTTTTGCGCAAAACTCTTCTCAATTTATTACCAAAAAACGAAAAAAAAAATTTTTTTCAGAAAATTATTATGTACAGTGGACAAAATTGAAATTTTCATAAATCACTGAAAAATTTGTAATTCTATAAATCTTTAGTTTGGATTTTTTTATTTAATATTTTTAAAAATAATAATTTAAGATAATTTTGTACTATTAAAATTAGAGAGAAAATTAGAGGGACTAATAATTAGAGAGAAGAAACTAATTTTAGAAAAGAGATAAATGTAGAAAGTATAATAAAATAAAAATATCTAAAATTATTAAACAAAAGAAATAAATAAAAAATTGTTATAATTTTTAATAATAATAACAAATTTTGTTCCTGAAATTGTCTTTTAAAAAATATATTAATTAATTTAAATATTTGTTTTGGAGATTAAATTTTTTCCAATCATTTCTATATCATTAGGAAACTATTCTGAATTCTAAAAATCATACTCTAACGATATTGGGTAAATCCCCTGATTTAGCAGATTAATAATACACTCTCATCTATTAAGCTCAATTAAACATTGAAAAGTAGTTACAATTCGAGTGTAATATTGCGCAAACAATTTCAATAAAATGTAATTCAGATATTGACACATTTTTCCTCTCAAAAATTTCTCTCTTTAACCAAGAATCTTTACAGTTAAATTTGCAAATAAATTAATGTTAATTAAAAATTAAATTTTGGATCCAAATTTTTTATTAGATTCTAATTAATAATAAAAATAAATTCCACCATTTTTAAATGGAATTCATTAAAATTACACATTTTTTGAGTAATTTCAAATTTTCTGAAAATATAGAATAGATTTTAATGTTTTGTCAGCAAAAGAAAAAATAGTAGCAGGACTTTTGGAAAAATCCCCAAGAATTTCCTTGTTTTGTGGAAAAAAAAGAGAAAAAAGATGTCAATTGAAAATTGACATCAATTCAAAGTAAAAAAATTAATTTCGTTATTTAGAATCTAAGAGTTGAATTTGCGTCAAAAGAGCATGAAATGCATATAATTGTTGATACTTAATTAAAAAACGTGCCATCGAATCACATTCAATTTCTTGAATGACAGCGAGAAATTTCTTTAGAAAAATTTTTCTTCTTTTTCGTTGCAATTTTTCTTTGGTTATCAATATATTTGAATGTAATGTGGCGCGTGCTTTCAAAAGAAATAGCATTCATCTCGTGCTTTGTTCACGTGATATTTGAAACACGTTCAAACGTTAATACGTCTCTGTGATCATATTGTGATAAAAATCATTTTAAGCACGTGTGAGATAGTACACAACACAACAAATAATAAAATTCACAAAGCGTTCAACTGATAGTTCTTTCCGCTTTTTCTTTTTTTTTTTTTTTTTTGAAACACACTTTTGTCAATTTCATTTCCTGCCTCAAATGGAAAAAGAAGGCCATCTTTATCTTTAAAATATTAAGTCAAGTTTTTTTTTGACACACATTTTTCCAAAGTTCTAATCGTGCAAAAAAAGTTAATTTTAATGACTTGCAAATCTAAATATTAAAAACCAAAAAATAAATTCTGAAATGAAAAATTAGATCTTAGAAAATTATTCTATTCTGGTCATCATTTATTTTATTGCATGCACATTATATGAGGATACTAAAAGAATAAAAGTGAATATCCTTAAACACACGACAAATGTTTAAAGAATATTTCACTTTATGTCATGAATATTAAAGGAAAGTGATAATTATAAAAAATTATTATCTTTAATTTTATTAAAAAGAAAATAAAGTATTATTTGTGTTGTGTTTTTTTAAAAATTGAATTATAATTTGGCAAATAAACGTTAAAAATATAAATTTTCAACAAATATCAGTAATTTATTTGTTTTTGGAAATAAGAGAAAAATTTGAACTGCGATTAAAATTTTTTATATTTTCGAAAAATAAAAAATGACTTGCTCTGATTGAGAAAAAAGAGTGAAAAACGTGTAAATTTGAATGAAAAATTTCTATTCAACTTGCCTGGTAAAAATCGATATTTTACATATTTTCAAAAATAAATTAATTAAGTTTCTAAACTACTATTTACAAACCGAAGAAATACTTTTATATGCGGTGGGTTCACGTCCGATGAAGTTAGCTTTTGAATAGCGTGTTATGATTCCACTTCGTTGTCCTCAATCAACAAATCACGCCAGGTAATCGTACGTATCGTTTTTATGACCTCTGCGTACCAGATACTCTTTTTCTATCAAAATAGTAATGCATTCCTAAAACAAAAAGAAAATAATAATAATTTCCCATTGAAGGATATTCGAATTAAATTTATATACTAATAAATAAGAAATAAAATACCAAAATGAGTAAATAATAGTTAAATTACCTTAATATCGGAAGATTTTGGCATGAATTTCGATTTCAAATGATTAATAACTTCCATCATAAGTTTTCGATGCTCCAAACTTTTTCTCTGCTTCATAATTCTGATTATCGTCGCTTGAATAATAATTTTTCTCTTCACTCCTGTATTCTTATGTGTTGACTCAATTTCCGATTTTAGTTCCAATTTAATCGGTTGAATGAAATTCACATTTGTTTTATTGCTGAAAAGAAAATAAATCTCAAGATAATTTTTTTTAAATAATAATATTTTCTTTACTTAATAAAAAATTTATTTTCTCAACAAAAAATTTATTTTCTTAAAAGAATATTTACTTTTTTTTAAAAAAATATACTTTCAAATAATTTGTTTAATTAAAAATTCTCAAAAAAATGTGAAAATGCAATTACAAAAAAATAGATTAAAAAAAATTGTTTACTTTTTATAATCAGTAACAAGTTTAACAGTCGAAGCTGGTGTTAAATTTTCCTCGCCTCCTTCTTTAACCATAAGCAATTCAGCTTTGAGAAAAATCTGTATCGCCTAGAATTACAAAATTAACAAAAAATTGAAAAAAAAGTAAAATTGAAAAATTTGAAAACAAAAATATAAATTTGAAATAAATAATTCAATAATAATTGTTGAATTTTTAATTTCGTCACCTGAATTAAATAGTTCATATCTAACTGCGTGATGTTTTGCAATTGCTGCATTGTCCACTCGAGGGAATTATTAAACGACAATAATATTCCCATTTGGAATATCGAAACTTGAAAAGAATATCGTTTTTTAAAATACGCATAAATTTCTCCATACGAAGTGTTATGTAACCATTTTAATTTTCTTCCGGAATGTTCAGAGGTGTAGAAATTCGTGAACATTTGTACAGAGTTTTCCAACTTTAAAAACAAAAAAATCAGTTAACAATTTAAGAGATTTTCAATCTCTTAAATATTGATATTGTTTAAAATGAAAATAATTATTTTCCATAAATTGCTTCTTATTTCTAATTTATAACTTACCACTGCTGGCAATGAGAAAGTAAAATTTGTCTCCAATGGCCAAGTATTGAATGTTAAAACTTGAATCGAAAAATCAACATTCAATTTAATTTCATTTTCTTTTATGTGTTTCTTAAATTTTTGGTTCAAATCTTTAGATACTTGAATGTCCTGTATCATTCGTTGAAGTTTTGACGTAAAATCATAACCACAGGCTTTCTTCAATTTTTCAATCATTAAAATTTCTGCGTCATCACTCGCCGATAATTGATAAACCAATCTTCTAGTCAACATTTTTCCATAAATACTCTCAAATACATCTTTGTCATCTAAATAGTAAAATACTTTTAACTGTAAAAGAAAACAAAACAATTAACAATTTTTGTTAAATAGAAAAATCTGCTTCTTAATTGAAAGGGTTTAAAAAATGTTTTAATTATAAGCATTTGCAGATAAATAGAAAGAAATAAAAATAAAGTTTCTTACGCATTCATTGAGAGCATTTTCAAAATATTCCTCTTCTTTATTTCTCTTGTTCCTTAGGATCATATCACAATATTTCACCAACAATATAGCAGGTTTGCTATTATCCTTTCCTTTTTTCGATAGAGAATTAGCATTAACAAATGCTTGACACGCTTTATCTAATGTGGCGAAAAATTTATAATTACTTTGGAAAGAATTTTTGATAATCTCCTTATATTTGTTATAAACAGTCAGAACAGTGTTGATAAATATTTTCGCATTCTGAAACAAAAATTATTAATTATTTAAAACTATTCCCCATAGGGAATAAATAAACTGAATATTAAATAAATAAATACATTTGATTCAGCAGTTGGAATGTTACTAAATGCCAAGTAACCGTCTTTTTTAATGTAATCTTCGAAAATTTTGCATATTACATCAAAACCATTCTCAACTCTTGTGAGATGATGAAACATTAATTTCAAAGAGTTCCAATCTTTTGCCTCCAATAAATTGATAAATTCAGATTCAAAAATATTTTGACAATCTTTGATAAAAACTTTTATGCAAAGTTCCATTAATGGCACAAATGAACATGGTGGTAGATAACTTTTTATTCGAATCTTCTCATCTTTTAATCTATTTTCAATTTTTTTCATATAATCAACAAGTGAATTGTGACGTAAAAGTTCTTTGCTTTCACATTTATAAAATGTCTCCGTTTCTTTTAAGAGAATTGTTTCAAAATTCATTTTATAAATTGAAATATCTATCACAGCTTCACGTAAATCATCAATTTTCCATCCTAATTCCACATAAGAATTTAGAATATTTTTCACTAAAATTTTATTAATACATTTTCCCCTACGATCGTCATTTATTAATTCGAGAATTATTTGCGTCAACTGAAAAATGCAAAATTTAAAATTAATTATGAACATGAATTTTTCAATTTATATCTGAATTGTAATTAATTTAGATTAACTAGCAAATGTTACGCGCAAGGAACGTGTTCTTCAATTTATTATTATTATTGAAATTACAAAATTTGTTACTTTCAAATTTAAATTTTTTAATAATTTCATAATCAAAATCTATAAAATTCACTTATTAAGTAGTAATTAATTATTATTGTTTATATTTTCAAAAATTTTAATATAATTCTTTGCAAGAATTCAATGATTTTCAAGGGATTAATTTTAAAATTGAAAATATTTTTAAAAAACATTATTAAAAAAGTTTGGAAACAAAAACGCAAACAACTAACTCCAAACTGCGAACAGATAACTGGAATACAACAATTATTAATATAGAAGATGGATGATTACCTTTTTATGGAGAAAAATAAAAATCTGATTTTTCCAACAGTACATTGCTATTTTATAAGCATTAAAAATTTCTTCTTCTCCACTGGTATCTTCCAATGATTGCCAGAGACGATTTAAATAAGAACAAATGCCATTGAAAACTTTTGAACTGAATCGATACTGTTCCCATATTTTGATATATTCTTTCAATAAATCCTCGCCTGTTAAGTTCTGAATTTTCTGTTAACATTAAAAAAATCTAATTATATTTACAAAAAAGTGATTTTTCAAATCTGTAAAAATTTCCGTCAAAATTGTAATTTTTGAATATTTGAAAATGTTAAAAAGACAATTTTTTTTATTTAATCAGTTAATCTCTAATTCTTGATATAATTTTCTTTCATCAAGTTAGTAAAAAAGTAAAAAAGAAAAATAATATATTGAAAATGTAAAACTTACCGTACGTAGACTTATTACATGCTCGACCAGTAGACTTATTATTTTTAAATAAAACTCACTGCTTGGGGGATTATTTTTATAGTTAATTTCACTTCTAACATTGCAAATTTCGTATGTTTTTTGATACAAAAGAAGATATTCTTCCTTTGTTATACCTTTATCGCTGTAAATTTTACTAAATCCTTTGAGAAATTCAATTCTTGGGTTAAATTCCTTATTATTCATTATTTTAATTAAAATAAAAAATCACAATTTTCACTGTAAAGAACAAAACTATTATCACATTTGCTTTATATTCATCTATTCTCTTTTCAATAAATTCCAGTCTTGTTATAATTGTATTAAAAAAATATAATATAAATTATCTGTATATTTTTTTGCCATATAATAATTTTTCAATTTATTCTCTTTAACATATATAAACAGAAAGAACGCAGAAATTTTAAATTGCAAAAAATGTGACAACAATATCATAACCTCAAAAATTGTTCTTTTTTTCGATCTTTTTTCACTATATATTCTAATTACGGTTTAGCAAATAGAGAAGAATTTTTTTAACTTACCAAAAAATATATTCGGTTTTCAACGAGTAGAATAATACGTACATAGCAAATGTTAATAAACTCTGTAAAATCATTCACCGGCGGTTGGCGTCAAACAAAAATGGCTATTTTCTCTAATTTATCCCAAGGTTGAATTTGAAATATCCCGCGCTAGAATTTAAAATTGCGCATGCGCGACTATTGTGTTGGTAGCAGTGAACAAGGGTCGGTAATGAAAATGCCTGTTTCAGTTGCTTCGAGTGCCGCCAGATGGTGTCGCCATGTTATTCGGAGATATCACATCTACATATGTTCGTGTCATAGGCCAAGATGGCGCTTCTCTGTTTGCAGATCATTTAATTCTCCCCGAAATAAATATTCGTTGTTAAAAAGTGCAATAAAATCCAGGCCGAAGGAATCAGTGATTAAGTAAGTGATTGCTTATAACATTTATTCTCATGAATTCGCAATATCAGGCGCGTAAGACGCGTGTCTTGGTGAATTTTTGGTAAATTTTCGGAATAATCAATTTGGGTTCTCAAAAAAAAGTTTGTCCCACCTGAGGAATGCAAGATTTCATTCCAATCTGATTTGGAGTGTGGAAAACTGTTTGGTTGTGATTAGTTTTCGTTGCGGGGGTCGCTTACGTGAGGAGGAAGACTCTGAACCGCGACCGGTGAGACTGCTTGTGTATCGGGGGTCAAGGTGCTGCACTCGTGACGTATGTGTGTCGCAGAGGGCTGCTTGGCAGACAGGCCTACCGTGTGAGTGTGTAGTGTGTGCTAAAGTAAAGTGCATTCAATCCATGATCCTGGCCTGTCCTATCAATCGGTCATCAGCTGCTGTTGCTGTTACTTTTTCAACATTGTTCGGGGAGGGTTTTTTTTCACAAGGAAGAAGCAGTGGGACAAGGAGGTGCCGGAAACAGCCGTGAGTCCGGAAGTAAAATCAAGAAGATGGCCTTCAACGAGGTTAGTTGACAAAATTTCTCTGAAATTGCAATCCTTAAATTTGTAATCTTAAGGGAAGGGAAAAATTCCTAAATCTGAGATTCTCGCTGAGAGAAAAAAAACCCATCGACAACTGCAGTTCTAACCTAACCTCAGGGCTCTTACATTGCTGATGCACAAGTTGCCAACCGTTCATGCGCTTTTAACATTCCATGCTTCTTTTTTCCCTGGTTTTTCAACTTTTGTTCTTTATTTTTAATTCTTGGGTCTATTTTTCTTATTTGTGAAATGAGCAATATAATTCGGATTATTTAAAGACACGGTTGAAGATAAAAATTTATTAGATATCGTACATATATATATATATATATATAATACAAGAGTGTTTACGTCATTCTTTAAGATCACTCATCCCTCATTCTTCCAAATAAATTTCATCCTCTTTTTGGTACTTTAAATCTTGGTGACATAGATGCCCTATTTTTCAAGGTTTTAAAAAGATTGTATTAGGATTTTTTTCTACTTGTCACAGAGCAAGAACTGTTTTATTTGATTAAATTCACAGAGAGGATGTATATCTTTTTGAAAAATCGTTATTTTGTTGGTATTTTTAAAAGAACAAAGTGTCAACATAACCTCTTGAAATATTTAAAATTTATTCTCAAATATTTATGTTCTCAGTATTTGAAACAAGAAAGTAAATATTTAAAAAAACAATTAAATTAATTACATTTTTTTACATAAATAATTGATTCTAATTTTTAGAAGTGTAGGGAATTTTTTTCTTCTTTAAAACTTTGAAAGCTTTTTTTTATTCAGAAAAAAACAATATGCCATGTAATAATGGGTGGCTAATCGTTTCTCATTTATTTCACAACAACGAGAGAAAAAAAGCAATTTCTTTCTATTATATCAATCAGTGTTTCTTTCAACCTACACTTGTTAACTATACATATTGATTATTAACTCTTCCTTTTCACGTTTTGACACAGACAATTAGTAATGATTATAAGTTACATATTTATGTATGTTTGTAAATTAAATTTTAATTTCTCGCTTTTGACATTTAGTACTACTTATAGTCTGTAAATGAATTTTAAAAAAAATTTACTACTTTTATGTGCATTGTACATAATATAATGAATAATATTTCCACAATAAGGAAAGTTTGTAAGACAATTTACATAGTTTTATTATCAAGGAAGACAGAGAGAGAAAATTGTTGATAAAATTCTATTAAAGAATAAGCTTTTAGATTAAATAGTCAAGTTTGAAATTAAATTTTTACATTTTGAGTTTAATTATTTTATTTTACTGGTTTGAAAGAAAAAAATAGTTTCAAAAATAGAAGCACCTAGTACATAATAATTAACGGAAGTTGTTTATCTTTTGAAACCTTAAAAATGTTATACGCTCTTGAAAAGAAATCAGTACATAATATATTTGATATTTTTCTGTCAGTCACAGAATTTTTTTAATGTTTCAAAAATTTGGGAACAGAAAAAAAATGAGAAAAATGAAGAGAAGGAAAATTAAGACAATTATCAAAATGAAAATATAATGAAAAATAATAAATTTATAAGATAAGTATTGATTAATAAATGCTGACGTGCTAAAAGATTACATAAGTCAATTGTGATGCATAGGTCGATTCTCCCATAGCTTCCGAATAATACATAAGAGTTCGGCTAAGTGACAATATATGTATGACTTATGTAAGAACATAATCCTTAATACTGCAGAACAAACGCACTTATATGCATATGTAGGGTTAATTTTGTTTATTATGAAAAATAAATAATTTATAATAAATTTAGTAACTGGAAAAAAATTTCTTTGATTCAAATTAACGATTACTTGTTTATTATCAAATAAATTTTCCTGTCAAATAATTTTTATTTTATTTTAATTATTTCACGTTAATTAAATGTCAATTATTAAAAAAATTCAACTATCTTAATAATTATCAAAATTCTTTACAGAAATTTAATTATTTTCAAAAATTTTGAAAAAAAACTCTCGTCAACATTTCAATTATCTTTGAAAATAGCAAAATTTTTCGCCGAAATTAAATTATTTCAGAAATTTTCATAAATAACAATATTCATCACAAGAATTGAATTATTTTCAAAATTAATAAAGTTCTTCGCAGAAGATTTAAAGATTTAAAGAAGAATTTTATTTAAAAATTGTAAAAAATAATAATTTTTGTATAATACTATTTTCATAAGTTATTGAATTTAAAAACTTTGAATTTGAAAATCTTAATTCCTATAATATTATAATTATTTAAAAAGAAGTTATTGATGTTTTCGAATAATTTTAGAATTGAAAGAAATTTGTAAGTAAATGTAATAGAACATTTTTTTGAGTATCTAATCATTTTTAGAGTGAATCAGAATATTCTTTAGGGCCAGGGAAAAAGTGAAAATTTTCTCTGTAAATCAGGGAAAAGTGAAGAAAAAACAAAATTAAATGTTTAACAGACAAGTGAATGTCTATTTGAATAAAATAGATTTTTTTCAGTGTTCAATTCTGTTTATATGTACAATTTTCAAAAGTAAAAAAAAAGAATTTTCTCGACAAAATTAACATTTCTTCGAGATTCTCCTTTTGAAAAGAGGAAAATTTCTTGAATTGAGAAAACTGTAAAGATGAATGTACGCAAATTTGTAATAAATCCGTCGACTCTTCGTGATACTCATCCTCGAGACTCTATGAAAGAATTTAAGTCAATGGGAAATCTTCTTAAAGGATATACCGTTGCTCCTGTGTCAGTAGTTTATATGTATATAGATATATTTTTGTCCTCTCTCTGTAAATACAGTAGTTGAAGCTCGTGCCGTTTTATCGTCACATACCAATTCGCTTTTAATTCCGTACAATCGATGAGAAAAAAATCAAAATCAATGCGTGACTGTATACACTGAAGAAAAATAACGGATCTTGTTGATGATTTTAAATTTAGTTTCCACTCACGACTGAAAATTGTAATTAAATATTTTTTCAGAGTAAATTATTCTCTTAATTTTATTCAAAAAAATTTTCGGTTCGATGTTTCTTTTAAATTTTGAAAAATAGTAAAGGTTGCTAACAATTCTAACAATTCTTCTAAAAATTCATGCTATAATGCTTTTATTATTCAATTACTATCTAAAATTTTCACTGAATAAGAATAATTTTTACATTGTTCTAGGAATTGGATTAAAATTGTATTAAAAGTGAAATTCTGCGATGAGTTTTATTATTTATAAAAATAATTGAATTACCTATTGCAAAAGAAATTTATAAAAAATTTGTAGATAATTGAATTCCTGTGAAATTTTTAATATTTATGAAAATAATGAAATGTTTGCGTAGAATTTTATTAACATTTTTTTTAACTAATTGAATTCTTTTAGGAATTTTTATTAAAGTAGTAGATATTAAAAATCATTAAATTGAGGAAAAAATTATTTTCATTTAAGTTAAATTATTATTCTCTAAAATAAATCTTTATTAAGTAATTAAATGTTCCTTAAAATTGAATTCTTTTGACGAATTTTAATGAAATTTTAAAGAATATTCTAATATTATTTAAATTTTCAACTAAAATTAATTTTTAAATCAATTTTTATTAAAAATTTTACGAGAATTCAATTATTTAAATGCAAAAATAAATAATTTCTTGAATAATTAAATGTGTCTTAAAATTAAATTCACATAAAGAATTCTATCAACTTTCTAAATTAATTCTACAAAATTGTTCGATAAAAGTTTGAAAATTTCAAATTTTCAAAGATTTTAATGTGAAACCTTTTTAAAATTCAATTTATTTCTAAAAATTCCTGCTATAATGCTTTTAATATTCAATTATCACCCAAATTTTTAACTAAAATTAATGTTTAAATCAATCATTATTAGAAAATTCTACGAGAATTCAATTATTTAAATACAAAAGTAAATAATTTATTGAATAATTGAATGTTTCTCAAAATTGAATACATATAAAGAATTTTATCAACAAATTTTTAATTAATTGAATTCTTTTGACGAATTTTAATAAATTTTGTTTAAGAATAGTCACATTTTTCGAGAAATTTGATTGAAATTGTATTAAAAATAATTGAAATAATTCTGCGATGAAACTTATTATTCATGAAAATAATTGAATTCCTAATAAGAATTTTATTAATTATGAAAATAATTGAATCCCTGTAAAAAATCTTAGTGTTTATGAAAATATATAATTGAACTATTGCAAAGAAATTTATAAAAAATTTGTAAATAATTGAATTCCTATTTGAAGTTTTTATTATTAGTGAAAATAATTAAATTTTTGCGTAGAATTTTATCAAAGTTTTGTTTTGAATAATTGAATTCCTTTAGAAATTTTTTTTAAAATACTATACAGATATTGAAAATTATTGAATTAATGAAAATTTTTGAAAATAATTAAGTTTCTCTATAAATAATTCAATTTGAAAATTCTTTATTAAATATTTTTGGGAAATTTTAATAAATAAATTGGTCTATAAAAATAAGTGAATTCCTGCGAACAATTTTGTTATTTATAAAAATAATTGTATTACACTGAAATTTGTAAATATATATAATTGAATTCCTATGAAATTTTGATTATTTATGAAAGTAATTAAATGTTTGCGTAAATTTTTATTAAAATTTTTTTTAAATAATTGAATTCTTTTGGAAAATTTTATTAAAATAGTAAATATTGAAAATCATTCAATTGAGGAAAATTTTTGAAAACAATTGAATTTCTGCGAAGAATTTTATTTTGAAAATAATTGAATTTCTGCAATCTTTTGTAACTTCTCCAAAATTCAATTATTTTTGTGTTTTTAACTAAAATTCTTCTATAAATCTTTACTTGACTATTATCACATAAATATTTACTTGAATTAAATAATTTTTATTTGAGTTTGTTATATTGTATTTGCTTCAGATACTGAAATTATTGATTCAAATAAAATTTAAATAGTTGACTCAAGTAAATATTTATTTGACAATTGACAATTGAC